GACTGATGTGTGGTGAGATGGTGACGGATGTGCTGTGGGATGGTCACGGATGTGTGGTGAGATGGTGACGGATGTGCTGTGGGATGGTGACTAATGTGCCGTGAGATGGTAACTCAATTGTTTCGTGAATGGCAACTCAAATATGGTGAGACTGCCATTCAATGTGCCGTGAATGGCAACTCAAATATGGTGAGACTGCCACTCAATGTGCCGTGAATGGCAACTCAAATGTGGTGAGACTGCCACTCAATGTGCCGTGGAATGGTGACTGATGTGCCGTGAGAAATGGACTCAATTGATGTCTGTCAGTGAGTCGATTGTTGAGTCGATATATCTTTCTGACAACCGTGCCTCTGCCCGCGATATATACATGCTGCCCGTTTCTTCAGTTGCTGCGCGCGCCGTTCTTGGCGGCACGCAGCTCGTCCATCTTGGCCACGCGCTGCTTGAACTCGTCGTACTGGCACTTCTCGTACGTGTGGCGCTCGTTCTGTCAGTGTCAGTGTCAGCGCGGCCCGTGCTGCTCGTTCGTTCGGCGTGTCTACCTCGCACTTCCACGGCAGGTAGTACTCGTCGTGGCGGCAGCGGTTCAGCGGAATCAGCAGGTGGGCGCACGAGTCGCGGTAGGCGAGCGGCAGGCGGGCGGCGCTCATCTCCTCGCGGGTGGCCTCTGTGCAGCGTCAGCATCGGGAAACAAGTCGGGCACGACGGCGGACGGCAGCACGCACTCTGCTCGCCGAGGCCGACGGCGTTCTTCAGCGTCTCGGTGACGGTCATGGTGGCGTGTGTGGGCGGCAACAATGGCAGGCAGGAGGATGGGCGCTGCCAGTGCTGAGGTGAAGTCGTCGGCAAGCGCTGCGGGCTCCGGCCGGGGGCTGAGTCAGCGAACGCGACGACACGTCGCCGGCACTTCACGTCAACACGTCGACGCGATATCAGGTGGTCGCCTCCGACCGAGCCAACTTGGAACCGCCGCCCAGCCCAGCGCCGTCCAGCCCAGCGCCGCCAACATGCCCGTCCTGCCCGACGGCCGGGTGTACAGCGCGACGTACAGCAATGTGCCCGTCTACGAGGTCAACGTCAACGGCAACCACGTCATGCGGCGGCGCGCCGACGACTGGATCAACGCGACGCACATCCTCAAGGTGGCCGACTACGACAAGCCGGCGCGCACGCGCATCCTCGAGCGCGAGGTGCAAAAGGGCGTGCACGAGAAGGTGCAGGGCGGCTATGGCAAGTACCAGGGCACCTGGATCCCGCTGGACGACGGCCGCGTGCTGGCCGAGCGCAACGGCGTGCTCGACAAGATGCGCGCCATTCTCGACTACGTGCCCGGCGACCGCAGCCCGCCGCCCGCCCCGAAGCACGCAACGGCCGCCTCGAACCGCATGAAGCCCCCGCGCCAGACGGCGGCGGCGGCCGCCCGCTCCGCCAAGGCCCAGCTCGCGCAGAACAACGTCTACAGCCTCGAGGCCATCCAGAGCTTCGTTGGTGCGCAGGGTCAGGCGCAGGCGCAGGCGCAGGCGCACTCGCACTCGCACTCGCAGGCGCACTCGCATTCGCTCGTCAGCGATGACCACCCGTACGACGCCCCCGGCCACCTGCAGGCGCAGCACATGTTCCGCGACGACACGCCCGGCGCCGACACGGTCGTCAGCGAGTCGATGCTCGGCGACCACGACTTTGCCGACGCCCACTGCGCCGACTCGCGCAAGCGCAAGCGCGGCGGCGACCAGATGTCGCTGCTCGACCAGCAGCACCAGATCTGGGCCGACCAGCTGCTCGACTACTTTATGCTGCTCGACCACAAGGACGCCTACTCGTGGCCCGAGCCGCCGCCGAGCATCAACCTCGACCGCCCGATTGACGAAAAGGGCCACGCGGCCATGCACTGGGCCGCGGCCATGGGCGACGTCGGCGTCGTCAAGGAGCTGATCCACCGCGGCGCGCGCATCGACTGCCTGTCCAACAGCCTCGAGACGCCGCTGATGCGCGCCGTCATGTTCACCAACAACTTCGACAAGGAGACGATGCCGTCCATGGCCAAGGTCTTCCAGCAGACGGTCCACCGCACCGACTGCTTTGGGAGCACCGTCTTCCACCACATCGCCGCCACGACCGCCTCGTCGAACAAGTACGTGTGCGCCCGCTGGTACCTCGACTGCATCATCAACAAGCTGTGCGAGACGTGGATCCCGGACGAGGTCACGCGTCTGCTAAACGCCGCGGACCAGAACGGCGACACGGCCATTATGATCGCCGCGCGCAACGGCGCCAGGAAGTGCGTGCGCAGCCTGCTCGGGCGGAACGTGTCGGTCGACGTGCCGAACAAGAAGGGCGAGACGGCAGACGACCTGATCCGCGACCTGAACTCGCGCCGCCGCACGCACAGCCGGACACGCCAGGCCTCGTCGTCGCCGTTTGCGCCGCCAGAGCATCGTCTGAACGGCTTCGGCAGCCAGCTCGACGGGGGCCCGCTGCTCTCCATGGCCCTGCCAAACACGCAACGAGCGGAAGAGCGCACATACCGCTCCCAGACAGCGTCGCACCTCATGACCAAAGTGGCCCCCACGCTGCTCGAAAAGTGCGAAGAGCTGGCGCTCGCCTACGAGCACGAGCTCGCCGAGAAGGAAGCCGAGTCGTTTGACGCCTCGCGCGTGGTCAAACGGCGCCAGGCAGAGCTCGAGGCGATCCGCAAGCAGGTGTCGGAGCTGGAGAACAGGGGCCTGGATCTGGACGACGAGGGCGTCGACGTGTCGCAGGAGCGGGAGCTGCGGGACCTGGTGACGGAGGCGGAGAGCCTGCTGGAGGTCGAGCAGAAGAGCGAGCTGCGGCGCCTGCTGGGCACGACGCCGTCGGACCCCGCGAGCCAGAACTCGGGCGCCGAGGATCCCAGGGAGAAGCTCCGGCTGAGCCTGCTGCTGTATCGCGCGCAGCTCGAGCGCCGAGAGCTGGTGCGCGCCGTCGTTGCCAATCTGTCGGTCGCCGGCATGAGCGAGAAGCAGGGCGTGTACAAGGGGCTCATTGCCAAGGCGCTGGGCGAGCGCGAGGACGACGTTGAGAACATGCTGCCGGAGATTTTGCGGGAGCTTGAGGAGGCGCAGACGCAGGAGCACGCCGAGGGGCTGGAGGGGAGTCCGCTATGATGTTTGAGTACTTATTCCCCGGGTTTGGTTGGTTGGTTGGCTGGTTGGCTGGTTGGAGTCTTTAGTGGTTGGTTGGAGTTTTTAGTGGTCAGTTGGAGTTTTTAGTGGTCAGTTGGAGTTTTTAGTGGCTGGTTGGAGTTTTGAGCGAGACATCTTGACTTTACTGACAACATTTACACACTCTCTTGCGTGGTGCTGTCTTGGTTGCATTTCCCGTGAGATGTCGACGATGACGTGTTTGTGGTTACTATAGTTTGGTTTGTCGTTCCTACGCGGTTCCGACTCGGAACGAACTTGGACATCCATGTCCGCAGCTCCATCTCCATTGTCTCCACCCCACCACGCAACATGACAGACCTCAGCGCACGACTGCCCAGGCTCGTCCCCCGCGCGCGCAACTCGACCGCGCGCGCGCCGCCGTCGGCCCCCCCGCCGACGCCTGCACTCGCGCCGCCAGACGTGTCCGCGCACTCGTACACGCACCCCTCGCGCCGCATACTGAGCCCCGAGGACCACCAGCTGTTCCTCGGCAGCGCCACGTGCACGCTGGTGCAGGCGTTCATCTTCGCCATTGCCGACAGCGTGCAGGACCGGCCCGTGTCGAGCATCAAGGACAGCGACATCACCGACACGGTCGGCAAGATCACGCGCATCCTGCAGGCCGCCGAGACGCTCCAGGCAGAATGCCCGCCCGAGGACACCGGCTCGCGCTTCGGCAACCCCGTCTTCCGCACGTTCCTCGACAAGATCGAGGCCGCCCTGCCGTCGTGGCACGCGCAGCTCGGCCTCGACGACGCCGCGCAGGTCGACGAGATCTCGACGTACCTGCTCCACGCGTTCGGCAACCGGCAGCGCATCGACTACGGCTCGGGCCACGAGCTCAACTTCTTCCTGTGGCTGCTGTGCCTGAACCGCTGCGGCCTGCTGCGGCCTGCGACGTTCCCCGCGCTCGCGCTCGTCGTGCTGCCCGCGTACCTGCGGCTGATGCGCCGCGTGCAGGGCGCGTACTACCTGGAGCCCGCGGGCTCGCACGGGGTGTGGGGGCTCGACGACTACCAGTTCCTGCCGTTCCTGTTCGGGGCGAGCCAGCTGCGGCACCACGCGTACATTACGCCCAAGAGCATCCACAACGCGCTCGTGCTCGAGGAGGAGCGCGCCGAGTACCTGTATCTCGACCAGATCAGCTTCGTCAACAGCGTCAAGAACGTCGACGGCCTGCGCTGGCACAGCCCCATGCTGGACGACATCAGCGCGAGCCGCGACTGGGGCAAGATCGAGGCCGGCATGCGCCGCATGTTCGTCAAGGAGATGCTCGGGAAGCTGCCCGTCATGCAGCACTTTCTGTTCGGCAGCCTGATCCCCGCGGTCGACGGGATGGGTGTCGAGGACCAGGCGGGTGGCGCGGACGCGGAGGCGGACGCGGACGCGCTCGAGGGCGAGGTCAGCGTCTTCACCGACGAGGCGGGGACGCGCCATGTGCACGCAGCGGTCGGGTGGGGAGACTGCTGCGGGATCAGGGTGCCGGCGGCGATCGGGGCCGAGGGCGAGGAGAGGAAGGGCGGCGCGAGGCGGCTGCGGCGGGTGCCGTTCGATTAGGGAGGTGTGGTGGTCAGGTCGATGTCACGACGTTTTATGCCACGACGTTTTATGTCACGACGTTTTATTTCACGACGTTTTATTTCACGACGTTTTATTTCACGACGTTTCATTTCACATTGTGGTTTTTTTTTCAATCACCACTTCGCCACGGCCCGCAGACCTGTACATTGTCCCCTTCCACCACATCCGCAGACCTGTACATGTATGATCTGCTATACGGCTGTTGGGCGTGTATACTCTCCTCCGCAGACCTACAGCTACCCCAGCCCGTCCGACCAACTGGCCGAGCGGGCAGCGAGACAGCGAGACAGTGAGACGTCGAGACAGTGAGACGTCGAGACAGCAAGACAGCAAGACAGCAAGATAGCAAGACAGCAAGACGGCGAGACATCAAGACATCAAGATAGCAAGACAGCAAGACAGCAAGACGGCGAGACATCAAGACATCAAGACATCAAGACAGCAAGACAGCAAGACGGCGAGACATCAAGACAGCAAGACAGCGAGACAGCAAGACAGCAAGACAGCAAGACGGCGAGACATCAAGACAGCGAGACAGCAAGACAGCGAGACAGCAAGACAGCAAGACAGCAAGACGGCGAGACATCAAGACAGCAAGACAGCAAGACGGCGAGACAGCTAGACGAGTGGGGGTATTGACAATGGCAATGGCAATGGCAAACGCCGGGCAGAGTAAAGGGCTGGATAAGATCACGGTCGAGTGTGGGCCCGCAGCCACAGGCCACTCTTGCGACGCGCGTATTGCTCGTAGAATAGCTACACGTGTCTAGTAACGAAGCGTGGAGATCTGGCTCAACCGACTCGCCACGGTGTTGTTTCTTCCATTTTGAAATTCGCGCGACTACGACAACGGCGAGAACGTGGGCAGAGATGCACTGGTCTGTACTCGACTTGGCCAGCCAAGTCGAGTACGAGAGCATCCCGCACACTACTCGGCCCGGTGGCGCGTCACTCGGCGAGTCAGGTCATCTGCGACACGCCGCGGGACGCACGCCGCGATGGAGTCTTGGGCGCAGATGACGTGCTGGCTAGTCAGCAGATGGCAAGGGCGGCCGTTTGTGAGCAGAGCAGCGAATAATGCAGACTGGGCTGAGACGCTGTCAATGTAAGCCGAGGACGTGCGCGGAAGAGGCGGCGTCGCTGGGCCCTGGCGGCGTCGCAGGCGGGACAGGGGAACAATCGTTCTGCTCATGCACATCAATGTCGCGACATCAGCAGCCAAATTAGTGCCCTGCAGCGGCCCACTCCCTCTACGTATAAGAGCGACACCGCGCCGATGCCCGAATCGATTCCCCTCCGCAAGAAGCCCCCCGCCCCGACGACCGACGAGCGCGACTCGACACAGCCCGCCAGCCCGACGCTGTCCGAGTTTGACGACTGGGACGAGGACGCGGCCATGCCGTCCGACCTGCGGCCGTCGACGGACGCGCACGATGCGCCGCTGCTGGGCCGGAAGAGCGACGCCGGCGAGGGCGAGGGCGATGCCATGGCCCAGGCGCAACGCGAGACCCGGCGCAAGTACACGTACGCGGGCGTGTTCCTGGTGCTCAGCCTCGTCAGCTTCACGGTGCAGACGGAGACGGCCGTGTACATCCAGCACGAGCTCAAGTGGGAGAAGCCCTTCTGCATGCTGTACATGACGCACGGCAGCTGGATCGTGCTGTGGCCCGTCCAGCTGCTGCTGCTGCGCCTGCAGAACCGCGCGCAGCCGTGGGCGACGTTCTGGCGCCGCCACACGCAGCTGCTGCGGCAGACGGCGCTGATGGTCCAGCACCAGACGCTGCAGCCGACGGCGCGCCAGTCCCAGGCCAGCGCCGTGCCCTACATGCTCAAGATGACGGCCTTTATCACGTGCGCCCTCACGCTCGCCGGCGGCAGCTGGTACGTCGCGGTGAACCAGACGACGGCGTCGGACCTGACGGCCATTTACAACTGCTCGGCCTTCTTCGCGTACGCCTTCAGCATCCCGCTGCTGCACGAGCGCGTGCGCGCCAGCAAGCTCGCCGCCGTCGCCATCGCCGTCGCCGGCGTCTTCGTCGTGGCCTACGGCGACTCGGCCCCGGCCAAGCACGGCTCCAAGTCGGGCGGCGGCGCGGGCGGCGACAAGGCCCCGCCCAGCCGCGACGCCGAGAACCGCGCCTTTGGCAACCTGGTCATTGGCGTCGGCAGCGTGCTGTACGGCCTGTACGAGGTGCTGTACAAGCGCCTGGCCTGCCCGCCCGAGGGCGCGAGCGCCGACAAGGCCATCCTCTTCGCCAACACCTTTGGCTCGCTGATTGGCGCCTTCACCCTGGCCGTCCTGTGGATCCCGCTGCCCATCCTGCACTACACGGGCTGGGAGACGTTTGAGCTGCCGCGCGGCGAGCAGGCGTGGATGATGGCCGTCAGCGTGCTGGCCAACGCGAGTAAGTCGGCGAGACCTGCAGTCGACCAAACGCAGCTAACACGTTCCGCCAGCCTTTTCCGGATCCTTTCTCGTCCTCATCTCGCTAACCAGCCCTGTGCTGTCCTCGGTCGCCGCCCTGCTGACCATCTTCATCGTCGCCATTGTCGACCAGCTGCTGCCCCCGCCGCTCAACTCGCCGCTGACCTCGGCTGCCATCCTCGGCGGCCTGCTGATCATCGGCGCGTTTTTGCTGTTGAGCTGGGCGACGTACAAGGAGATGGACGAGGAGAGGCGGCACAAGCTGGAGGAGAGTGCATCGGAGCTTGATGATTAGGGGAGTTTTTTTTTTTTTCTTTTTTTCTTTTTTTTTGTTTTTTTGTTTTTTTTTTCTTTTTTTTGGCGTTTGCAAGGTGCATGGATGGGGAATGGGCGGGTTTCTTGTGCTAGACTTACTTGCATTGCTTCGGTCGCATGGCTTGGGTCTTGGAAGGATTGCTATCTACGTTACCATTTTAGATCAGTGTCACTACTGTAGATGAATTCACTGTAGATGAATTCACTATAGATCAATTCACTACATTATCAATTCACTACTGTAGATCAATTCACTACTTTACACTAACGTCTACTACTCAAGTCGCCGTCTGCTTCAAATTAACGTTTGACACTCGGCATGTCGAGGCAGCGGACAAGCTAATCTCGCTCCCCGCCGTTGCGCCAACCTCGCACGGGATCACGCCTACGCTAGCCTTCCATTGCACTCACAGCCCTGACAGCGGCAATGCAGCCCGCACCACGGCCCCTCGACACCGCCATGCCGCCCGCCCAAGACTACCACCATGTCCGGCGACCCCCCACGCCCCGATTCCCACCCCGCGACCGGCCCGAGTGACGCCGGCCTCAGACACCGCGAGTCCAGCATCTTTGGCGACGAGCCCCGGAACCACACGGGGAACCGCAGACTCAGGTCTATCCTGAAGAGCTCGCGCGCCAGCTCGAGGCAGCCGTCGCCCGAGCGTGTCGACCCGCCCACGACGCAGAGTGTCGACCCGCCCACGACGCAGAGTGTCGACCCGCCCACGACCCAGACTGACGACCCGCCCACGACGCAGACTGTCGACCCGCCCACGACGCAGACTGACGACCCGCCCACGACCCAGACTGAGCCCACGATGCAGACTGACGGCCCCAGCCGGCGCACCTCGGAATCTACGCCCATGGCCCCGACCGCGCGCGGTCCGGGCTACGACGCCATCAACCCCGTGCCGAGAGAAGCGTCGAAGAGCAACGGCGCCTCGCTGCCAACCCCCGCGCCCAATGACCACGCGAGGCAGGGCCGCTGGACCGAGTTCTGGGAGAAATGGGGCACGGTTGAATTGGAGAATAAGGGCAGTGTTGCGCGCGACCACCTCGCCCTAGGTAATTACCTCGCGTCGCTGCTCGCCCGGGGCAGACTGACCAAACGACAGAGCGCACGTTTCTCGCCTGGCTGCGCACGAGTCTGAGTTTCGCATCCATCGGCATCGCAATCACGCAGCTGTTCCGGCTGAACTCGAGTCTGCGCGCCTCCTCCTCCACCTCCTCCTCGGCTGATGACTCGATGCACCGCCTACGCCACCTGGGCAAGCCGCTCGGCGCGACATTCATCGGCATCTCGATTCTGATGCTGGGCATTGGGTTCCATCGCTTCTTCGAGGCGCAGCATTATGTTATTCGGGGTAAGTTCCCCGCGAGCAGGGGGAGTATTGTGCTTGTTAGTGGTGTTGCGGGCGCGCTTATCGTGAGTAGTCTTGTGGTTGTGCTTGCTACTGCGCCGGGCGTGTTTGAGTCGTGATGATGTGATTTGAATTTCTTTTTTTTTAAATAGTCTCTGCTGTACAGAGTGTAGCTGCGACTGAGATTTGGGACTGTGGTGTACTGAGATTTGGGACTGTGGTGTATTGAGAGTGTAGATGTGTGACGTATCGAGCAGATCTCAACAGTGCCCATCAACACGCCAACACACTTGAATTCCGTCTTCCAGGCAGGACGCGACGCGTCTCGATGTGCCATGTAAGGACCACACCACCGATGTGCCATGTAAGGACCACACCACCGATGTGCCATGTAAGGACCACACCACGGCCGGCCGCGGCTATACAAAGTAGCACGGATCTCACCTCCAGCGTTGTCAACGGCAGCCCACGCTCTCACCTCTCAAGCCCACCACTCAAGCCCACCACTCAAGCTCACCACTTAAGCTCACCACTCAAGCTCACCACTCAAGCCCACCATTCAAGCCCACCACTCAAGCCCACTACTCAAGCCCACTACTCAAGCCCAGTACGAAGACACTAACACAAATGTCGACAGCACCTTTACAGTCCTTCACCCTGTCGCCCTAGTTTCTCAACTCTCGCCTCTGGCTCGAAAACATCCAATGCACTGCGTCTGGGTATTACACAGCGGTGCAATGCCGCGGTACTAATCTGAAGACACTTTACCACAACTTTGACTTCTCTCGAGCACCTGTCAATTCAACTGCACTCGCACCCCCCGACAGCCCATCGACCTGGAAGTTGCTCAATGCTGTCTGGCGTTTGTTACTCATAACCAGGAAGGCACGATACACAGCGCCTCCCTCAACTTCGACAAAACTCGACAAAACTCACCCCACCCGCACCGCACGATGCCTCTGCAGAAACGTGAAGCTCGCGATGCGCCTGTCTCTGGCCGATGGAAGCGGCAGAAGAGTTCTGACTCACTGCAGCAGGGTGGGGCCGCTGCGGCTGTTGACCTGTAAGTCACTCACCTCAAAATAAGGGCTGCGGCCGTCGCTGACTACCCGAGGACTGCACTGAATGCAGCGAGTTCACCACTGCTTCGCCTCCCTCCCGAGCTGCGCCATCAGATCTGGGAGCTGGCTTTCGGCAACAGGATGATACACGTCTGGTCGCACAACAAGTACGAAGACGAAGAACAACTGACCCAGGTGTTTTACATTGCTCACGATGCCGTCTGCCATCGGATCTGTGGATCGCCCGAGTGGCTCTCTGAGATGGGCCGCCCGGAAGCAACGCAAAGCCATGTCAAGCCACAGCTCGTGTGTCGTCAGCTCTGGGCCGAAACCTCAGAGGTGTTCCTCTCGTCGTGCACCTTCAGGGTCAGTCGTTCTGAAGACTTTCGAGCGTGGGCGCTGTCAGGACATAATTCCGTCCCGCGCGTCCGCCGACTCCTCGTTCACCTGTCCGGGGGCAAGTCGCACAACTTTCCCATGTACTCACATGCAGACTTCACCTCATCACTTGTCGGCCGCTTCTCAAGCCTGGAGGGTGTCGTTTTCACGGGCTCGGTGTATTGGGGACCGCGAGAGGCGGTCTTGAATGCCGACGTTATGGGTGGCGACCACTGGAGGATGATCCACATACCGGTCATCATCCGCGCCTTTCAGCAACACAAGCTAAAGGAAGAACTGACTCACGTCACGATGCTGCCTAAATGCTACTCGCACGATGTCTGGGATACGAAACCGTACAACGAGGCGATTCGGAAAGCCCTACTTCAGCATCACCCGCGACGCCTGTCGAAACGGAGAGCTTAGGCGGAGGGAACGGCTCATCCAAACTCCAACCGCATGAGCTGGTTGGCATCGAATCGGAGCAAGGCGATGCATGGCCATTAGAGCCCCCACAACTGCACCCCGGTCATCAGGAGGAAGCGAGACGCCGTAGACGCACATGTGAAGTGTAAATGTGCAGCATTACAGCTTGGACCTCTCGTCTAACAATGTCAACCCAGTAGCTGCCTCCAACTCTTTCACCGCGTCCTTTGTCTGCCCGAGGCTGACCTTGATCGTGCGCAGCCCGGTCTTCTTCGCAAACTTCAGGTTGATGCCAATGTCATCGAGGAACAGCACGTCGCCCTCTGTAATCCTCCCCCTCCCCTTCGCCTCGCTGATCTTGCTCATCTCCCGCGTGGCCAGCTTATACGCCTCCGGATCAGGCTTGCGCACGCCCACCGCTGCACTGCCGAGGAAGATGTCGAAGCTCGCAGTGATGTCTGTCGAGTCGTTTGCGTACGGGTTGGGGTGTGGGCGATGCTGCAGCTCCTTCGTGAACAGCACGCCCTCGTCGTCGACGATGTCGCTTGGGAAGGTGACGTTGTTGCTGAACGCGCCGAGCACGAATTGCCCGCTCGCCTTCAGCTTGCGCAGCGCAGGGTACATGTACGGGTCTGGCTCGCGCGAGATCTTCATCATGCGCCAGAAGAGCCGCTTCGCGTCGATCTCTGGAACCCGGGCCACCTTGCCGCCCTCCATCGCGGACCCGCCTGCGCCACCGAGCGTCTGCTTTTGCGCGAGTCGCACGAGGTACTCGCGCCATACCTCTGGCCGCGATAGCTGGTCCTTGAAAGACGCGAACCAGGCGTCGTTCAGCTCCACCTCGCCGCGCTCGATCAGCTGCCAGGCGCCCGTGTCGTGCGGCCCTTTCTGGATTGCGTAGTTGATGTAGCCGATTGGGATCTTGTTCTCAGTCTCGTAGTCGAGGATCGCTTGGAACGGGCTTATCACCTGCGCCCTGCGTTAGCTGTGGATCGCTGGCGGAGGGATTGGGAACCTACCACGACACCACCAATGTCGAAGAGGATAGCTTTGGGCGGCTGCGCTGGAGGACACATGATTGCTGCGGCTGGACGAGACATGATTGCTGCGGCTGGACGAGACATGATTGCTGCGGCTGGAGGAGACAAAATCGCTGCGGCTGGAGGACCTGTAGCTGCTGTGAGCGTGTCATGGCGGCTTGGAGACCATGGTGTTGAGTGTCAGGCCTGGGACGAACGAACGTACCTCGGCAATTCGAGTATCGATAACACTAGCGTTCACCGCAACCCGCGGGCGTCATCGATGGGGGCTTTCTTACTTCATCAGATCCAACATGGCCAAGTTCTCACGACGGGAGGCTGTGAGGTCGGTGCAGTTGTCGTGGCATCGTAGAAGCGGGCGCTCGTTGAGCGGGAAACAGTCACGACTCGACCTCTCAGCAATGGCTCTGCTAGGATCGAGGCCAAGCAGGCTCAACGGCAACGCCGATTTATGCAATGCAGGTAAGCTCGTATGGATGCTGGGAAGACTCATTCGTCCTATGTTCATGATCAATATTCGCACTTCCCTTGTACGTTCTTTGGCGGGCCTGATATCCAGGCAGTTCTCTTCGCACGCAACGGAATTGGTTACAGTCTTCAGAATGGCTTGGTCCGCGGGACAATATCCGTCGACTACATACTAGACCATGTTCAAGTTCTGGTAAAGGTGTGACAAGAAGGATAGCACGGCATGCAGGTGTGGTGGTTGAGTCAGCCAAGCCAGGCGCAGTTGTTTACCGAGATCCAAGAAACCTCGAGGGCGTTTGGGTCACGATACCATGGATCGTGGGCTGCCTGATCCTGGGGGATTCTTATTCAGAACATCCGCTGCCGTCGAGCTTCGTACGCATCGAACACCACACCGAGGAGACCTCAATCCCTAACATGCTTCTCGCCATCCTCTCCCTCCTGGTCACCGCCTCTCAGGCACAGAATAGCACGCAGGAATCAAACAACAATGCAACTCAGCCAACCCAGATCGCGGTCTACCCACCATTCCCCATCCGCAGTGACACCAACATGCAACACACCCAACGCGCCTACGACGTCTCTCTAATCACCGCCATCTCGTCCACAACCATAGTGTATGCTATTTCCTGCTCACCTTGGACTACCATGACACGCTTCAACGATGTCTGCGGCACAAACAACGTTGACAGTATCATCACTGTGACCGAGGGCCCTGACAACTGGCAATGGACCGCGCAGGGCAAGACCCTGTACTGCACGAATCTCAGCGACAAAACGAAGAGCTGCACAAGCGTCACCAACAGTCTTGGGAGCTACTTCGCGCCCGTCACTGGGACAGAGGGTGGAGATTTCCTGGCGGGCTTCTTGGAGTACTTCACGACTATGTCGCCGGTCGCTGTGAATCTGACCGCGGGGTTCGAGAATGTGCCTTCGACTCGTAGGTACAAACACACATTGTGAGAGTATGAGGACTGACGGCTGTAGTCCTTCAGAGTCTTGTGGATGATGCTACGGCGCTTGCCACGATTCAGACCGACGCCCCGGACGCCTCCAGCTCGGGGGCTTTGTCGTCGTCTGTCCCGACGGTGCCTGAGAGCTCGAACACAGGAGCTACGGAGACCGGATTTACGGGTGCTGCGCCCAGAGCCACGGGAGCCATTGGCCGAGAGATGCTGTTTGGTGCTGCTGGCGCATTGGGTGTCGGCATCTTTGGGTTGTAAGCGGAGCGTCTTGGTTTGAGAGACAGCGTGCTCATTTGTCGGTCTGGCACGTACGCGTGGAGCTCTCGTGATGCTCAAAGTTGATAACACAATCAGAACGTACTACCCCTCGTCAACTGCCTGGTCCACGTCCTCTCCCTCTTCCTCAGCCCATCTGCATCTTCAGTCCCCACCCTCTTAACCCTCAACTCGCCTCTCGGCACACACACCGTCCCCCCACTCGCCGTCAGTCTCCTCCTCATCTCATCCTCCTCCAGCACCTCAGCTTCAGGCCCCAGCTCCTCTCGCACCGCGGCGGCAAGGTCTAGTACGCTTCTCAAGAAGCCTGGCCGACGACCGCTTCTGTACATGCGCGAGCCGCGGCGAGTGTCGAGCCACATGGCAATCATGATGAAGGACCAGAGGAAGTTGAAGATGGAGACCATGAACAGGAAGATGTAGGAGAAGCCCCATTGGTAGGTTTCAGAGGGTTTGCAGGAGCTGTGTGAGCGGATCCAGGACGAGTTGTACAAGTCTCCGTATCGACCACCTATGCTGTAATTCTGCTCATGGGGTGCGTTGATGTCACTGAGCGGCCTGCCTGTGGACAGAGGCACTTCGATGACCACGGTGTCGTTGGTTGTCCAGATCGCGTTCTCAAATTCCCAGTTGGCCCCGCTGCTAATCGTGACGATCTTCGCCCTTATGCCCGACCCGTCGTCTCCGACTAGTTCAATGGGCTGCGTGCCGCTGTTGGTGTAGGTGTAGGTGTTGTTTTCGGTGGCGTACTTGGCAACGACTGGATACCGTATCAGCCATGTCAGAGGAAAAAGTAGTGGATCTTACAGTCGTCTACTGTACGGACCAGCTCCTTATCTTTGGCCGTCACCCAAAAATTGTCCTGCTCGAACCCAATCCCGGTACCACCATCTTGAACAGTCCTCACAATCTCATCGACCTTGCTCCACTCCTTCAGGTCGCGGTTGTAGTCCTCCACATACGGCTCATACGTCGTGATGTAGCCCGTCATGGCCGCCATAAGCGTCGGAAACGCCAGCACGTACAGCGTTGAGATAAGCATACTCGCCATAGCCAGCCACCTGAAGAACCTTGCCCAGCTCCTCTCGCCAAAGCACAGGAACTCCTTCGCCATAACCCCCATCATCGTCCAGCTCGTCGTCTGCAACGCCACCGTCGAGTACATCTTGTAACTCGTGCCCCACCGCTCGAGATGGAACACAAGCCACTCGTTGAACACAACCCAGTTGACCCACGCAAGACCCATCTGGCCGCCCCGTCCAACAAGCAGATCCCATGCGACGTCGATGACCTTGACGTGTGTGAAGGTCATGTTGCCGAAGCTGAGGTTCGGCGTGAAGAAGTAGGTGCTGTCCATGATGCGCCAGGTTGCGCCCGCAGCTTCTTTCCAGAGCCCGTTGGGGTAGCACGCGCGTCCGCGGATGTAGTTTTGGGACGCCATTTCGGCGATGGCAGACAGGATTATTATTGGACCGAGGGAGAGGGGGAGTAGAGCAGTGATGAGGAATACGCGCCATGGGAAGCCTTGAAGTTTGGTACGCAGTGAATTCTGTCGTTGTACATCGGGCGCGCTGGACGAGGCGCGGCTCGTGTTGCGGTCGAGCAGTGTAATCATGGTTGTAGACTCATCTTTGCGGACGGACATCGCGAAAGCGCAACGGTGCTAGATGCATCGCAGCCGGTGCTAAGGAGTTTTTGAGGTTTAAGCGTTCACGCGTTGATGTCAGTGTCAGTGTCAGCGTCAGCGTCAGGCGTCCAGAGATCGTCGTTTTGCTGCAGCCAAGCAAGGCGCAGCAGCCATCTCGGCTTTCAGTCTTGAAATTGAAAATTATCTTGGTCCTTGGATTCGCAAGGACGAAGATGTGTCTATCGATGTCGATGCACATGCAGATCAATCTAATCAATCATCCAACATATATTCATTGCTAAAGGTATAATATCTACAGAAATAAGCATTCACCAGGGCATCACCTCCGACCACGCCGAGATGTCTAGCAGTTGACGTGAACAGCGTTGGCGTACAGAGCGTACGAGTCGGCGTTGTTGAGGGCCTGGGCGGTAGTCAGCTGGGACGCAGCAGCGTAGCCGTAGCCAAGGTCGTCAGTTCCCGGGCTGTAGACGCTGTTGGCGTGGGTCTCCTCATGAAGAACAGTGGTGGCCTGGTCCTGTGCGTGGCAGGTTGAAGAGAGAGCGGGAAGCCCGGAGAAGAAGATGGGGCAGTAGGTGATATAGCTGGTCGAGGGGACGGTGTAAGCCAGAACATTGGACGAGCAGCCGCTGTACTGGTCGTCGCAGTTGGTTGTGGTGGTAGCAGTGGTGCTGCCGCAGTCACGGGCAACGGCTGTGAGACGAGCCGAGACAGTGTTCTTGGTGGAGGTAGCGGTCGACATGAAGTAGGTGCTGAGCTTGGTGCCAGCGGACGCCGCGGATGCAGCAGAGGTAGCGAGACTGGCGCAGTTGGAGAGAGCAGTGCGGATGGCGGTAAGCTTGGTGCCAGTACAGCTGGACTTGACGGATGTGCGCTTCGACAGGTCAAGAGCCTTGGTGACCTGGGCGGCCTGAGCGCCATCAACGGTGATGGTCAGCTTCTCGGAGTCGTATGGGAGAGTGCCGGACAGCTCAGTAGAGTTTTCCTCGGCGTAGGGAATCAGGCCCGAGGCGAAGAGCTCGAAGTCCCCGCCATCGTTGAGCGAGTGAAGAGCAGCCGCCTCAACAGTGACCTCCTTGGTCTCTCCGGCCTTGAGGGCAACAAAATCCCCAGCAGTAAGTCCACTGGTCAGCAGACGGAGCTTGATACCCTCGAAGGGGACCTTGGCGGCTTGGGCATGGTCAGCCTTCACGTCTTCAAAAACGGTTGATACACTTACAGCCCGCAGCAGAGTAGACCTGGACCTTCTCGACGGGCGCGACCTCGTCGAGGAAAGTACCCTTGCTTAGAAGATTCAGGGCCTTCTCGCCATTATTGGTCACGGCGATCTTAACCTCTGAGTTGCCAACACTCTCAAGCTTGATGCTGAGAGGAGTGTCACGCTTGTTGAAATCGACAGAGGCGGCGGAGGCAACGGTGGCTAGGGCAGCGACAGAAAGTTGGAACTTCATGGTGAATGTGATAGAAGGCTGACCAAGAGAACCAAGACGTAAACGATAGGCTGAAGGCTGAAGAGACAAGGAAGGGCTGCTGAACTGAAGCTGATGAGGACATCTGGGTACTCACCACGAATATATTTATACCTGAGGACAGCTCCATGTTTCTTCGTATCCTTACACCGATTTCTACGAGTACGGCCTACGTGCACAAGCCTTGGATGGAGCCTGACGGGTCGACCTAAGCAGCGACATCTGCATCTGGGCGTGAAGCTTAGGGTTGCCAAGTGCTCCACGCCGAGGACAGTGGGCCATACTGCTCGAAGATATCTCCCGAAGCGGGAGGAGGAAACGAAACTGGCAGCTCAAACATGTTGGGCCGTTGGAACAGCACGATTCAAGTGGTTGGCATGGCGGAGCCGCACGTGTGAGCGGAAGGTAGTGCTGCACGCTCCACGGATCGCAGATGATAAGGATCCCCATCTGTGTGGCATTGATGCAAAAGCAATGCCACCGCAATCTCTGTCGACGCTTGGTACTGTCGATCGCTCTTGTTTACATTAGGGCTTGTCTTGGCCTTGGAGGGCATCATGTGCAGGGTATGAAGAGCGGAAATAGCCCTGCAGTAATGGACGCAGCGGCAGATATGAAGGTAACGATGAGCGTTAAATGAAGAAGTGAGTCTACCCTTGTTGAATGAAGTTAGATTCTTGTCAATGCGGGGGGGACCAGATATCATGGAGACCTCGAAGTCTCTTCTCTCGAGAGTGCACGATGTCCCATCATACCTCGTTCAATGACGTCCAGCGGCATGGCTGTTTCATTGTCGGCAGCCGTAGGCGCCGCTGAATAGAGGGGATTCGGAAAATGGCACATGCATGTATTTTGCACCACTTTTGGTCCACCAGCACGAGCTAGTGCGACGACTGGCATCGTGTAATTAGGAAGGAGGCTGAAGTCGACGTCGGAGGATGTGCAGAGATGTCTCGGGACCATCGACAAAAGCCAGACGCTAGCTTCACACTAGTAACGAATCAAGTAAGGTTGAGCGGCTGTGGCAGCGGGAAAGAGACATCACTCCGGGGCTCCAGACTCTTCTCATGAAACATGGCAATGGCCAACAACATCGGGTCCAGTGTCGAAATCATCTCTCGGCAAGTGGCCACCAGACTGTCGAATCACCGTCCTGCAGTCGGCATCTTGTGGCTCCAACACGTCTCCGTGATGGCCCCTACCTACTGCGGCAGGTCGCGACCAAGACTCCTGCAGGGCGCGACCTCATTTGTCCGATTATCTCCACTATGTATCAGTGTAATTGTGCCAAGAGCTACAGCGGGCACTTGCGTACAATGCTATGACATGCGTCACTAGTCACGCCCGTTGCTGAGTGACACCTCGACGTCATTGCTTTCAATGTGCGGGCGTCAAGACACATGCTGAGTCGACTTGTAGCATTGCGCGAGTGAAAGGCTGAGAACATGATCTGAGGTTGAACTTCTAAACGCAAGTAATCAAGGCAGAATTGACTCCTTCCAATCTCGGTCTGGCCTTCCCCGCTGCCGAGAACGATCGCAATCTACCGCGGAGCTTATCAAGGCAACAACCAGAACGTCCACAGTCAAACTGTATCCTCCCCTAATCACCAATTTATGGCCGACTTTCCGAGGTACTTCAACGCTCGCAACACGCTCATCGCCGCTGTAGCCATCACGCTTCTCGGAGGCTACTACATCTCTCAGTCGCCAAGTCCGAGCTCGTTCACTATGTCGCAAACTTCCAGCGAGATCCCGGGGCTGTCGATATCGCTAGCACAGGTCTCAGCAGACCCTCCAACTTTGCGCATTACGCTGAAGAACGAAAACGAAGATACACCGTACACCTTGCTCAAATGGGACACTCCGATGGACGATGCAGCTCTGAACACCGGCGTCTTCAAGATCACAAACGCAGATTCAGGTGCTGAAGTCGAGCAGCTGATCATGCAAATCAGGAGAAGGATGCCTCCGGGGCAGAGTCAGCTCGCGGGTGTCAGGCCAGGAGAGGAAGAGCATCTTGACGTTGTCTTCGACCGACCTTGGATGCCGGACACAAAGCCCGCGAAGTACAAGGTGCACGCCCAAGGGTTGCTGAAGGGCGCATGGGATAAGCTGAGGAGTGAGGTGACGGACGATGAGACAAACGAGTACTCGAAGAGCCCCCTGGCAGGGAAGACGTTCAAGACGAACGAAGTCGAGCTTGTCGTGGAGTAATTCTGTGCCTGGCTATGACTGTTCTCGTGCACTATAAGCAGGATAGATTATAGGACGCTTCTCTTTACATATGGTCGTAGGAGATCCACGCTGACGATTCGAAGAAATATCTTCAAAATATTTACGACGAATTCACTGGCGGGTCTTGTCTGATCTTGTGTCATGAGAGATACATCTTCACCTGGGACAGATGATCAACAAGAGGAGAACAAGAAGAGCTCTTCATGCGCGGTAATCTTCAGCGTTGGCCTATCCATAAATGCTGTCAATACAACGAAAGTTGCGTTTCCCAACTGCTACGCACAAGCAGCCCGTATCCGAATGACCGGAGTGACGTAATGAAGATGCAGATTCGACTTGATCTTGCTCACAGCCACCGCTTGTATAGAGAACAGTATTCAGTCGTCTATGCGAAGTACGAGTATCGGCCTGCTCTCACCCCACCCTTGACGGCGCAACGACAAAACCATCGTCTGTGACGCATTACTTGTTTTCATCACTGGGCATCTTACCCCTCCCACCCTAACCTTCTGTGAATGAAACACTCATTGATTACACTCCGGCGCTGATGACAATGTGCTGGTCCGAATCTGGCTGCCGAGTACGACTGGAACTCGTACTTGAAGGCCACTGCCAGTGGAGTTTTCGCAACGAGAATGGGGACTGTTGGTCTTGCTTGAGCTATACTGCGAGGATTCCCCGCTGTGTCGACAGATCGCTGCCACGATTGGACCGGTTTGGTGTGGTTGTCCCACTCTGACCGGTGGGTTGATTGCGATCTGTGGTAGAACTTCATACAGCAGAGTATCATCGAGCAGGTCCTGACCTGCAAATATGTTATAGAACAGAGCTATGGAGAGCGGTCGCGTTACTGTACTGGGACAGATACTTGCGACGAGGAAGGCAAAAATATATGCTCGCATAGAAATTTCAGATCGCCTCGATGGCATCATGACTGGGGCCAAAACCATGGAAGGTTCTCGACGCCCACTTGGAGGTAAGATGTGGTACAATCATATACCTGGTACCAGCTACGATCCAGATACTCATGGCAAATGTCATGAGCTGTATGCGGTCGAGTGCGCTGTCGATGATTTGGTACCCTTGTCGATCAGTTGATTTAGTTGTGGCAATCGGATTTCGTTACTTACACTCTTAGCTCCGCAAAAGAATAAGGTTTCTTACAGAGGGCACGCTGATGGCGTCAAGTGCAACAGGAAGACAGCGGACGCGTGATCGTCTTTAATCGCAGGACCATGGGGTAAGTAAGACTGCAAGGCTGAACGAGTAGCAAGATCCATGGATAGGTGAGACGCATAGATAATACCGGTAGCAACACGGAAGCGGCTAAGATATCTGGCCGACAGATCCTGTTCCTTTCGGATTCGGATACTAATCTCAACGGCCACTCAGTCTGGACTCCCAAAACTTTTGTTTGATTGAATTTCAGCCACTATTTACGCGGTGTGGAGACGTTCTACGTAAAGTAAATCGTGCATCAAGGCTTTGCTGTGAATCACAATATATCATGAGCACTTGATAGAGAACCGTACACATGATCTCAAAAATCTCAACAAAGTCCTTCGCTCCGCCACTCGAACTTCTGTAGACATCGAGATAGCTTGTTCTGCTTCTGAATTTCTGTACTCTGCGTCATCAGCGTCGCGCAGAGCCTCATTAGTCTGTTGTTTATCGTCCTTAGCCTTAAGAATATCAAGAGTAACCACTATCTCACGCAGTCTCTGACGGCTGGGGTAGGCCTCCTTAGTCTTATTCTTAGATGGTAGGAACACCATGTCTCGCGTTCGTATAACTCGCTGCAGTATAGGCATCGATATCTGATATTCGTCGGGTCATAGCCTACTAGCTGGCCTATAAGCGCTCTCGATGCTAACTTCTCGCCGCGCATCAGCTTAGTGTTCAACGCATACGCTTGAGCTCTGATAGCTGCTAGATAAGCTACTGTTGGCTTGCGTCCGTGTACAACCTCATAAGGCGTCTTCCAAGCTAGTGCTTCTGTAGGTGTTTGATTGGGCAGGTATACAGCTGTGATGCAGCACTTGTTGGATAGCTCCATAGGCAGGTCTCCGCCTATCCTAATAGCTCGCCCCCTTATGACCATGGTGCTGCCAGCTTGTTCTATCAGCCCATTCTGCTCCTTCATCGGGAAAAGTTTTTGAAATCCGGCCGTTACTGACAGTCGCGGCATGGTCGTGCAACGACCGTTCAACAGCCCCAACGGCCCCAATGTTCCAAAACGACGGCTCAACGTTGCCAACGGCCCCAACGCTGAGTGCCCATATTCAACGAGTTCAAAGAGACGTTGCAACGTCTTTCTGTGCCTACCAGCACTAGTACAAAATATCTGAAAATTCTGAAATTTTAGCTACAGAATAAGCTAAAAATTATGGTTAACTATTGTAAAGTTGAATTGTTATAGTCTGCAAAGAAGTTAAAGCGGCTCTTAAAGTTAAGAAAAGTCACACCCTATAGATACAATCCTAGTGTCAAGCCTCAGCTCCGGCCGCTGAGGCAAACTATATCATCCTCTGGACACAGGTCAGAGGTGACTGTGCCACATGCCTTGTCCGTCACGGGTCAGAGGTGGACTTTGCCATATGCCTTGTCCGTCACGGGTCAGAGGTGGACTTTGCCATATGCCCGGCCTGACACCTAGGATGTTTAGTTGCCTAAAATTCTAACAACACAGTTTTAAAGAAGAGCCTATACAAGCTTAGACCTATCTGTAGCTCTAAGTCCTGTGTTGGCTTTGTTCTAGACAGTTTCTAATATGTAGCCTCTTCATATGCAAGGCTTGTTCTTACTTTTGGCGTAGTCCTTTATACAGGACGCTTTGCTTAGCTTTTTAGATTGTATTAAAATACAAATAAGATGCTCCTCTTCTATAAGCTTACATTGTTCTTAGTTATTAATCAGCTCTGTAATTTAACATCTGGCCTGGAAAGAGCATCCTAGAGCGTAATTATGTCATGCCCCATTTGTAACGACGCAGGCAAGAAGAGAGATATCCAGAATAGGTGTGAGCCCGCTACGAGGCATATGGGAGTGCTGGGATGATAAGAACACCAGGATATATTCTCTACACCTATAGGTCTTGTACGAAAGGATACAGAAAAACTACTCTACAATACTACAGTTCCTTGCTCCTTATATATGAGGGTTCGGAGGCAGTTTGGTGCGACCTCATGCCATGCAACAAGGGCCATGGTCATGAGTCGCTGGACCGTACCTAAATGGTATCGGGTCATTGTTCGCAGCGCGTTGTTACACTATTTTTCACAGGAGCTACGGCCTCGAAAGCTTAGTGGACACATTTCACTACCTCATTGAATTCTAAGACTGACTAAACACACAGCCACAAAGATGACTATTAAGAAACTTTGTACTGCTTGCTCCTTTCAATAAGCTGGGTAAGGTGCTTTCCGGCCACCTGTACTTTCCGGCCACCTGTACTTTCCGGCCACCCAACCACTTCGCGTCACCATTAATCAACGTCTTTTTTTCCCACCACTACGTGCTCAAAATGGATGCCCGTGAGACTGCTATACAATTTGCTATCGCTGATCTTATTTCTGGTGTTGAAAAAAGCCAGCGCGCAGCGTGTAAGAAGTGGGGCGTTCCCTGATCGTCGCTCTAAGAGCGCCTTAATGGCAGCAAACCTCACGCGATAGCTTACTCCCACCAACAGTAATTAACTCTAGAGCAAGAGGAATTTCTTGTAAAGTAGATTCTAGATGAGTACTCACGCGCACAGCCTCTATCTCACCCTCGTGTGCGTGAGATGGCTACCTGAATCCTCTGTATGAATGGCGACACCCGCCCACTTGGCAGGCAATGGATACCTTAGTTTCTTGCACGCAATCCACGCGTCGCCTCTATAGTAGGGAGGAAGATTAAGAGCGCGCGTACTACTGCTGCTAATTACAACACTATAAACGAGTGGCTGGAGCTGTTTAGGCGCACCTAAAAGATGCTGAGTATACCCTATAAGAACGTGTGGAGTTTTGATGAGACTGGCGTTGCACTTGGTGTATGTACTAACTAGCAGGTTATCGCAGATGCGAGGAAGAAGAAGGCTTACAATAAATCTCTAGAATTGCGCAAGTGGGTAAGCGTACTGGAGTGTGTGAGCGCAGTGGGTAAGAAGCTACAGTGCGTTGTTATCTTTAAAGGCGTACACCTCCAATCAACGTGGTTTCCCTCAGTTAACACACCTAACTGGCTATACACAACCTTAATAAATGGCTGGACATTAAATGCTATTAGACTTGAGTGGTTAAGGCGTATTTTTATACTAAATACTTCACTATCAGGCAGTGGCTACTGGCTGCTTATTCTTGATGGCTATGGCTCCCACACACCTATTGACTTTATGTGGGAGTGCAAGGAGAATAAGATATACCTTCTCTACCTCCCTGCGCACGCGTCGCACCTTCTTCAGCCTCTAGATCTTGCTCTATTCTCTGTGGTAAAGTTAAGCTATTGGGATGCGATCAGAGCGCTCTCCGCGCTAGGTGACGCAGCACGTGTCAAGAAAGAGCGCTTTGTAACCTTATTTAACTTAGCGCGAGAGGAGGGGCTCTTAGAGAGAGTAATAAGAGCTGGCTGGAAGGCTGCTGGCCTTGTTCCGTTCAACAAAAAGCTAGTACTCAACTCACCTTAGATCACTGGGCGCCCAAGTACACCACCACTAGCAGATCAAGGCAGAGCTCTTCTTAAGGCAGTACTTGCTACACTAAAGAGCTCTTAGCAGCTAAAGCGCGCGCAGCAGGCGCTGCTAGGATCAGAGAACCTCTCGCGAAGCACCTGGGAGGTTCTCACCAAAGCAGCTAAGGCAATTGCTATCACCAACGCTAGAGCTGCTGGGCTAGAAGCTGAGAATAAACAACTTAAATATTAACTAGATAGTACTAAGACCACACAGGTAAGAAAGCGCGTTTAAATTAACCTAAATAAGTGCTTTGCAAACGTTGAAGCAATTAAGGCTGCGATAGCTCTGGCTGCTGCTTAAGAGGCGGAAAATGCTGCCAAAAACCTAGAAAAAGAAGCTGAGAAAGCAGCTAAGGAAGTAGCAGCCTGCACTCTTGATTCTATGTGTACAGTATACCAATTATAAGCGTTGTGGTTAAGTTATCGCGATCTAAAGTGAGGTAGTTACATTTGGTTGGGTGGCCGGAAAGCACCTTACCCAGCTTAAGTGAGTGAGATGAGCGTCAAAAAAGGCAAAAACATACAACAGCGGGTATTCGCTAGTGGTCACCCACCTAACTACTAATCCACCGGTACGTTGCTTAAATAGGGCTGAGCGAACGGGAAGCCTTGTTTTCAACGTCCTATGGTCGTATGTGGAAGATATGAAGAGAAATCATGTATATAATCTTATTTTGCTATAAGATATTACCGTGGCATTGCTCAATGGTTTACCTCCGCGGTTGCCAAGTCCTGCTCCAGCGTTCTCTAGCCTTTGAAAGCATTTCGTCATCAGTGTTGCTAAACAAGGTTGCCTCCTGTCTTGAAAGCTGCACGCTTATAACCCTGGCCTTCGGGGATGGACCATCCATCATACGACTTGTAAAATCCATCGAGCAGTGACAGGCGGCGCTATTCATCGTCGTGGTTTTGTCATGGCGTTCGTTGTCACCTTGAGCGGGAGAGGGCGTTGTGTTGAATCTTCGCACCCGATGCAAGATCCCACTCTTTCCCCAGACCCCAGAGCCGGTCGGACTCCAAGTCCAAGCGCGTGGTTCTGGACTTCAATATCCGCGTGTGCTAGTAAAAACCATTACACATAGAAACTCTGCAGTGGAGTCTTCCCCAACTGTCAAAGCACAATCCGTGCGCGGACCCCGCAGACCTGCAAAAGTTTCGAACATCGAGATAAGACTATCGAGGCGCCAACAGCAGCGAAGGATTGAGGTGCGACACAATACTGTGTGTGCATATTGTGATCGCAGGCGTGGTGTTTCGGTGGTGGGCAACAGTGGGGCCGGGACAAGTACTCGAAGGAGGGATTTTCGGGTGCAGCAGGAACAGGTACTTCATGATTGAACGAGCACCCCAGATTGAGCAGAACCAGCATCAAAGACCCAGGGTGTAGTTATGGTGAGCGCCTCCAGGTCCGAGCTCCCGCGAAAGTCATCAGAAGGGCCGAGGACGATGAACTGGAAGCAGGTCAGCCGAGGCCACGTTCGCGCGGAATCGACAGGAACGGCATTCACTGCGTCCGTTCGCGTTCAATCGATTGCGGCAGAGGGCATTGCGTAAATTGCGCAATCGAGTCGTGGTGTAAGGCGTCCATGAATGCAGACTGCTCTGAAGCTATGTTGAGCTATTTGCAAAGATAACGGTAGAGCTTCAAGCGCGTCAAAAATAGCGCTGAGATTGTCAATCAACCCAACAGCGCACCCACTAATCGTCGCCGGCATAAGCAGCTGGGTGTTCTCTGCATCTCGCTGATGCGAACGAGGCAAGGCCCGCCGCACCTAATTATTATTGCAGCGAATACGAGAAATACACCCGAGAGCTGCAACGCCCGCCTCTCCACCTTCACCCTGATCAATGTGGTCGCGTGCATGGTCTCGACGCGCGTAGTTGATGCAGAGCTGCGCTCGACGATCTGGAGCCGTTCATGACTTGCGCGGTAGGTGAAGCCCTTGTGCTGGAAGGCAGAGCAGCTCGGTTCTATAGGGCTCGTTTGGCCCAACGGAACGGTGTTCGGTATACGATGTGTAGCTATTCCCGCTCCCAAGAAGGCAGGTAGCGTTGCAGTGTTTGCGTGCAATGATCGCAGTGGGGTACTGTAAGACGAGCGCCGCTAACACCTGCTGCGATCCTCTCACACCTCACACAACAACCACCGCCTGAGCTTCTCGAACACCTCTCAACGGCAGTTTATTATTATCGTATGTTCGTGTTGCTTTTTCCAAAACTGCGCAGGAAGCGAATAGCCCATGCATGTAGAGGGCTGATATCACCGCCGATCAGACCGCAGGCAACGGACGGGACTACTGTCTGACATTCCAGAAGGATTCCTTATCAGGGTGGCTGACCGATGCTTTCATGCAACAACCATGGGCCAATCGATAGTGGCAGCTGTCTGCCGCGCGACGCAAGTGGTCCAGATGATCTGCCACCTGCCTGAAGCGCCCAGACCAAGCTAGTGTGCCACGCACTCTTCGCGAAGCTTGTCTTGATGCCAAATTGCGCCTCTCAACGAGGCTGCGTATCACCATCCGCCCCCGTCGCAAGTCGCTTTGCCTGTCGCGTGCCTCGAGAGATGACAGCAAAGTTCGAGTGCCGCTCTTATCTTCATCGCGGCCCTATAGAGGAACCGGGGGGCCGAGCGCTGTCACCAAGTTTGTGCGGAAGACCCCACGTCGGATGCTCGAGTTGCTAGTCGTCCGTGACCCTGGCTCTGGCTGCGACTGTAATTCAGCCATTGGTCCACCCTTATCAAGCGTCGTGAGAAGCCTTACCAGCTGCAGCAATTCATGGCCGAAATGCGTGCGAAACGGCGTCTCCGGGACCCTGGGGCAGTCCATGCCGTCGCTAGTCTGAAATCGCTGCCATACCATGGAGCCCGTGCATCTGTTATTCGGCATCGAGAGGGCGACACGGACAGTCTAGGTTGAGATGCCAGCGGTAGGCCAAAGATATAACATGTGCCTTGTGTTCCCGCTTGCAAGGTACTCTCTCCAGAGGCATCAGACTTGACCTTCTCTTTGCGCAATTGCGCCCGTCTCCTCTCTCAAAGATCTTCTCAGGGTCGAGTCCTCCAGTCCACACCCCTCACCCATCTTCATCATGTCGGCCACTGACGAGAAGAACCAATATGACATTGGCGGTGCTGAGTCGTCCACCCACGGCATCAAGGACATTGTCCACGATAGGGGCAACGCCGTCGGCGAAGCTGCGGACCTGTACGGCGACGTTGAGACAGCCGAGCAGTACGGCTACGTTCAGCGTGGCCTCAAGTCGCGCCACATCCAGTTCATCGCTCTCGGTGGTACCATCGGTACTGGTCTCTTCCTCGGAATTGCCGGCGCTTTTGCCCACGCCGGTCCCCTCTCTGTCCTCCTCGGTTACACCATCACTGGTGTCGCTGTCTTCGGAATGATGCAGTGTCTCGGTGAGATGGCGACATGGCTTCCTCTGCCTGGTGCTCTCCCCCAGTACTGCGCTCGTTACACGGATCCCGCTCTTGGCTTTGCTGTCGGGTAAGTACACTCCGTTGAATCAACACTACCCTGGCTGACCAGAATAGCTGGAACAACTGGTACCAGAGTGCCATTACTCTCTGCGCTGAAATTTCCGCTGCCTCACTTGTCATCGGTTACTGGGACCAGGAAGGCAAGATCTCACCCGCTGTGTGGATCTCCATCATCCTCGTCATCATCATCGCCCTGAACATCTTCGCTGTCGGCATCTATGGCGAGGCTGAGTTCATTTTCGCGTCGGTCAAGATCATCACCATCCTCGGCCTGCTCATCGTCGCTTTCGTCATCATGCTTGGCGGCGCTCCGGACCACGATCGCCGCGGCTTCAGGTACTGGAAAGAGGGTGCGATGAAAGAGTACGTTGGAACCGGCGCCACTGGTCGCTTCACCGGTCTTTGGTCCACCCTCGTTAACGCTGCCTTCTCGTACGGTGGTGTCGAGATGGTCGCCGTCGCCGCTGGTGAGGCTGCCAACCCCCGCAAGAACATTCCCAAGGCCGTCCGTCGTGTCTTCTGGCGTATCCTGTTCTTCTACGTCCTGGGTACCTTCATGATCGGTGTCACCGTCTCCAGCAACGACCCCGCTCTGACCAACGCAAACGCCAAGGGAGCTCAGAGCTCCCCATGGGTCATCGCCATGAAGAACGCCGGTATCCCAGTCCTGCCCCACATCATTAACGCTGTCATCCTGACATCTGCGACCTCGTCCGGCAATGCCTTCTTGTACTCTGGCTCGCGTTACATGTTCGCTCTCGCCCAGAACAGCCAGGCTCCCAAGTTCTTGTTGAAGTGCAGCAAGACCGGTGTCCCGCTATACTGCGTCTTGGTCACCGCTTCCATCGGTCTCCTCACCTACATGAGCGTCTCCACTGGTGCCAATACCGTCTTCTTGTGGTTCCAGAACCTTACCACCATTGCCCAGCTCTTCACTTGGTGCTCTATCTGCTACACCTACACCCGCTTCCACGCGGCTCTCATTGCCCAGGGCGTCGAACGCGACACACTGATATTCAAGAGCAAATGGCAGCCGTACACCGCCTGGATCGCCTTTGTGTACTTTGGTCTGATCATCATCTTCAACGGGTTCAAGGTGTTCACCGAGACCAAGGGCGGTTGGGGCTCCAGCGAGCTGACCGACTTCTTCACGGCGTACGTTGGTGTCCCCATCTTCGTCATCCTGTACGTTTTCTGGAAGGTCTTCAAGCGTACCAAGTTCGTCAACCCTGCCGAGGCCGACATCTGGTCGGGCAAGGCTGCTCTCGATGCTGAGGTCTGGCCTGAGCAGATCCCCAGGAACGCTCTCGAGAAGTTCTGGTTCTGGCTGTGCTAAGTCAAGCTTGCGTCTGTCCGTCTTTGTTCGAAGCGGGCCATACCCATGTATACATAGTATATCTTCCTTTGAATGTTAGACCTACCTCATATCCCGACTATCGTGTATCGTGTTTTTGTGTGTTGGTGTGACGGTTATTGTGTGCGTGTAGAAACTGTCGCGCTCGGACGCCGCGCCCTATGATGTACATCTTGACAAGCGACTGACTCATCAATAGACATTTGCTATTGTACGAGATGGCGTATACTCATAGGGAGATCGCAGTGGAAAGACTTGCTTTTATGAGGGTGTAGATGACTCCGGTTGCCGTGTTTCCCGTCGGACAGCTCCTCCAAGTTGCGACCGTGCTATCGCGTACTCCGAACACTCCGAGAAGCACTTCGCGAAGTGTTACCCCGATGTAGAGTGGAGGCCATAACGTGAAGAACTGAGCTCCCTAACGACTTGTTCGAGACGTTACCTTGATGTTTGCAGATGCTATGGAAATGCGGAAGTGTTCCATGTGGACGGATCTGGGATTGACACAATTCTTGTCATCGACAGGATCAGACTCGATCATTCGAGACCTCAGTCGAACGCTCGAAGTGCGATGGACGAACTCTGTGAGGCTGCAGGCGTAAGTGGCGGCGGGCGCGCGAAATGGACCCACTCATCTTAGCCTGACTGGGTATGGTCTATCGCCTATGCCGTCCGCGTAAGGCGGCTTCAATCAGCGACAATTAACAACGTCAATACGCAACGCAACTCTGTCGCACACAACTGCGCTATTGGTGACTCTATCGCTGTCGCCGGGTGCAATATCGCGACCAATACTTTCCTATGCGCCTCTACACCCAAATACGCCAGCGTTTTTCTACTTCCAGGCCGACGATGTGACAGTAAGGCAGCATTAGCGAGACAGTGCGGTACGAAACATCATATCAATCTCCTTCGCAGTGTCTGTGTCAGTGCATGTAGATATACCAGACTGTCAACCATCCCCAACCATGTCACACCAGATTACCCGATCGCCGGAGCAAGAAGGAGCCGGGAATCTGCTAGCCATGCTCAATCAACCGCCGAGCAGACCGGAGGGATATCAGCCCAGGAGACCTGATCAAGCTCTGAACAGAGCGTGCGAAGCCTGTCGAACATCGAAGGTTCGATGCCTGGCTAACCCGGACCTCAAATCGAACGTGTGCCAACGATGCGCCAAAGCTGGGAGATCGTGTGTCTTTGCACCGCCAGTCAAGAGGAGACAGAGGAAAAGGACAGACGTGAGAGTCGCAGAACTCGAAAAAGAGATCAAGAAGATGCAGTCGCTCATAAAGGGCCCCAACCAGTCTATGTCCGGCGCCAGCGACCACGAGTCTGCGGATGACGAGTCCGAGAAGTGTAATGATGCAGAAGAGTCTCCGTCACTCGAGTCTCAGAGACACGGGAGCACAACGACAACGACATCAGCATTCACGCATCACTGGCCCAATGTAGTGGGCCTCAAGTCCCCGGGAGACGCTGCAGCTCCCGCTCCTGCGAGCAATTGCGGCCCCAGGGACCTGCTTGGGCCCGTCGACGACATCATCGATCGTGGCGTGATTACGCAGGAACTCTCAGAGGAGCTGCTCAACATCTGGCGCAACGATCTGGTCGCTGCAAGCCCCGGCATCTCCATTCCAAGAGACTGGACGGCGATGGATCTGAGGCAGAAGAAGCCGTCTCTGTTCTATGCCATAATGGCAGCAGCGGCACATTCGAAAGGTTCCATGCTGTCGGACAAGCTGCACGAGGAAGCAGTCTACCTGTACGCGCGCACTGCCTTCATTAACGGCGAGAAGTCGGTGCAGACCATACAAGCACTGCTGGTGACGGTGGCATTCTACTCGCCGCCAAAGACACCAGGGCAGCTGCAGATCTACCAGTGGGTGAACATGGCAGCCAGCATGGCGCTGGAGCTGGGGCTTGCGTCGAAACCGCGAACGCACGAACAGCTCCCGAAACGGGCTATTCGATCACTACAGAAAATCTCGTCGCCGGAGGAACTACTCGAGCACTGTCGAACCGTGCTCTACCTGTACGTTGTGTGCGCAGGATTCTCCATGAGGCTGAAGCGGCCGAACATACTTCTATTCAACAGCTGGATGGAGGAGTGCTTGACGATGCTGGAGAAGTCGCCTCTGCAAAACGACCAGCGCACTCTGGCATGGCTCAAGCTCCAACGCATAGCAGACGAAGCAAACACAGCGTTCGGCTTCGACGACGCGAGCACCAGCTTCAGCCTTTCAGAGCTGCGCATGCAGATGATCCTGCGCATCTTCGAGCGCAGGATGCACGATTGGAAGAAGTCAGTGCCCAAGAACGTCTTGAGCTTGTCGCTAACAATGGAATACCATCAGAGTGGGTCGTCGCTAAGCTAAGGCTACAATCACTAACGACTACAGACATGCTCTCGATGTGGGAATTCGGCATGGACGGCGGCCGCTACGACGTGACCGAGTTCCGAAACCGCCATCTCACGCTGCCCGCCCTCGACGACGATTCCGTGCAGCCCGAGTCGCTCCTGTCGCGCTCAGCGCTGCAGATCAACGCCACGACAAAGTGCATCATCGAAGCACACGCTATCCTCGAGTGCTTCATCCAGATCCCCACCGACACTTTGCAGAAGGCGCCCAACCTGCTCTTCGTGCGCGCCATCTACGCGCTGGTGGCGCTCATGAAGGCAGACTACGCCGTCGGCACCGACCCCGAGATGGGCGAGATCCTCGACTCGCAAAGCCTCAAGGTCGACTTCTACCTGCAGACGGTGCTGAAGAAGAGCTCGGCCGCCATTGGGCCGCAGAAATGCCGCATGCCCACGCACTGGACGTTTGTGCTCGAGGTCAAGCTGATGTCGTGGCGCGATGAGTATCTCGAGTGGCGCCGCGCAGGCCGGCACCTCAAGCGGAGGAAAGTCCACGACGGAACCAACGCAAACACAAGCACGGCGCGGTCGCCGAGATTCGCAGCGCACAAAGACAAACACCAGCCCCACGAGCCCGTCTCCCAGACCCAGGCTGCGCCCGACCCGCAGCGCCACCTGCAGCCGCAGCACGCCACGCTCGCGGGCTCTAGCTTCGGGCTCTCGACGCCGTACGCGTGGACGGCGGGCATGGCGACGGGAGAGCCGTCGTTTACGCCCGACATGGGCGACTTCTCCGCGGCGTTCCAGAACGGCGACTTGTATCTGTGGAACGACGTCAACGACAACTTTGGCGGCTGGATACCGCAGGGCGGCAGCTCGTACACGGACATGGGCTTCGGGCCGCTGAACGGGGGGGAGTACTGAATGAATGAAACATAAATTACGCTTGTTGTGTAACTAGTGTATACAGGTTTTGTACATGATCATGATAGAAGCCGCACGACAAGATCATGATGTAAGCCGCACGACAAGATCATGATAGAAGCCGCACTACAACTACTTTCACCGCGCAGCACCACCCAACCACGCCCCGACGTCGTCGGTGAGTTTCTGCGCACGACTCCGCCGCGCCAGTTTCCGGATCGCCGTGGGCGCGCCAGCGGCGTACTTGCGCACCCCCGCCCGCCCGACGACGTGCTTGCGCACCTTCTTCCAGCCGCCGAGCAGCACGCGCCGCGGGCCCGTGCGGCGCGAGTCCACGTTGCCCAGCGAGCGCCGCGTGTGGTGTGCCGTCCTGCGCTTCCGTCCCGCACCCTCGCCTGGCGCAGACGGCGACGGCGATGGCACGCGCGTAGGTCGCCGCGACGCGCCCGAGCGCGGGCGTATACGGGCGCTGTGGGCGCTGATCAGGACCGGTGCGCGTGGGAGGAGGGCGCGTGTCTGCGCGGACAGGATCTGGGCGCGCTTGATGACGCGCGATGCGCGGGCGCGCAGCGCGAGCAGGCCGTGTGCGCGGGAGAGACGTGGAGGGGTTCGTGGGAGTGTGGATGGTGATTGGGAGGGAGGGGAGAAGCTGAGAGCGAGGGATCGCATGGTGAAGGATAGCCCGGCGGGGTGGCGGTGGGGGAGGGTTCCGCGGCGGCGGCTGGATGCCGTTCGTCTGAAGGCCGGTCGTTGGGGGGTTGTTCGCCTGAACCGTGGTGTCTCGGCGTGCGGCGTGCCGGCCCTGGCGACGGTCCTGGCGACGTTGCTCTTGCGTCTGCGCCTCGCGGGACCCTGCGACCGCGCCTCGCGCCCCGTGAGCAGCCTGATCTGCTCCGCCAGGAACGCTATGTACTTGCCGCTCAGCTGCACGCTCGCGGCGCACTGCTCTGCCGTCCTGTCCTTCTTCCCCAAGACCTTGCGCACCGTGCGTGAGCCCATGTCTGTGCCTGTGCCTGTGCCTGTATCTGTATCTGTGCCCCATGTCTTTTGGCTGCGCTTCTTCGCCGGCAGGTCCTTCACCGGCAAGTCCTTCACCGGCAAGTCCTTCACCGGCAAGTCCTTTGCTGCCGCGCGCACGACGCGCACGACGCGCGCATACCCGCGCCACAGGAAGCTCTCCAGCTTATCAAAGTCGAGCCGATCTTCGCCGTTGGCGCGTTCGTGCGCTGTCCGCGGGGGAATCTCCCCTCTGGCCTGGCGGAGGAGGCGGGGGAGCGTGCCTGGGGATGCCGGCGCACGCGCTCTTGCCGCTTGCTGTCGTCGTGGGTTTCGCCCGGGTTCGGGGTCCCTGAAGATCTTCCTCATGGGCAGCCCGGGGTCGTTGACAATCTTCCTCGTGGACAGCTCGGGGTCGTTGACAATCTTCCTGATGGACAGCCCGGGGTCGTTGACAATCTTCCTCATGGGCAGCGTCGGCGCGGCCGCGTCTGCGCCCGTAAAAGCGTCCCAGCGCTTCAGCAGGCGTTTGCGGCGGCGGCGCGCGTGGGATTTGGTGGATAAGCTGCGTGGGCTTTTGGTGGAGAAGCTGCGCGGGGACTGCGGGTCGTGGCCGAGGTCAATGTGCAGCGAGCCCGTTGGCCGTTTGGGAGCCGTGGCGATGCCGTGTCTCTCGGTCTTGGGGCGTCTACTGCTGCTCCCGTGTCTTTCCGTCTTCGAGGTGGGTGGTGTGGCGGGGATTTGCGTCTTGATTCGGCGAACGAGAAAATCGGGGTCCTTTTGCCCGCCTCTCTGCACGTCGTCAAAGTGCCTGAGCACTCTCCTGATGGCCGCTTTCTTCCAGGCCGGCCGTTCTGGATCCGCGAGCGCCGCTCGGGCGAGAGCGGAGGCAGTTGGTTCGTTCTCAGCGGAGGCGGTTGGTTCGTTCTCAGCGTGTGGAGACGAGTCTGGATTTGCCTTGGTTCGCTTGGTGGATGTCTCGCTGCTGTGCTTGGAGGGCGGGATGGACGGTCGTGTGCACGGCGTCCAAGTCGAGAAGCCACGCGTAGACAACTACACGGCATTAAAAAAAACGACTTGTTGTTGTCTACAGAGGGCTACTTGCATCGAATCTGCCTTTTGCCAGTGTGAGTCGCTTGAACGACTTGGGCCATGTCTGCAACGTCTGCAACCTCTTCGCGTCGCTTTGCGTCTGGAGTCTGGCACCTGTCTCTGAGACGAGTCTGGCGCCTGTCTCTGGGACGAGCCTGGCGCCTGTCTCTGGGACGAGTCTGGCGCCTGCCTCCGGGACGAGTCTCATGGCAGACCAGCGTGCGAACGGGACATTGATCGTCGTCGTGTTCACGTCCTCCTTTGCAATTCCAGTCCTCTCGTCCATGTCGCGACCGTGCATGAGCGTCAGCCCGCCTTCGGTGAGCGCGCCAAATGTGCCTCTGTGGACTGTAATCTCCCCGGCGGGCCCCGAGGGGTGTTGCGGGGAGTCGGCGGGGATGGAGTCTATGGTGCTGGGGATGACGCCAAACTCCCAGGTCCATGGCTTCTTCTCCCAGGTCCATGGCTTCTTCTCCAAAGTCCGCTGCTTCTTCTCCAAAGTCCGTTGCTTCTTCTCGCCAGAGCCCGAGGGCAGCTCTTCATTCGAGAAGTCGTGCGCGTCCGGCTCGGGCTCCGGGGCTACTGCCGGGGAAATGAAGAACTGTATGTAGTCGCCGTCGTTGACGACGGGCCTCAGCGCCGTCGAGAACTCGTCCACGCTGTCAAAGTCGTCGTCGTCGTCGGTCTCGGGTGCTCGCTCAGGCTGCGGCGGGCCAGTGGGCATGGGATCGAGGGACAGCAGGCCGGCCTTCTTGCCCCATCCACCGCCGCCGCTGAGGACCTTGTGCAGACGCGCGCCCCGGCCGCAGGCGAGGTCGACTAGCGTGTTGCATTGCGGTGGATGCGCGCGCCAGAGCAGCTCAAGGGCGTGTTGCTGGCAGCGTGCCATCTCCTCCTTGTCCATGGACTCGAAGCCCTCGGGGCCGGACGCTGAGTCGGACGCTGAGTCGGACGCTGAGTCGGACGCTGAGTCGGACGCTGGGTCGAACGCTGGGTCGGATCCAAGGCTGGCACACGCTCTCGTCAAGATGCGCGCCACCCCCTCGGACATGACCAGCGCCCAGGCCGAGGTGGCGCGGGGCGACTCGCCGCGCGTTTTGAAGTAGCGCGGCACGACGTCCTCCAGCTCCGTGGACGCAGTCATGTGGTTGCCGTCGCCGTCAATGAGTCGGCGGATGATGTTGCCCATGTGGCCGTCCACCTGGCGCGGCATGGTCAGAGGAAGCAGCGGGACGCCGAGTGCTCGCACGTCCTGGTGCCGGGGCGAGCCGAGACGCTGTGCGGACAGATGGACGGCAAGCGTCTTGCGCTGCTCGCGCGACCTGAGCTCCAGCCTGCCGCTGCTTGACGGCGCCCACGACGAGCTGATCAGGGTGGCGGGCGCTCCTGTCTGGAAGACGGTGTTGGCGAGCGGCACGCGCAGTCTGTCGTGGCACCGGCCGCCTCCCACGGCCACGGTCTGCGCAACAAAGTCGATGCAGCCTTGGTCTCCGCTGACGGGCGGCTGTGCGGACAGCAGGGCGTCGCGGGGGAGCGCGACGTAGGCGATGCCCTCGACGCCGGCCTCGTTGACGGGCGGCCGGCACGCGCGGCGGTACAGTTGCTCTGCCACTGCATCGCGCCCCAGTTCCTCTGCCACCGCATCGCGCCCCAGTTCCCCGCCCGTGTAGGCGGCCTGCGGCAGTCTGTCGACGACGGCGCAGACGGCGTGCACGGGCGCGGGCACGGCGAGGTTGCCGTACAGCTGAGCGAGGGCTTTCTCCAGGAACACCCTGTCGTCGAGGAGCCAGGTGGCAAACGACGGCGTTGCGAAAAAGACGGCGAGGCCGTGGGTGCGTGCGGCGTCGGCGGCGAGCGGCTCCATCTTGTCGACAAAGTGCGCGGGCGTCTGTGGCGGTCAGCAGGCGCCGTGTGGGGGCTCAGCAGCAGGCGCCGTCCAAGGACTCGGGCGCACTCACGGCGGCAGCGACAGACGCAGGCACCAGGACGGCGCTGGCCACGGAGCCAGTGTCGATGACCTGGTTCGGCGCCCTCGCACGACTGGCCCGCGCATCGCCCCGCGCGCTGTTCCGCGTAATGGTGAAGCCCGCGCCGTCCTCTCTGCGCTCCGAGACGCGGACGGCGGTCGTGGGCGGTCCGCCGAACGAGTTCACGGCGTGCTTCCGTATGAAGCGCCTCAGCGGCGGCGCGGCTTCATCCGCATACGACCGCGTCGTCGCGCGGGCAGCAGGCACAGGCAGCAGCAGCGGCGGCGGCCCGGCAGCGCGCAAGAGTCGGCATTGTCGTGCGACCAGGAGCGTCATCGGTCGGGCTCAATGGGCGCGGTGGTGGTCGTGGGGGCGGACATGGGCGTCGCGGCGCGTCGTGCAGTCGATGAGGTCAAGACGGGCGACCGTCTCGCTGACTAAGCAGCCCGTCGCGACAGCACACATGCGAGCCTGCCACCCGCAAGGGACGGCCGCGCCATATTCGTCCTCACGTCTGCCGTGCACGCCCATTGCTGAGCCTGCAGGTCGCTCGCCAGTCGCATCCCATTCCCCGCCGAGCGCCGCCGCACTGCCCGGCGTTGACACGTTGCCCGCGAGTCCCCCCCTCCCCCCGTTGCCCGCCTCCTGAGCCGTTGCCGTCGCCGTCCATTCTGGGATTCTGATGCCCCCGGCGTAGACGACGCACCTCCTGGCCCGCCGCCATGTCACGCGCCTTCCGTCGCTCGAATCCCATCACGCTCGTCCTCGCCGCCGTGCTCTGCGTCGGCTTCGTCGTCTTCTTCTTCTCCGGCGGCGATGCGCCCGCCTTCAGCAAGAAGAGCGCGGGTGGCGAGACGGCGTCGAGCGCCCTGTCGCCGCCCACGCTGCCGTTCCGCAAGGCGCGGGAGGGCGCCGTGCAGGTCGCGCCGCCCGTGGTGCACTACTACATGAACAACGTGACGACGTCGCGCACGCCCGCGGAGAATGGGGAATCGGTGCTCATCCTCACGCCGCTCGCGCGCTTCTACGACGGGTACTGGGACAACCTGCTCAAGCTGAGCTACCCGCACCACCTGATCTCGCTCGGGTTCATCATCCCCAAGACCAAGGAGGGCAACGCGGCGTACGCCGCGCTGCAGGCCGCCGTGACCAAGACGCAGGGCGGGGCCAAGGCAAAGCGGTTCGCCGCGGTCAGCATCCTGCGCCAGGACACGGAGATACCGCTGGCTTCGCAGGACGAGGCCGAGCGGCACAAGATGGCGAACCAGAAGGCGCGCCGGGCGGCCATGGCCAAGGCGCGCAACAGCCTGCTCTTCACCACGCTGGGCCCCACGACGTCGTGGGTGCTGTGGATGGACGCCGACGTGGTGGAGACGCCCGGGTCGCTGATCCAGGACCTCGCCGCCTACGACGTGCCCATTATCGCGCCAAACTGCTTCCAGCGGTACTACAACGACGACAAAAAGGCCATGGACGCCCGGCCGTACGACTTCAACAACTGGATCGACTCTGCGACGGCCCGCGACCTGGGCGCCAAGATGGGCAAGGACGACATCCTGCTCGAGGGCTACGCGGAGATGGCCACCTACCGCAGCCTGATGGCCTACATGCACGACCCGGCCGCCGACGCGGGCGCAAAGGTCAAGCTCGACGGCGTGGGCGGCGCCACCCTGCTGGTCAAGGCAGAGGTCCACCGCGACGGCGCCATGTTCCCGCCCTTTGCCTTTTACCACCTCATCGAGACCGAGGGCTTCGCCAAGATGGCCGCCCGCCTGAACTGGGACGCGTTTGGGCTGCCCAACTACCTGGTCAGTCGTCTGTTCTACATGCCAAGCTGCGCTAACAACTGCAGGTCTACCACTTCAACGAGTGACACGAGCGTCGTCTTCCACGAGCGTCGTCTTCCAACAGTGTCGTCTTCCAACAGTGTCGTCTTCCACGAGTGAATAGGAGGTCTGTCTGAGCGGGCACTGGGCGGCGTTTAATCGGACCATTCATGTACTGCACGATTCAGTATGCCACACTATTCAATGTACCACACATCATCATGTACCACACATCATCATGTACCACACATCATGTACCACAACTAGATACACACTCCAGCTTGCAGGCAAGAATAGCGCAAAACACGAATAGACCAAGACATGCAAAGCAAGTAATCCCGTCAGAGCAGTAATGAAAGGGGTATCTCGACACAACACAAAGGCGTGGAACGCGTCGCTCCCACCGACCGCAACGCCTGTCGTAGTCGTCGAGTAAGCACAGTCCCCAACGCAACAAAAAAGAAAAGAAGAAAAAAAAAACACTCCTTCGCTGCGCAAAATCTGTCCCCCCCAACGCCGGTATATGCAACCAAAAGAAAGCCTCGCAAGTGCATCGCCGTGCACTGTCGAGTTATATGACCCCCTATCCACACCCGTGACCTGGCCTCGCTTGCTCACAGCTCCATGCGGTCCATGATGCTTGACATGATCAACCCCTTATACACCCGCGACCTGGCCTCGCTTGCTCACAGCTCCATGCGGTCCATGATGCCCTGGCTCATCGTGCGCACCCCACTCTTGCGCCGGTGCATCTCCACCAAACTCTCCACATCACTATCGCCCTCGCTCTCGTAATAATCGGCGTCCATGCTCATCTCGCGGATCGGCACGAACCCGTCCTGGTCCGCGTCGACGACCTCGCCGGGGTGGTCGATGACCATGTTATCCAGCTCGTCGCTGTCGCCGTACGCCTCGAGGCCCTTCTTGGCGCGCTCGCCCAGCCAGTACTCAGCCCTCTTGCGCGATCCCGCGTTGGTGCTCGACTCAATCTTGGTCTGCTTGAACCTGCTCATGAGCGACATGGACATGCTGGGACTCGGCGACAGCGCAGAGATGCCGCGCAGGTAGAAGTAGCTGACGCGCTTCCGATCGCGGTTGTACAGGAAGAAGTGGTGGCTCCAGATAGCCCCATCGTCGGCGAACGGGTCGTCCGACGGCTCCCACCCGTAGTATTCGCAGCTGGCCATGTCCATCTCGCTGTCGAGCAGCTGCCACGATCGGGGACTCCAGATCGGTGACCCGAGCGGCGTGACCGCGCCTGCGGGGAGCCCAGCCGAGTACACCTGGGGACGGAGGTAGTACATGGTCTGGTCGATCTTGTGTATGAAGCTCTGCTGCGTTTCGCGGCGGAACTCGTCTGGGTTTAGCGTGTTGGCGAAGTCGTAGTCGATGTGCGTCGCGTTGAGTGTCGCGATAAGGTACGCAAACGTATGTCTGTTCGACGCCTCGTTAAAGCTGCCAAACGGTGTATCCCTCTCTGCGTCGATGTCATCAGCGAATTGCGCAGCCGACTGCGCGGACAGGTCTGCGATGGCCGCGAGGTGGTCTCTGTGTCGGGCTTCGAGCGTGTTCTCGATGCGCTTGTAGAGCTTTTTATCGCTGCCGGCTGCTTTGACCGTCCAGAGGTCGCACCCGCCGATGATCGCTGTGTCTTGCGTGTCGAAGTTGAGCGCGAGGTTGACCTCGTGGAGGGCGCACAAATCAAGGTACTGCCGATCGCCCGTCAGTTACATCATCACACGCCAGGACGCGTAGAAAGGCATGTTGCACGCACCTTCATCGTGTCGGATCGGGTTCCTAGCTATCGCTGAGGATTGCTGATGATAGTGCGACTGTTTTGGGATGCTCGAGGCTTTGTGACAGCGTGCCGAAGCTGCTGCTTTGTAGGTGCTCCTTGTCGTGGGGTGGGCCTGCGCGAGCCGATGCAACAGATAGCAACAACTCTAGGCTGGCTGCGGAGAGGTGGAGATACTGTTGAAACGGCCAGACAGTCGTCTAGCAGGCGAGGGACATGTAATTATCGAGGGCAGTGTGGTGTGAGGCCGATTGCAGGTACGTCGTCGGGGAGCGGTGTTGGGAGCTGACTAAAGCGGCAGTGCCAGCGTGGTTCGGGTCCCCCTTCCTGATTGGCCCGAGAACAGCCGACTGCGGCACCTCCTGTCGACCAACGAACATCTGGTGACGGACGGAATGGGACGGCGAGGGGTCCTGAGTGGTGTCGCAGGAGCTGTTAGTCGTTTCGGCCCTGGGCCATGTGGATTGTGAGCGATGACGATAGCTGGCAGAGCGAGCACATGAAGAAGCGGACAGTAGCATTGGCTGCCTGGCAATGAGCTCCTGAGGAGTTCGGCAACGATGTATTGATTGATAGAGGCTGGGTTCTGGGAGAAGGACCAATGCTGATCCGAACCACTGCTGTCACATGTGCATGGAGTGCAGTATGCTGGTGTAGTCTGTAGCTAGATAGTTGAGCTTGTTAGACCAACAACAGAAGAGAAGAGAAAGGGAGAGCCAGAGAGCAATCTCGATAGCATGACATTGTAATCACGTTCGAGTCCCACAGACCGCTAACGCCAAACCTGCTGGACGAGCCCAACGCTCGCCAGACTGGGGTGTATAGTTGAAGTAGATAGAGTACAGCCATAGTCGTCCGCGTGTCACGGCAGGACGACTGGTGGTGCGTTCTCCTGTCGCCATGATCTCTGCATCGTGTAACTCCGTGCTCGATGCGCCGTTCGCCGTGCAATGCTGTCCCTGTGCCTGCAGTGCTACAAGATGCCGCTGTCACGCAAGCGTCCCCTGAAATCCTCTGCTGTCTGGTGCCGGGGACGACACGGTCAGTGATGGTTCATGCTTCTCTTCGAAACAGGCCAACGTCGACATGCTACATAATCTTTGAGTGGATGTCGTCCTCGGCCTGAGGAGCGGCGGGCGAGTGTCAGCCACATGGCGCTCACGGCGTGTGGGAGAGAACGAAGATCAAGGGCCCATTTCGCTCACCTCCATGTCCTCTAGGCTATCCTGCTGCCCAATGCAGCGCAGCACGTTCTTCTTGCTGCTCTCTTGCATCTCGCCGGCCAGCAGCAGCTCGTCGAGGATGAAGTAGGCCTTCTGGAAGTTGAAGATGATGTCGAGCTCGCACACGTTGCCGTAGTACTTGTCCATCTGCTCGACGTAGCGGTGGACAATCTCGAGGGTGATCAGCTCATTGTCGGTGGAGTCGCAGCCGGCGATGAAGAAGAGCGAGGCGTATCGGCGATATACGATCTTGGTGTCTGGCAGATTGTGTGAGCCTAGCGAAGAGCTACCCCTGCCGGACCCACCGCCTACCTTTGTACTCGAGGAAGTTGCACATGCGCGTGCGGCGGGCGAGGACGAGCTGCGAGACGTCCTTGACGATTTTGGCCTTGTCCTTGGGGGCGAGCGTTGTGAACCACTTGGCAAGGCGCTGCGAGCTTCAGCAGATGCTTGGTGCGTCTAGGGTGAGGTACCAACCACTTTGCCCTGCCGCGAGAGCAGGATGAGGTATCTTTATCAAACTCTTAGCACGTGGTCCTATATTACAAGGGCTGTATCTCAATGCGTGTGGGGCTAGGGACTCACTTGATCGTCATGGTGTTGGGCGATGTCCAGCAGTGTTGTGCTGTTCTTTGGAGATGGTGCGCCAACGAGATCCGCGAGCGACGGACAGCTGCGGACAGCCCCGCGAAACGTCAAAGCACGCGCAGCACCCCGCCATCACCGACACAACAGGGCCCTGCATTCACTGCGGACTCTCGCTTTAGAATATAATTGTAGAAAAGCATTGCAACAGCAGAGCCTCATCGATCACTCACACGGCACTCACCTCGCCCTTGATCGTAGTGCGGACGCTAACTGAGCAGCCGCTGACAAACTCCTTCCTCGAAAGATAGAAAAGGAAGGAACGTCCCAGATCACGAACAACGTGTTGAGTGTTGTAAAGCTTTTGCCCGGAGTATCAATTCAACGCCGTCGCTATGAAGCTCGTACTATCCACCTCGTGCGTCTTGCAATCCTGGTAGAGGACGGCAACTGACCTTCACAGCAACATCATGTCCGGGGGACCCTCGGTCATGCGCCGCCCATTCTTCGAGAAGTCGAACACAGAGCTCACCTCGTCTCTGCGCTCAAACTTTGCGAACCAACAAGGGTCTCCCGCAGAATCCGGCGTCAGCTACAAGTCATGGACTACGCAGACTGACGGCGCCCTCTACGTCCCCACCCACGAACCTTCGCCGCTCACTGAACCGCGGGAATCCTACGATATCACTGTCAAACTGTTTTACCTTCCGAACATACCCGCCGGCCGCCGATGCGCTCATACAAGAGAAGCAATTGAGCTGGTCCTGAAGGAGCTGGGTAGCAAGTCGATAGACCTCCTCATCGTCGGTTTCCCAGGCATATCGTTCGACGCGGATGACGAGGACTCAGATCTAGAAGACCCTCCGTCTGCCCCGCAATCCACGTCAGAAGGCTGCGAAGAGTCTGAAGTACCACCAGAGGACATCGAGACAATGGCAATGACGTGGAAGTCGCTGGAGAAGCTACACAGTGAGGGTCTGGTGTCGAAATTGGGCATTGCTGAATTTGGCGTCGCACGGCTGGAGAAGTTCTTGGAGCACACAACAATCAAACCGAGCGTCAACCAGATCAACGTTCGCGACTGCTGCGTCGTGCCCAAGCCGCTGATCCTGTACGCGAAGCAACAGCAGATCGAACTCCTCACGCACAATGACTGCACGAACATCCTACCACGGGGAACGCTGAGGCAGATACTGGGATCGGGAGATAACGGGTCAGGCGTATTGGCAAGTGAGTCGAACACGGGAGGTCTCAATGGCGACGTGGCACCACAGTGGGTCGTAAAGTACACCGCGGTTGTCAAAGACAGAGGTGTGGTTGAGAACAAAGGGTACTTCGCGGTCGCAGAGTTACGGGACGAGTAGGAACAGCACTACCGAAGCCACATTATTTCTTCTCAAGCACAATTCCAGTCGGGGACGCCATGCAGGCTCCAACGTGGAAGGGATTGAACGTTTTCAAACTCATGTCCAAGGCTTTTGAATACGCAGCATATACAACATTGCGGCCTGAACAGTGGTCGTATAAACTGAGAGCAAATACTCAGAACGAAAGCTACAGCACATTCAACGCCAAGACTTCGACATGCCTACAAGTTCGGCCAACAGCAACACCACATACTACAACGATGTCGTCCGCCTACAAGACTATGTGTATCGTCCGTCAATTGGCACTCATTGTGGCGGGGCTATCAGCTCTACACACCGCAATGCGCACAGAACCTATATCAACTTGCGTCCGGACTGCATTGACTTCCCCCACGCCTCAGCAGCAGCGTGATACCACCCGACCCTCAACGACCTCAAATGCATCTAATATTCCGCAAGATTAAACCCTCGCCCCCCTTTCTGAGATTCCCCATCATCTCCAAAAGCCCGGCAGATGGCAGGCAGCCACTCGAGATGAGAATAAGCTCCAGCAAGACTACCTCGACCTGAAGGCGTCCATCGCGGCGATGAGAAAGGATCACTGTGCATCGATGAATTGGCTCATGAAGCAGTAGCAGAGGAATAAGAGCCTTCTGGACAAGAAGAATTACTACCTGGAGAAAATCGGGAGGCTTAATTGTGGCGTTACTAAGACCTACAACACGCACATGGCCAACTTCATCAAGTGGCGTACAATGGAGCGGAATGGGGACTTAAAGCTTTTTGTCACTGGTTTGTAGGTGCTTGTAGGTTCGGCACCGTCTATACCTACTTCATATACTGGTCCTGATCTATGCGTGGGGCTGGCTCGGTGTTCTGGACGTCGTGGCGGGATCTTATCAGCTGCCTACATGTATCTCCACGGCGCAGATACCCTGACTGACTCGAGTTTGGATGACTAGGACGGAACATTCGTTGGACTGTGGAGGTCTTCGGAATTTGTACGTGATTGGCGGCTTGAATAAACTCGTTGACTATATCAGTAGCGCAAAGAGAATCTATTCTGAGTACCTTGTAGTAGAGCGTTATTCACCTCTAGCATTGCACTGCCAAACGTACGACCGAGGACGCCCTGAACAATGTGCCTGCTCGGTGTCATGCCGTTCATGTAGATATCTCAATGACCATCACGCCTGCCTACAAGCCTCTGTGGTCTTCGAAAGCCTTGGAATGATAAGATGATAGCTATGTCTACAGCAGCGTTACTCAAGGAATCACGACTGCTGGTGAGGTTTGAGCTCAGAGCGGCCGAATAGCCGGATTACTCGTTCTGGTGTCGCCCATCTCGAAAGACTGCGTGTCGTGTAAAGATCGGTCACCAGCCCTTCCAAGACGCGATTTTTCTGACGGTACCTGACCATACGCTTCCCTGAACCCCAATAGACCTTCGCTGTCGAACTGTGGTAGTACAATCCCTATCTCGATTCTTTCTCTCTCAGGAATCGTGCTCGTTTCCGCCCATGCAAGAGGCAGACAGACTTTCAGACATATCCTCGTCTTCTTACGACCATATCGATATCCCCCAGCCTAGATCGTTCCAACACCTGAACTCAATTCGAAGGGAAGCAGTGCTCAAGTTCGATATTTCTACTCAAAATATGCAGGTCTGTAAAATATGAGGCCTGCCGCATGTAAAGTTCTCTTTATTGCGCAGGCGCGTGAAGACCTCCGATATCTCGGGAACCGACCATGTGCCCCTCTGCTTTAGAGTGATTAAGACACTCTAGGCAACACATGGAGAAGTAAAGAAAGACGATCAAGAATGCAACAGAATGCGCCTGTCAATCGAGAAGTGTTTTCTACTGGTAAAAACAAATTGTCGTCACCCGGGGCCGAGATGGGGCCAAAGAGCAAAATGATTCGACCCAGACTTGAACTGGAGACCTTCAGTGGACTAACGTTGTTAGACTGACGTGATAACCAACTACACCATCGAACCGATGCGCCAAGTTACTTGACTGATGATAATTTCAATAAAATGTTTAATTTATATTCCAGAGATAGAATTCCATTCGGCAGGTTCGCGAAGCTGCAAGAAACCTGTGGATTGTTATGTTCTCTTTTTCGAGCTAATCAAGCGGCACAGACAGCACTCGCTTTGCGTGCGTGAGTGGAACGGTTAAGGGGCTGTTTCGGCTACCTTTCGGCGACTCATTCGTTGTTCGATAGGAACTTCGATCGTCGATCACACTCTTGCAAGAATTTGGAGATTCAACTACGAAATTGCAAACTGGCAGAACTTAGCGGAGAGTCATGTCTGGGCCAGTACAATTCCATCAGCCGCACCAGCCTGTCGCCGACTTTTCGAGATTCTGCAGCTTCGATCACGTTCCAATTCTTAGGATTTGATCCTTCGCAATGCTTTGCGACTCAAAACATAGGGGGAGGAGTCGATAGCATGAACAGGCCTACGTACTCTCCATGGTCGGCCTGAGATTACCCGTAAAGCTGAGGACATATTGCGACAGCACCCTGGCTTCTCTAGCTGTCAGGCTTAAAGTCTTGTTCTTTTCCAAGAGCTGTCTGCCCCTACCAAGGATGCCTGGCTTCTTGGGAGCTGATCAAGACTTTCTGCCGGGAGACAGCTGGGCGGTGGGTCTTCTCCACTTCACGACCTTCCAAGAGGTGCCAGATGAACCCTATCGGTGACGGCGGTGCTTGGTATCGTTCTTTGATGTCGTGAGCGCAGAAAACTTCGATCTTTGGTGCTGTGCGAAAGGCTGTCAAGATATGGCTGAGTTCCAGTGTCCCATCGGGGGTTGCAGTTTGCTGACTCTAATGCCGTACCTCAAATCAAAGGCATTGCAGATGGCGCTTGCTGCCAAGTCACGAGCGGTTGTCGTTGATAGAGTGGTGAAGGCAATGCCGGTCGAACGACTCGTCGAAATGAAGTTTTCGACCCCTCGCAACCTTGGACACCCAATGACTCCTTCAATCCAACGCCTCGACGCCTTCGACACCTTACGCAACGCACCTGAGACTGTTCTCTTACCTGTGCTTGCGTAGAAGCTTGTCATACTAGCTGTTCTGTGATGACAATAGTGGTGATAGTCAACCGGTGAGACGACCCAGAGCTGGTTTGCGTCAGCCACGCGTTCGTACCTGCCACTCAGCAACAAGCATTGCCAATAATGCACAGACTCATGTGTTGAACCGGCTGGAAAGGCCACGAGCTGGGCGCACAGTCCGTTTCGCCAAGGTTGAGGTTGTCGCAGCTTCGTTCGACATTGCGTCCAAATCGGGTTGGTTCTTTTCGACATGCGCCTGAATGCCTAGCGCAACACCTATCTCAAACCTTGAACACCTTAACAAAGCCTTCTCCCCAGCTCGCACATCAGTCAAGCTTCTCAGGCTCCGCTCGACTAAGACATGGTCTGTTGCAGCAAAAGCTTCTTCAGTCGAAGCACGGGCACTGAGGTGTCCTTCGCACGTTAGTCCCCACGCGAACGCTTGTGGAGAAATGTCCGTTGCCAAGGAGGTCGCTATCTTCTACCTACACGACTCTGGACGGCGTTGATCACACCAAATCTCGTCCAAGAGCTGTCCCGTCCTTTCTTTGCACGTTGCGCACTTGGCATTGCAGGCCTGGCGGCCCGCAAGACAACTACAGCCTTGGAACCTCAAGCCTTCGTGACTGGTCGTGTACAGATGTAGGCGTTACACAAAAACTTGGCTTTGCAAACACGACCATTACCATTATTGATGATGCTTTATGCGAACAATGAAATATGCTAGAGCTGTCGGTTCACTTCCTTGAGCGTACCTATACGACCTCGAGATGCACGAAGGAATCGCATCCATGACAGACGCGTTGCAAGACTTATGGTCAAAGGAAGATAGCATGGACTGCTCACGTTCAATCAGTTCTAGTCACCCCTCAGGCGACGTCCACGATGCGTCAGACCGAGCTGGTCTCCATCCCTATTGGACTTCCTGCAGGACTTCCTGTGCGTACGAATGCACCTCAGACGCTTATCGGTGCTTGGCTCCGCGTCACAAAAGTTTCAAGCATACTTCAAACAGCGGTAGAAGCTTGGCAACGAGGCTGCAGAGGCAAATTCTGCCACGCCTGCCACGGGTATGCTTGCATGGCCTTGAGCCTCTTGGCATGGCTTCACAGAAGTTTCAACCTCATCCCAAACAGCCGTACAGCCTTGGCGGGGTCGGACTGGTCCACTGCACACAACAAGGCTTCCTGTACATGTTGTATGTATTTAAGATCCAGAAAGATGCGCTTCTTCGGTTCTTCAGTCCGGTTACTCTGTTCACTTCTAATCATCTATTAAATCATAATCAGTCGCTAGCGACCTTTCATCGAAGCTTCAAAACGATCACACAATCGACATCGAATCCATCCATCGCTAGCCGAACCCAAGTAATCTCGTCAACACTATCAAGATGCTTCCCCAACAGGTCCTCCTCGCTGTTCTCGCAGCCGTCTCAGTCTCCGCCGTCCCCCTTAACATCAACCTCGGCGCCTACTCTCCGGCCTTGGTAGTCGGTGATGGAGAGATCTCACTTGGAAGCAAGGAATCAGCCTCAGAGCTAATGGCCACGCTCGCTTCAGGAGCAGCCACCAAGGCAGGAGGCGAAGCAAAAGGTGCGCAACAAGCCCAGCCATCTGCACCCCCCGCAGCCGAGCCCGCAAAAGAGGGAGAAAAGCCAGCTGAAGGAAAACCAGCTGCCAAACGATCCCTGAACCTCCGCCGTGCAGTCGACACTCTCCTTGGAAGGCGCGCCCCCAGTCCCGCAGAGCAGCAGCTTGGCGCTGTCGAGGACGCAATGCAGTGGATCAAGCGAGATCTGCAGGGCTTCAACGCCGCGCTCAGCTACGCAAAGGAGGCCATGAAGAACTCGCCCAAGATCGAGATGGGCTCTGAGAACGCAGGCGTCGGCCTGGTCGTCAGCCCCGGTATCAACGTTCCCCAGAACTCCGCTGCCAACGGCGTCCAGGCAGGCAAGAGGACGAAGCGCGATGCCGAGGTTGAGGTAGCCGAAGAGGAAGACGATGCGCCGAAGGTGACACTTGTTGCTATCACCGAAGTTTGAGTTCTACTTTGAACGATACCCACCAGGAAAAGGAGCGTTTTGCTGTCATCAATGTGCTCTTTCACTTTTCTTCATTGCGATTAAAGCGATATTAGGATTCGGAGTTTTCAGGCAATACAACTAGGCCTTGCGATTTGCAAAACGGTAGAAATTCAATACGAGCTATGCCATCAAACCTCACCTTCCAATTACACACATGAATCCACAAGTCCGAGTCGACGTCAAGCACTAAATTCTGGGTCGCCTCGGGCCGGTCCCGCGTGCTTGAGACACTATGCATGAGTCTGGAAGGCCGGAGTGGAGTTCCGCGTGGCGAATGGACTTCAGACTCGAATGCGGCTCTGCACAAGCCTCAGCCAAGTCTCACCAAGGTCTCAATGACGTGTTAAGAGCTTGGCGAGGCTGAGGACGTTGATCGGTCTGAAACGGTGACACGCGTATGCACACATGGCGAATGGAAATTGAGACGATTGGCTAGAAGTCTGCAACTTCGACGACGTTTTACCATGATGCAGGTCGGGAAGTAACTGGTGGCATACTGTTGTTTTTAGAGCGAAGAGGCACGTTCAAAGAACTCACTCATTCGCAGCTTCCAGGGTGGCCACATACCACGTTATGAGACGGGTCAGATTCCCACTCAACAGAGTTAGTACTTCATACAAACTTTCAATGTCGATTTTTCATGGTCTGTGCAAGAGGCAATAAGCATATATTTTGCTCTGCAGCTGACACGATGCCCAGACAATGCTGTTGTCAATCTAAACACTGTGACCATCTTTCTGCACCAGCCCCAACCTCGACTTGAACCGTAAGTACTCTTCCCCCAGAGGCTCACGGATTCGGTTTCGTGCGTTTACCAGCTCGCTGAATTCCGCATGGAGAGTGCTTATGACTCCTTTCTTGTAACCACGTGGCTCAGATCACATGATATCCTATTGCAGCAGGCACTGCCCGGTGGGCAAGTGCACTTACCTGAGAGCTTACGTAACACTACATCACACGACACGACAGCAGATAGCCATACAATTGTTGATCTTGACCTTCTTCCAGTCTGAAATGAGTCTATCCTCCAGCTCTGTCAACGGCAGATCGCCCGACGAGTTTAGAGCAATGATATCAGTCATGTTTGTAACCATTTTTCATCAATATTGGGTCATATTTCCTTTGCTTTTTCCGAGTTCCGGGCAAGGCACGAAGTGATGCCGCCAACTTAGCTCTATTGCCGAGGAAGTCAGCTAGTGGCTTCTGGAGAGAATCACGAAGAGCCGCGAGCTGATTGTGGAGGCGATCAAGCATCAGCTGCTGGTATCCACGTAGCTTGCTCTCGGCTTCTTTTGCAGAGATGTCCTTCGTAGAGTCCTGGAGGTGGTCAAGCCCTTTCTGGGGCTTTTCGGTGCTAATGCTGGGCCTGCGAGCGTTCTTCATGGTGTGGAGGTACGAAGAGGCGATGCTAGAGCGAAATGTAAGCGACACTCGAGCAAACCTCATGCATCTCGAGAGCAGTAATCGGATCAGGTAATCACGTATCCCTGTGCATAGTTGTAACTTGCAATATTACGAGAACATCGCGATGCATGTGACCTGATATTGAGCTCTCTCTACTTATGTGAATATTGAACCATGAGTGACCGGACTCTGAACGTGTGTAGTTAGCAATACAAGGAATGAGAAGCAACGAATGCAGCGGTGGCGATGCAGTGTTGTATTGCAGACGCCTACCATCTTATACTCACAGCGTGTCTGCACCCTATGCCCAATGAAGACCACCTGCCTGACATGATTCGTCCCTTCATCGTAGGAGGTTGCGACATAGACGACACACGTTGTGAGCGAGGAGGCTATTCTCTCCTGGTACGCGTGGCAATGCGTCTTCTCGAGCCGCTCTCCCACTGTAGTTGACATGAATTCGACACATTGCGATGCCTGAGCTTCTGTGGAGAGCTAATCGAGGACGGGCGTGTTCGATCACTCCTTCACGACAAGATCATCATGGCACGCTGCATCGCCAAGGCCAAGATTGCAGAAGTAAACGCCAAGTATTGCACGAAGAAGGATGGGCTTAACTGCTCGCAGCTTTCAAGTATGAGATATCCGCACACAAATGACACGATCCTACTCCTTCGTACGCCGCGGCTGACGCCAATCCCGCACTGGACCTGCAGTACCTAAGCAGTCACAGGATGCTATATAATTACAGCAATCAATACGAAAACCTCCTAGCTGACTGAGGGCTTACTGCGGCCATGTAGCCGAATTCCACACCTGGGCATCCTTCCTGATCCTAGCATCGACCGTGTCCTCTCCAGCACCGACATACAGAACCTTTGAGTACACAGACTCGCCCCAGAAGCTGAAAGTTGTGTTCGCAGGCACAAAGACAACGTCACCGACTGACAGTGTTGTGCTTCCCTCAAAGCCACCAACCTTCACGCTGACAAGCCCGTCAACTACCTCGAGCGCCGTGTGACCGGGCAGGGAGTATGTCGCAGGCTTAGATCCGGCAACAGGTTTCGACAAAGTAATCGTGCCCTCGGTGAAGTTGCCATCAGACTGCTGACTTGTGATGAAAGGCTCGACAATGGCGTACGAAGATTCCTTGTCACCAGCGAGATACTTGGGTCCGTATCCTTTCGCAACAAAGAACGGCGTCTGGGCATCCTTACCGAGCTCGTTGGCACCGTTGTGCCAAATCGCATCCTCCTCTGTGGCACCATTCGCGCCGAAGTCCATTGGCGGGCTGAAAGTCAGCTTGGCGTATACATCATAGCTCTCGAGTTTGGTGATCAGTTCGGAGTCGCCGCCGGGGTCGGAGAAGTTGCCTTGCGGGAAAGGGGAGTCGGTGGAGGATGTGTAGTTGGCGCTTGCGAGGAAGTAGAAGAGGTCTTCAAAGCCACCGGGCTGGATAACGCCAACGAGCTCGACGAATGGATCGAGGAGCTGGAAGGTGTGAGTTGTGTCATGGGGAACAGCACCATAGTCACCGGGTGTCAGGATGCGTCCTGATGTGACGTTGTCTCTACTGGCCCAGAGAGCGTACCGGCCCTTGAGGCAGTAGAAGTTCTCGTAATGGATAGCATGGGTCTTAGGATGTGAGTATTTGAACCGATAACGTACATGTAGAGAGACATACATGAGGGAGCACACCAAGACTCGTGCTAGCAGGAGCAGCAGTGCTGATCAGTGTGAAGGCGTAGTCCGAGGAAGGACCGGTCACCGGGAAGCGGTAGACTTGAGATCCAACACGATACCCGTCCAGTGCGTACGCGCGCACGATGTATGGGCGGACATAGTCGGGTACCTTGTTGACAATGAGATCTCCGGCTGCTTGTGCTGTATGGGCGTGGGAACTTGAAGGAAGACTTGCAGCTAAGCCCACAAGGGATGTGAAAGCGAAGAGCAGCATAACTGAGGGCACTGAATGCAAATCTGCGAGCGATGGTACAAAAGAGTGTGGTGATGCTACCAATAATGTTGGTCTTCGTTAGAAGAACCCTTCAGTAATGTATATAACGCCGACAAGAAACTCTTCGTCGTACATCCTCGTCGTGATCTGCGGAATCACAGATATTGGCGATTCATTCAATCTATGCCGTAACTCACACCCGGTAGATCCCTGACAGAGCTGGCCCTGTATTCTTGACGGCACGACTTCCTAGACCGGTCTCTTCAGTCTCAGCCCGGTGTGTCTCCTGTGCTAGACTGCTAGTGCGGCTCAAATATCGACGTGCTAAATCGACACGATGTGCGGAAGGCGTCTATTGGTGCCATATTTCGGGAGGCGCCGTAAGAGGAATGCACGGTCTTCTTTTTCTGATTGCCGAAACGTTTGTGTTGCCACAGATTGTGTACATCGTCTTACAATCTTCCAGATTGATGTCACGCAAGCAGTCGGCACGTCGGCCTTGACCCACCGCAAGGGTTCCTTATCGGCGAATTCTCGCGCTTCCCATGTACCGTGGTAGCTGGTATACCTAAGTAGTGTAGGTGCGCCACGACACGCAAGGTGATATGTGAGGTGGCAGTGTTGGCGCCCGCAGTGGAGCCGTGGGCGAAACATTGCGAGAACCAACGTCATTGGTGCAGGAAACAACGAAAGCGGCTAAACAATGCATCATTAGCAACGAGACCACAAGGCTCGCGATGCCTGTTGTTGACTGTTCTTCTCGTTTTCGCAGTTTCTGTTGTTGACAGTTGCAAGGAGTACCCGATGCGCCTTCCCCCTTGCAATGCCAGCGGGCCGATTCGGAACCCACCCTTCCAACTGCTATTAATTACAGGATGTACGACGTGTACGAAATCTGGCGAATCGCGTCTCTCGGGCGTGTCACAGGGCTTTGACATCATCCCATTGTACATTCAATATACAAGCCCCATCAAAACCACGCGTCCTGGCTGTCTCCGTGGCGGCGCAGGGAATTCGACGGGTCGCTGATGACTGTCCAGCTCGGCTACACGATTCAGTCCATCAGAGTCTGCTTTTGCTATTTGTGTGTCTGCGTGCAACTCGGCCACACTCGCAATGCATCCATGTTTTCCCATGATGTACAGTTAATCTGGACTTGCGATCACGTCCATGCCTTCGTAGGGAGCCGTCTTACGTCTTCGCTGCCAGAACACGAACGCAGCTCCAGCCAGCAATGCAACAGCAGCTACGATGCCGACCACCATCCCCGCTATCCCGACTGCTATCCACTGCATGCTCTCGGACGATGGCGATGTCGCTACTCCGACCGGGGCGCGGCACCTATTCGCACTAATCGATGCCAACGAGGCTTGGCGCTGTCGAGTTTGCCTGCACCTGAGAAATCGTGAATTCATTGTCATCATGGTTGACCATGAGGTATGCTGAAGAGAAGAACAAACCTCCGATTTGTGACATTCTTTGGGTAATACCCGTCAGCAGAATGTCAAGGGGAATGCTGGTACATGTATTGTTGCGGTGAACAAGGCCTCTCTCGTCAACATATGATTCTGCGAATAGCAATTCTTCAGGAGTGAACAAGACTGTCAGCTCATCATATATGGTGACTGACAAGCTGCCCTTGAATGTGCTGCGTGTATCAGCATGGAGGCGAGAGATGGATGAGGGTCAACATACGCGCTGCTTGGTTCGATCAACGTGCTACGATAGTAATACTTATTGCTTGTGCCACTGGCATTGAGGAATCTTCCACCCATGTTTGAGATGATACCATCTCCCACTGCATTCGGTAGACGAGGGACGTGGCGCACATGCGGCACGACGCAAGCGCGTATCTTATCCGAACCGGTAAGAAGTTCGGATACTACGCCGCTCTCACTTCGTAGTGTTAGCTGACTAATTTCAACTATCATAGCCTCGCGACAATTGACTACATCTCTTGTGAACGCTCTCGTAGTGCTCGAGGAGTTCTCGAAGAGACTGGTGTCAAAGCCTCCAACCGTCATTGATCCGTCACGCGGTCGAACGGTAGATTCGGATCCCCAGAAGAACGAATATGACTTGGATGAGGTCTTTCCCGCTCGCTGAAGACCAGTTAGGAATCTTGAATCGATTCCCAGTCCGATCTCTCCCTGGGCAATCCATTGGTTGTGAGTACCCTCGCAGATGCCAAATTCGTACTCTTGCAGCGACAGCTGATCACTAAGCTTGATGGTATTGGTTGTCCAGTTCGCAAGTATATCGTCGGGAGCGTGTTTGATTAGGTCACTTTTTACCGCGGAGCTAGATCGATCTTGACCGTAGAGGCCGCCTCTATATGCCATGCATTCTTCTCTTGTCAATGGACACGCCCCATTTCCGCCGTACAAATATATATCGTTCAGTGCACTACTACCACTGTAAGCTTCGATAACGGCACTGGACTGTGGACTCTTCCGGTCGAAGTAGGAGAAACATTTGCTGCGGATTTGATGAGCCTATGCCAAATGGAACACCACGCGCCTGAGCCTTGTTGCTCAGAGGAATATCCTTGAACGGTAGTGATGTTACCAGTCGTGCACATGCTGAGGCTAATAGAGGGCAGAGTAGATGACCCGTAGCAAGTAACCAAAGGAACAGCGTTTGTGACATAGCGAGCGTAAATAAGGGGAAACTACGCGTGAAAAATTGCTGGCGATTGGGACGCGTCGTCGCTATAGTCAGCCCGCCAAGGTGTATGTAACAGTCAGGTCCACCCACGAGGTTGGTGTAACATGTCGAACGAATGATGAACACTGAAAGGGGCCGCCCCCAATCTCAGGCATCCTCTATTTTGAGTTGCCAATGCTGACAATCGTTCCAGTAGGCGCGTCCGTTGAGACATTGGGGAGCAATCTCCGCCCCGGGCTTCATCTTGGAAGAGGCAGGAGCCCTCTTGAAGTTGTCCGTCATCAGGTCTGTTGGAGCTAGAACAGCACATGTACGTTGAACAAGGCTGAGCAAGGCTATGCCGAGGCGGACGACGTGGCGCAGATGCGCAGAGCTCAGCTCAGATCCAAATATGGTACACTGTGCGTCTCTGATAGGGAAGGTGTAACCACGTGGCTCAAATCACATGATATCCTATTGTAGCAGGCACTGCCCGGTGGGCAAGTGCACTTACCTGAGAGCTGAGAGCTTGAACATCACAACACGACAACAGATAGCAATACACTCGTTGATCACAGTCTCCGACCGACACTGCTCACGCAGTTACAGAAGGGCACATAGGCTTTTGTCATTCAGATGGACCAGGTGCTACATCTTGTGGATGCTCGCCCCAGTGCTGCTTTGTTCGGACAGCGCGCGCATGAAAAGTAATAGGAAGCCAGGGTTTGGGGATACTGCTATGCGCTAAGTCGTCACAGCTGCAGCCACTTGGGCACCAATTTGGGAAGGAAAACTTTTGCCGCTTTGCGACATGTTGGCAGGTCTTAGTGTGCTGTTGGTGTAGACACGCTCGGAGGGAGGCTGGTTCAAGTGGCGTGAACGCGACGTGCTGACTATGTAATGTTATTACGTCACTCGAGGCTATCCAGGGCTCTTACTCCACGATCGAGATCTGCGATAGACTCAAGCACGAAAGTGGACGTTTGAAATGACCATTGAGATCCCATTATGAGCCATGACCATGTGGGCAGAAGATGTCTCTAGTAAAAATCGACCAAGTACCGGTACGATACTGCCGCGCCTATCTGCAGATCAATTCGGCGGATACCTAGTCCAGGTTTGAACACCACTCGATTTAACGCCAATTGTACAGGTCGAATGCGTCATCCTCATTGAAGCACTGCGTACAAGCACTCTTCCAATCGGCAACCGATGTACCCATGCTCTTCGCGATGTCCGAAAGGACAATTTTCTCCCAGAATCTTTTTACCGGAGACATAAGTGTTGTGGATGTCGTTGGCGCCGAACAAGGTCTTGTCCTTGAAGGCCAAAGTCAGACTCACCCAGGACTAGATGGTTTGATCTTTGTGAACAGGAAGCGCCACCATGGCTTGCTTGGGAACGCTGCACATTTGGTAAGACCTAGCAGCGTACCATCCCAACGTCGAAATGTCAGTGCTGATAGCAGTAGTTTGTAGAGGGTTGGGTCGAGCGCTGGCGTGGAAGTGTTGATTTTGGTTTGAATACGGGCCGGCGGGCCATTGTAAGAGGAAAGAAGCGAGTGATTTTGTGCGAGTTTATCAACAGAGCGAGTCTCGCGCAATTCTCTCGAGGGTGGCGAACGAGGTGGCTGATGAAGGATAACGTTCAGATCGCACGAAGGATGGCGTCGTCTTGAACTCATCGGGCGGCTTGGCTCTTGAGTTACGTTCCTGCCCTGCGAAAAGCTGCCCTTTCGAGCGTACTCGTAGACCACATGCGAATCAGCGATAAAAGCCGAGTGTTTGTACACCGATGATGTCGCGCTAGTAATGGATCAGCCTGTTGGCGCAGCAGTGCAGGGTCTCAGGATTTGGATCTACGACTGTCTCAACAAGGCGCCCAGCTCTAGCATAGAACACTTAGGTGCGTTTTCCGTACAAAAGGCCAGCTGTACCCGTGTCCCTTTCGGTTTTCATGTTGCCAATTCGATGATTCCGCACTTTACTAGATCTGGTACATATAGTCTTCCTGGTCGTCCTCGCCTCCTTCTACTGCTCTTTTCCTCGACAGCCGTTGATTGTGTCGCCACAGCAGTGCTGCATAGACCAGGCAGAAGCCACCGCCTGCGACTGTGATGGTGAGCCCTGTTGTGAAGGCCGTGGGGTAGTGGGGCGCCTCAGCTTTGATGAAGACGTTCGTCGCGACAAAATTCGCACAATTGCCGAATCCAAGGACAATGGCCGTGCCGACAGCAAAGCTGGCGCGTCCGCGTAGATTGTTCGACATCCAGGCTGTCGACATTGTCATTTGAAGGAATGTTCCGGCGCTCATGCAGAACAGGCTGAAGTACCGTACAGCAGCCGACACATCACCATGTCTTGAATAGATATTCTGGATGGCCCAACCAGCGGTGACACACAGCACACCGAAGAAAATGAATGGGAAGCGCCACCCTGTTCGGCTTGCCAAAAAGGCACCAATAACTTGGAAGACCATCCCGTTGAGCCAGATGGGTACTGTCATCGCTTGCGCTTGAGCAGCCGTCCAACCGAGTTCAGTCAGGATTGTGGGGGCGAAGGAAGCAATGGATGCGGCCGTCATATCGCAGCAGAAGAAGATCAAGGTCCTGGGACAGTCAGTATGGATTGCAAAGCAGAATTATACAAGGCTTACGGGAACCAGATCTTGTAGTCGGTTATGGTCCTTAGCCAATTCACCTTCTTCAGATCTAGCTTCTGGCGCCCCTTATCCCGTTGGAGCACCTGAAGGAGGTGATCTCGTTCAGCAGGGCTCAGGATCTTGGTCCTCTCTGGGAAGTCTGGCACAAAGGCGACCACGAAGAATGAAATCAAGATAGTGATGAGACCTTCGATTATGAAGATCCATCTGAAACCCTCAAGCCCAGAGATCCCATGCATGTTGCGAAGACCGTAGGCCAGTAGACCGCTGATGCAAGGACCCAGTGTACCAAAACAGAAGAAGCATGCGAATCGGATAGACACCTGCGCGCGGGTATAGTACTCATTGATCAAGAAAGCAGCCCCTGTATCTGTCAGTGAGTCCTGGTATGAGATGGTGAAAGTAACTGACCAGCTGGCAAGGTGGCTTCGAATATTCCCATCAGAAAGCGCAATGCAAGCAGCCCACCGTACGAACGAGTCAATCCTTGACACGTAGCGACGACCCCAAGGAGCAACATGTTGATGCCGAGGAAAATATTAGGTCGCACACGAGGCAAACCCATGACCAAGTTACTGGGCATCTCAATCAGGATGAAGGGTATGAAGAAGATCCACAGGGCCGTGTTGTAGCCATTTGCTGGCATATTGAGACCTTTCTCCAGTCCCTCGATTCTGGCATTCGCAACTGTTAAACGTCAACCAACAGCCGCAAGTAAAGAACACCTGGCTCACTGTTGGTTCTGTCCAGGAAGAGAATTGTGTATGTGAACCCTAAAATAGGGATCAAACGCAAATCCATCTTGAGCATATAAGTCTGCTTTGACGCGTCAACACCGACGACACCCATTCGAGCACTGTTACTGTCGCACGCAGCAACCCTAGCCGTGGCCTTCTCGTCCATGGTTATGTTGGCGGAGCTGCAATGGCACCTATGTCATTGAATGGCGACACGCAGTTCGTGGAGGTCCGATACGAGCAGTCAAAGGCGGGCGCAAGGTCTACAGTGCGGGATGGCCCTTCCAATGGACGGCAGCGGGTGGCAACAGCAGCTTTTCAGTCTTCGTGAAATCGGAGTGAACCCTGGTGAGGTGACTGGAGGACCCATTTATGTTCAGCGCTGCTCTCAAAGGCTTCCCGCTCTGGCAGAGGCAAACGCCTGGTCAAGACCTGGACGCCGGACCGTGCAGGGATATACCGTCGAATGAGGCTCGAACTTCACTAAATCCGCGAAGCTGAGAAGGGCATCATGCAGATAAGTATGTATGGTAGGCAAGCTTGCTACCTGCGACCGAGGCCTGCGTCCTGGTGACCAATTCGAGGACAATCTCAGCGCAGTGCTATTGATGCTGCCGAGCTTGCCCGAGCTGGCCAGTCCGAGGACTCGCGGCATGCGTCTGGACGTACTAACGCAGCCCATTCACGGTACGAAAGGAGCTGCTGTCAAAGCTTTCAAAATGTCCCGCTAGTCTCACGCACCAGGCAAGCGCAGTCCAAACCAACGGAAACTCGATAGATCCACGGAAGCTGTACACGCCTTTTTCGTAACGATTATCGCATCCGCATCGCGCAGCCTGCTGTTATATGACAGTACGTCTCGCGCAGCCTGCTGTTACGTAACAGTACGTCTCGCGCAGTGCGCATTGCGGGTGCAGCAGGAGCCCGAGAACAAAGGCATCTTCTTATGTAGTCGTCAGATTGAAAGATCGACCGACATGACGCCATTGGAATCTTTGCCGATGTTCTGCGACCGGCAGCGTTTGTTCTAATGCCACCGTCTCGGTCTTTGCACGTGTGTAAAGCGCCGAGTGGTGCACTAACGAGGACAGATGCTTGAGGCTGTGCGCACGGAAATATGTTTCCAACCGAAAGATCACCGGATCACTCCAGACGATACGGGTCTAGCTTTCTCGTCCCAAACCGCATGGACGTCCATATCGTGTAGAGCCCGCTCTTTAGCTACAAGAAGCGAGCAGAGCGCCACCGTTGCGAAGAATTGAGACGTGGAAGGTTATAGTTGGCCCAAGGCGATGAGCATGTTTTGATTGGCCGTAGCAGTGCCTTACATCCCATATCGCATTAGTATGGTCAAATGGCAGCCTTTGGTATGTAGCTTAGGAACTACCGGCACATTACAAAGTTCTTATCGAAACTTCCCTCCGTTGGGCGTGGTTCTAAACTCTCCGACGAAAGACTAGAAGAGCCGGAATAACTAACGGTGGACCAAAGCTAATTTAAAGCCCATGCGTGGTATCACTAGTTCCATCTACATCATGCGAAGGTGCGTGCTGACGGCACACTGCTCGAGACTATGGATAACATTTCCATGTCCGACTCCGTCGCAACGCTCGACTTCTCACCATCGCACATCTGCAATTGTCTTGGTTTGCTTCGAGAGGGTTCGTTCAAGCAACTCTAGCCGGATTCGAGATTCTGAACTTGACATCAGTGACATTTCTGCTTGAACGTTCTTCACCCGGCAAACTCGGGAAAAGGTCGCTGTTCGACTGCAACGAATAACGAAGCGACGCCTGGACGTCAGTATCACAAGTTTGAATGTGCAGAAGGACGTCTACGAGAACTTCAAAGATGCTGGGTTATCTTTGATCAGTTGATGCTGTGGTGTGGTCTTGGGTTCGCGGACGACTTAAATATTGGCGACTTTATACCTCACGACCACTTCGACGAACGGTCATTCCATCTCCTCGGTACACTTGGCACGCAATCGTACACTTATCCGGATTGGCGCGTATAACACCTAAATTATTTGCGTTCTGTCACTTCGGAGGGAGCTTTCGACCAAGCACCGCAGTTGAGCTGCCACAACCAGTGCCAATTGAATACCTCGATCACCAATTTCCAGCTCATGCGCATTTCGGCTCTTCGCTGAAGTGTACTCTGCTGGAACAGACGCAGAGACGGCCAGAATTTCATCTTTCTTCGGGGTTTCCGGGGTTTCCGGCTTCGCTCAGTCAGCATACGTGGATCGAGAAGCGGTAGCACAGAGCATTGAGGCAATGAAGAGATTTTATGCAGATTCTCATGTGCTCGTCCGTATAGAGCACAACCCTACGCTGCTCAAGGTCTTGCCCTTCTTAAACGAACAGCCTAAACCTGATGTCAACGGTTGGCAAAACAAAGGGTAAACGAGCTACCAAGGTAGGATAAAGCGGGGCGTGAGATGTGCGTACGACGCGCACAGTTTTACGTTGCCCTGTACACTGGTTACATAAACAGCTAGCACGCCCACATAACTAGTAAAAACAGCTTAAATGACAAACGTAAATACAACGGCGGGCTCGTGACTGATTCCACACAGCTCAAAGCCATCATCACGCAAGGAGTGTAATTGTGGACATTCCTTCCAGCGGATCACAACTCTCCGGTAAGTGTACCTGCACAGCACCGAAATGCGTGCTTATTGAACCGCGTAAGAGAAGGTGGGGGAGGCGCCGAGTTCATCGCTTGTCCGGTCCTTTATGCCGACTCAAGTACTGTACACCCGTGGTTCTACAGGAAAGCACCAAACCCTGCGATACGAGCTGGCGCAATGGTCAAAACATCATGGTCACTATCACTCGGCATTCGAGGTGCCAGAAAAGAAGCGTAAAGTACGCTTGAACAAAAACATCAATCTCTCAAACTTCGGATAAACAATTACAGCCCCTACTTGTCGTGGAATGGCACCTACTTCTTCTCCTTGAGGCGCTCCACGACGTCCAATGTCCACCTTCTCAAAGACTACACTGTCATACATATACTTCTCCACTAGGTTATTCTCTGTATCATCTCTAACATAGCAAATGCACTCCATGTGAATAATAACCTGGTCGTTTAATACCACATGAAAGGGTCGTTTTGGCCCCGTGGAAGTACTCGTCGCGATTCAGAGTAGTTCACTTCACGTATTGTTACCTTAGTATCCTTGTGAGAAGTTAGCGACGTTTGGAACGAAGAGAAAGAGACAAAAAGGCGTCCTAATCAGTGGTAATCTTTCTATAGTCCTTTCCTGTCATTGCATACTTATTGCTAATTATGTTTAGACTAGATCATGATAGAGGATGTTCTAGACCGGGCGAAGCAATACAGTTTCGAGACCATGATTAGTGTTCTAGCTTGCACCAAACAACCGATCTCCTCAGTGTAGCAAAGACTCGGCGGCGTCTACTATCATGCTCACGATAAGTGTTCGACAGCAACAGTACGCCCTATTCGCGACCAACCGCAAGGCAGGAACAGTGAAGATTCAAATTCCTTCTGTAGGTGTAGAAAGTCTAGATCGAAGATGCACACCATGTATGGCTTCTGTTGAATTTATGCGAAGGCCTCTGAGGTAAGAGGTATCTGGTGATCATCTGGACATTATACATGCTCGCAAAACACACTAAGATTTCGAGATGGTACTGCGGTATTAGATGGTAGAATACTCAAAATATGGCTCGCATGTGCTAAGGCCGCTCGACCACACCTTGTTCTTAGGCTTGCCAGTAAATATATTGGGTCCGCGAAGGCACAGTGATCGGAAAGCGATATTGTCGACCTAGTGAATGAGGTGGAAGGAAGGTTTGAAGACACCAATTCATAAATTACTGCCTAACCAGTACCAAAGGAGCGTAACAGACCGGTTCCCAAGCCAGACTATGCGTAACCACTCCCGCTACCATCTACCACTAACTCATACATGATCTCGCCCCTGGTCGCAGACCATCAGGACTATACCGCACTCTACCACTCAATTCCAACTATATTAAAAACATTGCTTGGTATGTACACCAGTCATTAGGCGCTCTGCATCGTCCATTGTTGCCTTTTCTGCCGTATCGTTCTCGTTATTATAGCTCGAGGAGCCGAGAGCTTAGAACTCGCCCTGGAGGAGGTCGACCTCCTCTTCTTGGTCGTCGTTGGTGAGAGCGGGAGAGTTCTTGCGGCGCTGAGCGGGGGAGGAGATGGTGTTGGCTCCAGTAGCAGCGCCTGCGGCGCCAGCAGTTCCAGCAGTTCCAGCATTTCCAGCGGCGGCGCCGCGAGCAGGAGCAGCACCTGTGGCTCCAGTAGCACCTGTGGCTCCAGTAGCACCTGTGGCTCCAGTAGCACCTGTAGCACCTGTGGCTCCTGTGGCACCTGTAGTAGCGCCGGCAGCACCTGTGGATCCAGTAGCACCTGTAGCGCCTGTGGCTCCTGTAGCGCCTGTGGCTCCTGTAGTAGCACCGGCAGCACCTGCGGCTCCAGTGGCTCCTGTGGCACCTGTAGCAGCACCGGCAGCACCGGCAGCACCGGCAGCACCGGCAGCACCTGCGGCTCCAGTGGCTCCTGTGGCACCTGTAGCAGCACCGGCAGCACCGGCAGCTCCAGCCATCTGGACGGGCACGCATCCACCAAAGGGACCGGCACGAGCAGGGTTCTGGCAGCGGACCATGCAGACGTTGCTCTGTCCGGCGACGGTACCAGTGCAGGTCTGGGTAGCCGCGACCTGGACGTTGAGGGGCTGATCTTGCAGCTGAGTGTCCTTGTTGCGGCCTTGGGCGTTACCGGGAAGGTTCTGGGTGACGGTCATGGGGACCCAGTTGGCACCCGTACCAGTGGCGTCGATCATGCACTTGTAAGGACCAGCGCCGTCGGAGTTGACCTGGTGGACCGTCATCATGAGAGCACCACCGGCGGAGATCTGAGGAAGAGTGGCGCCATTGAGCTGCATGACCTGGGCGGTGCCGGCCTGAACATCGTTGGCACCTCCACCGAGGGTCTCACCGCAGGTGGCTGCGGCAGCACCCTTGAAGCGAGTAGAGTCCTGCTGGAAAGGGTTGCGGTTTGTGCCGTCACGAGGAGTGGTGGGGACTACGCCGATGGCAGAACCAGCACCTCCGGCATCACCGGTAGCCGCAATGATAGCACCGTGGCCAGCCACGAGAGAAGAGGAAGCCAAAAGGCTGAAGGCAACAACGGAGGACTTGGTGAAGTACATTTTGAATATGGAAATGGTCTGAACCGGTCAGATGATTAAGTAAATAAGTAGGAAAGTTATTAATAGAATGGAAGAGGAGTAGTGATTACTGTAGAAGTTGGGTTGGGAACCTGAGTGCTGGATGCTCTTCTTTCAGTCGCGTACCTACCCTCATTTATATGTGAGTGTGGGAGGCGAGCCGTTGTAGACTTGCCTCCGACTTTGCCTTGAATTGCATCGGCCACGGATGGTCCGGACATGGTGAAGCGCTGTGAGGTTTTGGCCAAGACGTCAGAAGAAGTTGGTGTAAGATTTCGCAGCAGACATTGAGGCACGAGAACGCAGGCTCTGCCTGAAGGTTGACCTCACCAAGGACGTACGAAACATGGATGAGGGAACAATAGATCGGCGGAAACCTATGTTCCTCTGTTTCAGGGTACTGGAATCATTTCGCATCTGGATGCTCCAGGCCGACCAAGCCTAGTACTGAATGAGGAACCTATGAGCGTCGGTCGCGAGGTAACGTGAGACACTGAAGTGCAGGGTATCGGATGATTCATTGTAGATTCGTTGTTGTTCGGAACCAAGCATCAGCAACAAGACCCGAGGTGTAAACACGTGCCGGCTGCAGATCTGCTGCGCTGGTCTCCGCCTAGCTCCAACTTCGACAATGCCTAAGCTTCAGGCTGTCTCGGAGTGCAAAGCTTGGCAGGCAGCTCAATCGATCCCTGAGGCTGGTGAAACTGAACGAGGCTGTGTCGGCATGCACAGTAACATGCCTGCTGTGACGCTTTCTGGACCGGTGAAGGTTTGGAAGCTGTCGAAAGGCACTCGCCTCTGCGCTTAGGCGCTCACATCTGAACTTTGAGGTCTTTGTCTCTGAAGTAAATATCCAAAGGCTGTTTGTCAGCAATAACAGATCTGGCATGTGATGGCGCTGTCTTACACGCTGCGTTTGCCTGAGCCGTACAATAGAATGCTCACGAGCAAGCAGTCCATAATATGGCTTAACGGACACAATGCATGCGACATGACTAACTCATGCCTGTGTTTGTGAACCGTGATGCACAATTCATCACGATCATGTGTGGGTTTGAGTTTCGTGATGCCGAGTTGGGAGGGGAGTTTGGTTTAGTGCCACATGGTGAGTTTCACGGGCGCGCAGGCGCCCAATCGAGCAAAGTCTGGGGATTTCTGTATCCGGGCAGGCCAAATTCCGGTCTGTGATGTCGTACAAATTGTGGCTAACGGTGCAAAGGCGTCGAGGTGGGTCTCGTTGAGAAGGTGGAGGCTTTGAAGTGTGGTCGGCTGCCAGACACAGTACCAGACTTGGCAAACAACGCCAAACACAGCAAGCACCGGACACAACGCCTTCTTCAACTTTGTACATCTACCTACACGATGTGCGGAACAACATCCATCTGCACATCTGCAGCTTCGTGGCCAATTTGTAGCCGGGAAGGGAAACTGAGCCTTGTCAACGAGTACGTGCGCGCGGCATGCGCAATACAATCATCGGACTCCTGCATGAACGAGCGCTGACAGCAATAGGCACTGGTGACCGTGTCCTTCGACTGCTGCGACTACTGATGCCTCTCTCCCCCTCTCCGTAGAGGCCTCTACTCCCTGTAGTCGAGCTTCTGCCGCAACCCTGCCGCAGATCGACCGCTTCGATCTTCACCTTGGGCCTAGCTCAGAACCCCCCTTGCGACCCAGCGCTATACTTCGAGGATGGTCGCTCAGAATCCGCCGCTCCATAAACGTTGTGTATCAAAGTGCCGTTGAGAACGCAAGCACAGGTCGCTGAACTGACAGCCGGGGTCGCTGCAAAGTCGTGCTCCCACAGCGTGACAGACTGCTTGCCTGTGTGAAAGCTCTACACTCAACTAAGGCTCCTGAAGAAACGAAGGAGCTTCTGTCACAATGTGGTACAGTTGCGAAGTTTCTCTTCGCGCCCCATGATCAAAATGCGGGTTGGGAGTCTTTGTTGATACTGTTCTGAACAGTGAATTATTTCTGCAGCTCTGTCGCGCTTTCACAGCCTGTATTACTAACTAACAAGGCTTCGCGGCTACTCTCTTCGTCCTCATTCAAATCCCGACTTCAGCAAACCTCAAATATTTCATGTCTGAGTACGTCCGATAACAAGGATGTATTGGCCAGACGACAGCCCCCACGCCGATCATCGGTTTCGTCGATGGAGCTGGAGGTCTACCGATAAGATGCCGTTGCCTCGACCCCACTTTACAGAGCTAGTAATCTATAATTGCTGTTAGCATGCTATTATGTAGCTTGTCCTTGAAAATATTGTTGAGCGTAGATATGATTACAGGTGCCAGGATGAATTTCTAGGAGCTCTGCTCCATTACAGCGTTATTATCGCCTTGTTGAGCCTTGGAATGTGTGACATTCGATGCCAAGACCGACGTCTTAAACTACAGACCTATGGTATCGGCATGATCAACATCGCTGACCGAACTCGATCGAGGATATGTACCGCTGTATACACCGCATGCGCTAGAAAAACAGGCGGGTTGTACCTCTGTCTGATGCTGAATGATCCATTGTGGGCCTGAGCAGATATAAGGCAGCTCCTTGCTGCTGGATTGGTGATGCTGGGCCCTGGCATCCACGCTTCTGAGCTACCGCTGACAATTGCTCCCAGGATGGTATCAAGTCTCAAATTGGTCGTTGCCGCGGTTTGCAGCCACGTGCTGATAGCAACAAACACCATGCCCTTCGATGCTCGCGAGGCGACGATTGACTCCGTTCATCATGCGCTCTACACGGGACTGGCAACATGCCGAGAGGTCGTCTCAGCCTTTATTGCTCGCATCGAAGCTCACAACAACTTGACGAACGCTATCATCACTCTAAACCCCAATGCGTTGAGCCTGGCGGATGCCTATGATGAGCTACTTGCGGCAGGCAATGCTACGGGGCCTCTTTTCTGTGTGCCTGTCTTACTGAAGGACAACTACGACACTGCAGAGATGCCGACCACAGGAGCTAGTCTCGCACTTGCAAGGTCACAGCCGACTGAAGATGCACCGAGCGTGGTAGCATTGAGAAGCGCTGGAGCTGTCATCCTGGGCAAGACGAACTTACACGAGCTTGCGCTGGAGGGAATTAGCGTGTCTTCCCTGGGTGGTCAGACTATCAACCCGTATGATGCGACTCGCACGCCTGGTGGAAGTTCTGGTGGCACAGGCGCGGCTGTAGCATCCTCTTTCTGCGTTTTCGGTACGGGTACAGACACAGTCAATTCACTTCGAAGTCCGGCATCAGCAAATTCCTTGTGCAGCATTCGGCCTACGAGAGGCCTCGTCACACGTACTGGCATCATGCCTATATCGTACACTCACGACACCATTGGGCCGATTGCAAGATCAACCAAGGATGTAGCAACAGCTCTGACAGTCATGGCTTCGACGGGCTATGATCCAGCTGACAATGCGACGGCGTTGGTACCGAACCGTAACGTCGACTACGCCGCAACACTTGGGACTACTGAGCTTGGTGGTCTTCGTATCGGCGTCCTGGATGGCTTCTTCAACCACTCTGAATCACCAGAAGTCACACCTGTCAACAAGGCCATGGACGCTGTGATGTCCAGGTTGGAAGCCGAAGATGTCACTTTGGTCCCAATCATGGAGTCTATATACAATGCGACCGCGATCCAGGCTGCGCTCGATGTTCAACGTTACGAGTACCGCGAGCTCATGGACGAGTACCTCCTGCGTCCAACACTGTCCGGGGAACGACCTAATACGCTTAACGAGCTGTACTTGCGCAAAGCAGTCAATGGTTCTGGTGGGGAATTCGTCGTCCTGCCATCGCAGTATGAATACGTTAACACTGCGCTTGTCTCTTCGACGAGGAACGAGACATATATCCAGCGTCAGAACGGCATCCGCAACCTCACTCTAGCGTTGCAACAAACTTTTGCCGCGAACGATCTAGACGCGATCATCTACCCAGAGCAGAAGAATCTGGTTGTAAAGATTGGATCTCCGTCGCAGAGCGGCCGCAATGGAATTCTCGCAGCGCTCACGGGTGTTCCTGTTGTGACTGTCCCTGCAGGGTTCAGTGAGCCGAGTGCGGACGCACCAATAGGTATTCCAATCGGCATGGAGATCCTAGGAAAGCCCTGGCAAGAGCAGAGGCTGCTAGGTATTGGCTATGCTGTTGAGCAGTTGCTGAAGATCAGGAGGCCGCCATCTTGGGCAAGAGAGGTCGTGGAGGTGCCTCAGTACAACAGTGTACCCGTGGTCGTGCCTGACAGAAACAACATCGACGCTGCGTATCCGCTGGGTGTTTTGTAGATCGAAGTGGTTTACGTTCGACGAGATGATGGTGCACAGGTCATGTAATAAAGTGCAATTGACTCGGTCGTCCATGCGTCACGGCCAGACATGTCTCGTCTTATTTTAGTTCATTTGTCTCTGGCAAGTTGCAACAACGCCCCTCTTTGGATACGGCGTATTTCGTTTCACTAAACCGATCAAACAGTGTCCATGCACAGCATACCTTCGATTTTCGTCCTGAGCCCACTTGCATCGGCTCTATTATCGTTGGTGACCCGATGATCGGTATTTTAGCAGGAAAACATGCAGATTGCAAGATGACGTCCGACAATGGTCCGTGGCCAATACAGCCGCGACACAGCCGGGAAGTGGCAAACTTCACAGATCGACGTGTACCATTGCGTGAGCGGCGGAGCGATCAATGCTTTGCAGGCCACACAACGACAGTTCCAGAGGGATAGAAATTTGCATTGCGATGCCGCGTTGGAAAAGGCTTATCAAGTGTGTCGTGGAGAGTTTACGCGCAATTTCACCCAGCGTCCGTGACCGCCAAGGCCAAACGCCAAGCAGCTAGTAGACCCGTAGATCTCAGCGGAGTTGACAGCGTTCCTTGTTCTCTCACGACGCCTATCATGCTTCGTCGACAGCACCGATGGGTCAACCGCTCGAGTATCCAGGTATCGTCAACATTGTCACTCTCGTCGTCTTCTTCTTCTACCTCGTAATCTCGCTCTACCTGATTCTACGCCAAGGTCTGGGGCGGAGCTGGCCATGGATCTGGCTTACGACGTTGTGTGTTTGCCGGCTTGTGCAGGTGTCTATGGATTTGGCGACCACGCAACTCACTCCCATCGAACAAGTTCCTAATACTTCCGTTTCATCCGGTGTCGCTATCCTCACGTCCATGGGTCTCACGCCACTGTTTATGTCGACAAGCAGTCTACTCAACACAACAACCAAACCGAAAGGACGGCGAATGCAATGGATCCTGCTATTCGTTCATGTTCCTCTAGTCATTTCCTTCATTCTCATCGTCGCTGGCGGCATTGATCCTGACTCCCGCGATGGGCCAACCTACGCAGCAACCGAAGCAACCAAAGCGGGCATCAGTCTTTACATTGTCTGTTTCTTAATCCTCATCTGGGCGACCGCCGTCATATCTGCCCGTCTGTATCTCGCAGATCCCCAAGAAGTCAAGATCTTGACTACCGTTGTGCTCAGTCTGCCATTCTTCGTCGTCGACATTGTTTACATGACATGCTTCGCATTCGAGAGCTGGGTCGACAAAACCTCCGATATGAGATTCAACGTCATTTCCGGCAACGTCACGATTCAATTGTGCATGTACGTACAGCCCCATAGCGCCACCATATCCTCTGATTTTCCTCGGACAGGGTGTTCTACACTCTTTTCGCAGCATCAGCTACGTCTTTGACAAGCTTTATTCACTGGTCTCATGCTTCTCTGATAATTTTGCCGTTACTGACAAACGTTCATAGGCAAGTCATCATGGAGTACATTGTCGTCGGCCTCTACCTGTTTCTTGGACTAGAGCTTCCCAGCAAAGCCGCTCGACTCAGAGAGCAAATCGAGGAAGTCAAGGAGATGAGCGCAGACCAGATTCAGGAGACAATTCTTTGGAAACTCCACGAGGCTGTCTCACGTGTCGTGGCAGCGATGATCATGCCTGCCCTGCAGTTTTCGCATTGGATGCTCGGAAAGATCTTACGTTCTGGACAGGCAACGTGAGTCTTGGAGGCGGCGATTGATGATGTCTAACGTCAATCAACTTCAATCAGACCACGTGCGCAGCCCCGCGAGACCGGCCACGAGACCAAATCCATCGCGAGACACCAGGCACGAGTGATGACTACGTCCAGAAGACTGCAAACGTGTTGCAAAAAACGCGTGCTACATGCATCATCACTCGTGGCGTCTATGTCAGCTATCCGACTTCTCAAACTAGCATGTAATGCTGTTGCCGATCTGAGGCCGGTGTAGCGGGTCGCCGAACAACAGTCTACACTGCACGAACCCCAACTCAATTGCACAGAACGATCCAGTCACCACAAGTGATCCAGATATGCTCCAGACATGCTTCAGCGCTGTAGTTCTCTTCGCACAGTGTAGGCCTCCTCAATCGAAGCAATGAAATCGCTGGCCTGCGATGCTTCTGAAACGCGACGTCAATAGCAGATTAATCGAGCAGCCGCATGTTGGGCATGTCGGAGCCACGCAGGGCGAGACAAATCTGAGATGAACCTGCGCCGAGTCAGGAAGACATGAGATGAGACCAAACCGGCGGTTTGAAAGACGGCTCGGTAGGATGCAATAAAGATCCGATCCCAAGATCGTGACAGAGCTTGGCCAAGCAATCGTCATTCGGAGGGGTATCCAAATGTGATAGCGCCCTAAGTAGAAAGTAATAGCATCAATGCGGTCATTCAGATCCTGAAAAACCTGAACTATGCCAAGTGTGCACGACGCGCGAGCCAGCACGCTAAGCGTTCGTAAACCAACCCGAGGTTATTTCTTACGACAGCCAGTTGATACTTTCCAACATGGACATGGCTTATCAATATATGGATTCTGTGTTTGCTCGCCTAGATCTGCTGGGAAGGAAGCATGGCACAAGCAGGCGTCAGCGAGGCCGTGTTCATCGAAGACGAGCCTGCATCCCCTCCTATTCCTCACCCATGTTCGAATATTCTGATTGAGCACGAGTCCCCTCTCGTGGCCATCACCTGTTTTTACACCTGCTACCCGTACCTATGCGATTGTGAGCGGCTTATTGGACTGCAGGAGACGAAGCCAGACCCACAGCGAAACCAGCACGAAATAGAGAGGTCTCGATGCAAGGACACCATGGCGCTGGCCCGAGATTTAGACATGATCCGTGACGACATGCTCGACAAGTCGATGATTCAACGGTATCTCGCAGCTTTCTGAACAAGCTACTGTGGTCTAGTCAATGCTACTGGGCAACCATATAATAGCCTGAACGGACAACTCAAATCAAGTTCGTTGCGTAATTGAGACACCGACGCAGTCCGGTCATATCTGACGTCACGCGAAGTAAAGGCCCTGCGAAAGATGCTTGGGTGGTATCGCATTGGCCCTTTTGAGCTAGAGATGACCCCACTGGTGACACTTCTTTAGGGCAGGGGGCCATGTGCCGAGCAGCACTGGAATACTTGAGGTGAGAGCTATGTCTGCATACATGCACGTGCAAGATGTAAGCATATATCACACGCAGGAGGAAAAGCTTTAGTGAGGCGAGCACAAAGCAATGTGTGGGACTAGAGGACTACCAGGAAGAAGAGTCATGACTGAAAATTAACATTTCCGGTCCCAGTATCTGTTGCGTTGGACGCGTACGAGATGTAAGGTAGTCTAGTCCCTCAACATGAGCTAATATCTCCAGATACAACGCCTAACCAGCCAGCTAAAGGGCGTCTACCCTCCATCCCAAACGCCATAAATGCATCTAACCAGACACACCCTTACAATTGAACCTCGTCAGCAAGGTCCCTCCTTTTCCTCGCCTTCTCATTGGCCGCCTGCATCTTCCCTAATATGGTGTCACTTTTCGCCTTAGCCTCGACCTGCTCAGCGCGGCTTAAGCTGCTATAGAAAGACCGAACCTTCTCATGCGCCATGATCTTGCGGGGGTCGAAGCGGAGAATCTGCAAACCCGCCATACTAGTTGCTCTCGAGAGTGCCACATACGCCTGCCCCTTCTCGAACACACGGCCTAAATCGACGCGCACACGTTCCAGCGTCTGGCCCTGTGCTTTGTGAATGGACAGGGCCCAAGCGAGGATAAGCGGGATCTGGGAGCGGGAGGCCTGGACTTCACCATTGGGAAGTTCGACTTTCCAGTCTTCGCGCTTGCAGAGAAGATCGCGGGTGGTGCCGTCGGCGATAGCGAAGCGGATGAGGGGGAAGACCTGGGCGGTGTTGAGGCCGAGGACGGCCTTTGCCATTTCGGATTTCATTTGAGCTTCGGTGATGTTGCCTTCGAGCATGTCTTCTTCGTTTTCTTTCCAGAAAGTGAATTGTTGTTCTGTCATGAAGCCGATGACTTTGCCAAGGGAGCCGTTTACGAGGGTATCATCCATGTTCTTGACTAACATGACTTGTGCGCCCTTCTTCAGATGTACGACTTCTGGGACCATACAGTTCTGCAGCAATCTGTCGCGCTGCTCCTTGTTTGTGATTGTACCACCATCTCGTGCCTCGAAGCGGAAGCTGTCGCCATGTAATTGCTGCATCCGGAGGTTGTTTGCGCGATCGACTTCCATGCGGGTAGGGAAGAGTTCTGTCGCTTCGATATTTCCCTCAGAAGCAGGTAACGGCCGTTCCAATTTCCTGAAATTTGCGATCGACTCACTCGACATGCGTCCTTCACGCATTTCGTTCAACATACCCGCAAACACAGGATCCTTTTGACGGAAAACGTGGTGAAGGCCGATGGTGTGCTCGATAGATGTGGTCCATGTCCCAGCATCAAACGCGAATTTTGACGGCTTGCCAAATTCTGGCACAGGAGGCAATTGGAAGAAATCCCCTGTGATAACCAACTGGATGCCGCCAAACGGTCTTCCATTGTTTCGGATGGTACGGGCAATCTGCTCCAGCTTGTCGAACAGGTCGCCATCGACCATTGAGACTTCGTCCACAACCAGAACCTTCGTGCGCAACCAGCGCTGTCTGGCTTTCGCGTTTCGTCTGATCTTCTTCACGAGGTCTTCTGCGGGCTCCTTGCCAAGGCCAATGCCTGAGAAGCTGTGTATGGTAACGCCACCAATATTGCACGCTGCAAGACCTGTGGAAGCTGTCACGGCGATTCGATCCGGCTCGCGAATGAACTTTTTCCGCAGCCCTGAGATGATCTCACGCAGCAACACAGATTTACCAGTACCTGCGGAAATTAGTTGTAGATCTTATCATGTCCTGAGGCACCACATACCAGCAGAACCTGTGAAGAACACACTCTTCTTGTGTGCGATTACCAGATCCAATACATTCTTCTGCTCGTCGCTCAAGAACATCTTTGCAATAATATTCTTCTTCGTCCGCTTCACGTTCTCTGTGTCGTCCACACTCTCGGCGACTTTTGCTTTATGCTGCTCTCTCAGCGTCTTCTGCTGCAGCTTGATTGCACTTGCGGTAGTATTCCATGGGAATTGTGAACTCGACGAGTGTTTCGGCTGGGGCGTGAGGGTCCAAATGTTTGTGGCCGCCGTCGACTCCCGCTTCTTATTCGCTGTGACATCCTCCTCTGTCTCTGGCGTGAGCTGCTGCTTAGGCTGTGTCTGCTGCTGTGACCAGGGTAGAGCGCGGCGTTTGCTCTTAGGTGGCTGCGGCTTGGGAGGCGTCTTGGAGTGTTCGGCTGGGGAAGATGACCACGGAATGGGCTGGCTGCTATCCAGCTCGGTCTTGAGTTGCACCGACTGCGGCCGTGATGAGTTTCCAGAATCTTTTGTAGCTGCTGGTGAAGCAGGTGGAAGCTTCGGGTATTCGACTGTGCCCTTTGTTGCAGGGTCTTCAACGTCGAGGTCGATGTCACTGTCGAAGTCGTCTTCGTCGAACAGAGTCGTGGCCAGACCGCCGCTGTCACTCCGCGATGATGTTCGATAGACAGGGAAGTCGTTCTCCTTCTCCATTTCAGAGATTTTGAGTGTGGGATACTCGAACATGTCTTCGTTAGAACCCCAGGACTTTGCCAACCCACTTGATGTTCGTTTCGTCCCATGTGATACCTGCGTTGGGGATCGACTAACTCCTGCAGCATTCTTCTTAGCAATGCTGTTGGCGCCAAGAGCGACTGGACGCGTCCCTGGCCTTTGTTTAGACCCTGCACGATTCAATGTGTGGAGGAGCGACGGCTGGCTGAAGGCGGGGTTCAAAGAGGCAGGAGGCGCGGCGGCGGCGGAGACAGCATTGTGCTTCTGGACAGCTTGCTGGAACATATTCTGTGTTGTGTACGGCCGGGTGGCGAGGTATCCGTAGTAATGGCGAGGGACGATGCCAGTCTGTTGTGGCCGCCTGGGCACTGTAGAGAGGCGTGTTCGAGGAAGGTGCGCGCGCGGGAGTGGAAACTGCGGTCCCTTCGCAGGAAACAATCGTAGCGACGCACCTAGTCTCGTGAAAGCGTAAAGCATACAGCAGAAGAAAGCGGCGAGCAGAAAGGAAAGCGGTAAAGTGAATGTGTCGAGGATGCTGTACATGGGGTGAGTCGGACCCACACGCGTAGACGCGACTCGCGATTTCCTAGTTTTGGTGGCGTCGCACGTGATTGACCTTGCCTTAGCCGTCTGAACTGCGATAAAGCTGCCGTCAGCGACGCAGACTCGAGGTAGGTGCGAGATTCAAATCGGTCTCTCTGCGACGCATGCATCTCAGTTAGGTCACTCATATGTGGTGGGCACGTCTACGTTGTGGTAGGAGTGGAGAATCTTCGATTCACTATGGGTAATTCGATGTGTTCCGTCCTGTCCTCAACGCATATGCCATCGATTTTGAATTGAGCAAGCGCAGCATATACTCTCTAAGCGGTCTAATACCAACCACCTGGCTATGCAATCGCCTTGGAATCATCAGTCGTAAGAATGCAGGAAAAGTCTTTGAATCAAGTAAATCATGTTGATAAAGCATTACGGCCGTAACAACGCGCTCAAACAACAGATATGGGTATGCAACGGGGCGCCATGCAAATATCCCACATGCTTTTCGAAAGTCAAGGAAGATTAGAGGAGATCGAAATGTAAGATCGACATCAACTTAGATAGAAGAGAGATCGTGAGAGGCGTCTGGCCCATCGAAACGAGAGCAACGCAACGTAAGGAAATCCATTGAGCGACGACAGTAGCCGATTGTGAACAAGCCCAACAAGACAGCCCGCCAAGTCGGACAGGAGGAAACATACAGAGGGTAGTCACACCAAGAACCAGAACAGAATTTGCCAGACAAAATAGCACACCGCTCGCCCCGTCCTGACGGAAAACAGTCTCCTTGTAAGGACATGATAGATAGCAGGTAGGAGGATGCAGAGATCGACGCTAATCAAGAAGAGCCTTGTAAACAACCAGGCATGTCGAAAGTAGAGGCTTAACGATGCGAAACATGACAAAGGCGACACACAGGGGTCTAGCCCTGGTAGCCGCCGAAGCCGTTTTGGGTGAAGCCGCCCTGGCCAGGCTGACCCCATTGCTGCTGAGGAGCGGGAGCGCCACGACCGTAGCCACCAGCACTACCTGGCTGCATCTGCTGCGGTTGCATTTGCTGCGGCTGCATTTGCTGCGGCTGCATTTGCTGCGGTTGCATCTGCTGGTAGTTCATGCCAGGACCCCCGAAGCCGGCTTGTTGCTGGGCAAAGGGTTGTCCGCCGGGGCTGGGTCCTGCCCGCGCATTAGATTGTGATTTTCGGTACTGTAGCTTCCTCCGGTGCCTCTCACCTGAAGGTGACATGGGACCACCTGGTCCGCCACCATACTGGGGGAAGTACGCGCCAGGCGCCTGGGCGTAAGCTGGACTGGGGCCTGCAGGCGAGTAGGCTTCGAATTGGCCGGTTGGTGGGCGGTCTTTGCCCCACTAGATCGAAATGTAAGCAATGAAAGGGAGATAAAGGAATCGACTCAACCTACGCTGCACTTTAGAGGTCGACCATTGACGTTGTACCCATTAAGTTGGCAGATGGCCATAGCAGCGTTCTCGTGGGTGTCCATCTTAATGAAAGCGAATCCACGGTCAGATTGGAAACGAGTCTCGGTGACATAGCCGAAGTTCTGGAAGAGAGGAACGAGGTCAGACTGGGAAGTGTAAGGGGTGAGGTTGCCAACGTAGCAGGTCGTCTGCCATTGAGGGGTCTGCGCTACAACCATGTCAAAGCTCTGGACGCCGTGGGTAGGAAAGTGGTGGTGACCGAAGGGAGTGGTCGGGGTCATGCCCATAGATGCCATGGCCTGCTGCTGGGAGATGGAAGGCTGGCCCTTCTGGTTGGCCCAGTTGCAGCGAATGGCACGAGAACCGAGCCACTCTCCATCCATGGAGCTGAGAGCGCGCTCAGCGTCAGGACGGTCGCGGAAAGCAACGAAACCATAACCACGAGACCTGCCAGTCTTCATGTCCCACATGACGCGGGCCTCAGAGACGGGGCCAAAGGTCGAGAAAGCTTGGAGAAGGACCTCATCATTGACCTCATTGGACAAATCACCAACGAAGATGTGGTAGTGGTTCGAAGTGTCCTCCTTTGCAGTGTTGTTGGACTGGTAAGCCCAATTCACACGAATTTCCTGGTGTTGTCAGAACCAGCTTCTGATCGCAGATATCTGTGACCACTTACGTTGTTGTGGATTCGGCGGCCGTTGAGCGTTGCCATGCCTCGCTCGGCCGCACCAGGGTCATCGTACTCGACGAATCCGTAATTGAAGCCCTGTAAATTCAGACGTTAGCCAACAGTCGAGGTTGGCCTGAGCAGAGTAGTACACAAGGCTGAGAAGTGACACGTGTGACTGCGCCAAAAGATCCAAGAAACACTTACGGTAGGAGAGCTGGCGGTCTTGTCAGGGATGATCTTGACGCTCTGGACGTGACCAGTGGTCTCGAAGATCTGGCGCAGAACGTCCTCGGTGACTCGAGGGTCCAGACCACCAACATACAATGCCCTCTTATTCGGCTCGGGCGCAGCACGGCGCGGAGTGTAAGCACCGCCTCCAGCACTGACAGGAGACATGACCCCGCCGGACATGGGCGAGCTGATGGCAGTCGGGATGGGGTTGGTGTTCTGTGGGATGATCACAGGGGCGAGCGTGGGAGGAGGCATGTGCTGCTGGGGATTGCCCTGCTGACCATCGTAGCCGGGGGGACCTGCGGCAGGCGGTGGAGGAGGCAGGTTGGTGCCAGGAGGTGCAGAGTCGGCCATGGCTGGTGCGAGGAAATGCGCCGGTGGGATGAGCGGTAACAAGCTAGTTGCAATATCTGATTTCTATGCTGCGAGCGCCAAGGCCGTGCGACGAGAGAGACGGTGCGAGAAGGTCGACGGCAGCGGAAGCAGGACGGAAAGTGGTGGTGAGCGAAGTGGGGTGTTGACAGCTGCTCGTGAGGCGGCAAGGAAATCGTTAAGGCAGGCGCGGGTACTGCGACCTACACTGTGACTGACAACACGAAATAGAAGGAACAAGGAGACAGCAAAAGGAGATGCGGAAAAGACGAGAGACGGACCCTTCGCCAAACAACGACAGGTAGCTGTTTCTGGGTTTCTTCCAACTGTGGGGTGGAGGAGTGAGAAAGGTGTCGCCGTTGCGAGATGATTAAACCGGCGCCTGATGCAGCGGGCCGGCAGCTAGCCCTATAGCGAGCCGCCCGCTGTAAATTACGAGCCTCGGGGGGCCTGTTCGCGAATTGAGCAAGCAGGTGGCCTGCGCAGTGCGAACTTGCACGGGAGGTCTCTGTGGAGCCGGCTGCCCGTGGCGAATGCTGTCGAGTGGGCTGACGAGAGCCTTCGTTGTGCTTACAGACCCAGCCAACAATGCAATTGTGCATGGTGCGCGAGATTGCAGCAGGCTTGGCTGTGTATTGTCGCGCCGAAGCAAGCTAGCGCATTTCTAGAAGGGTGCATTTGTTACTGGCGCGCTCGCAGCGAGTCAGCGACAGAAGCTTGATGGTGGACCCTTCTTTGAGACGCAGCAGCTGTCAGCGAGCGCGCTCAGGCGTCATCTGGAATCTGCCCTAGCAGGCTCACACGTCGCGCAGTCCCAGATCGCCCGCCCACGTCTGCGCACCGCAACAATGGCATCCGTCAAACCAGAAGTACCTGCGCCAGAGCAACCAAGGGCCCGCATGGCTCCAGGCAACCCCAACCTGGACCAATTGCAGGGCATGCTGAACCTAGTCGTGCGCGTACCCACCATCGCTCTGGCGGACAATGCGCTGACCACTATTGCAGCTCCTGACGGCCGGCCGCTTCATCAAAGAGCACCAGGCGGGCGGCGGTGTTGGCCGCATGAAGCAGGGCCTGCAGCGCGCCGTCCCTGCAGCAAATGAGCGCTTCAACGACGCTCTTGATGAGCTCGAGAACGAGATCCGCTTAGCGCATGTGGTGTTGCGACGGGACCTTGCATTGCTCAAGCAGGACCGCAAGAAGCGCGAGGCTGCAGCGAAGCAGCACGAGGCAGAGAGGGCACGGGCGGCTGCAGAATCGCGCCTCGGTGTGCCAGCGAAGAAGGAAGAAGTGGCCGTGAAGCCAGAGGCCGTAACGCCAGCAGCGGCCTCCACTGAAGCACCGCCACCGGCCGAGCAGCTCACCACAGCCAGGACGCCCGAGGCAGCACCCAAAGTCGAAGAGGATCCCGCGCAGCCACCAGTGACCGAGACAGCCTCCAAGCAGCCGCCTGACGATCCCCTCTTCGATGCCACGCCCGCCAACTCGAACACGCAGGAACATGAGTTCGACTTTGACTTCGAATTCGGCGACGCAATGGCATCTGGCACCAACAATGATGGCGACATGATGGACACGTCGGGCGACATGGACTTCACGCTTGACGAGGGACCTTCGTTGCTCCGTGGGCTCGAAGACTTTGCCAATGCAAAGGGCCACGAGGACGACAACAACGGAGCTAGCACAGATATGGACCTTGACTTCCCCATGCCCGATCTCCCAGACATGAACAGCGATGCGAAACCGTCAGTGGAGCAACCCAAGCCCGCCGAACCTTCGCAGCAGCCCAAATCACCAGCAGACGATGCGAAGGAAAGCAAGCCTGCCAAGGAAGCGGCAGACACAAAGCCAAATATCGACTCCAACGATACTACGAACAACAATGACGAACCTATGGAGACCATAACCACGAACAACCTCGACGACCTGTTCTACCTTGACGACTATGAGGACCCAGAGGGAGGTGAATCCGCCTTCGACGACGCTTTCTTCAACTTCGATTAGACAATGCAATGGCAGTGCTGTCACGGCACGACACATCCATGACGCTGGCAACCCACCGTTTTTTGTACCTGGACATTGCCAAGCAGCAGTACAATAGTGTGACCACCCAGGAAGCACTGCAGTGCAAAACCACAGGCTCGTCTGGTTCCCTCTACAAAGAACTATGGGAAGCGTAGACACTTGCATCCGGTCATCCACTGCCAAAACGTTCGCGAGTTCCAACAGTCTTGGTCATGCAACGGTCATGCAACGGTCATACAACAGTCATGCGCCAGCCCATGTGCATGGCCTTCGATTGCCATCGGAAATAAGAAGCTCGCCTTACGTTGCGCGCCTGAAGTCAGACCTTGGTTGATGAGTGGTGGCTGGCGACATTGCTAATGACTTGGTGCTTCGCTGCGGCTCTCCGGCACCTAGTTTACTCACTACCCACTGGGCAGACGCAATACCTCTTGGATCAACACCAGGTACCTAAAGCACATCCACACGGAAGTAGAGCCTGCTTCAACATGTACCATCAATCGCGCAATGTCGTCTCATGCTTTACATTCAACGTCAAGCTTCACCATGTTCAATTTTACAGTGCCAAGTCTCGGCCAAACAACCACCACCGGCAACTCCTCATCATTAGTCTTGTTCTACCAATCCCTCATAGCGGGATTATGTCCTTCAGATTCGCCATCATGTTACTGCACCAACGACTACTTTCTTGGTCCAGCAGCCCCTAAACAAACAGACTCTGCCAGCAAATACCTAGCCGGAGGCATGTACCTGTGGGCCTGGTTTGTAACGTATTCAGAGAACGGTCGAGTAGAATGGTAACACACCTTTTGGCAATCCCGCCTCGGCACCTGCATAGCCTTCCTCCTTCCCTACAATCGTATCTGACAAGCAGTCCGTTTACTCTTGCTCTCAATGCGGTCTTTGAGTCTATCCACTTGGTATCTCGCTCTTGTGAAACAAGAGCGAGATACCATGGTCCCACCGCTTGAAAGCAATCCACATCTTCAACTCCCGTGATGATGCCGCGGCTTGAACAACCATGAAACGCAATTTCTTCAGCCTGGTCTGGACGATTGCGCCGTCTATCTACGCACCTTCGTTGTCCGGTCTCGCGAACAGCTTCATGATTACCTGGACTATCTTCGGCTTCCCGGCTTCCCTCATTACGTTCCTCGCGCTTTTTCTCAGCAACGGCGAAGAACCAAGCGCACTGACTTTATCCGTCAAAGCGCAAGAGATAGGCCAAGAGAAAGGGCAGAAGGGCGGACTACTGTGGGATTTGGTCAAGGTTCCAGCGGAATGGCGGAAGATATCAGAAGTGAAGTAGGGTTTGCGTGCTGGTGCCATGCCCTTCTTTTCACGAGTGTCCTGTTCACCCAATATAGCGCTCCGCTGAATACCCCGTGCACATCCGCCAACGGATTGGTCAAGAGTCAAGAGTCTGAGTGGACGCGTTGGCTATCGAACATCAAGGTTGTACCGCCGGCGTTCGTATGCAGCCTTGCTGTGGCGCTGTTCTGCATGTACTGGGTACCCAGAAATCGTGAGAAGAGTATGGGCCTACGCGGCTTCAGTGCATTCTGTGGGCCTATTGTTTTGCCCATCGATTGAAGGACATGGGATTGTCTTGTACTTGGGTTGGGGTCTTTGGCTGGTGTGCGACGGCATGCTATGGGCGGTGGACGAGTGGTTGATTCGAATGCAGACGGAGAGCGAGGTTGGATTTCGAAGATCTAGTTCGCGAAGGGTTGAAAGAACGAACGGATAAGCAGAGGGACATGTACAAGGAGGTGATGATTCCCGGGCCGTAGATGCGACTTCGAAAGGATAAGAGAGGAACATCAGTTTGATGTACCGACTACGCTCAACGATACAAAACAAACATCCATCGACTTGACTCCACATACCTAGTCTTGCTCTGCACGGCTGATGAGAGGCATACGCTCTCTGTAAGTGGCTGCGATGAAGCACGAGCGATGCCTTCCTTGCATCCTGCGGCTCTTCGGCACAAAAGTGGTGCTCGGCAGACGTAACCTTTATCACGTCATACCACCAAGAGAAGCCCCCGTAATGCACCTGTACGCATAGTAAGCCCATCATTCAGGTGTTCTTCTCACACCGAACTCATGACCGATTACATCTTCGCCTTCCAGACCGGGTTTCCCATCGTAAAGACCCGCTCTCACATCGATACCTTTCCTCAAGCCCCTTCTCCTTCCTCATACATACACCTTTCGCCATTCTAAAGCTCTTCCATTTGTTCGGAGCGATGTCTCATGGACCCAGCAAAGGGCTAGTGTGCCATGTCTAAATTTGCGGGGGCTCTCCACCCACTCTGATGGCTCTACATTGACTCAGCTATAGTCTGCTCTGGACAAGCTCTCGTTCCTTTCTCCGTCAGCTTCAAGAGGGAAATGAGTCGTATGAAGAGTGGTTTTCTCGTCTCGTCTTTGCTCACACCCCTGCCTACTTTCTTTTCTCCATGTGAGAAGAGGAGCGCGTGAGCAAGGACGATGACCACGCTCGCGAAGAACCGGACGTGTCTTCGCGGCAAAACGATCTCGCGCTCGACATGATAGACCTTGTTTCGTCGCTCCGGTGTGCGAGAAGATAGAGGAATAAGATGGCTGTATCGGAACCACGCTCTCCTCGTCTTGTACACAGTCGTATAGTATGTAAGTCTCGCAGGACGAAACGTCAACAGATCTGTGCTCTTATATACCATCTCTCAGATCTTGGCCACTTCTAGCAGTGTTGCACTCGCGGCTCGGTGCCACGCTGGTCTTCTCACTCGCGCCCCTCATCGCCCTACACATCTTACTCTGCATACGACGTATATGTCGCACAGACCATAGCAGCTCTCGTCGTTTTGCGCAGATTAATGCCCACTCTCTCGTGCTCAATGCACGCTGGACGTGGAGCGCATGGATAGCGAGCGACACCATGCTGTGGGGCGCTCGGGAGTAGTACACGAGTAAGCAGTGGGAGGTCACGGTGGGTGCTTTGAACGAGCTGATCACTGGGCGCGGAAAGAAACTTAGGAGAGCCGAGCAAATATGCTTACGGGGCTTAAAAGTGTGTAAAGGCAAAATCGCGGGTTAGTAGGTGAGGTGAGGAGTTGACATGGGCTGAAAACAAGTCAAGAAGTAGAGTGCGAAGAGGAGCAGTGGTGCCGGCTCTCAATACTGCAATAATGTGACTAATCGCAGTCCACACCTGCTGGCACATTGCTGTCGCGAGTCTACCTACAACCTTCAACCTAACCCATCACCCAAGTCAACGCTTCCACCTCAGCATCGCACCTGCTCACGCAGCCCATCTGCTGCACACGTACACCCTAGATACTCACATAATCCTGATTTTCTGACGCACACTACCAAAAAATGCCAATGTGAAATCATCATAGTCCCAAACTTTCTTCGCCCTGTCCCCGCCGTCTCAGGACAATCCATCCTGTTCGCAGGAACAACGCGAGACCAGTCCCGGGGTCCCCGCGGAGGCCCTGCGGCCAATTCTTTTCACCAATTTTCCCTCGCAGAGTCAATAAATGCTCGACACAAAAGGTACAGTATGTACAGCACACCTTCTCATCAAGGCAGTCAGCGACGGGCAACTTCTACCACGATACGGCACAACACAACATGCAGTCAGGGAAGTGAATGCCGTGAGGCTCCCCATAAGGAACACAAGTTCCTCCAACGAGGATCTGAATGCCGCTGGCTGTGGGGTCGGGTCTGGTGCTCCTCAAACTCTCCGCGCTGGTGTCAGGGCCTTGGTTCTGATATGTTGTGGGCGCGGAGACTTCTCCGGTCGGGTTAGCTGGGCCCAATTGCGAACGCCGGCACTGATGAAGCGCCACAGATACGATGCCGGGAATGCGGAATGCGAGGCGAAGCGGCATGGTTCCAGGGTTTATTCGCCTGAACACTAAGGGTGAGGCTCTAGAGGCCTCCGATTTGTGTTCGGTCTGATGTCGCCGACCGTTCATTCGATGTCAATCCTGCGGGAAATTCTAGTGCGTAGACATTAAGCGATGGTGACTGAATTGATCGCGGTTGATGCTGAAAGCCCCAGATTGGGCCGCGAACTGGGGAGTTCCTGCGGCTCGCACGATCTTCCACTGTATGCGAGATCTATCGAATGCGGCGCAAAATACCTAGAATGCCGGTTCAGCTTCGCGCAGCAGCCACTCAGCCGTGTTTCCTGCTGTACAACTCACTGCCATAGATCTGCGTGTGGCTCATTCAACATCTGTACAAGATCGAGATCTGCCTTGACGAATACGTACTGCTCGAGCACGTCTCCTAACGCATTCGAGACTCTTGCAAATGCGGCACAAATCACAGTCTAGAATTGAATCCCATACCATGCCTTCGTAGTCTGGGTCAGCCTAGAGACACCTGTCTGCTGACTTGTAAAAGCGGCGAATGCCCCCTGGCGGCAGGCCCCGGATCGCTGCGGACCTCCGTCTAAAGGCCGCAAAGGTCAGCAAGCGAATCAAATACTAATGGGACCTACTCCGTCACGCTTGTTGCGAGGCTGAGTGGTGTGCATGCTCGTTCACACCCTCTAGCGCACTGTGGGGAAACGTGGAGTGGTCAGGTCGTCTTAGCGTTGTGTCGCTCGCGCATGCCACTTGGCTCGGATTTATCTCCATACACCATGTGATGAACCGAAGGGTTAGGCGGATGAAAGAGTAATTATATGGACGGTGATATAATTTTCGCTCCTTGGATGTAAATGAAGTCAACTTAAATCGGCTTTTGTCCCTTTTTTGTGACTCCAGATCAGATCGAACTCCTTTGAAACCGTAACTGTCGTTCGTAACGTCGTAGTAGACATGAACAGATTGACTAAAGCCGAAGCCCGTACTTATCACTGCCTTTCCAATAGACAGCCTCTTTCGTCGAAAGACAAGCGCATGAAAGCGCAGTCGTTTACATGACCTGTTTTCTCGCCGAATTTGAAATTTGGAAGTGGAACGCCATACGCCAAAGGACTCCTGTTGCCGGTAAAGGTAAGCTTCTGATAGGCAGAAAAAAAGAAGATGTGAACGCAACGTGGCGAGACGTAGCTTCGCAAAAGTGTACAAGAAGTCCCGTAAGAACGATAAGTAGCAGCCATCATGATTTCCGGTAGGCGATGCATGGGCTCCCATCAGCAACGCTCGATGGTTGGGCCTTGCGTTGACGGCTACACATTTGTAGGAGTCTAGTATAACCAACAGGGTATTGTGCATCTCGTGTCGTCGTAGGCAATAGTTTATGTGCATAGCGCTGGAATTTTGTACATGGTCGTTTGGAGAAGGGTGTTCACGAAGTGTGACCTAGGACGGAGTTTTCCGCTCGCTGATTGATGCAGTGAGCGTGTGCCTCGAGGGCTCGTGCTTGGACTTGTGTCACTGCTGTTGAGGTCAGCCTTTGTTATCGTCGCCGGCTAAGTTCAACCCACCAGGCCAAACGGCAGCTTTTGACAGCATGTATGAAGTAACCATCAGAAGCTTTGTGCCGAAGCCACAGCGGCTCATGCCCGACAAACCAGGAACCGAGTTGATGACACTGTTGCAAGAAAGATCGTATGCCATCTTCATGTCAGCATTGTGCAGTATGGTCGAGATCTTCTGGAGCAGCTTGACATCCTCCTCTTCAAGACACATGATGGCGGGAACCGTGCTAAACTCGATATCATCTCTTCCAAGGACACCGAGGTAACGACCAACGCGGTCCTGAACAGTAGCTACCCACTCAGCAAGGACTTGTGCACAGTCAAAGGTGCAGAGGGCAGATGAGTTGGGTAGCTCCCTAGCGGTAAACTCAGCGTATGTAGCGCCTAGTTTGTCGGCCATTGACAGAGAGTCAGCGGCGTAGAAGGCTGCTTTTCGCAAGTGCCTCTCCCGTTTGGAAGAGGGTTGAATGCCTGAAGAACCGTTGAACACAACTCCGTCCAACTGTTGAGCGAGTTGACCAGGCGATGCACCCTTTCCGGAATCAGAACGTTCGGGCGTTCCGTCAGCTTGCGCGACGATATCGACGCCTTTGGCGAGTTCGTTAGCCATGCCTTCGAAATCTCTCTGCCACAGCAGTTCCTTCGCTCGGGAGAGATTCACGAACAGTCGGACGTAGGCCAGATCCAGCAAAGGTATGCAATCTGCGGACAATGGACCGAATGGACTAGGCCTCTCAATGCTATGGTTAGGGTTGGCTTTCCAAGCGGCCTGCCATGCTTTCAGTGCAGGCTCGACCTGAGCGTGCATAGCTTCAGTCTCCTGTGTCTTCCAAAGGCGGCCGGTATGTCTTTGTCGAGTCTCCCATATGTAAACGTGCAACGCGTTGATCAAGATGTAGCAACCGAAAGTGCTAGGTTGGATATCGCTGTGCATGTCGCTGTCCATATAGTCAGGCAAGGAGCTACTTCCAAACGACTGTCCATAGTTGTGTCCATGGGTAGCACCGTGACGCGTGCTTGCTTCGAGCAGGTAAGTCATGGCGGCGTTGAAGGATAGATTCCTGGATTGCGCGACCATTGAGCCACCCATTGCCATCCAGGTCTGAGCATTCTCGGCAGACCAGATGTCTTCTTCGCAGGGGAGATCGAGACGAATCTCAGAGTTCAGTATTCTTGGGGCGTGGGCGTATGCCGAGACAAGTAGACTTGACATAGAGAACACGGCATAGTATGTTCTTTTCCTTTCTTCAGCCTTTTTCCATTGGATCCACTGCGTGTACTCGTTATGCATGTCTGCGGGTGAATCTGCTTGCCCGTTTGCGTCGTCCGCCATTTTTGTGTCGTCGTAACTGGATTGGGATGGTGGGCTTTGCGTAATTGTCTCTGGCTCTGCGGGCTTGTCCAACCCTGCGGCTTTGGCAAGACTGACCAAGGCCGCGCAGTGAGTGCTTGCGACCTCAGCAGCTTGACGGTCCCCGCAATTGTGACCAAAAATCAGATTGAGCAGCATAGCTTGTACTAGCCATAGGGGAGGCTTGTTGATGGACTCATTCGCCGCACTAGGCCCATTAACGGCAGCTGTGAGCCCGGCACGTCGACGCTCGTCCAGGTAGTACAGGATCAGCTTCTTGGCAGCCTCAAACAGGTCCTTCGCCACGACTTGCTCAAACTCGTACAGAGCGCCAATAGCGGCCATAGCAAGAATGAGACATCCTCCGCCGCCTACCATACCATCATGGCTATAGTTTTGTGAGGTGCGAAGTTGATAAGTGTAGGCTGGAGTATCGAAAGACAAAGTTGAAATATGCAAGAACGGCATGTGAGGGTGGAAGTACAGTATGTAGGCGTTCACGTAGCGCTGGATGTCCACGGTGCTGGGTAGCGTCGCAGACTGCCCTTGCGCTGAGAGAGGCGAGCTGATCTGTGGCTGTGAGAACCGGCGCTGCGGATTACCCACCGCAAGGGCCTGTTGAAGATTGACGATGAGAGCCTGTCGTGTAGCCTCAGTAATAGTTTCAGTTGAGATCGAGGTTACAGAGCTGTGTCGCGCACTGCCATTCATAGACGCCGAGGATATACTGCCGGCATCAGATTGAAAGGTCATGGGTGCCTGGAAGTACTGGTTGGGCATACCAGGAATTCCTGCTGAAGGACTCATTGCTGAAAGTGGGGGCGGCGAGGTCATGTAGAAGTCGTTCTGCATAGCTGGATCTGCGAGCTCCTGTGTTGGCATGGTGTTGATCATCAACTCTGGGAACACAGGTGCCATGGCTTCTGTGTACGCCATGTGATTGACATGAGAGTGTGTTGGCATTGGCTGGTGCCACATAGCGCCAGATGTCGGTTGTCCTGACCCATCTAGCATGACTTCGTTGAAAGCACCTTGGCTAGCAGTGCTAATAGCTGACGGAGAAGACCCTTCGATGGCGTTTTCGTTCGAGAAGATCATCGCGCTGTCCATACCCGCACTCCACGCGAAGTCGTCCTCTTCAATCGGGTTGTTGCCAGCAAAGGGATTAGCAAATTGCCTGAAGGGCGATTGTGGGTGAGCCAGATTGGCATTGAAATGGTGCAGCTGGTTCGGGTTGATAGTGGAACCAGACGAGTGGCCAAAGAACTTCTCAAGTTCAACGTCATCAGGCCCTTGTGCTCCTTGTACGGGCGCGGTTCGTAGTCCACCTCCACCCATGCCTCCAAAACCCATGTGTGTCTCTAGTCGTGGCAGTCCATGGCCGTGGTTGCCAATCGCCGTGGACATGCCTCTGTAATCAAACTGACTAGGGCCGCCGAATCCAGAGATGCTTGCGTGGCGTGAGTGGCCGGGATGGACTCCGTTCCCTGTCGATATTGAGGCATTGTGGAGTGCGAGGAAGTTGGCGTCGATGGCGCCGATAGTGTTCGCGCGCGGTCGCATGCTTCCAGTGCCAGGAATGATGTTGTTGGCATTGCTTGATATTGAGTTCTTGCGCACGCGGTTTGTGCCGTTTGTGGGAGGCAGGCCAGTTGTGCTCTCTCGTCGTGCGTTGCGAGGTCTCGAGGAGGTCGCACCCTGCTGGTGCAGCTTCTGCTGATGACGTAGCAGCAAGTCGCGCCGCGCAAAACATCGTGTGCATTGTGGGCATTCAAAGGGCTTCTCCTTAGTGTGAGATCGCTCGTGGCGCTTGAGGTGCTCCAGTCGTGCGAACGAGCGGGTGCAGGTGGCACAGACGTGCGGCCGTGGCTTGTCGGTCTTGGGTGGAGGGAAGGTGGTGGCAGGGGGCTGCGTGATTTCGGGTTTCGCTGTCTGTACAGAAGCTGTAGTTGAGAGTCTCGTTAGCTGTGAGTTGGCGCATTGGATCGTGTTGCCTACTGTTGCTGCTGCCGCCGTTGCTGCTCCCTGATTCGTCACTCGGTAGGTTCGCAGGCCCTGTGGGGCTCTCAGCAGGTTGGTTCGACATAATTGAGGTTTGTTGAAAAAGTGTCGTGGGCGTGTTTCAATGCCCACAACTATCTCTTGGTAGATTAAGGGTTGTCTCAAAAGCTCACGAGCTGCCAGGGTAGCGACGAGTAAGGCTGTTGAACAGTATGGGAGACGCCGGATCGAGTTGGTGCCACTCGTGATTCCAGCGATCTCGCCGAGCACTGTTCACAAAGAGTAACACGGGTGGATGATACGCTAATCTAGGAACATCAGCTGGAACTTATTCGAGCAGCGTAATGGCCGCCGAGTGGAAGGATGGTACCTTTTCAAAATTCGAGCGAGCAGACCCTAAACGTTCCACTGGTTCTCAGACGTTGACCCGATAACCGGTGCTGTACCAATGTTTACGACGCAGACCAGATGATTAGATGCTGCTGCAGAGAGAATGCCTGATGTCCGGTCCAGCTGTGTTGGGAGGTCCGATTGAGCGCCGACTATTGATGTTGGACAATGGGAGGTTGGTAGGATGCGGTGATGAAGCAGGCAGTAATTGAAAGGCGCAGCTTAGGATGTGAGCGAGACGACAATGAACAATGGAAGGAACCACGGGATCGGTAGATGGCCTTAGGCTAGTCGGGCCGCTCACACGCTGGTCTGCGTACGAATGCGTGGTGTTCACGGAAAGGCCCGGTAGCTGAAGGCCGTGTTGATGACCGCCCTGGACGCACTGCAGACACGGTGCAGAATGCAAGCTGCGTGTATCGTCCAGCAAACGGCGGATAATGATGGCAAGACTGTTCAGTTGCACCCTTGGTGGACCGACCCCAGAAAACAGAGCAGTCACTGCGTCAATAGAGCAATTAGAAGCTCTCTGGCTCGCTGCGCTGCAATTGGCTGGGAACGAATGAATAGAGGGGCAGCCGAGAAACTGGGGTTTTGACCGGGATGTGTGCGCCTTCCTCGCTGAAGCAGACGGAGAACAAACGATGGTCACAGGAAAGATCAAAGAATAACAGCGACAACGTTCGCACAAGGTGTGACGATGGAGGCAGAAGCAACGTCCAGCAGGCGGCGCAAGTCCCAAGGTAAGCAGATCGTCCAGGGCCAAAGCAGCGAACCAGAGGCTGCGCGCGCGGTTGCATGACACACCAACGCTCCAAGCTAGACCCCAGAGCTCCTCGGCAGCAGACGCCTCGCTGCAGCTCCAGGACCGTCGAGAACGGCATCGCGCCCTCGTCGTCGACATTTAGCGTTTCCAGGGTCCTCCGCCGCCCGACAAGGCCCCGAGCACGCACACTTCTTCTAGGGGCGGTAACGATGAACAGCACACGCTGATCTTGATGCTCGACGTCCCGCTTTGGGGTCCGGAAGCCGGCAGGCATCGCAGCGCCTTTGGACGGCGCGAAGTCCTCGCAATCCTCAGGCTTGGCCACAGCAAGCGGACACAGGGGTTTGGGCCCATGCAACACCTCGGCCCACTGTCAGAAAGGGCTATGCGAGCGCAATGTTGACTTGAGCATGTCGAGTACAGCAATATCGGCCTCTCTTAATTGACCGTCCGGGTGTCTACTATCGGATTGCCCCTGAAAGCATTTCCGGGCGACACTGTTTTCAATTTCGTCAGGCTGGAAGATTGGCAGGTGCCAATGTGTAGCGGGCCCTAAATTACCTTGCAGCAGACATCAATGTCACTTGCCCATGGAGCTTTATCGAGACATGCCCATGCAGGAGCAAATTTTATGAAAGGACCAAACGCGGCATGCTCTGTAATCTCGACGCTGAGCATGGAGTTCTAAGCGATTCGCGTCAGTAATGGCGGCGCATCCAATGCATGTAGATGCTGACGGTCGTTGGCAAGCGCCGAACTACATGAACAGCCACAATTCACAAGGACCGCACGCTGCGAAGCACGCGGCCCGGTGATACACTGTCGACCTGCCAGCCGAAACCAACGCGGACGGTGACATGGTGCGCAGTACGTACCCGTCGCGCTGCAGCACGGGAGCTCTCTTCACCGATGTCAGCTCCGCGCAGCGTCCGTGTGCAAACAGTCCGGGGAAGCTTGGAGCTGTGGGTGGACATGGAGGCTGCGGACTTAGATCAGTGGTGGGGCTTCCCCACAGTCTCAGAACAGCTTAGATCTGGCGCGCTCTCAGGCCAGTGCTTCTATGCGTGCCACTGATTGGAACCGCTTATAGCCCACTTCGACTTCTCCGAAACGGCTCGCCAGTTCTTTCGAGGACCCAGGCCACGACCCTGGCCCACCGATGCAGCGCTGCTACACCAGGGTTCGCCAGCGCTGATCAGGGCCGTCTTTGCGAATCCCGCTTGGCTGGAGGCATGTAGACGGGCTGTCAATTGGCACTCCCAGATACGAGCAGCAGCATGTTGTCGAACACATGGCCGCAAGAGGACGACATCCTGCGACCTGCATCACGCCGCCTAGGCGAAGAGAGCGATTACGGACGAGCCTGTAAGACTCAGAGAAATAGACCCTGTCCAGTACACGAGACGTACCAGTGCAGAGACCCGCCAATAATGGATCCAGATTTCGCTGCACATGACCTTTCAGAGCGGGCCCTGACTACTTTCTGCTTGAGCAGGCTACGACGGCCAGCCATCCAGCGTTCTCCGCTGTTCTCCTAGTTCTGACATTGGAACGTCATCGCGTTTGACGACAACTGTTTTGGTTGCATGTCGCAAAAGCCGTGAGTTACTCTCACCTTATTCAGAGCCAAGCTTGGCCCATTGCTGCAGTAGATGCTTGGCCATCGCGTAGCACGAGTCATTCTTAACAAGTTCAGATACGGCGTAGGAGGTGACGTCTGCCATTTCTACCTGCAAAGCACAATCAGATGCTGTTGATGAGCAATGCGCGCTGTTAAAGCTCGTGGGAGATCAGCGCCGTACATTTCCACAACACAGCTCAGCCACAAACTACGTCAACCGCGGGCAATTGTTCAAAAGTGGCAGCTCGAACAGCCGAGCAGAGCGAACCTAACCCGACGGTCTTGGCTAAACATGTCAAGATCTGTTATACCACAGAACCTCCCAACTGACGTTCGGATCTGCATTCAACTGCTTCAATTAGCCAACGGTAGCCCCACCATGCACGCAGGGAATTTGAGCGATCGCTCGCCAAATTTCGAAGAATGCCGATCGAAACAATGCTCCGTAGTAGGCGAGTCTCTCATCGAAATTTCGGGATGCTTCCTTGTGCTGCCGATTCAGCATCAACTCGTCGCATTTCTGAACAATTGTGCAAGTAGTCAGATTACACTACTAACCATGCAACGATTGAGTGCAATCGTATCGCCGCGACAATCTCTCTACAAGTACCATGGTACATCAATATGTGCCTATTTACGGATATACCTCTTCTGCTAGCGCGTTTAGCACTGTTATCCGCTCGTGGCCGGTGCTACTACACATGACGTATCACCTATCACCAACCATCAAGATACGATGCTCGGGACGGAGGTCTACGACGAAAACCGCAAACACGTTCATCTTATCAAGGAATTTGCGCATAGACTCGATGACGAGCGTCTGCCGTCCGTACGAGCACATGCAAGAGCGCAGCCAATCATCTTGACCAGCGCTAGGCTTGGAGAGGAAGTACCGATGGAGCTCACCCCACCAGACCACTCAGACGCCCTTTCCCCAGACGCTTTGCCGCTCCGTATCCCAGTGCTTGCCGCCCAACCTATCAGCTCATCATGCATAGAGCCAAGTATTCCAGTTCGATCCATGTAAAAGTAAGGCAGTTTGTGGAGGGTAAGAGTTGTGCTGGTCGAGTCTAGAGCACAAAGTCTACGGATCCTTCACGACGGTCTGCACGAGCGACGGTTCGCAGCTGTCACGTTGCACTAGACGTCCGGCATGCCGTGCCTTTGTTACACATGCTGATTGCAAGCGCTCGTAGTACATGAGTCACTTTCTTCGGCGAACGTTGGCCGCAATTTGCGTCTCATCCAAGTCTGGTAGTCGCGCTGCATGGCTTCAAACAGAAACCACAAACTCGCTGCACAGCTGCTCAGGTAGCCAATATGCCACTCCTGCTCATTAAAAACCTCAGGACCTCTTGGCTGCTCAGCAGCATGCAGCCCAGTCAGAGTACATTGTAAGTACCACGCCACGTCCTTCGACAGCCAGCTGATATTCGATTGGTCGCCTAGCTCTGAACGCTTTCCTGCGTACGCTTCAACAGTTCCAGAAAGTCATTACACAATTTCACCAAATGTGCGGGAACGCTTCGTCACAGCATCGCACTAAGACGAAGATTATCGCCTTTTCGCGTAGGTCAGCTCAACTCTCTGTTCTCCGTCGCCATACTCCGAAGATTTGCGGACTGTATTCCGCGTTTCTTGAAGACGACCATCCTGTTGGCGGCAATTATTGCTATTACCGTGACCCTGCAGCTCTTTCAACCCGCCTCGGCCTATCCCTCTTCCGCTTCCCGAAGCTGATCGGCAATTGATGAACCTCCGCTAAAAGCCTCACGATGCACTTTCGGCCCGACGCTGCTCCTGCTTTTGTCTGGCTACATAAAGACGACGATTGCTAGCAGCTGCTCAACGGTTAATGGGAAGACACAAGGAGTCCTGCACAGGTCGCTTGTGTTCTTCCAACTGGTTTGTTATCCCTCGGTAGATGTCCGTGGATTCGCCGCTTCAAGACGCTAGGGCATGACCATCCATATGGACCCTGCTTTAGTGACGTCGCCCCTGTCACGATAGAAGGTACACCTCAGATGTCAAGAACGACCTCTTGGCAAGGATCTCTCGCCATCTGGAGACGGACAGAATCCCAGGCGCGAGGACGCCCTTCAATTTCCGCGCCCCAGAGTGCCCACATCGGCTCCACTTAGTTCACACCAAACTGGAACGTGGCGAGTTCAACAACAGCAACTGACCTTGCCTTAGCAAGTGGAGCGTATACCCAACAGAACCTTGATCGTGGTTGCGTCGCAAGCAGTATTTCGAGTGGGATCTAGCCTCGCCTTCCTGCTTGAGGGAGTTCGCTTTGAGTTCGCGTACTGCTTCTTCACTGGAAAGAGCTTTCATTGTGACTAAGGCTTATCACATACACAGCGTCACACCCCACACTGCTATGCCCATTGCCACGACAAATGCAACTCAACAACAAACGTTGGAGGCTGTCGATCGCTTACAAATATTGAGGCTCGACGCTGAGACCGGCTCACTGTACCGAACATCGGCTAAGGAAGTGCGGCGAAACACGTTTGCTGCATGCTTCCCAAGTCGTCACTCCGGGTCACAGTGCAGAAGCGTAGCATAATTTGCTGCATGCAAGAAATTCGAGATCACCTCGGGTGTCGTTCGACTTATCGGTAGGAGTGGGGTGGCAGGTAAGCAACACTGCGTCAGCATCGCAACATGCGAAGGCCCAGATGTTTCATCCTCAGCCACGCGGCCAGCGCTGACAAGAGCATCAGCTATAGTGGGCTGATCCGAGCATAACCTGAAGCAAGGCTTTGCTGCAACTATTGCGGTGTATGAAGCATTGTAAGAGCCGCTGCTATAGTTTGTGGATGCCTAGGCATTGTCCCAATACGCAGTGCGGTCAATGACCTCGCAGATATCTCAGACTGTGAAACAACAAGGGAATTGATAGAATGCTTCCGGGCAAGAATGACATGCGCAGGTACTATTTTATTGTAAACATTTAGAGAGTTCCACGGATTATCTGCAAAAGCCGGTTCCCATCACGCGAATTCGCGACTAAGATATAAGGACCAGAAACTGACCTGCTTTCGGTTCTATCCGTATTCACAATGCCGTCCGTAAGCCTCCAGGCCCTCCTCTATTTCGCTGCATCACTTGGTCCGCGTCTGCCTTCAACCTCATCTGTCGCTCCTCAACATCCTTCGCCTCCTTCTGCTCTAATCTTCTAGTGCCCGCCATTCGATCTCCCTCACCTGCACTTCCCTTCCTAACACATTTCTACTCCCTTTTCAACTAATCCTCGAACTCACCAAGCAACGACTCACCGCCTGCAAACAGCGCTGCATGTTCATCGGCATTGAATCAGATACATCTCCATACTGCGTTCTTTTACACAATCTCCTTGACTGCCTCTGACAGAGAGTCCTCATTCACTTGTAGCGCAGTCCTAGCTTCTACGGCTTGCTGCTTAGCTTTGCAAGGATGGTGTCTAGCTTTGAGGATCTGGTTACGCATAACGTCTATGTCACCTTGCTGTATCTCTGCGAAGGCGCACTCGTACTCAGCTTTGAGGCGGGCATATGGGTCATGTGGCGCTGAAGTGATGGCATCCTGGATTGCTCAGTGCTGCATTTTTAATGCCGGAGACATCGTGATACGGGTTTTTGTCTCGATTCAGCGCGGCTATTGGGAATCTAGTGTATCGTGGATTTGTCAAGATTGCGAGGTCGTCTTGACTCTTGAACGTGGGCGGTGCGGTGATAGCGCAGCATTGCAGTCTGCAGGCAGGGACTGATGCTAGGTGCTTGAAGCAGTGATGCTGGGAAGATTCGGTTTGGGTTGATGACACACTCGCATGAGTGGATATGCTGCGACGGGTTTCTTCGAGTGAGAGCACTGCGATTTCCTCCACGGCCTGGCTTTTGGGAGGTGAGGGAAGACGCTGATGCGAGGTAGTTGCGTGGAACGACAGCTGACATTCCGGCTGTCATATGTCAAAGCCCAATCCGATAGATACAACCTGAGTCACGCTTTTCAACCAGCTCAATAATGGCCTTACCAACTTAGTCTCTCAGAGCATTCAGAGCCCTTCTCAGACCATGGACATGGGCACAACTCGGCTCACAAGATACACATCCAGTCTCATATCCCGCAGTCAGAGCCTCGACTCCCCCTCCTTACTCTTCCCTAGCCCCTCAGCGAACTTAACAACCCGCTTCACCAGATCTCCAACAACCTCCTCCGGATCGCCATCCAGGTTGTGGTGTCCGCCCTCAATCACTCCGCCATGGACTTCATCCACGCTTCCCCCTCCTTCCTTCACGAATCCCGCCCATCGATCCAGCAGCGCCTGCTTATCCGTGCTCGTATGTACGAACGGATCCTCACTGCCCAGCAAAAACATGATACTGACATCCTTTGGAATCCTGCCAAAGCTCTCCTTCAGCGTCTGATCATCGAGGTCGGTGGAGAAGTAGTCATCGTCTCCGCCCTTGGCGAGGAGCGAATTCGTCCTGTATGCCGAGATGGCGGCGCCGAGTTCTTTCTGCACGATATTGTTCTCGCGGGGTACGAGTTCACGCTCCTTACCCGCGGCTATGAGACGCTGGGCCTCTGCCAGCACGTTTGCGCAGGATTCCTTCTCTTCTTCGCTCGAGAGTAGGAACGCCCATGCTTCTCTGTCACTCACGCTGCCCTGGAGGATTGCGCCGGCGATGGGCGGGTGCTCTGCATGCCCTGTTCGGGGGTCAGTATGTGTTGGTGGGATATGTGCTCTTGGCTGATATTGGGCGCTTTGGAGACTGATGGAGTGGGCGAGATGTGCCTGAGCAAACGCAAAGCAGAGCAACGCGAAGAGAACTGCAAGATAAACCTACCTCCTCCAACCAAATACTCCATAATATCCTGACACCCCGTCGAGTGCCCCATAAGCACAACCTTCCCCTGAGGTCTCAGATTCTGAAAATACCCAACGCACAGCGCAATCTCCCTCGCATCCCTCTGCAGCGACGACGTCCCCCACCCCCTATACGAAGACGACAGTAAAACCTCGGCGATGCACCACGTGCGCCCCAGCGCCGCGGCGATGGTGCTCGGGTATCTGACCTGTCAGCTATGCACGATGCTTGCAGTGCGCAATGCAGTCTTTCTGAACAAAACTCCGTCTCGGTGTGGGGCATAGCAGTTGGGAAAGGGGACTATATTCGGAACGGGATGGATGCACAACGAGCGCTGGGGTCGGGAGACGTACTGCACCGTCAACAGCCCATCGCCCAGCCCGCCGATCCAAAGCAGGGTATTCGTCTCCGCGTCATTGGTCGCAGAGTGCAAGCCGACGTGTTCAAACGCTATGAGCTTCGCGGTGTACTTGTGTGCGGTGCCGGAATGGGGCATGTTGGCGTCGCTGCCGTGGTCCGACTTGCGGTGGATCTGATGACGGAGAGGATGGTGCCAAATCTGATCTGATAAGATGTGTGAATGAAGTGATAGAGCTATGAGGTTTGGTGCATCGCTCATGCCCCTCGTTGGCCAAAAGTGGAGCTTTATCGATAGTGGTGGGGTGCCGCAGCGCTCGATCGACTTGGAGTACCGTACCAGAAGTAGAAGGTTTGCAATAGAGCAGAGCCCGGGGATTCTAATGTGTGGATCAAAAGTCATAGGCTCCTGTATCCTGCCACAGGACGTTAGCAGGACATGGCGTGGTATGAAGTTTCTCGATTGCAATGCTTTGCTACATGCCTTCATGGGCTTTGGTATCTATATTTTCCGTCCTGTAAACAGCGTATCCAACGCTTCATCGAACGCCCACGCAATGCAAAAAAAGTCACTTCTCAGTGTGGCCCCGATGTGCTAGGCCCTTCCATCCTCCTCCACGAACTTCGCCTGCACAACCCAATGCTCATCGAACTTGATTCCCTTCCCACCGCTAATCCCCGCGTTCCGCCAGGGCTTGTTGACGCCAATATCAACGAGCCACACACTCCAGGCCGGATCGCGCCCAGCACCATTCTGCAGCGCTCTCACCAGCCCACTCCTCGGGGCACCCAGACACACGATGTACTTTGCGCGGACCTCGAGCGGCTCGCCCTCAACGATGGCAACTTCGCCCGTGCTGCCGGCAACACCGGACGGAGTCTCGACCGCCAAACACGCAGCGCGGGACTTATTAGCCCAGCCGACAATGCTGAGCACCGTGGCTCTATCCGTTTCGCCAAGGGCATCGAACTCTTTGTGGCGGCCGAGCAGCGCGTCAATGATGAGCTCGGGAGGCGAAGGGAGGCGTTTGAGCGCGCCTTCTGTGTCGGACCAAGCGCGCACCGCGCCGCCGAACTTTTTGAAGAGATCGACCTGGCGCCGGACGTCGCGGTCCCAGTCTGCGTTGCGTTCAAAGCCGAGCAGGGCCACCATGACTTTGGGCCCGCGCGCGAGGAGTTGCCGGGCTGCGGCAATGGCGCGCGCTCCGCCGCGGTGGTTGCCGGCGAGGACGACAATGACGGGGCGCGCGTTGGGGTTGTCGCGGGAGAGGCGCTGGCCGCCGGGGTTGATGGCTTTGAGTGTGATCTCTGCGATGCCGCGGCCGGCATTTTCGGCGATGAGCTCTTCTGTGAGACCGAAGTCAACTTCAGCCATTTCCTCAACTGCGAGCATGCCTCCAGGAGTGATGGTGTGACACCTGCGGTTGTTGGTGACAAGGCGTAGACATCCCCTCGAGCTCGAGTCGAATGGTGAGTCTGGTGGTGTAGCGATCTTCCCGATCTTCGGACTTCCGGTAGCACCATGCGATGACGTATACTGTGTGCCAATGAGGGAGCGGTTCGCGCGTGGCAAAAGCCCAGAGCCTAGCATCTCCAGATGGCCAGCCTGAATGCCACTACCCTGTCTTGTCGGCGCCCTTTTGACAGAAACTGATGCTCGAGACATTGCGCGCCTGGAGTTACGGCTGCCGAGATCCGAGTCGTCCTCCGAGCTTGTGTTCGTAGTGCTCTTCAGCTTCGCGCTGTCCAGCACGTTCTCCGTAGGGTGCAGGTTCTTGCCACCATGTGTTCCGGGCCGTGCGAGCCGGTTGAAGCTGACGAGGCGGTCTTCATCGGCGGTCGTGTCCTCGTTCCTGATCTGGTCGAACACGCCGCGCTTATCGAACTTGGAAAGGTTAGCCTGAAAGTCGAACTCAGGCATGTCCTGGACGTCGGTCGCATCTTCAGTAGCCCATCCGTTGGTAGCATCGAGTGCTTTCTGACGCCGCGACTTGCGCACTGAAGCATTGGCAGCCTCCAGACCAACCCTGCCAGCGATGACGCCTGGGGTGCGCGTCTGTGGCTCCTCGACAGTCTGGAGCATTGGAGTGCTCCTCCAACCATTGCCCTTAGTTGGAGTGTCGCCACCGTTCCTCCTCTCCTGGGCTGCAAGTTCCTTCTTGCGAGACTTGCCGCCTCTCCGTGTCCGCTTGCCTCCATCATCGTTCTTCTGCGGGCTCACGTCCTCCATGGGCTTGCCGTTTCTAGTCTTGTTGATGCTTGCGCGTCGCACTGTGGGCATAGTCGTCTTCGTCTCGCTGTCAGCTTCCTCGGCGTCCGCGATGTCGAGCGACGAGAATGGGCCGGCCAGCGTAGCTGCACTCTGCTTCCTGACGCTGCCACGCTTCGCCTGCCCAGTGAAGGGAGACGAGGTCCTGGCCGGCGGCGCAATGGCTGCAGCCACGGGCTTGATGGGCGTGGCGGGCGCTTCCTGGGGCAGCGCCATCATGGACAGGCTAGCGGCTGGAGCATGCGGTGCTCGCTTGCCCATGCTGAGAATCGCAGGATCGACAAATGGTGCAGGCTGAGCGTGCGGTATAGGCTGGAGTGCAGGCTGGCGGAGGCCCTGGGCGGCAGGTTGAGTCGCAGGCTGGCCGCCATACTGCTGGGCCGGCTGTTGCGGGGGCTGCTGCGCGTGGTTTTGGGCATGTTGCACGTACGGCTGGGTGTTTGAGCGAGGCGGAACAGGCTGCTGCGGAGCAGGGACGGTCACGGACGGGGGTGCAGGGACGTTGACTCTGATGTCGGCGATCGCGTGGCCTTCGATATTGTACGAGTGGAGGCGGTGGCCGCTTGCAGGAAAGTACACTGTCACCCAGTAGTCAGTAAAGATGCGTCTTCGTGCAGCAACAGCCATGGGCGATCGGCGACATACCGTCTTGCAGGGTCAAGGTGGCATTCTGCGGGTCGACAGCCGCGACCACGCCGTGTACGAGCGTGTTTGGCGGCTTCTGCAGAGTCACGATGACCGGGATGCCGATGAAGCCGGAGGCCATCCTGCTGTAGCTTGCAACAGCAAGCTGGGGCGATCAGGCGGGAGACACGGGAAATTTGGGCTGCTGGCTTGACGACCTCTCCGGAACTGGACGGCGTGGAGGTTTGGTCGGACGCGCTCGAGCGCACTTTCTTGTGCAGGCACTGCAGGGTTTGGAGGGGCCAAGCTTTCCTTAGCGCAGCAGCCACAACGGCGCGAGCTACCGACGCTGCAGGTGCTTGCTGCACAATCGAGTGCAGTGCCGGCGCTTGATAGTGTTGGGATTGGACTCGATGAGAAATAACTGCAGCAATCCGTGTGCGATGCTAGACAATTGTAATGGCCACTCGTGGATGCAACCAAACGTCACTGTTTGGCGCAAATGTTCGCTGCTTTCTTGGGTTGGAAGTCAAGCAGTATACACTCAAACAACTTCACAGCGCCTGCCACACACCTTCGACTCACATGTAACTTACACAATGCAATACTGGCATACATGGGTATAAACTGAAGAAATCACAGAACGTTGCGACCAGATCTCCATTAACATTAACTACACGTACGACTAAATCCCAGGGTATCCATCATCACGCTGCTTCTCCAGGCCTGGAGGTCTTGTTTATCCCCATCAAACTAAGTTCCACATAGCAATGCCTCCGAAAGCAGCGCTGTAGGCCGTCTTGTTGTTCCACTCTTCATATGTCAAGCCTCTCGCGTCCCTGTCACAGAACCTTGTCACCGAGTAGACATTGACCTTCTGACCTGAACAGCCCAACTCAGCGCGGGGAACATCAAGCCACCATACCTGCCCGTTGGTATTGAACGGTCGATACTCGGAGTTGCGACCATCGACACCGCCGATGGACAACAGCATAACGAGTGGTTTGCCCTTGCCGTGTCGTGCGTTGTCCCAGTGCTCGCAAACAGAGGCGAACTGGAACCGTATGGTGGGAGGGCCAACAGCATTGTTGACTTTGATGTTAAACGACGCGGGCTCAAAGGTTCGATTGCCAAGGCCTTCCTGCTGTGCGTCTCCGTAGACCGTCACCCTGCCACCGGCATCGTCCCTCATAAACTCTTCGTAAGACAGTATACGCCCGTCCTCACGAAATTGCTGCGAGCTATCTCCAGGGTAATGTCTCATGCCGAAGTCCATATTGGACGATGCAAACTCCTGAGGACTGAAGGATCGTTTGTAGCCCTCGTTCTTGAGCTGACAGCCGAGGTGGCCCGCACCCCAACACGGGTCAATTAGCTTCCAAACACCGTTGTCGATCTGGCAAGCATTCCAGGCATGAGTCGACTTATAAGGAGGAACTGGATCATTCGGTCCAATGGGGCTGTGGCCGAAGCCTTTGCTAGCACCAGAGCAGACGATGCAGTTGAGCCCCGCCTTCAGTGCGAGAGCCGCAAAAAGACCGGCGTAGCCTTCGCACACAGCCTGAAAGTCGTCAGCTACCACAATCCAAAACTGAAGGCTATACATACCATGCCACTCGTGATCGTCTTCTCGGGAGTCGACGGTTGGATGGTGCCTGCGAAGAAGTTCTTCACATCGTAATCGACATTGAGATGCAGCCATGTGAAGATGGCCCGCGCCTTATCGGTAGCTGACGGGAAAGGATCGCAAAGCAGCGAAGCAAGATAGCCAACATCTGATGACGGCAGTGATTGGCGAGGAAACTTGGCAGCGTGGCTATCTGGGCCTGAGAAATCGCGACATATGAGACACTGCGCCACAGCTCCTGGCGTGGGCTTCGACGCCAGGATGGCGTCGAGGTTCGGTCTGGAAGAAGTCGGGATTGGCGGCGGTGCGCCATTGACCCCAGGCACAGGTCGACTCGAAGGGACTGGCGGCGGCTCGACAGTAGCCTTGTTATTGAAGCCTAGTGACAGAGCGGATCGTACGGGTCGTTGCGGCGGCGGCACGATAGCTCTCTTCATCTCAATCGTCGTCGCGGATCGACTAGGCAGTGCAGGGATGGGTCGTTCGAACGAGCGGTGCGAGGCATTTGAAGAGACATTTGCTGGTTGCCTAGGCGGCAGCGATGGTCTGGAGGGCAGAGCTGAAGGTGTGTCAGTGACTGCAGCATAGGGGCCGGTTTCACGGCACTCACCAGGAGCCGATGGCTTGATCTGCGGCGGCAACTCTCGACTGGCCACGACACCCCGCTTGCTCGTCATCGCGGCTCTCGTAGCACTCTTCGACTCCTCCTGCTTCTTTGGTGGCAGTGGGGGCAGTTTCGAAGGGTCGTACGCGGGTGCGCGCACCTGGTACAATGTGCTACCGTTGCTGCCATTTGTCTTGACTGAGCCCAGAGAGAGCGTAGAAACACCCGAGGCGATCGTGGATATGGATTCAGACGACTCGCGCCGCGTCACGCTGCGGTCGGAGGAACTGCGCGGGGGCAAGGCTGGCGACTTCTGGCTGTGATTGCGGGGTGGTGGACGTGGTGGGAGCGCAGGCGAGACTCTCGGTGCGGGCTGCTCGATTTGCGGCTGGTTGCCTATGCGATGTGTCGAGGTAGGCAGGCTGTCTTGTATGGGCGGGTTGTTCACGGTCTGGTGCCGCAGCTGGGGCGGCCGATGCGCCGGCGGAGGTGGGGGCGGCTTCTTCTTCGCAGAAGTGACAGCATCGTAGCTGTAGGTTGGGCGCGAGCCAGGAGCGGGTGCGTGGACTTTTTCCAGATTCAGCGCCGCGATGCGCGACTTGATGCTCTGCGGCTCGACTTCAGCCATTGCGTCGAGGCTTGGAGGATTGTGGAGTGATGATCTGCGCTAGGAAAGGCTGGGAGATGTGGCTGCTGGGAGAAGAAAGCGAGACAGCGAGCAGTGCGAAAGAATGAACAACCAGCACAGAGGCTTACACCCAGACAAGCATTGTCGCGGTGGTACGGTGGTCGATCAGGCAGGGCTGACTTTTGCCATGCTCATCAAAACGGGGATCCAATTCACAGTCAGGCAGCCTGCGCCACGGGCTAGGCTCTAGGCTCCGGCAGTGTGGGCCCGCTGCCCCACCTGCCCCAAGCCGTTCCTGCCGCAACTCCAAGACCCAGCCGAGACCAAAATAGATCCAGGTGACTGCTGAACTCAGGAACAGCGTCAGCCCTGCGCAAGAACCACACGATGTTCACTCAGAAAAGAGCATCTACTATCCAAGATGAGCGGCCTGGAGTTCACATTGTACACCAGTGAATGGCAAATGAGGTGTTTCCTCGAGTAGTACATCACTAAGCCCAACGAGACGCTCGCTTACCGGTCAATACGGCTCACCGGTCGCTCGTGCACCTCACTCCAGACGTCATGCGGAAGATCAACACGAGGGGTTATTCGATACCGTTTCTCGGACTGAATATCGCATCGGTATAAACTCAGAGGCATAGGTGAGAGACAAATGAAATGGTCTGCCGAAGCACTTTTGCCAACCCAGACACTCTTCCCAACCTCATCCTAGACCACCAACCATCTATACCCTACTCAATCTGCCTCTCCATAGCGCCAACATAAAGACAGTCCGGTAGATACGACTCCAACTTGAGACATATGGAACACAGCTTATGTAAGGATGCGTTTGGGGCCGCAAGAAAACAATGCTTCGCTGCGCTGAACGAGTATTCAAACAAGCGCTGAAGGATAGTGTTCGTAGGCAACAGAGATGAGTGCCTTCGAACCGCTGGGGGACAGGCGGAGGACTACGACGAAAAATGATAGAGTGATAATGCGCAACGTACTCCGCTGTCCGGCGAACTGATATTTACTTGCCATGTCACCTCTTGCGCTTCTTGCTCTTGTCGAGAGCGCTGGCCGTGAGCGCAAAGTGTGAGGCATCGGCCGGCATGCCGTGGTGCTCGTGCATGGGCGGCGGGCCCATGGAGGTTATAGCTGGAGCTGTCTTGACCGAGACGCCCATATGGCGTCCATAGCGCCCCTTGCGACCGTTGCCCTCATCCTCACTGAGACAGCCCTCAGCACCAATGCCGGCATCCTTGCAACGCTGGCAAGGTCTCTGACGATCGCACCCCTTCTTACTTTTACGGCAACGCTGGCATCGTGGTTTGGACGAAAGGTCCTCGTCGTCAGCACCGAACTGGTGCTGGAAGTTAAGTGAGGCGGTTGAAGCCTTACGCGATTGCGAAGGCAGTGAGGTAGGGGACATGGGTGGCTTGCTGGTGCCACTAGTCTTTGACTTAGACTTGGTCGAGAGCGAACGAGGCTTCGCAGGCTTGCCAGACTTGTTCGAGATTGAAGAGCGGGCCTTGGGCGCTCCAAACTGGACTCGCATCTCATCGTGCTGATGGGGCGCGATGTCGTCGCTCTCGCCTTTGAAGGAGCCGTTGTTGTCGTCGTACTCATCGCCACTGCTGAAGGCGCTCTCGTAGGCACGAACATGATTGTTGGCTCTCTCCATGGTGTAGGGCAGAGGAAGCTCGCTGCCATTCTGGCTGCCGTCATCACTCTCGTCGCTGGAAGAAGCAGCATCGGCCTGGCCGCTGAATGTGTCATCGAGCGTAGAAGTGGAGGTGCGGCCATGGGTGGAGAAGTTGGAGGCATCACCCAGACGCATCAGCTGGCGGGCAACATCTTCGTCAGAGATGACGCTAAGAGTGTGCTCTGGAGTTGGCAAGACTCCACCACTGTTAGAATAGCGATGCGTGTACTGACGCGGCTTGTAACCTGCTGTGCCGCTGGACATCGAGTACGGTGTGACGAGCCCATTCGACATGTATGAGCTATCGCCCTGGTTGTAGCTTTGTGGCGAAGGCAGGGGGTATGAAAAGGTCTGCTGATTCGTAGAGTACGGTGAACCGGCCATGTTGTTACCGCTGATTCGACGCTGCGGAGAAACAGACGAGATGGAGTTGGCCATGGGAACCTGAGGAGGAACGAAGAGAGGTAGCTCCTGAACGAGGAGCTGGTGTTAGAACAGATGTATAGCAGAGCTGGTCGAGAATCACTTACGGAGCTGTCAAACTTCGCTCGCTTGCGACGACCACCCTCAACGATGTTGTCGACACTGATATCAGCACTGGCCAAAGGCTCTTTACGAGAGCGACGTGAGCTAGAGACAGAGCCCTCGCCATCGCTATCACTGTACTCTCCATGCTGCCCGGCGAAGCTGCCGTGAGAGCTATTGCCGCGACTCTTGATAGTAGGGCGGTTACGGCGGGAGTGAGTAGCAGTCGAAGTGCTCCTTCCGCGAGGATGAGGAGACTGGCTCTGGCGCCTGGAGTGCGAGCCTGCTCTTGAGCCTAGCTGCTGGTTGAGGTTTGGTGGTAGCATCTGGTAGCCTTCCTCCAGAAGGTGACGAGGACGACGAGGAGACACCGTCAGCTGACGAGGAGCAGGTGAGTAGTCCTCTGCATCAGGGTCCTCTGCTGAGACTCGTACGTAGACGACCATACCGTGGTCGAAGTTCTCGTATCTAGCAATCAAGATGTTGGCATGGCGATCCTCAAAGATAACGCCCCTGCGCTCGTACAGCCCGTAAAAGTTCTTGACCGTTGTGATGATCGAGTCGGTGGTGTCGTGAGGGAAGATGTTCACCCTCATTGGCAGTCGCGCCCTGGCCTGGGGGGACTGAGGAAGCAGAAGCTCAAAGCTGACCTGCTTGGACGGGACCTGCTTGGACGGCGACAGGGAGTCGTGCGCCGAGGCCGTCTCCGTACTAGGATAGACGTCCATCATGCCGGAATCGCGTTCCTGTGCCATCATATCGTAGTCTGGGACGGAATGCCTTGAGTTGTGGTGGTGGCCCGCAGCACGGCCTTCAATGCTCTCCGTGGTGGATCTTGCGCTCGACACCCGAGGTTGCGCAAGGAGGTGGGAGACTTGCATACCACTGCCCCTGCCTCCAGGACTCTATTCTACAGCCCGTGTATAGTGACTTTGTGTGTATGGGTGCGGGCGATGGACCGAGCCTGTCGGTTGTCGCAAGGACCTCGGAGCGAATGGCGGTCGGGGGGGGAGGTTAATCGGATATCGAGTCTGCGAGCACTCCTATTAGCAGATGGCCCTCAACGGTGGTTCGTATGATGCCCGGCGCTCCCCATGATGGCTTCGAGGAGGCTTGATGGATTTGATGGTAGGGGACGTCGTCACCGCTGCCGGGTGGGCCGCCCTGAGGAAGCCGGCGACAGCAGGATTGGGCGACCAAGGGGCCACCATCAGAGACAGCCGCGTGTGCCGAAGCGGTCGCGCGGGCATACTGAGGGATATACATACCGGCTGAGGAGTATGTGAGGCCAAATGGGCTCTGCTGGGGGTTTGCGATGTGTACCGCCGCTGACTGAGGCGCCGGTTAGCGGTCGAGTGCGCCCGGCCAGATTGGAGTCCACAGAGCGCTGGATACCGGTTTCCAGTGCCCTGTATGGCGGATGATGGTGCTGGAGACTTACGAGAGAGTGGTTGTGTTGGCTCTGGAAGGTGGTGTGGAGAGGAGGAGGAGTGCGTTGGGTGGTCATTCGCTAATGACCTTCCGACATGACCACGACGCCAGCGACTTGGGAATGCTTGAGCGGCAACAATGCGCCTTCCTACGGCACTCAACCCTACGTATTGCTGGTCGCCTTTGCAGCGAGAATCAAATCAAGTGGCACATGTACTGCTTTGCGAGTGTTTGCGCCAGGGCGCATTCATCCCATCTCTATACAGCTGCGAGCGCATTGCACCTGTACTACCCCCACGCTCTGATCAAGACCCCTAGACCTATCGTAGCATGCTAGAGTACAACGAGGCCCTGCCCGGATATCACCAGAGCCATCTACTGCGGCGTTGGCGTATGCTAATCGACGTTACGTCGAGCCTCGGGGCGGCTCTTTTGCGCCCAGGGATCAGACCACAGGGACATTCAACCTGATAAGCATGCAAAACTCTAGCTTTCTGATATGTCGTTTGCGCAAAGCATCTCAAGACTCGCTGCGAAGGTGCTCGACAGTACATCGGACTTGGCTCCCAAGCTGATACGCCGCTTTGTTGGCTCATTCTCTAGCTCCAATGTGACAGCACGAGCACCCTGATGCGCGAACTGGAAGCCTCCAGGGTACTTCAAAAGCTGAATATCAGAGTCGCCTCGCTGCACCGATATAATCAGGCAGGGCAGACACCTCCTGTTCCCCAGGACGAGGGAAGCGCTGAGGCTTCGTTGGCAGCTGATTCTCGGCGTGCTATTGGAGAAATCTCCGCGCAACGATCAATGCTAAACGCATTCTGTGGGGATCGCGCCTTTGGATGACAACTGTCGATGTGATCGCCAGAACTTTCCGAACATGTCGATAGTGTTTGGAGGCATGCGCCCCGCCATAACGCTATGAACTCGGCCTGCTGTTGTGGATGATTCTGTGACAGCACAATCGCAAAGTCGCAGTTGAAGACCCACTTGTATGAGCAGCACACTCCTACAAAGTCGGTCTGCGACCTTAATCGCGATTCCCAAACGATTGAGACACTGGGCTTCCCGGCCCTGCATGCGCGTGAACGAGCTGCCAAACCAGACGTGAGTAGCGCCGAAGGTAGACTTATAGCTTTGTGGCATGGGTAACCGGCCGAGAACGATGAGGGGTCAAAGAATCGTAGCTCTCCCGCACTTTGCCCAAGCCATCTCAGCGCGGGAAAATAGTCGCGGACCTTTTGACAGGCCGATCTCTGACATGTGGACACAGCGCCATCTCATCAGAGGCACGGGTTGTGTCGGGGACCTGGAAGGTTCGACAGCGGTGTAGGTCGGCCCACCTCCAGCGCCCGCGGCGATGGAAGACAAAGCACGCGAACCACGGGCAACAACAACAAGCCAGTAAGAGTTATCAGACAGATACAAAGCAAACATCCTCTGCGACTCGAGCGACGGCGCAAGGGCCAGAGGACCGCAAGGCGGCAGGTTTGAGACTCAGAGGCAGTGCGCCGGATGGTTGGCTGTGCGCTGCGCATTGTGGGCCTCTTCTGCCCGGCGGGGGTGGCAGCGCAATGATCGCAAAAACATCTACGACCTTTCGCGAACGCTACCGCACAGATCTGAAACACTTGCGGGCAGTTCCATGCGTCGTCGATGAGTCTTCGTTTCTAAGGTGCATCACGTGCGACCGGGCCCATTTCGCGACAAAACTAGGATCCTTGGCGCGTCTCCTGACAGGTGCAGTCAACAACAGCATATCTCGTCGCACAGGTTTCGGAAACTTGTACAGAGGAGCCAGGAAGATATTTCACATGCTGAGAGTCTCCCAGAATATTTATTGGGGTTTCAACTGCAGTGTGTGGGGAAGCGCATTGAGTAAGGGCATTTCGTTGTTCTGTCGGTCGACGCGTTTGGATATGACGCCGTTGCTCTGGCAGGCGCTAGCGTTCCCGATGAGGCATAGATCAATTTAGCGGTTGATTTGATGCACGGCTTCTGTTTGTTTACAGAGCTCGACCCGTCTGCATATATACTTTGCATCCAGCCCGGCTGCTGTTGTCACCACCACGTCTCGTGTCGCCCCACAACCGCTGTCCGAGTATCTCATTGCCACCAAGTTAGATGGAGAGTTTTGTTATATCGCCCTCTGTTTTCTAGCGCTTCGACACCAGCACCGCCCCTGTCGAGCTCGTCGCCAACACTCATTGCGTTCGCGATCGCTGCCAGGACCAACATCCACTGAGGGACTATCAACATCAATTGACAGATACACAGCAAAATGGATGCAAAGGTGAGTGCGCTGCTTCTCCCCTGCCTTCACCTCGTCGCGGGGCCGTGCGACTAGCCTATTGTTTACCGACGCCGTTCGAATTCGATACCAGAACGTTTTTGCACACACACTCATCATCACTCACTAATACATTCCTTCAACAGCCGCAACGTCCCTTGCGCGGCCTCCGTGTGCGCGACGAAAACGTGCCACCTCAGTTACCAGCCGGGAAAGCTCTTAAGCAGGGCAAGTCTGTGTCTGCGCTGAACGGTCTCTCAATGCCAGCTGGAGCCATCAAGCCGGCCGCTAAGCGCGCCCCTTTTGCAGATGTCAGCAACACCACAAGGCAACCATTGGCTAAGGACGACATACATCTTGCCGGCAAGAAAAAGGAAAACCTGGTGCTGAAGGATCCCATTGTGGTCACAGTCAAGAACCTCGAGAAGCCTGGTGCATTACTCCGCCCGGCGCAGCGACCCTTCTCGACTACCTCTGCGAAGGCGAACGTGCCAGTCAACCTCGAATCTGTCGAAGCTGCTGCTCCAAAGCAAATTGCCATCGAGGCCTCGACCAATGCCCGCAAGATCATCATCAAGAAACCCACGACTGTTTTCCATGAAGCCGAGGCTGAGATCGTACCTGAGGCTACCATAGCAACCGTACCGACACGGCAAGCATTAACGTCGCGGACCACCTCATTTCCCGTCGAGGACCGTGCGTCCGAGCCAGCAGGCGTTCGGGCAGTCGAGACCGAGGTCGATATCAATGCGCAAAAACAGGTGAAGGCGGTCAAGGTCGATGCCGAAGAAAAGTACGAGTATCTCGATGCTCTTGAGGAGCAGGCACGCGTCATTGAGCAGGAGCGTAATGACGAGCTTGCAAAGCTCACCCAAGAGGAGTACTGGGATGAAGATGATGAGGAAGAGTACTACGACGCCGATGGGTATACAACCGCCAGGTCTCTCCGTTCGCGCGGCGACAACACAACTGGTGGTGTAACGTTGGTCCTTGCGCCGCGTGTCACAGCAAAGACTCAGCATGAGCTTGAGGCCGCGAAGCGACTCGTCGAGTCCACTAGGTCCGAAGAAGATATCGAAGACGAACAGTGGGATACTTCGATGGTTGCTGAGTATGGTGACGAGATCTTCGAGTACATGCACAAACTGGAGGAGAAGATGAAGCCCAACGCCAACTATATGGACCACCAAGCCGAGATACAATGGTCGATGCGATCTGTGCTGATGGACTGGCTCGTTCAGGTGCACAACCGCTTCACACTCCTGCCGGAAACACTGTTCCTCGCAGTCAACTATGTCGACCGCTTCCTTTCCGCCAAGGTCGTCTCTTTGGGCAAGCTTCAGCTGGTCGGCGCGACAGCCTTGTTCGTCGCTGCCAAGTATGAGGAGATCAACTGCCCTTCAGTCCAGGAGATCGTCTACATGGTTGATGGTGCCTACACTGCTGATGAGGTCCTGAAGGCTGAGCGCTTTATGCTCAGCATGCTGCAATTCGAGCTGGGCTGGCCTGGCCCAATGAGCTTCTTGCGCCGCATCAGCAAGGCAGACGACTACGATCTCGAGACAAGGACGCTGGCGAAGTACTTCCTTGAGATTACTGTCATGGACGAGCGCTTCGTCAGCTGTGCCCCCAGCTTCTTGGCTGCCGGCGCTCACTGCCTGGCTCGTTCCATGCTGAAGAAGGGTGACTGGGTACGTGCTCCTGGCTGTTTGTTTTGATATATGCTAACGACCACTAGTCTCAAGCCCACGTCCACTACTCTGGCTACACGATGAGCCAGCTTCGACAGCTTGTCTCGTGCATCATGGAATGCTGCGACAACCCCCAGAAGCACCATGCCGCGGTCTACGAGAAGTACACCGACAAGCGCTATAAGCGCGCATCCATCTTCGTCGAGACAGAGATTGCAAAGGGCTTCCAGCTTCCCTTTGCCTCAAGAGACAGTCTTGCTGGTCAAACGTGGCGACGAAAGTGAATACCCCCTTGTTCACGTCCACGATGGCCCTTGACTTTGGCACCGGTTCTGACGAGCTTACAGGTGTCGCATGACAGCGCACTTGATCTCTCACCAGAACGTTCATACCTCCAGCAATCACCAATACGGCTACCATCGGAATCTCCTTCATTCTTGTTTATTGCTTCCAGACAGTAGCACGAGGCGTTTTAACGGCTTTCTGGATCATGGCCAGCACCAGCAGCATCCTCAGCCAACAGCAGCTCGACCGTCATTCGGAAGCTACGGTTTTGCAGTCTGACAAACTTCAGCCATCATCACAAGCGCTCTCGGCCTCAGCATAGCGAGCATAGCGCCTTCACAGCACCACTTCCCTTTCGAGTATATTTTCAGCATTGCAAGCGTGGCGGATACATCACGATGACACGAAGTCATGAACATCAGCACAGCGCACCAGATTTTAATTCCCCCTCATCACGGCGTGGGAAGGTTTCCTTAGCAAGCTTTCTGGCATCTTGTCACATTGGTTCAGTCTTGGAGGCTTTGGTTCTCAAGGAGTATAGACAGACATCGCGCTATGTGCGAGTCGTCCGGGGTCCTCATCTGCTTTGGCGTCATGCAATCGTCCCACGGACGGGTAGTCGAAAGAAGCTAATTAATGATTGTATCCTTGACAAATCTGCTGAACGTGCATGTGACGGAACCGACTGTGACTTGTGCAGATTGTCGTGCAAACCGTTACACAGGTTGCGTTTCAGAGCACGACTCTAACAGGGGTGGCAGAGAGGAGGACAAAGGAGCTGTTAGGCAGGCTTGCTCGTTTCATCGATCAGCATTGGTTCCTGGTTGTCTAATTCCGAGCTGCTATCACGTGTGAAACTGTTGCTGGGGGCCTATAAGACGGTCGCCTGGTCAACTGACCTCCAAGTAGACCGACAAAGCGGTCTCAGTGACTCATTGCCTCCAGATCAAGCGTTCGCATACGGCGTCGCCCCATCAACCAGCCTCCTTCCAGCCCGCGTTTGTGCGCTCAGCCAATCGGTATCCACCACTGATGCCTGCCTCGCCGTGCGGTCGCTCGGGTATCTCAATGCTTACGTCGGCATAGGGTTGGTCCGTGAGTCGTTGCCTCCGTCCTGCCCTTGGTCGGGTGAGGTCTTTCGCTTGCGTGGAGGGCCATGTTGAGGGCTCACTGCGACGCGCCCTCTGCGGGTGCAATGAGAACGACCGAATCACCTGTCCAGTATTAGTGCGGGTCTCACGAGTCTTGAGCATCTGCCACCTGCCTCGTACGAATAGCATCTCGCTCTGCTTCTTCACCGTCCGCACGCGCGGTTCCTGGTCATCCTCCTCCTCCTCCGCCACGAATATTGTCTCTTCGACGTCGCCGAGAACGAGGTTGCAATGCGAGTCGTACGCCTGGACTCTTCCATTAGCTTCTGACGTTGCGCCTCGCTGCTGCTGCGCGCAAACTTACGTGTAGTCTGCCCTTCAATTCGCGATCGCCTCGTAGTTTGACGACGACAATCTCATCAATGCAAAGGCGCACGAGATCGAGGGGCTCGTTGGTCTCTTCTTTGTCGTCCATGGTGGGAGGTATGTTGCTGCGCTGCGCCGTCAATGATCAACGCGAGGTTCAACTTTGGTAGCTACGATCGTCTTGGCGCGGGGACCTTCCTCGCGAGTACTCAACGCTAGCCGGGTACAGTCACTAGCGCGCTGGATTGCGTCAGGCCTTGGCTCTGCGACTGCTTGATGTCTCAACAACCACCACGACCGGAGACAATCAAAAGACAATTTTGCTTCACAGATCGCTGACACTCGTTTGGAGAGACACACAGTCGATTTCAGCTAACACTGGCCGTCCAAGCTGCGGATACACATCGCCCCACCTCGACCACCACCATGGCTGAGCCACAAGGCCAGACACAGAAGGAAAAGGAGGAGCACCCACTCTTGGCAGCACGCCCGCCGGCCACTGATCCCATCACATATCTCACGATCGTGGAGTACAACCTCACAGAAGAGAATCTGCCAGTCCTACACCAAGTCCTCCAGGATCCTGAGCTGACAGCTAACATCGGCTGGGACCTGATACACCTGCTGCTGCCTCTTCTCCCAGCATCCGAGGAGTGTTTGCAGGATATTGCAACCAAGGGTAATCCAAGAGAATGTGTGTTGAAAGTCACAGAAGCACTGCGGCTACTTCAGTTTGAGGAGCCTCGCGAAGACACGGATGACGAGGAAGAGGAGGCTGGCGAGGAAGGTGGGGTGAAGCTAAAAGTCCCAGATGTCGGAGTGGGAGAATCGAGCACCAGCCCAGCTTTTACACGCACAGTTCTACCGCCGTTGCCGGTGCTCAAGTTTGAAATTCTTCTCAACTTGCTGGCTACGCTGCACAGAAGGGTCAAGACAAAGTTCCCAAGCCGTTTCCTATCGACCAGTCTGCAAGCTGTCCTTGTTGCATTTAATAGGGCCACATCGCATCAGGAGGAGCTCACGCTGGCTGGGATTAAGCTTGTCAAGACACTTTCAGGGACTAAGAGACCACTGCTACCGTCCAGGCGCAGCAGCGGCAACCTACTAAGCCGGACGAACACGAACGAGAGCCAGGCCGATCCAGAAGCCCAAAGTGAAGCGCCAAATGTCGATGAGACGACGCTCGTCAACCGTCTTCTCCAGTCGTTCATCACGCACATCCTCGAGGACTACGTGCTCTCGCTGACTTCAGACGATGATGTCCCAGGTCTTTCGTGGGCCAGCAGATTGATGGAGAAGTATGAGCCGTTAAGAGTTCCAAACAAGCCAAACTATCAGAAGTATGCAGATCGCTTCGCTGAGGACGAGGATCTGAGATCAAGAACTGCTATTCTTGGGCAAGTCGTCGCATTGGCGCAAGACTTGGGGTTGAAGACGGAAGAATTGATCTCGGCTGTCCTAGATTCGGAGGTGGAGAAGAGGGGCGTACCAGGTACAGAGGATGAACCGCCTGCTACTGCTGCCGACATACCCCTATCCAGGACCGGAGCGCTCATACTGTACACTGCGCGGAACGTGAAGCAGGAGCTATACGCAGCGGCTCAGGGCGACGACAGGTCTTCATTCTCGATCTTCCCAGATCACGCAACAATACTCAAGAACTTCGTTGGCATCCTTGGCCCGCAAACAGTTGGTCTTGAACCTGAGGCTTTGCTAGATACCATTCTCGCCCTCGGTCTGATTGCTCTGGATAACAACAATGTTGGCGAACCGCAAGACGACGAGTCTTTCGCACAATATCTCCAGACCGTATCACTCATCTCCGCCAACAACCCTTCGCCCAGTCTCCGAGGTCATGCTCACTATCTCACCACAACGATTCTGCGCTCCCATCCCCACGACCTGGTCCGCCTCACGTTCATCCGCGACACACTTGAGCACTGTCCGTACGAGAATCTCAAAGCAAGTGCCGTATCCTGGCTTAAGGGCGAAACCCTCGAAGCCAACGGGCCGCACGCCGACACAGACGACGATGCACAAACATCCATCTTCGCGACCCCTGTCGCACTACAGACCGTCGCACCCTACCTCTGGCCTGATCTCAGCACCCACTACGCCTCCCTGAGCATCGAAGTGAGCGACTCCTGGATGCAATTTAGGCAAGAGCTTGGTTTCTACGTCGCTGCGCTCAACTTCTACTACCTCCTTCTGCAGGCGCGGCATCTGCATGAGTCGCTGGCGGTTAAGAGTCTGGATGTTATGCAGTATGTTGGCCCGTTGAAGGATGTTGCTGCGAGGTTTAAAAAGGAGCTGGCGGAGGGAGGAGAGCTAAGTGCTGTCGTTGAGGAGGGCGAGGCGAGGGAGCAGGCGCTTGCTGATGTCGGGTTGCTGCAGAAGGTCATCGAGTGGGTTGAGGGCCAGGAATCGTGTTCGGGAGCAGAGCGCCGTGCTTGAGTAGGTGGTGCAGAATCTAGGCTGAGTCGTAGTATCCAGAAATTGCTATAAGTCAATAACTATACCAACCAACCCGGCGACTTCTAATTACCCCAGGGTTTGTAGTGGTGTGAGATTGCGTAGCTGTTATCTGGCTGCCATGTCAAGCTCATACACTGCAGCGCAGTTCCACTGATACTTCCCGAAATTTCTGCAAAAGTACAGTCCCAGGTCGATGGTGTTCTGAGTGTTCGCGAGGCTATCACGTGCCTGTCTCAATCAGCGTCGACACGAGTTGCAAGGGCAGGCTCGATACTGGAAAATCTGCAAAAAGAAGATCTTTGCGACCGATATGGGACTCGAACCCACAACCTTGGCCTTAGGAGGGCCACGCGCTACCATTGCGCCAACCGGCCAGCTTGAAGCTGATCTTGTTGTGATGGAAGGTGGACAAATTTAAAATATTATATATTAACACTAAATTGAATACCCACTCTCCGAGGCACATCGTTTGCCCGACCACCGACTCTTTGTCCGTGTCAGCACCGTGCGTCCTTGCGTGATGCTTTGTTTGCTTGGTGTGGGGTCACTCGGTAAAGTTGGAGTGAGGTAGGATGCAGATTGATACCATCACAAGAAAACATACACGGTCCACGACACTGGAAGGCCGAGGGTTTTGGAAGGGTTCGGTTCTGGTAACGCATTAGGGACGAATCACGCAATACTGAAGTCGATTACAAATAAGGCAGGACATTAATTGGCCCTCATTTCGTTTAGCAGAGTTCTACATCAGCATTTTGCACACAAATCCAGTTTGACTACACTGACTGTGCCGACTTTCACACATTCTGCGGTTGGCCACAGACTTAGATCGTGAGGTTCGTCGCCAATCAGAACTCAGGCCCTCGCCTCGGAGGCTCACGGCAAGGCCATCGACGGTCGCGAAACTTTTACGTTTCGCTTCCCACTCCGCAACTCACAACCTCGCGTAACAAATTGCGCGCAGAGAACCGCACAAAATGGTATGCGCACCGTAAAGCTGCGAGTCCTGGGCATCGGGATACTGAATACCACAAAAGGTTCATGCAGACGCGTCCGCCTTTGCTGATGGCCTGACTAAGCAGGAGGTGTACGCGCAGGTCCTGGAGCAGGCCAGGGCGCTATTCGATGGGCAGAGGAATTGGGTATGTATGAGAGGCGATGCGTGGAGGTAAACAGAAAAGAACAAAGGAAAATTCCGCTAACGAGGAGTAGGTCTGGTACGTACAGCATTCCACAACGTGTTTGCTACACCGTCAAGGCGACTGCAGCGCAGCAGCAGGAATTTGTACAGGCTAACGTGAGAAGCAACTTTGCAAACACAGCGTCCCTGCTCTGGCACGCATACCACTCGCTGCCTGGCCCGTCGTCCAGCGTCAACTGGAGCGGCTTCTACTTCCTCAACCCGTCTCGCCCGCAGCAACTCCTGCTCGGCCCGTTCCATGGCCAGGTAGCATGCCAGACGATCGCGTTTGGGCGCGGTGTTTGTGGCGCTGCGGCGAAGACTATGCAGACGCAGCTCGTGCCTGACGTAGAGAAGTTTCCAGGACATATTGCGTGTGATGGCGCGAGTAAGAGCGAGATTGTTGTACCGATTGTCAAGGAGGGGAAGGTTAGTGATCCGGCTCTGAGTGTGCTGGGAGAAAGGTCTAATTGATTGACTAGGCCATGGCCATTATCGACATTGATTGCGCTGAGGAAAACGGGTTCGATGAGGAGGATCAGAAGGCCCTTGAGCAGCTGGCTGCTCTACTTGCCGAGTCCTGCGATTTCTGAGCGTGCGGCAGCATGCGTGAGATGGCGATTTGGGATTGAAGCGGTGTTGTCGTAAGAGGAGAGTTCAGTGGCCTAACATGATCATCGAGACATCATGGCCATCTGGGAGGATTTCTAGAACTGCCTAACATGATCAATAAAGACATTATGGCATACTCTTGACTCTGATGCCGAAAGAGCATGCTGAGTTACGGAAGGGCAGTCATGAGGTCCAGGACCCTGGGCGAAGCCCAACGATTGCGAACATTGGTTCACTCCCGACTCAAGGTATATCTGCGCACAATTCCCTCCTTTCTCACCTACGACCAACTATGACCTAGCACAACACGGAAGAATCTACTCAAAATATATCACAAAGTTCCGACAAATTGCCTTTTGCCTGACGCTCGCAACGCTACCCCGGTCGCCCATGGCCTCGCAAGCTGGCAGCACTATCTTCACGAAATACACAAGGAGTATCAGTGCATCTGACGCTACCTCTGCGTACAGCACCACCACGCCAGTAGCATCTCTACACCCGGACCGTCTCCTCGTCAATGCATCATCAGCTGGTTCTCTAACCGACAACCTCGAGGAGGCGCCTCACGGTCGGGAGCAGGGCGGCGAGATACATGTTGTATGTATGGGAGAGGAGGATGCCGAGGCTAGTTTGGCAGCGACCGAGGACGAGACCGAGCATGAGACGGAGATTGAGACGGAGGGTGAGAAGAAGCCGAGGAAGCAGAGGGAGCGGGAGCGTTTACACGACTTGACGGGAAACGGGGTGGATGAGATTGCTCACTCGAGAAAAACGTGGAAATGGTATGACAGAGTTCATCGTTGTAGGTTGGTGGTCAACTGGGAGATTGAGACTCTGATTGTGGAGTTGAGTGTCGTTGCGATGCGCTGCGATTGGTGTGGGAGACATGCAATCCGGGCAAGACCGGAGATGATGTGACGGCGTGTCAGATCTGCAGGCAGCCGAGGGGAGCGAAGGGACCGGAGGAGGGAGGAAGATATTTGATGACGTTGATGATACTATGCGCCAGCACTTGTCGTCACGCCGGAGCTCGTTTCGGATTCTGTTGGCAGTGAAGCGTCTTCCGCCGGTGACTGAGTCTTGTTGTAGACGTCCTCATGTTGATTTTTCTGTCGAAGCCATGGTTGTCGTCATGGATGAGTTGTCTTGCTGCCGAGCATGCTCAGCTTCGACCGCGGGTGTATCTGTCTCTTTCGCGCTTTCGTCTGGTTTATCGATGATGGGGGAAGCCGCAAAGGGCAAGGAAGGGTGGCAACACGCTGAGCGGGCGCTTGGCGCGATGTGGTGTAGGAACTGCATGTTGAATGGTTTGGGCTTGTTAATCTGGCGTGATGGCTTTGAATTTGTGGGTATAGGTTCGTGGGAGTTTCTGCTGGAAAGAGACGGTTTGTGAAAGATGGACGTATATGGGCGTATATTGGAGACGAATCATTTCGAACCCTGGAACACAACTTCCCACGGAATGCCGTCCTGTTGTGATATCACAATACTCGAAACGAACGAATTCTGTAGCCCGTCCCCGCAGAACCGTAATTCTGTGGTGCAAAAGCCTAGCATCGAACCGTTATTCCTACACCGATGGCCTTTGGGGTACTGCTTGCAGTGTACGTGATTGACGACGCGGTAGTGGTTCAGGAAAATAGTTGATTTGCTACATGCACATGTATGCGCTGTCTCTTCTAAGGATACCGCCCAAAGCAATGGTCTCGTCAGGATGCAACAAAAGAAAATCCGGGTGCATGCCAGCACCAAACGCCTGGCTAAGAGATACGTGATGTCGACTCCTGTTGAGGTACGGTCGTCTGCGCGACTTCAAGGGGGAGGCAAAGTATATACAGTAGAAGTGAAGTCATAATGAAGCCCGACCAAGGAATAGTCGGGCTGAGGATTGGGGTGAGGTGGGTCGAGTGAAACTCGCATGATCAAGGAAGATCAATGGACCCACTCGGGTTGTCTGGGAGGAAAGTAGAGCGACCTCGGCCTAAGTTTGCCGTGACGTGGCAAGTGGGTGATGTTGTGAGGAATGGGGTGTCGAATGGGATGTCGAATGGGGTGTCGAATGGGATGTCGAATGGGGTGTCGAATGGGGTGTCGAATATATGGTCGAATGGAGCGTCGAATATATGGTCGAATGGGGCGTCGAATATATGGTCGAATGGGGCGTCGAATATATGGTCGAATGGGGCGTCGAATCGACTTGTTTGCCTCGTGCTCACAGCTCCATCTCTTCAATGTCTCGCATGACGACTTGTATCGAGGCACGTTTCGCGGCCTCTGCCAGCAGGGCAGCCGAGTTCAAGTAGGCTGCGGTCTCGTTCTGAGTGGAACCGGCGCCCTGTCTGTTGGGCTGGTACTCGTAGCTGGGATGTCTCTGGAGCTGCCTCGGGTGTGGCTGCGATTGCTGCTGGTGGGACTGTTGCTGCTGCGGCTGGTTCGGGGAGGCGAACGAGTACTGCTGCTGGGCGCTGGGCATGGCGGGCGACGAGAGCGGAGCGGCCGACTGCAGGGAGGGCGAGGCAAGGCTGGAGCTGCTGCTGTAGCTGGAGATTTGGGCACTGGAAAACTGCAGAGGGGCGACGGCTGGGCGGGTGGGAACTTGCTGAGACATGTCTCGGGCGGTGTGGGTGATGTGCGCTCGGGGAATTCGAAGAGTCTTCTAGTTCTGGGGAAAAGAAGAAGTTTCGAAAGAGTGGAGAGGGACTACTGTATACGTCGCGCACACGGGCGTGCTTGGGGCGGCTGCGTGGGGTTAAAACACCCGTGGTATCGCCGAAGCGTGCGGTGCTCGGCAGTGAGCAATGTATCCAACGGTCGCGGAGCACGAAAGGAGCAGCTGTGGTACGGAGCAATATAACCAGCAGCGGCTCAATGAGGGCAGATTGTGGGCAGATTGCGAGCAGGTTGTGGGCAGGTTGTGTGGGCAGGGTTAAGATCAGAGGGCGGCAGGGAAGAGATAGGACGAGCAGACAATATTGGCGGCGTCTGAGCCGAGGCTGGCTCTGGCATGCCCTTTACGGCTTTCCGCGCTACCTCGTGAGTCGTGAAATATTCCGTCACCAGATGCACCGATGCAAGAGAGAGGGCCGGAGAATCCACCGACTCAGCACTACTCGCGGCCACACGGACGGTGAGTGGCTAGCAGCCTCGTAGCCTCCGTACTACCTGCTGGCGGCTTCATCTGGCTTCGCATTGAGCACCGCGGCCGGTCGCGCAATTCCATCGCAGCGTCAAGAGTCAAGACGATCGTTGGCGGGGTTGAAATTGGAAATTGGAAATTGGAAATTGCTGCTAGCCCTGCGCACCGGCACTGTCACCGTCACTGTCACCGTCACCGTCACCGCCGCCGTCGCCGCAGCGACACGACTGCCCAACATGCCTGTGAGCGCCGGCGTCCGCCTCCCTCTGCGGTCCCGTGACTAACACGCCGCAGCTCGTCCTCGTCTCAGGTACGCGCTCGGTCGGTGGTGCTGGCAGAACCGACACTTTCCAGTTCCTGACTCGACGCTAGGATATCCGTCCGCCGGGAAAACCACCCGCGCGCTGCAACTGAAAGCGCACTGCGAGGCCAAGATTGCCGCAACAAGTGCCGACGCCCGCGCCAGCCGTCTCAAGGTGCACCTTGTCAACGACCAGACGCTGGGCGTGTCGCGCGCCGTCTACCACACGGCGAGGGCGGAGAAGGATGCGCGCGCTGAAGAGTACTCGGCCGTCAAGCGCGTGCTCTCGCGCGACGACATCGTCATCGCCGACGGGCTCAACTACATCAAGGGCTTCCGCTACCAGCTGTACTGTGAAGCCAAGGCCGTGTCGACGCCCAGCTGTGTCGTGAGTCGCGACTGTGCCATAGTATCTGCAATGTCTGCATGCTGACCGCCAGAGGTCCACATAGGCACGCCCGCCGACAAGTGCCGCGAGATCAACGCGGCGCTGCTGGCCGACAAGGACCGCGATGGCGGCTACGACGAGGAGGACTTTGAGAACCTGATCTTCCGCTACGAGGAGCCCAACGGCATGACGCGGTGGGACAGCCCGCTGTTCATCGTCGTGCCAGAAGACGAGACGGCGTGGTGCGACCAGGTCTGGGACGCGCTCGTAGGCAGCGACGGGAAGGCCAAGGTCGTCAGACCCCACCAGGCGACGGTGCTGGTACGCCACATGCACACGTGCTCTGCCACAAGCACAGCTGACAGCCGCAGAAACCAGCCACGGAGCAGAACTACCTCTACGAGCTCGACAAGACCACCTCCGATATCGTCACCCAGATCACAACCTACCAGAAAGACCACCCGGGCGAAGGCGGCGGCCACGTCACCGTCCCCGATGTCGACCGCCCCCTCGAGCTCCCCGCGACGCCCATGACCCTCCCGCAGCTCCAGCGCATCCGCCGCCAGTTCATCACCATGAACCGCTCGCACAGCTTCTCGAAAGCCCGCATAAAGGAAGTCTTCGTCGACTTCCTCAACAGCGAGTTCCTGCGCTAGTCCACGGCCTTCTATACGTAGGCCTGCCCTTCTGCGCCCCCATGCAGGGCTCAGAGGCGTGACGCTGCCGCTGCTGCGGACCCGGACGCACGCTTCCGCTCTACCGAGACAGCCTGCGGAGATGCACGGCGTGAGGCTCTGCGTTGCATCCCTGCCGCTGAACAAAGCTTGTGACTCTCGACCTGTAGATCCGACTTCCTCCGATGCTTCGGCGCGATAGGTACACCACGGCGAGCGTTGCGAGATAGCGGCGGCAGTTTCAGCTCGGGTGATGTGGCGTGATATCCAGAGCACCGGGGGGCCTTACACGGGCTGAGCGGGACCGAGAACGGCAGTATCTCGCTGCCGCCTTCTGCCAACATCAGCAGCTGCGGTTCCGCATGTTGAAGGTGTGGCTGCTGAGAAGGTGGATGAACAGTGTCCGTCACTGAACGCCATGGATAAGAGCACGTCGGACAGAGTATCTCGACCAATCAAGCCCTGCATCTGACGAAAGCATCCTGCATACATCATGACACTTGAGCTGACATCGTAAACCTGCATGGCGTATCCTGCGCGCATTACCTTGCCATCCTGCGTGCATTACCTTGCCATCCTGCGTGCATTACCTTGCCACCCTCTCTCATGGACTCACCACCGCCCAGCCAGAACCGCGCAAAGACCCTCCAACCTGTTCTCCCCACAATCCTTCCCCTTGCAGCCACATGCACTCCTTCCACTTTTCCTCCGGCCTTGCGTCACACCCCGCAGAACGGCCCACGTGCGCCACAGCCCCACACCGGGGAAGCACCAGCCACATACCACACACCAACACACCAGCGCAGCGGGACATGACGACGGCGCACGTTATGCCAGTCGTCTTTCCCGACGTGACGCAGGAAAGTGCCTCCGACTCTGCGGAAATGGATCCGCGCCAATAATCCACTCTCACACCACGCGCCAATAATCCACTCTCACACCACGCGCCAATAACCCACTCTCACACCACGCTGCTATTCCCGCACCGATCGCGGCTGACGTGAACAGCTGGGCGCTGGTGCGTCACTGCGGGCATGGCGTTGGCCATTGGCCTTGGCTAGCGGACTTGGGGTGGCCGTGAGTGGCGTCATAGACTGACTTGCCTTGGATCATCTTCGTTGACCAGGCGTACGGGGTGTGCTGACGCGAGGCTGAGATACCGAGAGTGGAGTGGGCAGCGCTGTGCACAGCGTAGTGTCAAGTAAATCGGTTATCATAGTTGTACTGCGTACTTTTGCAAAGAAAAAAGTACTCTATTGCTTTGTACATGCGAAGAAAACGGGGAGATCAGAACACAAACCCTACACAGCGTCGCGTAACATCTCGCTCTTGCGAAGAAGGTGGTATCTCAAAACAGATGAACCGAAGGAAGACGCCAAGTCCGACCCATCATCTCAGTGTCGTAAAGTCCCCTGCCCCTGTACTCCAAAGCTTGAGCTTAAACCGAAATTGTCAAGTATAATCGTAGCATTCATAGCCCAAAGTTGCCGTCAAGTCCTCCAAGACCGGTGGGTGTGCTCATGTCAGAGATCATGATGCTAGCGTACATCCTGTCACTGCCGGGTGTGCCAGAATCCCACGAGTTGCTGCTGAACTCCTCACCGCTGGTCAGGCTTTCATCGCTGAAGCTAAGCACGCTCCGGGGAGGTGCTGCCGTTCCGTAGCTGTTCCAATCCCAGGCATCTGATGACCAGTTGGCGCTGCTGTCGGTAACAGTAGAACGGGTAAGGGGAACGTCGAGAAGGGCCTCTGCTGCTGGGCCTCCGTATATGTTGTCGTAGATGTTAGTCTGTCCGCCGTCCAAGGAGCCGAGTAGGCGCTCCCAGTCGGAGTTCGATACTTCAGTCTTGACAGCGGTGCCGTCGAGTGAGTAGCTAGCCAAAGCTTCGCTGTTGAATGAGAGGAAATCTATGTTGCGGTGGGCTGGAGACTGAGCAGTGAGGTTGGGTCGGTGCTTCTTGGACTGTGAGAAAGAAGCGCGGTTTTGAGTTGGTGGGCTCATGGTAGGCTCTGACCGGGATACATGTGGCTCGGAGCGGACGGACGAAAGGCTCGTCGAAGAGGGATTGCCGTGCACACCGACATTTGGCGAGATGGTAGGCAAAGTGGCACGTCGGGGCTCGTGCACATTGTGCCGACCAGACTTTATGGACCCTGGCGAAAAGCGAGCAGCAATAGCCTTAAGGGTCTTCTGCGTTGCGCGCAGCGTGTCCATTGGTGCGCCCATGCTGCCTTCCGAGTTGTGGCGGGACAGTGTAGGGGCGCCAACTTGAGGTACTGTAATAAGTGAACAGCCAATGCGGCGGAACTCCATAGAGCCAGCAGCAGCACCACGCTCAAGCAGGTCCATGACTGTGCAAACAAGGCGATTGTAATCCTTTGCTAGCTTGCTGTCACGCGCAAGGTTGATATTCTGATAGAGGAGACCAAATCCAGCCTGGACGAGGACCTCATTGCGGTTGAGGCAGAAAGAGAAGCTCAGCTTACGCTCGTCAAGTAACTGCACAATCTGGACGATGTGTTTGCTGGCGTCACCAACTGCGACCAGAGCAGATGAGCCCTTGTCACCGAGGTCAGCAACAACGACCGGGCGGTGGATCAAGGATTGAATGTGGTAGTAAGCAAGAGACTGTGTCGAGTTAGCGATGAACTAAAAGTGTTGACGAGGGTGACTTACGAGAATAGGTGCTCTGCTGCTCGTCACGTTCGTGCTGGGCTTGTCTTGCGCAAAGGTCAGCTTGAGATGCGGGGCCAGGTTATTCTGCCACTCCTCGAGCTCATCGGCCAAGGCACCCACGGTGCGGAACGAAATGTCGTGCGTCGATGAGGTCGGGTAAAGTTCAGCCAAAGCCCTGGACATGATGCGAGAAAGACGGAACAGGGCCAGCGCGCTCGAAAGTTTGGTCGACTCGCCGGGCAGGGTCGGCAGGAACCCTTTCTCCGTGACGTATTCATCATCGGCGTCCACTGGGTACTCGCAATGAACGTCTTCCTCCCTGATCAGATTGGGGAGACCAAAATGTGCGGCAGACAGGCTAGTGAGTGTTAGCGACAGGAGATCGACGCTCGGCACAGGAGCGCTCACCAGTCCACAGTGTACAGTGACCAGAAGACCTTCTTCCTAGTTTCGCTAGTAAGTGCACCAAGAGCGAAACGCTTTTGTGACTGATGCAGGCCAAGGCGTTGCGACAGACTGACGGCAAGTCCCTTGTACTTGAGCACGCGAGAGTAGTCGCCCTTGAGCAGAGAGTAAATCTGCGCAAGAACCAGACACTGCAATGTCGCAAGGTCATTGTCCATCAAGAAGGTATCAACGGCACTTTGCCATTGAGCCTCGAAGGATGCTACATCGTCGCCGTCGCGTGACTTCTTCTAGTCAGCAAGGCAATGGCCGAAGAGGGATGGGAACACATACGTCACTTGACAGCGCGGCGATGCCGAAGCACAAGTTGAGCTTCGCTATCGACTTGTTGTCGGTGAGCTCCTCCGGGTTGGAAACATACTGCTCGTATAGACCAAGGAAGGTTGGGCGATGAAGAACAGGGAACAGGGGTGCCCATTCTTGGAAGAAGATGTTGATCATCTGATCAGACACCAGACGGGGCGGTGGCTTAAATGAGACAGTGTGTTTTACTGATGAACCGGATGTTTGGGCACCGGCTCCAAAGAAGACAGCCGAGTTGATATCGTTGTTGAGACGACCAGTCTCCTGTGCCTTCTGCTTGAACGCTTCTGTAGTCTGTTAGATGCGTCAATGAGCGAGCCAGGTCATGATCATACCAACGAAGTTCCGTCCGCTTGAGTGACCAACGAGATACGAGTCGTGGTTTTCATCGTCCACGAGGAGTGGAGATTGTTGCACTTTGAAGGAGTCGTCCTTCTCTTGCAATTCCTCCCTGACTTCTGAAGCAGGTGGTGATTGCACGGATGGTCTCCGTCCATTTGAGAATGCTTGAGGAGAATGTGAATGGATTCGAGAAAGCATATCAATCTTCTCGTCTTTCTCATCGAGCAGCTCCTTCAGCTCGCGAACCTCAGCTTCCAATGATCGTACTCGCTCCTCGAGCGACTCTGTGTAACCTCTAGGAAATGCTCGGCGACTAAGCTTGTCACTAGTCTTGCACTCAAAGCCAACGTTGGTGCATTGTGTGCAGCTTGGGCGAATGCCGTCGCAGCGTATCTTCTTTGAGCGACATCGGTCGCAGGCTTGTGCAATGCGGGATTGGCAGCTCGACCCCACTTTGATAACTTTCATAGGCAATATTCCAGGCATGTTGGCGGTATTTTGTATTGTGCGGCTATCGATAGGTTGCGGCTCTATCGCTGGTTATGGCGGGGGCCCGCCAGGGGATCACTGACAGAACGTGTCACAAGCTGTCAGCATCCGAATAACCGGGTACAGGGACACAGGCGCTTATATGGTCGTTATGGTGTAATTTCCAGTCAAAATGTTGCGGCGTCGAAGGGGTGAAACGGTTGCGAAAAGGGTGACAGTACAGAGGGTGCGGGTGACTTTAGAAGGCGCGCGGATGGAGGGACGGCTGGCGCAGATGTAAGCTGTTGGTCAGTGTCTGCCCTAATTTAGTGTTCCGGGGAGGCGACTTCCAATTTGTGGGAGACCCCGGCGAACTGGGGAAGCGTGTCCATCCATGCACGGAAGAACGAGCAGCGCATCACTGGTCCGATGCTTTTTCGTCCACTGCGTGCCGCTATCCCTTGATGATGCAGTCGATCAATATGCGGGGAAAATATGCGTGGCCTCAGCCTTCGTTAAACGCTTCCAGCGAAGGGCGCTGTTGAAGCTTGGCAGCGAGACTATCCGTAGTGATTTGCGGGGAGGCCCTCACGATGCGACACGCCTGCTATGGACGCCGGCCCGAACGTTGTGACTGCCCGTACCAAGGTGCCATCACCTGCGTCTAGCCATCTTCAGGTCTTGAGCCAGACTCAGCGATCGATTCATTTTGGTGCAAGAACGTTTGCAACAAGTTGATAATGGTCTGGCAAATTGTAATTGTGGCAACGAGAGCGAGATCGGCGTCGACACTTGAGGTCTCCCCAACAACGCAAGCCTTAAGATCTCTCACCTTCGAGCAGTATGCCCAATCGTCGCTGAGCTCTGGCGCAGCCTGGCGCACTAGCCACCAATCTTCCAGAAGCTGGGCTTAGCAAGGCGAACACCACCAGTTTGGTTGCACTGACATAAGCCTACAATCTGTCATTTGCGGTAGATCGCTCGGGGCATCCTTCCACGAATCAGTGCGTTAATTGGACTATGCTTCGCAAGAAGCCCCTGAAACCTGGGGTCGAACTTTGGGGGATCTGGCGCTCATCATCAACGCTCAGCGGACGGATGCCGCTGTTATCTTGAACACATCGCGATCACTGCGCGGCTTTGGATTGATGTCAGTGGTCGTGTGACTGTGACTGCAGGATAAGGTTGTTCCAGTACGAACAATTGAAGATCAATACCGTTTCGAGTATCAGAGGTGCTGTTAGACTGGAGGCAATTGCCCCAAAGGGGAGAACACTTTGTGGTTAAATTCCAAGTGTTGTATGAATGGAGTTTTCACGGGTCTAAAAGTTACTGTATTGGTAAGACTGCCCTGATCGGCACGTCAAACATGCCAGTACATCAGTCCCTGCACATCTTTCCCGTGACAGGACTTGTTAACGTAGAAAGTCCCCAGGCCGGTGATTTCTGCCAGCTCAAGTGAAATCGACCTCCTCGGACTCCTCACCGAGACCAAGATACTGCTGGACGACTGCAGACTCCAAGAGTCTCGATTTCTAGAGCAGCTGTTAGTGAGAGACTTGTGAACGTTCCGCGGCGTGCTCGCAGATCAAGGCTGCACCCGGATATAGTTCGCAAACGCGTAACGGCAGAGGGCCTTAGCCTCAGAGCTCAATGCATGCTATACGGAGACTCCATGCACCCAAGATATACGGTAGCTTTAGTACAAACGCGGGGTACATGACACATTCTTACCTGACTTTCAAGTGCGTCCGTAGCCCTTTCGAGCATGTCCATTTCCAGGTTACGGAGTCGGCTCGCAAGGCTCCAGGGAAACTGGCGTATCGTTGCTTCTCTAGATGGATTCCCTACTGCTTTTAAAAGCGCAATCTGCACATCCACGCGACCCTGGAGCAACACCGTAGCTCGAAGGTGATAAACGTCCCATAACGGGTCCCCATGCAGGTGCTCCCGTAGCTTGCTGGTGTCGCGTAGCTCCTCGTCTCTCCAAAGAGATTGGATCTCACGCTTGCCCTCGACAGTCTGTCTGACCTTGAAGTCCAGTCCGTCTTCTTCGTTGACTATTACAAGCCAGATGAAGTCGCTTTCCCAGTCGATGGCTCCATCCTTCTCAAAAAGTCGGAAGCCTGGTGCTGCTGTGGAGACAAACATCTTCGCAGGACGTAGAGGGTCGTCGTCTGGAATGTCAATATTCAGAAGCATGACCTTTGCTGAAGCCATAGAGTCCTCGAGGAAGCCATACGAGAAGATGTTCTCACAAGCCCCTTTGTCGTCTCCGTATCTGTACCGTGGTCAGTAATGCACGGTCAATATATGACGAAACGTACGTTATGGTGATCTCTCCATCTTTACCTATGTCTTTGCCAGGCCGGAGCAGGAGTAGACCGTCACCATCTTCATCTGTCTCATAGAGAGCGGCAGTGGCGTCACCAGAGGCATGGTTCGCCATATCCACACATGGACACATGCAGTCACCTACACCCGGGAACTCTAACGCTCTGGATCGGTACATTGCATCGACACACATCCAGTCGTCAAAGTTGACAAGACCAGTGTCTTCATCCCACCAGTACCTTGCGCACCACTCAATCTTCTCTGTGGCGGTTCGTACAAGCTCAAACTCACGCAGCAAGCTGTTGAGCTTTGCACGTACTGCTGGCTGCAAGGTTGTGCCTGTGAGCAATTCTTGCTCCTCTTCAGACCAGAATGTTGGCAGAAGCTCATCTGGAAGGTACTTGATGTATTCGGTGAGAGGATTTAGCACGCCAACATCTTTGATATCCGGACAGCAGATAGTCGCTTGCATAAGAAGGAAGATAAGTACCGCACCTCTGGTTGTCTGCGACTTGAGTCAGTTGCTGGAAATTTGGTTGCAGGAATCATCACACCCTTCCAAAGTCTCCTGCGGCCTCGAGCACTTCGCGTAAGTGACGATCCGACTTTGCGAACAACTCAATGTTCTGTCGCGATATGATGAGCTCTTTCGGCACCACGAGAAGAGGCTCCACTTTGCCTCCCTCAAGCTTACGGTCCGCGATGACGGTCGAACCTCTGTCTTCAAAGCCTGGCAAGGGACCGATTTTGATGCCATTAAAGGAAACACCGTGGAAGGTTGCCCATGTTGAGAGAGTGTCAATTGGCTGCTTGAGCCACCCGTGGGCCCTGCCGGTACGGATCATGCTGGTGTGACAACGACAGCTCGTGGCAGCAGCGCAGGATCTGCAATGACACCTGCAAAGGGTACACGTTAGCAAGGCTGACTGGTGCTACTGCGTGTAGTGTACCGCCACGCAGGGCCTGATGCTCTTGCAAAGATCGACGATGGACCCTGTGATGTCATATACTCTCCCAACCTGTGCAGCGAGGTTGCTACGGTTCCCTAAGTGATGGCAATCTCCTGCGACCCTTAAGCTTGGGATGAGGCCCGCCGAACGAGCACGTGGGTACCGCAGAAAAACAAACAGAAAACAGGTGGCGGGGACAGGGGCTGGCCTCACCGCAAACCGTGCATGCGATAGGCTCTGGCCAAGCACTGTTGCGAACGTTGTTTTGATGTTGTGGTTGTCAGGCGAGCCGAAATCCCCGGTCTAGACTAGAGGTCCACCATCCCAAGGCGGCAAGGACGCAGCTTTGTTATGGGAGGCGCCGCCAAGACAGCTGCACGTAAACACCGCGGCTCATACAATATCTCTGCCACCACCATCGCCGGACTCCAGACATCATTACTGTTATTCATTCTCCGGACCATTGCAGGACAAGAAGCACTCGGCGACCGTGTTCGCAGCTTCACCACCCCGACTCCACCTCTCGCAATTGCTCTGCGCTGGTCCACTTTGCTCTTCCGTCCCAAGTCGCCGTCCTGAGTGTGTTCTTGAGACTTGCACCCGCAAGTGGTCTTCTGTCTTTCTCCGCGCCAGTTCAAGCATCAGCATTGCATTCTTCGTCATGTCTTCGCATTCGCGAGTGTCAAAGACGCCTCGCCCCAGCGCGGCCAGCTATGGTCAGGTCATCGAGGTTAGCACCATAACAAAGTCCAAAACAAAGCACCTAAGTCCGGATGCTAAGGCGATATTCTTCTAGTATATCCAAGATCGACTCTATCTTGCCTCATACACGCACACACCGGACGCGAACACACCGTTCCCTTACCCCAAGCAGCACGCGTCGCCCTCTAAGCGCTCATCGCGCGCACAAGCCGGACCCACGGCCACTGGCGCTAAATCACTCCCACCTGTGTACTTTAGCATCGACAAGACTTTGCTGTACAACGCCTTCCACGGCGACTTCGGTCCGCTCCACATTGGTCACCTTTACCGCTTTGCTGTCCAGCTGCACGAGGTCCTCGGCGACCCTTCGAACGAGGAGCGCGCGGTTGTATTCTGGAGCAGTGCAGACTCGAGGAGTATGTCAATATGAAACTTGGGATAGTAACACAAGCGCTAATATGTTTCAGGTCGCGCCAACGCCGCCTGCATCCTCGCCTGCTATATGGTTCTGATCCAGTCATGGCCGCCCCATCTGGCTCTTGCGCCCATTGCACAGATGGACCCGCCCTGCATGCCATTCCGCGATGCTGGATACAGCCAGGCTGACTACGTTCTCAATATCCAGGATGTCATCTACGGTGTTTGGAAGGCAAAGGAGGAGGGTCTGTGTGGACTCAAGGATTTCAGTCTTGAGGAATACGAGAAGTACGAGCGTGTTGACATGGGCGACTTCAACTGGGTCACTCCTCAGTTCCTGGCCTTCGCTTCGCCTCAGCAACAGCCCACACAAGAGATTCCCAAGTCTTCGCCATTGTACCTCACAGTACCGTCGAACATCGCCGAGGTTCAGAAGTCGAGCCTGCCCGGGCCCTTCAAGAATGTCCTCTCGCACTTCAGTGCACGCAACATTGGTCTGGTCGTCCGCCTGAACTCCGAGCTCTATTCATCGACCTACTTCGAAAAGCTAGGAATTAAGCACCTCAACATGATCTTCGATGACGGCACGTGCCCACCGCTGTCTCTCGTCCGCCAGTTCATCAATCTTGCGCATGAGATGATCACTATCCGCAAGAAGGGAATTGCTGTGCACTGCAAGGCTGGCCTCGGACGCACTGGCTGCCTCATTGGTGCCTACCTCATTTACAAGCATGGCTTCACTGCCAACGAGATCATCGCCTACATGCGCTTCATGCGCCCTGGTATGGTTGTTGGTCCTCAGCAGCATTGGCTCCACCTCAACCAGATGACTTTCCGGGAGTGGTGGCATGAGGACACCGTGAAGGCCAAGTTTGCCGAGATGATGCCCTCCACCCCTAGTGCGTCGCCTCGCAAGCAGCGCCTCGCAAGCAATGGCCAGACCTTCACACCACCAAACGGTTCCCAGAGGCGCGCCGCGCTCGGGGAAATCGAGTCGAATGAGCAGCGCAATGATGCGCGCTCGAACCTTGGCGTCCAGGAGGACCATCTGCCCGCGCCGACACCAGGTCAGCCTCGCAAGACTAGCAAACTTTACGGCACTGGTAGCGCAAGACAATCCCCATCCCGCATCGACGAGAATGAACCGTTCCAACGGTCGTCGACCGAAGCCAGGGCGGACTTGGCTCGTTACGATGGTGAGTCTGACGAGGAGTTCCATTTGCGCCAGATCGCAAGGAGAACATCATCTCGTTCGCCAGCTCGCACACCAGCGTCGATCAAAGAGAAGACACGTCGTGCCTTCAGCACAACTTCTGTCATCCACACGTCGGTGACTCACACATCGTTCGGCTACGGTGATGGCAGCGATGCCGAGAACACTGCACCGGGTCCGCAGACCATCAGCGGGCGGCCCAAAACACCAAAGGACAAGAGCGGCAGTGGCATCAGCGTCAGCAAGGTTCGATCGAGCCCACAACGAAAGAGCACTGAAGGCAAGACCAGCGTTCGCAAGACCAGTGGGAGAGTCGGCAGTGTCGGCAGCTCCATGGTCCGCCCCAAGTCATGAGCACTCTGGTCACGTTTGAGTTTTTGCATCATCGGTCTTAAGACACGAACGGCGTATCGGCATCATCACTTCTCATCGGCATTTCCTCTATCTAAAGGATACCAGCGGCACGAATGGGTGTTCAGCATTGTCGATTCAATGTCCCACAACATATGGCGTCTTACGAATGGCGTTTTGGATCACATGGGTGTGTGCTAGTCAGCACCTTGCGGGTTAGGTTTCACAGTCAGGCGTTTGGTGTGCTGGTTCCACTCTCTCTCGTCTCTTCTCAGTCACCGCATTGGTCGTCCTCATTCTGTCTTATTGTACTTCTGTCTTGGTTCTCTCTGCGGAATCCGGCTGCTGATGTCATGACATGATGAGGATAATGAGTACTTAGTCTTAACTACTTTGAAGTTCAACGACGTTCCACTTGTCTGATATAATGCATATGCCTCTTCCTCGGTGTGTGTAATCAAAACGAAATCTCGCTTCCCACTGTTCCGGACGTCCTTCCACTTCATCCTGATCCGCTGCCCAAGCCCTCCATCACAAGCACTTCGCCCGCCGAGTACGCAACGAGCCTATCCAGGTTGGCCTTCACGCCCTTCCAGACGCGGTGATGTGCAAGAGCAGCCCTGAACGATGCACCGTCTTGAGCAGCCGCATGATGCTGCCTGCTTCTAGCTCGCGGATACTGCAGGCGGAGTCTGGGGCGTAGAGCTGATCGGAGTCTTTTATGATGGTGGTGAGGATATCTTGGAGCTTTTGCTGGATTGTGTCTTCGACTGCAAAAAGGGCCATGGTTGTGGACTTGCCGGATGGGAGCGGATGGATCAAGGGCTGGCTTTTGAGATGTTGGATCGATTGGGGCTTGGTGTGGCGTGCCGCGAGACCGGGACAGCTGACTGTGTGCTCCCGGCTAGTGATCTGAAATAACGTGTGGAATTCTGTATGCACGAAGATGTATTATGAGCTCATGACGTGAGTCGCAGTCAAGGTCAGTATGATCGGGAATCATGCCATACGCTCTCGCACGCAGCTCTGCACCGTACCAAGCTCGCCAAATGCATCAAGGTAAACAACAGACCGTCGACAGACCTATGCAGTCGTCCTCCCAAGGAGTCTATTCGGATCCTCCTCATCAACACGCTCCGGCGTCGTGCTGCCACTCTTCCCCAGATCCTTGACGCCCTTGCTCTTACTCCTCAACCTTCCCCAACTCACACTCCTCCTATTACTCTGCTTCTCCTGCTTAACACTATGACTCCACCGCTTCCGCATCGGCGGTCGGCGATCATCCAGACCCAGCAAGCCCCTGATATCGCTCACCTCTACGTGTCCCCTCGTCGTCTTCATCCTGTGGACCCACGTGCACTCGCCGTTCTCGAACAGGAACTCGCCGCCGACCTGCTTGAAGTCGCCGCCCTTGAGGGCCTTACGGCCCGTCGACAGGCCCTGGAATATCGACTGCACGCTGTTGATCAGCAAGCTGGTGTGCATATATGCGGGCTTTGCACCGAGATCGTAGGTGCGTGTCATGCCTAGGTGATCGTAGATCTTGCGCGTGGGCTCGGCGTAAATGGGGAACGAGCAGCCGGTGGCTTCGGTGTACATGGGTATGAGCTCAGGGCGGCCGCAGCCGATGACGGTTATGGAGGTCGGTGTGGGGAGAGCAAGCAGGTCTTCGGGTGTCATGGAGGAGGAGAGGGTGCGGAGGTATTCCTGGCAGTTCTGCAGAGTCAGTATGGGGGCGCTGCAGATAGCGTGTGTAGCATGACTTACTCCGCAGAAAAAGTGTCTGATGAAGATGATTAGCTGCCGCGGCGCGACTCCTGATGCATCGTAGAGCTCTCTGAACGGCCGGCTCTTCCCTTGTGCGTCCAAGATAAGCAGATCCTCGACCTGCTTCAGGTCCTTCTCGGATGGCAGGTCATTGTTGACGTCGACGGTGCCCTCGAACTCCTCTTGCTCCTTCTGCAGTACTGGTGTGTCGCTGGCTGGCGAGAAGGGTGGCGTGCTGCTGTCGTGTGCCTCTATCGAATGTTTGGGGAGTGTCTCGCGCCCTGACGAGTGTGGTGGAGAGGGCGGTGTGGCTGAGCTTTGCGGCACCGGCGCAGATGTAGGTGGCAGAACGCTCTCTTTAGTGTCTATGGTCGCCATTTTGCTTGCTAGTATCGTAGAATCTGTATGCGAGACTATATCTCCCGCGCGCAGTCGAAGAGGGAGTTTGGCTTTCACGGAAGCCACGCTATCCGGAGCTAAAGCGCGTGAGGATGATCGCTGGACAGACGCGGCTGGGCAGCCAAACGACAAGGAATCTGTACGAGCTGACAGTTGGAAACGGGAAGGTGTTAGATGTATGCAGTCAGCAGATTGGAGGATGTACGAGTGAGACCCTGTGGTCGAAGACAAAACTTGAGGAAGCTCAAAGAGACGTGCGACAAGTTTCAAGACGCTTCGGGACGCCGCGACACGACAGCAACGTCAGCGGCTACGCAGCCCAGCGTGACCCTGAAAGTTAGTTTCCGCTGCCATGTTAGCCCAGGGGGACACTGGGGATGGACCTGGTTTGGGCTCGACGCTGCTTAGCCTGCTATTGATCGTAATCTGACCATTTGTGGGTGGAGGTAACTATCGGTGAGACGATGACGGCGGCTTCAGACCTGTCGCAGCGCCCTGCAAGGACCGACCAGGGTTCAACACCAACCAAGCTCTAAGCGAGGGTCAGCATCGCGACTTCCTCACCACCACTCATCCACGGCAGATGGTGCTAGTACACAATTGGATTCCATTTACTTTTGCCAAACCGCTTTTTCCCGTGAACACCACTGGTATCTCATGCAGCTCTAGGCCTGCCATCCGTTCGCCTCACCCATCTCCCGTCTCCTACTAGCCTTGATCCTCTCGACAGCCTCAGCATACTTCTTGAAGTCCGGGAAGTCAATACCCTGACAGTCCTTCTTGATCTGCACCGCCTTTCCCCCAGCCACGACGCCCATCCCGAAGTCGCCATTGTACTCACACACCAGCGCAATATCGAGGAACACGCCAGCGAGCCGGGCGTCCCAGCACCCCTCCTTCTGCAGCAAGACGGCCGTCTTCAGTAACTTGTTTGCAAAGTCAGGCTGTTTCGATCCCTCCGTGAGTCTGAAGCCTCGCAGCAAACGAGTCTCCCGGTCGAGTTCCTGGATTTGCAGCCTGTTCTCCGCGCTCTTGTACGCGATGCTCGTCTCCTAGTCACCGTCAGCTCTTTTACTTAACTTATCACCGCACGCAATAACATATCGTGTAATCAGGAAGTACTCACGTCCCCTTCGTCCCCACAAGCAGGGCAATCGCACACGAAGCCATAGTGCTTGAGCTCCCACGCACGGAGTCGCTTGTCGTGCTCCATATCCACGTAGCTGATGGTGATCTCCTCGCCGGCCTTGATATCGCGCATGGTGTGGATAGTCTCCTTGCCTATACTGGCGTTCCAGCTGAAGCAAGCGTTGGGGTTACAACTATGGTTGAAGCGTGAGGTGTGAAGGAAGACTGCAGCGCCAGTGCCCATCTCCATGCAGTTTGTCTGAAAGATGGAAATCAATGTTGCTTCGCTGCCTGTTCGCGCAGCATGCTGCTCCTCGATCCTCTGTCTTTCCCTGCCGGTGACACTAAAGTGGATTTTGCTCGGCCAGTTTGAGAGAAGTTGGCCGTGGCCGCTGTGGAGAGTGAAGTATGCATTTTTCCGTTCCTCGGTGAGCGAGGAGAAGACGGCTTCGATGTCAGCCTTCATGTAGTTGGCCATGGGGACGATGAGTAGGGGGGTGTCAGTCAGAATCCGGGTGCCGCGTGAGATTTGGCAGAGGGCCATGCAACCGTAGCCTTTGCCGGGGAGCGCGCGGATGGTGTAGTAATCGTTTTCTGTCGTGAGGTCAGCAGTGAGCGCACTATTGCAAACGATCGTGGGATGTACCAGGCGCAACTGGGATGTTGTCTGTTGATGCAATGGCGCTGTCGCTGAGAGCAGACATGGTGGGTCGGCTTAACGTTACAGGTGGAGTGCGAGGTGGACAGTTGCTGGTCTAGAAGGTATGTTGGCGATGGAGGAAGTTGGTAGTGAGGTTACCCGTTTGCTGGCAACCCAGAATGACAAGCAGATTCAGCGGCGAGGGATGATCAAATCACTCTCTGCCTCTCACTTGGAAAATGACTTCGAAAGTGTCCGCAGAGATCAAGTTGAATAGTATGAAAAAGATGCCGAGGCTAAAAAGTTATAACTACAGGCAAGAAAGTGCACCATGCTCCCAAAGAACGCCGCGCTGTGCCCATTATCATACAATATATCCATCCATGGATTTGTGAAACCATTATTGCTTGTGCGCAAGCATGAGCCGTACTGCGTACTTTGGCTTTCCCTCTCGCATCACCCGCCAACTATGGCCATTAGATCCTGGTAGCACCCTCAAAGTATTGAGTGCGGTTATCTTCGAAGCTCCCCTCCTTCGGCGTAGCCCACACCTCTGGGCTCACCACCTCACTATCATCCGTGCCCTGTCTCCTTGCCTCATATCTCCCCTGTCGTGGCGTGAGCATACGGTCCTCGACCCCGGCGCGAATGCTATCCGGGCTGGGCGTAGGATACTTGGGGCTAGTCACTGCAACCGAATTCGCATTGACGAGTCTACTGACGAGGTTATGCAGCGTGGCAACTTCGTCCTGCAGCGCTATGACGCGCGATTCGAGCGCGAGGCGCGCGGTGCGCTCGGAGTCCAGCAGCGTGTGGAGAGACGCGAGATCGCTGGTTTTTTTCGTGACGGTGATGGGTGCCGCGTCCTCGGTATGCGTCAGAGGCGGCGAGGGCGGACTGGCTTCGAAGCTGAGGTTGCTCGTTGGCGCACTGGTGCCAGCTGCGGGGAGAGGTTCGCGCTGGTGGATGCTGACCTGGCTTATAGAGCGGGACGTGGATCTCGTTCTTGTTCTGAGATTGCGGGGCGCGGACTCGAGGATGATGGTCTGCCGGCTGTTGTGCTGCGAGATGCGGTGCAGGGAGGATTCGAGTATGTGGACGTTCTCCTCGAGGTGTTGGACACGGTCTTCTACGCTGAGGCGCTTGGAGCTGCGCGAGGTGGTCGCTGGGCCTTCGAGTTGCGCGAGAGTTTCAGGGTGCTCGTTTGGACTGCTGGGCTCGAGGTCGCCGAAGTTGAAGGCAGAGACGGGTGGATGTTCTGGGGTTTCCCAGTCCTGGGCTCGAGGGGCTGGCTGCTCGGGAGTGGTTGGCTCGTGGGCGCGCGGTGTATGCTCGTTTGGCGTCAAATCTTCTGGTCCGACGAGTGTTGCACTCATGCCTTCATGAAGTGATTCGGCTTCCTGTACGACAGGCCCTTTGGTGTGAACGCTTCGCACTGTCTCGACTGTCCTGGCGGTTTGCGGTCTTGTGTTCTGGCTATACACACTCCCTGAAGCATAGCTCTCTCGCCAACTCTTGATCACATCGGTCCTACTCTGATTGGTTTCGCTGGAGAAACGAGCCTTCGCAAGCTCTCGCAAAGCACCTGCACTTCTTGACCTCCGCCTGTCCTTCAGGGAGGAAGGTTGCGTCGCTTGAGGCGGGCTCGATACTGCGATGCCAATGCCTGGCGACGGTAGAGGCTCATCCTCTCGCTCTTCCCAAGTTGACAATCGGCCTCGTGGTTCATCGAGACTGTGCCGCTGAGCTTTGCCACCAGGCATGTTTGGTAATGTTGCTCTCCGGGCACCGGGATCGGGTCGCTGGAAGTCGAATCTGAGATACTCGTGTGGGGGGCTTTCTGGCGGCGCGTTTACATTCATTGGGTATGGTAAGGAATGTAGCGGGTGCGGAGGCTGCAATTCCTTCACAGTCAGATCCGAGATTCGTTGGGCACTTGGTGTCAGAGGTTCTGGTGGTGCTGTATGGGCCTTCTGTAACATGCCGGGATCCTGAGTAGTATTAGCACACAGCTTGTCATTCAATTAGTCATCATCACATACGCTGTGGTGGTAGCTATGCCCTCTGCGCGAAGGCTCTTCGTTCTGCTCCACGATGCGCTGTCGTGGAAGCTCCTGTGATTCGCCTCGACTGTCTTTACGGCCAAACATTTTACGAAATACACTCCTGATTCCGCTCTTGCGTTTCTGCTTTTTCGCATTGATAGTCATATTCGACTGAGAGGGGCTCTCTGGCGTCGCGCGGAACGGTGTAGGCGGAGTTTGCGGCCTTGACTGAAAGACACTCTCCCTTTGACTCGTAACGTAGCCGTCGGTTGGATGCATCCCCAGCGGTGATCTGAGCGGCGAACGAGCCGGATGCTGGTCGTGGAGCTCCAGTTCCTGTCGAGCATAGTCCTGGTCCTGGCTCACCGTTTTCATAGCAATCTCTCCTGTGCCGTCTTCTGGCCGTAATGTTCCCTGCGAATTGGGAACCTGTCGTATGGTGTGGTGATGCGGCGCGGGTACATCTAATGCATCCTCCTGCCGCTTCTCGCCGCGCCTTTCAGCAAAATTCCTCTCTTCCTCGTCACTTAGCGGTGTATCCTCCTCGATTGGCATCGGCCCACTGATCTTCAGATCGCCGCGTCGAATGGCCTCGACTTTCCAGCTCGCGCTCCTGGGGCGCTGCAAACCGCCGTGCACGCTCATCGTGACTGCGATAGAATCCTCTCGAAGCTGCATGCGAAGCGGCGTTATGCTGCTCTAATAGAGCAGGCTGTGGGAAATACCTGCAGATGACCTTATGCGGATGAGATTGCGCTTGCGCAGATGTTGCAAGGTCACCCTAGCGAATACTGTAGGACGAACCACCGTTTCTCAGCATTACCAACGCGCGGATAGGAAAGTTGCTCTTGGGTAACTGTACATTAGAAGGAGATCCTAGCAGCGAAAAGGTCCGAGCCAAGTAATGTTGACGCGATGGTCGCGTATGAAACAGGTGGCTAACAATGCGGAATGGAATGGACTATGTACCCTAGTTCTGGCTTTGAAAGCAATTGCGCAGTTCGAAGAGGCTAAGAATAGTACGCAGAAAGAAGGAGACGTGAGAACGAGCGACGGATGTAGAACAGCACACGTCGGAAAATATGAAGGGGTGTCTGATGGAATAAGTATCAAACAGCAGCGTCACGTAGCAGGGGGTAGGGGCGGGGTGAGCAAATAGAAGAGGGAGCACCGCCGGCATCTGCGACAACGTCCTCTCTAATAGCAACAGCTCCAAGGCCCCGGCAAAATTATTAGGGCCCGGCAAAATGCTCTACAGAGGCGCGCTCGTAGCAGCAATTTGCGTGGGCATCACGGTACGAGCCTTCTCCAATCGATATCGAGCACAGACGTCCACGCAGTCGGTGGTTGTGCTATCGATGTCTGAAACAGCACGCTGTGCCGAAAGAAGCTCAGTGCGGAAGCCATGGGGGCGTCTCACATGCCTTTCGAGAGTCCTCCAGCACGGAGCGGAACCCGAAGAATCAACGCGGCGCCATAGCTTACACCCTTCACGGGTTCGCGCAAGGTTGCGTTTCGACGGGCTTCCCAAGTGAGCAGTTTGAGTGGTGTGTGCGGCGCCTAGTGCACATCAAGAATCCTGGTCTGCATGCATATAGTGTTTGAGGACGTGCATCCTCCAATGCGCCAGCGACGCGTATTGGACAATGCACACCCCCAGGCACCGAGTGAGAGCCTGGCTGCATGAGGGACAGGAGCAGTCCTGGCGCCCCGAGGGCAGCTTAACCGCAGCGCTGAGACACGAATGACGAATTCCCGCCGTAGGTGCTGTGCTGCTGATAAGGTCTGTGAACGCATAAAGCGTGGCTGCACAGGTAAAATTGGGTGCTCAACGTTCGATAGCACTGGCTCAATAGAGGCTCGATAGAGATCCACGATTTGGGAAAACAGATATGGTACGACTTTAATTTACGCTGCTATTGGGATATTCTAGCGTACCACATCTCGGTGAAGTTTGCACGCAGCCTCGAGCTTGGCGTGTTGGCTCTTCGTTACCCCGTAGGCCAACTAGTCCTCTGCAGGTAAACTTTAGCGCATCTGCATCTCTGCTGCTCCTAACCATGCATATTGCACACTACCATGCTGCCATGCAGCAAAAGCAGAGCCTCGCCTGCGCTCTGCTCACCTATCGCGCGACCTTCTTGAGGCATCTGGCTTATACACCGAGTCTTACACCGGTATTTCTGACAGGCCTGACCCTCCAAGTGCACTATACAGCTGTCAGATGGACAGCAGCTGGCCATTTTGTCCCCGCGGCTTTGGTCACCAATCAATGCATGATGCGCAAATCTCCGCCAAGGTACGTTCACTGTTCCACCCGCATGCAGCATCTCGGCCTGTCTCGCTTGTCCTCGCCTCTCAACACCTCCACAGCCTCGCGATTACGTTGTCTCTCTCCACAATATCGACCTAGGCACCCCCGCTACTCTTACCGCTGTGCTGTGCTAATCATCGCCGGTATACACGTCCGCCAAATTTGGATACCGCAGGTCAGCATGCTCCTCGAGATACTCCATCCACTGCTTCAAGAACGCGCTGCCCCTGAGATGTGCGTTAGCAGCGTGCTTTGGGCGAGGCGTGCAGATGTCGTGATACGGCGAAAACGGCAGCGAGGGGTAGCAGGAAGTGTGGGCTTGCAGGTGCGGGATGGACCTTGTCTTCGACATGCGCCACCATCCTCTTCACCACAGCGTTTCAACAGTCTTTCAGCCTGCCACACAAATCTATCTCCATCCGCAATGTAAGCGATACAGGAGAAAGGTCATACGTACTTGCTAATCGTCTCGCTGTCACCGATCACGCAGAGATGTCTCTTCGGTCTTGTCATGGCGACGTTGAGTCTCCTCTTCTCGCCCAGAAAGCCGACTTCATGAACTGAATTGCTGCGCACCGTACTCACGACAACAGCTTCTTTCTCGCGGCCCTGGAAACCATCGACAGACCCGAGTTCGAGCTGCGGATGCTTCTCCTTCAGCAGACCGGCGAGCAGCGCTAGCTTGATGTTCACAGTCAGTTGTGGAAGTTTCGATGTCAAGGGAAGCAAAGAGGACAGGGATCCCATCGCCCACACTCCTCGGATCGGCGCGGCCGTACCGCCTACGATTCAACCTGCAGATGGGTAGGCGAGCAGATCTAAGGGCTTGCATCCGCGATCGCATTGATGAGGGAAATTCGACGTACCTGCGCGTTATACGGCGTAATGACGGCAATGTCCTCCTCCCTCACACCGGCATCGATGAGGTTATTAACGTGCATTCTGACCAGTGCGGCTTCGGCTTCGTTGCTTTTACTGTCGCCCAGACTCATGCCCTTGCCGCCCTTGCCGATGACACCCTCGTCTTCAATTTTCTCAAGGAAGTCGCCACCCTGCGTGTCCCAAAATACCAGAGGCTCTTTCGTGTCCTCTGTTTCTTCGACGTCGTAGGGGAGATCGGTGAGCAGGCGGTCTTTCACTGCATCGGCGGCGAAGAGTTCTGAGCCATAGAGAGCGTCGGACGGGAAGCGCATTATGGCTTCGTGCATGCGGTATTGGGTTGTGAGCATGCGTTTTATGCTGGGTCCGTGGAGGGCGAGAAGGCGGTCGAAGAGCGTTGTTTCGAGAGTCTTGCTGATGCCCGACGGGTCCCCTTTCACGCTTGTTGCGACTTTCTTACTAGCCTTCGACTCTTTCGAGTTCAGTGACTTGATCGTGGGTGGCAACTGCAGGTGGTCGCCTGCAAGAACGAGCTTGTTTGCTTTGACCCAGAGAATAGGGACCCAGCATTGTGCCTCAAGCGCCTGGCTTGCTTCATCGACAATGACGACGTCGAATTCCTGACCCTTGAGATGAAAACCTCCGGCACCGTGGAGTGTTGCGAGAACTACTTTGGCGCCTCCAACGAGGTTGTTCACACAGCCTTTCTCGCGCTCTCTGTATTCTTGACGCAGCTCTTTCAGTTCGGTGTAGATCTGCCTTTTCTCATGGCCGTTGCGGGTCTTGCGTATCGAGGCTTGTTTATCATCCATCTCTTTGCGTACGTCTTGGACTAGGGCTGCAGCTTCGGATGTGCGGGTAAGGACGTCGAGTGAGTGGTTCAGCACAGATGGCAACAGGCGAGCTGGATGGCCCAGTCGGACCATACTGACTTTGTGGGAAGCCAGTCGCTCGACGATGTTGTCTACTGAGATGTTGGACGGACCGCACACCAGAAGACGAAGGTTCTGCTTCAGTAGCTGCAGTATGAGCTCAATCAATGTATGCGTCTTCCCTGTGCCCGGTGGACCGTGGATTAGTGCAACTTCTCGAGAAGCCAGAGCAAACCTGATAGCTTCCTTTTGGCTGTCGTTCAAGCTTGGGTCGTTGAACTCTAGCTTGTGTAAAGGATGTGAGGGGTCATTGAGATCAGAGGGGAGGGGCGTAGGTGAGCCTTGACCGAAGAGCACCCTCATAAAGGGTGTGTACTCCTGCTCCCCGAACTTCTGCAGTCTGGTCATGGTTTGGTTCATCCTGTCAGGGATGAGTATGCGATGTTTGACGTAAGTCCTTGTATTGCTGCGAATGCGTACCTCTTGTAGGTGACATCATTCGCCAATTTGACTCTATATGGTGCATCAGCCTCTGTTCCGAATGTGTGCGCCGTGTGAATGCGACTGACATCCACAGCTTGCTCCCACTCGGCACATTAGCATCTTCTTTGTCCAGCACCACCTCAACGTTTTCGCGCCTCACCCGCAGCACCACGCCCTCTGCGCCCTTCTTCTCCAGCTCCCTCTTCTCAGTCTTCTTTGCGCTGCCCGCCGGCTGGTCTGCGACCGCTACAATGTCTCCAACTCGTATGCCGTGCTCAGGTATCTCTGGCTTGGCGCCTTTTGTGACCACCGCAGGGTCTAAGGCAAGCTCCACGATGGTCTTGCCGCCCATGCCGGTTCGCACAGAGGAGACATTGAGATTCAGGATCGCGAGACCACCGCGGGCCAGGGCAGTCGGTGTGTGCGAGGAGAGGAGGGCGTCTGTTTCCGCGAGCTCGGCCTTCAGCTCAGCATCGAGCAGAACCAGCTGAGAGGCGGCGAAGGCCGGGATGTCTGTAGGGTCCGGCATTCCTGTTAGTTGCGGTGTGGTCAATGTTGATGTGGGCAGCTGTGAGGCTGGAGATGGTTTGTGTAGCTCTGGTGGGGCTTGCTATGACGCGCGCAAGCTCAAGGTGGAGTTTTTGCGGTCGCGGGCAAGCTCCCAACGTTTACACTGACGTTTCTGAGGATGCGGATCGCATCCCGTCGAGTCATGGTGAGGCTCCTCACGAAGAAGTCAAGTGCTTGCAAAGCAGATAGCCGGGTGCATCGAGCGTTCGAAGCTGCATAACCGCGTCGGCGCGCTAGCGATATAAGCCAAACCTCGCTCTTGAGCCTCCACCTTCTGAGAGCCTCTCATTCCATCTTGACGCAGAATTGAGGCTATACTCAAGTACCGGACGGATTGCTGAAGTGCTTAAACCTGGAGCGATATCGTACACACTCCAGCCACAAGCTGCAGGACGTCGGTATGCTTACCGCTCTTATACTGCGGTGCTCGGCAATGGAGAGCGAAGGGAAACAGCCGTGTAACTACTCAACTTCCTCGAGACCGGGAATTGACAGAAGATTCTGTCATCTCACCACCAATTCGCTCGTAAACCCATGCGTACTTATGGTCCCAAGGCAGTGATGTGTAAAGAACAGCCGTGTCCTTCAACCGGAAGGGGCAACTTTACCCGACGCGCCTTCCAACTCAACGCGACCCAGCGCGCTGCACGGCTCCAGTTCCGCCCATGTGGTAAACAACTCCCGAACGCATTGCCCAGCCTATCCAATGGTCAGCAGCCGCTCTCCAGTGCCCAGCAAATGCGCCAGTTCCGAGAGCGGCGCGAGCTTCAGCCTCTTGACGCGAGCATCGCGCGAGAGATGCGACAATACCGAGCCTCACCCGTGAATGAGGGGCTCTCGCGGGATGACGGAGCCATCGGAGATACCCCACATCTTCAAATAAAAGGTCGGGAGCCCTTCCAGAGCCTGGAGTAGCCTACCAGTCTTCCTCTCTTCTCCTCTTCGTTCCGTCTCTGCAAACTCGAGACTGTATTCCTCACTTCTAGATACCCATTAACTCCATCGCACCGTCACAATGCCCGCCGATACCGTTGGCAAGGTACGTCAACAGTCACAACAACACAACAGCATTATTTAGAATCACGAAGCTGACAATTGCGTAGACCATCACCTGCAAGGTACGTTTTGAAGCTTCTCGGTCTTCAGTCTCGCTGTGGGCTCGCTCGCAAAGCTCCTCTGTCCGCCTTCGGTGACGTTTTCCCCAAGCTTGGCACTTGCGGATCCGCAGACTGCAGACAGGCATTGTGCGGCGGAAAACGCGAGCACTCAAGAAACGAGATTGTAAAAGGTACGAACAACTGTACTGACCAAAGCAGGCCGCCGTTGCCTGGGAAGCCGGCAAGGACCTCTCCATTGAGGATGTCGAGGTCCTCCCACCCAGGGCCCACGAGGTCCGCATCGAGATCTACTACACCGGTGTCTGCCACACTGATGCCTACACACTGTCCGGCAAGGACCCCGAGGGTGCTTTCCCCATCGTCCTCGGGCATGAGGGTGCTGGTATCGTCGAGTCCGTTGGTGAGGGCGTCACAAACGTAAAGCCCGGTGACCATGTTGTTGCCCTTTAGTATGTATTCCAGCCATCGAAGTACCTGACGACAGCTAATAGCTTCCAGCACACCAGAGTGTAAGGAGTGCAAATTCTGCAAGTCCGGCAAGACCAACCTGTGCGGTAAGATCCGCGCAACACAGGGCAAGGGTGTAATGCCTGACGGCACCTCGCGCTTCAAGTGCAAGGGCAAGGACCTCCTCCACTTCATGGGAACCTCCACATTCTCCCAGTACACCGTTGTCGCCGACATCTCCGTCGTCGCCATTACCGAGAAGGCTCCCATGGACCGCACCTGCTTGCTCGGCTGCGGTATCACAACCGGTTACGGTGCCGCCGTCATCACCGCAGGCAAGGGCGGTGTCGAGGAGGGCTCCAATGTCGCTGTCTTCGGTGCTGGCTGTGTCGGTCTGTCCGTCATCCAGGGTGCCGTCAAGAACAAGGCTAGCAAGATCATCGTTGTCGACGTGAACGATTCCAAGGAGGAGTGGTCGAAGAAGTTCGGCGCCACCGACTTCGTCAACCCTACCAAGCTTGGCTCCCAGAGCATCCAGGAGAAGCTCATCGAGATGACCGATGGCGGCTGCGACTACACATTCGACTGCACAGGTAACGTCAATGTCATGCGCGCTGCGCTCGAGGCCTGCCACAAGGGCTGGGGAGAGTCCATTATCATCGGTGTCGCTGCTGCTGGTCAAGAGATCGCCACTCGCCGTACGTATACCCACACTCAATGTACAGACACATATGTTAACAAATCTCACAGCATTCCAGCTCGTCACTGGCCGTGTCTGGAAGGGCTGCGCCTTCGGCGGCGTCAAGGGCCGCACCCAGCTCCCTGGCCTCGTCGCCGACTACATGAACGGCGACCTCAAGGTCGACGAGTTCATCACGCACCGCCAGCCGCTCGATAAGATCAACCAGGCCTTTGGCGACATGAAGGCTGGTGACTGCATCCGCTGCGTCGTCAACATGCGCGAATAACTACGCTCGGGCCCCCAAGACCAGTTTCTGATGGCCAGGCTTTAGTTTGGATTTAGTCTAATGATTTGTGAGTTGATGTTTGATGATATCACGAGTTGAAAGCGGGGTGTATAGAGAGAGGGGTAGTGGCGATGATGATGTTGGCGCTGATGAGTCTAACTCGAGTCTGGAAAGTGGTGTATATTTCTGGTCTGAACGGGCTAGTATGAATTTATAAAAGTCCTCCTTATGTCCCGCATGTCCTTGCCTGTCTTTGCGCTACTGAAATCGAACTTCAATGCCCATACTCGCCGCTGGCTGACGATAGATGTTTGAGCATAAAGTCGCTGGTCCTAATACAAATTTGCCGTTCCGACATGCACTGACCTCTCTTTCACTAACTATTCAAAACAACAGACTACCAGAACAATGTTTACGGTAGCCTCCTACCTCCTGCTATGTTCTGAACCCCAATTTCGACAAGATGGTTCGTCACATGCTGCACGACGACTTGGAAGGCATGCCATCCGCTTCGAACAAAGCATGCACTTCCAATTCGCGCCAACAAAAAGGCATAGGTATGGGCAATGATTCTGCTGATCCGTATTAAATACTCTTAGACTGCATAAAGCAGTCTGTGGCTCCGCTCCTTTTCTCCCCGTCGAAGATACGCTGTACACCTATAAGCCTAGCACTGTCCACGCAGCTCGCTCTCCCCACACAGAAGCGGGTTTGGAAGTTCTCAATGTCTGCTTTTGGGTGGGGAGGGTGCTGGGATGGGAGGTGTGTCTCTCTGAGAGGAGTTTTGGAAGCATGACTTTTCTGGCTTGGGGGCGCGATTTGATTGGGCTGATGAATCCTCCGCTGTATCAAAACGAGGGATTGATTTGTACCGACTGAGACGATCTGCTGGTTGGACATGCCCTCTAGCAAAATTCCTATTCTTCATCACCCCAAACACAGCCTCGAGCTTTTACCGACCGCTGCGCACCGCCCTCAAGTGCCTCGCCGGCATAAACCTGGCCATCTACGCTGACACGCTCACACACCCACGCAAGCTCAACGGTCCCATTCGCTTCCTCCGGCACAGCGAGGCTAGCCTCGAACTCAAAAGCGGCACCATGCTCCCCACCCCGGATTTCCCAGCGCACTTCGAAGCGCCCCAGCGGGCTCTCAAACCCAGAATCGACGCTCCTGACCCTCCCATCGCTCAGCGGCCTGAACCTCCACGCGCCCCACCCCACAATCTCCAGCCCGCCCACGCTCAGACTCAGCCCCACCGTCGGCCCCGAGCTCCATCCGTGGCTGAGCGAGGTATACGCCGCGTCGTGCTTGTACCCCGCGTTCCCCCTGTAGTAAAGTGAACCATTTGCGCTGAGTCCTTCGGCAAGCGTGGATCCCGTCATCAGCGGGCTGTCGAGCAGGTAGCCCCACAGCGTCCTCGTCAGATGCAGAGCGCGCTTGGGCCGGCCCGCCGCGAAGTGCGCGAGGACCTCGATGCTGGATACGAATGGGGAGATGGTGTCTGGTAGCTCTGGGGTGAGTGGGCCGATGGGGCCGTGGAACTTGGTCAGTGCTTGGGAGAGTGCGGAGGATTGCGAGTCCGAGGTGGTTAGGTTGTAGAGTAGGGCGAGTGCGTTGCCGTCTTGTGGATGTAGGGCCGTGGTCGTGTTGTCGCGGTACAGAGAGGCAGAGGCGTCCCAGAGGAGGGTGTTGTAACTGTTCTTCAGCCGTGTGGCGGCGGAGGTCCAGAGTGATGCTTGGGCGTCGAGAGATGGAAGTGTGGTGTTAATTGATGAGAGGGAGACGGCGAGGCTGGCGAGTGAGGATAGCGCGTGGAAGTCCAGCGCGTTGAGGGCGCTGTTGTAGTCCCCCCCGCCCTGGCGTGCCCAGTCGTTTGCCCGCGTTTGGAGATGCATGCCGACTGTGTTGTTGAGGCCGCGCAGGATGAAGTCCAGACCACGTGTGATGTTGGGCCAGTAGGTTTCTACCCAAGATAGGTCTGAGGTCCAGATAGCGTAGTTGTACATTGCGATTAGACTCCAGGCGTGGTATGTGTCGCTCTCTGCGCCGTTGCGAAAGCTACCTGTCGCGGGCCCGGCGAAGGGGAAGCGTCCGGTGGTCGCATTTTGGTAGTAGAATAATGTTTCTAGCGCGTGATAGACCGACTCGAGTCCGTCACTACCGAGAGCAAGGACAGCAGAGGAACCTTGAATCCCTAGATCTCCAGGCCAGATTGCTCGGTCTCTCTTTGCGCCGTCGACGAGAATGGGACCCGAGACACCGATGCTGTTGTTGTATGCCCATCCTGGTCTGACTTGTGGGAGCCAGCGTCCGGTGTCTTTTGGCGCGATGTTCGTTTGTACCGTATAGGCTCCAGCGTACCATGTCCTGACCAAGAGATCGTCGTCGTCTGTGTAGAAGTGACCGCCATAGTCACGAAGGTCGGGTGTGTTCGGCGCAAAGCCAATATCGCATGTGACATTGGTGATCTCGACGCTTGTCAAGGCATTGATGGTCAAAAACCGAAAGCCTCCACGGAATCTTTCTCGAGGAATTGTATAAAACGTCGAGCCGTTGGGTAGTGTGACATTCAGAGCTTGATCCCAGTCCTGAGTGGGTGTCGAGCCAGTGTCGTCAGCAATTGCGCGTACGAATGATGGAGACTCCGCGAAAGCTAACGAAAGCTGTGGCGAGGAGGAGTTTCCACCATGCGCTACGTTCGCGTTCAGACTGATCCATCCTCCAACTTCGACACCAAAGTCCAGGCTGATTCGGCTACCTGATGCTAGCTGGTACATGTCACTGGTGCTGTGCGAGATCGATACATTTCCATGATGCGAGTGCACAGCAACAGGTTTGACGGTGCGTGAAGCTGGACTGTAGTTATAGTTATCCCATGGCTTTGTTGTGAGGGTGGCGCTTGATGGCGATGAAAACTGCAAGACCTGAACGGCTGTAAGTACAGAGAGGACGGTAGTATGTGTCATGACGGACGTGAAAAACATCTGATTTTCTGACAGTTTACCTGCAGTCACTTCATATTGAGTCTGGGGATCATGCTTACAAGTTACTGGAAGTGTGTGTTCAGGCCAATAATGCGGGGTTGTAGGAACGACATGGGTCAGACGGAATCTAATCACAATTGTCTAGCGCCTGGGCGAATCATATCAGGCCTTGCAGTATGTGGTAGTTGCCTCGCGCAAAGATCTTCCGGCCAGGCCTTGGTACGGAGAAACTCTGTATAGTGATCAAGAACGAATGTCGTGACAGGTCATCTGAAGTTCATCAACAAGACCGTGTATTCATAAGGATATCGACAACCGTGACCGTCTATGCGCTCAAGCAAGTACACAAACGCCGGGTATCGAATCGACAGCCAAAGTCATGGCTCATCGGCAACATCACCCATCTAAGCTCGATTCAAAGTCGGTCTGCTGACTCGCTCTTTCATTGTCGAACGTGGAGTCGTAACGGTAGCGGTAGGGAACCTATTTACTCAAGTGGGTTAATGTGGGTTGAGTTCATTTTGAGCGGCTGACTAGCTGACTGCTCAGGTGTCGCTGTTCCAGATTTGACGTCGGGTGTCCCTATCCCAGGGAAAGGGCTTACCGCTCCACTGGGTGGCACAGGTATCTGGATGTCCTCCGGACTGGCAGGAATCATGCTTCGTGGAAGATCCGGAATCTTGATGCGTTTTGCGACGTTGTTGTAGCTCGAGGGGATGATCTAGGATAATGTCAGCAAACAAATTGACAAGAGAAAAGGAAGCGGGGCCACCGACCTCGATGATTTCATCTCGAGGGAATTGAAGCTTTGGAATGTCGGCTGCATTGCATGCCATGAGGTAGCCGTAAAGTACACGCAGGACTGACTCATGGGCAATGATGAGTAGATCGTTCTCTTCACGCTCGAGCTCGAGGATGATAGGTTCCATGCGCACAGCAAGGTCGTGATATGACTTTGAGAGGTTAGTAGGCCAACACGAGGCTTTTCACGCTTGACTCACCTCCGCTCTTGGGTATCTATGGTGGTAGGGATCTGCCTCATGCTTCCTGACTTCATCCGGGAGCTCTTGCCTGATCTTGCGCTCTGACATTTTCTCGCAGACTCCGGGATTCATTTGGCTCATCTGTGATCGCTGCCTGACACGGTAGCCCTTTGATGCCAGGTACTCGGAAGTTTGCACTGTGCGTCGGCGAGTTGAGGTCCAGATCGTCAACGGCTTTAGAGAAGCGCCCGATGCCCCCTGGTCTATCAACTTCTGCCTCTCCTCCTCCCGATACTTTAGCAGAATGTCGCTCATTTGCTTCGCGTATTCTTTTCCTTCTTCCGAGAGGTCTGCGTCGGCTTTGTATGAGTCTTCTTCTCGTGTTGTGCCAGCACGCGCAAAGTATGTTTGTCGAGATTTGATGTGCAAATTGAGTAGGTAGAAGACGATTCGTTGGGACAGGTAGCCGAAGGCGCAGTTATTCACGTGTACACGCTCGCCCGCGTTGATCATCTTGATCCAGTGCAGGTCCTGCTCTTCCATTGTCTCAAAGTGTGGTATTCTCGAGTTGATCCTCGCCAGATAGTCTCGCACCGCGTCCTCGTCATTCCAGCCCTGGTAGTCTGGCGAGGAGATCTTCACGCGGCGGACGTTCTCCTGAATGATACGCTCGTCGGTGCATTGCGACTCGATAAAGACAGTCTGGATCCCCTTTTTCGCAAACTCCTTGGCTAGTGATCTTCGACCTTGACTGATGGCATTCACTGCATCGTAGATGGCAACCTGGCCTTTTTCGTTCTCTAGGAAGTGGTAGATGTCGTCACGGCACTTCTTCAGAATCTTGTTCCGAAGCAGTACTGATTGTGGGGTTGCGTTTAGGAAGAAATAGTCTTCAGGCACGTCCTGATCCGGGCCAAGAGTTGCGCGACGGTAGTCGCCCAGGTGAAACACGTGCGTCTTGACACCCAGCCACCGCAAGTAACGAGCCACGGCGACCGAGGTGTGTGTCTTTCCTCGAGCGGGCAGTCCAACAGTGGCAATCACAATACGGCCAGAGTGGAAAAGACGCCCAGACTCAGTGCTGTACAATTGAGCCGGGGCCATGTCCTCTTTTCCAGGCAGATCATGGATAGCATCTACGAAGGTACTCGACCGCCGCCTGACGCGGGGCGAGTTGGCGTAGATCTCTGCTGTGCTGCAAGTGGTGAGCCCTGCGGTCAGGTACCCAAGCTCTGGCGTGCCGCAGCACGGGTGATGAGGGGTACACTTACAGTAAGGTATCCATGTTGAAGGGGTATGAATGAGAGGCCGCGAGAAGAGGAAGAAAGAAGGAAGGAATAATACAAGATAAGAAGATGGCTCGCAATCAGGGATCGAGCAAGGTGGAGGGACCCTGTTGAGGTGTTTTAAGCTGTGCAGCTGTGCGGACCAGGGTGTTGGGGCTGATGTGCGCTTGTTCGCCGAGCAGTGTCACTGACGACGTGCGACAGCAAGCGGCAGCAAGCGGCAGACAACAGCAGGGCAGCCTCCGCGCGGCAGATAGCGTCGCAGGAGGGTCTGGGGGAGCGAACGGGCAGTGCAGCGTGTTTTGGCGATTCCGGCGCAGCGGAGCAGGCCAAGAAGCAGGCCAAAAAGAAGGCCCCAGACATGTCGTAGCTATCTGATAGCAGCCGGCCGCCAGGGCCAGGCGCCTAGCGTGGTTATGTCATCACAGCTCCTGCTGAGAAAAGTTGTTGCCCAGCAGCGTCACTGCTGGCATCACGCACCGTCGTCGACAGCCATCGCGCATCGCCTTCCCATATCTCCGTCGCCATCTCACCCCGTGACGCGCGCACTGCTTCACGCCCAGCACCGCCAGCACCGCCAGCCCACGCACAGCCCACGCACAATCCCACACCAGCCATGGCCGCACCGCCGCAGATTGTCGTCGCCAGCCCGACCAAGGAGGAAGCCGTCGGCGGCGTCATCTCGCACAGCGGCATCCTGCCAGGCCGACTAGGCGAGCTCTACAATGCGTTCCAGGAGCGGAGAGCGGCGCTCGGGCTGGGCAACCCGGGCACTGTCGAGGGCATCGCGCGCGAGGTGCAGCGCGACGTGTTCCTGAACAACGCCAGCTTCAGCGGGCTGCGCGCCGAGCTCACCAAGGCCTTCAGCGCCGCGCCGCTATTCCAGGTCGCCCACAGCCTGTCCATGGGCTCGCAGGTGCAGCCGCCGTACTCGTACATGGTGCTCTACGGCTCACCGAGGGTGCGTCCACTCCTCGCTCCCCGCTCGCGCCCGCGCCGGCACATGACTGACAGGCCGCGCAGACGTTCATGCAGGGCAACCTCGACAACGAGATGCAGTTCTCCGGCCGCTTCAACTGGCGGTGGACCTCGGCCTTTGTCTCCAAGACGGCCGTGCAGCTAACCTCGCAGGGCAACATGGTCTCGCTCGAGAACGACTACACGGGCGCCGACTTCTCCGCCTCGCTCAAGGCCGTCAACCCCTCGGTCCTGGACGGCGGCATCACCGGCATGATCATGGCCAGCTATCTGCAGGCCGTGACCCCCGCGCTGTCGCTCGGCATCGACGCCTTCTGGAGCCGCCCCGCCGCCGCCTACCCGCCCGAGCTCAACGTCTCGTACGCCGCCCGCTACCGCGCCGCCGACTGGATGGCCTGCGGACAGATCATCCCCGACCGTGGCGTGCTCGAGGCCTCGTACTGGCGCCGCCTGACCGACAAGGTCGAGACGGGCATCAACTGCAACCTCGCCTTTGCTGGCATCGGCCCCGGCGGCCCCATGGCCGGCCCCCAAAAGGAGGGCCAGGTCGCCATTGGTGCCAAGTACGACTTCCGCACCACCTCGTTCCGCGCCCAGATCGACAACAAGGGCACCGTCGGCTGCCTGTTGGAGAAGATGATCGCGCCCCCGATCCGCATCACCTTCTCCGGCGAGATTGACCACAAGACGGTACGTCCAGCTGTCCCCACGTGCACATTGCAATGCTAACACCACGCAGAGCGCCGCCAAGCTCGGACTCGCCGTCGCGATAGAAGCCGCCGACGAGGCTGTCATGGAGCAGCAAGAGATCCCCGGCGCAGCTGCCCAAGCCGGCGCCATCCCCTTCTAAACGACTCTCCGCACAGCAACACCTGCATTGTACCGACTATAATCTCCTAAATCTTCACTTGCTGTATTACCACCATTCTTGGAGCGAGCAAGCGACGCAAACACGATTTCTCCTATGCCACGATATCCGGTCGTGGGTTGGATCTCATGTGCACATTTTAGCAGCACGCACAGCACGTTTGGACGTTTCAAAAGGCGCATTTATGGCATGCAACGGGCTGCTAGACGGAGCGACATGTCTGGGCGTTGAGCGCGGTGGTGGTGGTGGCTGCGCGCTGTATATATAGAGCATGTGGCATAAACGATCTGTACAACGCATGTACCAAGTTCCATGCACCTGTGCGAGTTCACATCATGTGCACGTGAGTCTGAGGCCAGATGCATCGCCGCAACCATGTTACAACGTGCTGAACGAGGCCGTGTGACGCAATACATTATGAGTCGAGGAATATTGTACAGATCGTGATAATGCAAATGCGCTCCCGCGCTCCTCTATGTGCACAGCGTATCGTATCGTATCTCCCCCCTCCGTGCCTGTGCACAGCATATCGTATCCCCCTTCCATGCCCGTGCTCCGCAATACTAAAACAGGTGTGAAGAATCCGCGCTGGCCATTCATCGTCTCTTATCGAGGCGCGTGTTGTGTCGCTGGCATCAAAGGCCATCGTTCAGGGCTTGTAGACGGCGTCTACAGAGCAGGCTTGACCTCGCCGGCACCCGGCGCCATGAACTGTGTAATGTCAGCCTCGCTTGATCACTTGCCAAACGCCGCTTCCCCGGCCGCTCCTCTCATCCCGCCTGGTCCCTGGGGTGGAAACGTACCTCGTTCTGCGCCCGCTGCTGCATCAGCTCCGCCCGCTCCTGCTCGACGATCATCTGCTCCTCGCTGTACGCCAGCGCCCACGGGACGCCCAGCAGCAGCGCCGACGTGCTGACGACCCACAGCGTCTTGCCGCCGAACAACAGCCCGCTCTTTGTCCACGAGCTGAGCGTCTCGTACTTGGCGTGGATCGAGCGGCGCGTTGACGCGGGGACTATGTCTTTCAGCGCGGCGATGCGCTCGTACAGCGTCTCGTCGGGCACAAACGACGCTTCGGATTCGAGATCCGACTCTGCTATCTCATCAGCGCTGCTTGGCGTTTAGGACCACGCTCGACGCTCGGGAGCGCACGTCCAGCCGTTTGGTTGGTGGGAGGCGTACCGGAGTCTGTGTCCCAGTCGTCCTCGTCGTGGGGGCCCTCCTGTTCGCGGACGAACTCCTCGTCCATGACTTCTTCGAGCTTGACCATTGTGGCGGGTATGTGTTGGCTGGGATCAGGCGGGGCGGTGGGTGGATGGGGCGTGATGCGCGATGGGAGGTCGATGTTGTTGTTGAGGCGATGCGCGTGAGGTGCAGTGATGATGAACTTTCTGAATCTTGAGCTTGGACAAGGCGCTCGGACGGAACGCTGCGGTGACGGAACGCCGCGGTGATGGAGGTTGCAACACCAAAAGCTCTCTTTTCCACTTTAGAGACAGATATCCAAAATTATCGACCGATATACTGTGTGCCTTCTTTGTTTATCGTTCATAAGTGCCAGTCGCCTCGGTCAATGTCGAAACACCCATACCCAAGTATTGGTGTGGCGTTGTGGGACAAGACGTCACGCCTCATGAGGACCCCTCTGGCAAGGGACTGAACCCTGAAGTGTTGATGATGGTATCATCATGTCTGGCAATGGTACCGATTTGACCCTGGAGCACTATGTATCTAAAATGCCAATTGCCAGGAGAGCTATGAAATTGAAACCTCCACTCATCACTACAAATCTCCGTTCGTTTCCAGGTGGTTGAATGTGTCAACATGGCAACTAATCATGCCAGTCGAAACAGAATGAAAACCTCCAACAGTACTCTTGACTTGCAACGACTTTGTCTTGGCCTGGTCACGCCCCACGCTGCTGGGCATCGTCACCGCTTCTTAACGAAGCTCTTTGCTCTTACAAAAGCATATCGCAGAGGGCTGCCCAGCATCGAGGCTGTCTTCAAGACATGCGGTCTTCCCCCGACACTACACCGCAGAAAAAAGGCCACGGAGCTCGCATCAGCTCTGGAGGTGTACAATCTCCACTTTTCGCATCTGCACAAGCTGCCATGGGAACTGATCCTCAAGATCGTTACGCACATATCCTCTGTAGACCAGATTATATTCAAGATGTCATGTCGCCGCTATAATTTCGTCAATGGCTTCGTCGATGTCCTCTGGATCACGCCAGCTGAAAAGAAAGACATGAGACGCCGTCTCAAGCGTGACACATTCGGGGCTCTTGCCGCGCTCGAACCGCTCAATGCCGGCTTGCTCTCTGAGATGCTTTGTGGTAGCTGCAAGATGTTGCATCCAAGATCATCCTTCACGGCCCCCGAAGCCTGCAAGCCAACACATCGACGCAAATGCATTGGCGCTGCCGGAACCTTCCATTTCTGCGAACACTGGATTCTGGACTTCGAAGCCCTGCACAAGCTAAGCTCGAATCGAGCGGATAATCAGGTCCCGGAGATCGCCTGCTACGAGTGCTACTTCCGATTCATAGTTGGGATACCGCTCTGTCCCAATTTCTTCCGCACCAGCAGCGGCGACATACACACCTTCCGCATGATCCTAAACGAGCCAATTTCTACCCGCCAGCTGCTACGCGCAGATCTCGAGCATTACATGACGCACAACTCGATATCCACCCTCTGTCCTCACACCCAGCTCAACGACCCAGCGTTTCTCAACAAGTTAATGATGAACCCGCTCGGCACCTCACTGGCTTGGTACAACGACTCCTCAGACTGGCTTGCTAGACCATCCACCTCGGTGTACGTCGCACGCACATGCTCCATCTGCGACAGCACCGTGTTCTGTGGCCAAGTCGTCGGAAAGCGCGGAGGGCGGATTGTGGCCGGCGTGTACCGCAACCTGGGCACGATGCAGGACCCGCTGGATCCGCTCTGGTTGGCACACCAAGACGTACAGCACGCATCTCAGCCTCTGAGAAGGTCCCACGAGCTTGATCCGCTGTCACTGGTCGGGCGGGTTGCTGCACGGAGGATATGGGACATGATCGTAGACTATCAGGACTGATGGAGAACGAGCTCGCTGATATGACCAATGCATGACGTCTAGGTTAACACGCAGCAGGAATTTACTCGTGAGGAGAAGGATTCACCGTTCCCTGAGATGATTTGCAAATCTATGGTGTCTAGCGCTATTACAAGTCCTACAGAATCTGCGGTGAGGAAGTTCGTCGCAGCGTTACATCCGAATGCAAGTGGGTGGTTACGGAGCACCTGTAGATGGGCGTTTGTACAGGTTCTCTGCGATTTTATATAATGACAACCTAAGCCCATAAAAGTTGGGGTACTTGGCACTATGCATCAGGACATTTCGGCTTCAAATGTATGTAGGGTCCCTATAATGGTCGGCGCAACATTCAGTTTCTGCACGATTTTCTACCCTGCCGAATGATGCTACTGAAAGTAGAAATAGGCTACTCGTACTTGCAAGATCAGGCCTCCATCTGATGAGTTTATGTGTTTCTCGAGTGGTCTATTGGTAGACGCACACACAATGCTATCCAGTCCTCAAAAACATTTCTCCAATCTTGCATTGCAAACTTTCTGCGACCGACAGCGTGACACTACCAGATCCCATGGGGTCCAAAGCAGAGATATTGTTCAGTGCCGTATCGAGAGTGTATTATCGATGCGGATCGTCGGTGGGGAAAGACGATTGAGTACGTCATTGGTCCCCTACTAATCTCCGATGACAAATGAACACCTCATAAGACATAAGGCAACTCAATTCGTTGAAGCATCCTAAAATTTCAATCGCACCATTCAAGAGGTCAATCATACGCAACGCAACATGTCACTCAAAGCCCTTATCCTTCACGCACATGCCTCAGGCCCCAACCCCATCAAATGCGCCATCGTCCTCGAGTTCCTGAACCTGGACTATGAAGTCAAGATGTGGGACTTTGGCGACGACCCCAACAAGGGCGTAAAAGGCGCATCCTTCCTCAAGATCAATGAGAACGGCCGTGTGCCCGCACTCGAAGACCCCAACACCGGCGTCGTGAGTTGGGAGAGCGGAGCCTGCATCAACTACCTACGAAGGCAGTACGACGGAGATGGCAAGAAACTGGGGCCCCGTTCCAAAGGTGGTGCGGCACCGAGTCTGCAGGATGTGGTTGATTACGACAAGTGGGAGTGCTTTTTGCTTACCACGCTGGGGCCGATGACGGGCCAGACGAACTGGTATCGGTAAGTCTCAACAGTCGAGGAGCTGCGCAGATTTCAACTGATGGGTGTAGTCATTACAACCCTACTAAGAACGAGGATGCATTGAATCGCTACGTCGAGCAGACAGATCGCTGCTACTCGGTGCTTGAGGGACAGCTGAAGAAGACCAACGGCGAGAGCATTCTGCCTGGCGGTGTTACGGCTGTGGATGCGCATTTCGAGCCGTGGGTGAGACAGCATGCGTTTGCGCAGGTGCCGATTGATGGGTATCCGAATGTGAAGAAGTGGCTGGAGAAAATTGGAGGCTTGGAGGAGGTCAGGAAGGCGTATGAGAGGATCCAGAAGGCGCCGAAGCCGGGAGAGTCGTAAAGATGTCGTGTTATTAGCTAAGGACATGTGAATGAGAGAAAATAAAGCTAGATGGCCGAGTTTGTATACGGGCACCGAATGGATGAGTACCGAGCGCAGCATTGTTCTCGACATGTGAACGATTCGGCCAAGTAAAGCGGGAAGGGCAGTGGCCGCCACCCGTCTTGAACGTTCTTGACTATATCAAAGAGGCAGCATGACCGCGTTCGTGAACCCTCAGAGCTGGGGCCATGCATCAAAGTGGCTCTTGCTTCGTAGAGCTCGGTGAAGCTCCGAGGTTTGCGGGGCCCCGGAGTTTGTCCCCCATAATTGCCCTGGTCTATAGTCACGCGCTAGCTTCTTCAAGCAGGTGCCTGCTGATCCTTTTATTCCCATCGCACTATCTTTTCTTCAAGCATTCACTTCTGCTTCGATTTTTCCATCGGAAGAATCTCCTTTCAAAATTGCTCAGGATACATCTTGTATGCTTTTGAAGTGATGATTGAAACATTATGCCACATCGAATACGACTGCCGGTGTGACCTTCCGCATCGGTACGCAAACACGACTGCGCAGGAAATCTTACATTAATGGCCTCGTAAAGTGACGCAAAGTCCTATCCAGGATGTAGATCCTCCGCGCTTGCTCCTCCAAAAAAAGCATCAGACCCGCTCCACATTCATGCTCGTGACTACGGGGACATTGCGAGCATGGCATGCTAGACCACGATCCGGGTCGCCCTGATGGCAGCGAATGTAGTCATAGATCGGCAAGCAATAGTTTAAAAACCTATGGTCTGCATCTTCAGGCAACCAGGACAGAGCATCAATTTGAACACACCCTCAGCTAGCATTGACAATGGTCGGCCCGAATCTTGCTCTCCTCTCCCTCTCGGGTGCGGCTCTTGCAGCGGCGCAGTCTTTTCAGACTACGCCTGTGCTCGGCTGGAACTCTTACAACAAGGACTCGTGCAGTCCTACGCAAGACGGCATTACCAAGACCATCAATGCGCTTGCAGACCGCGGCTTTGTTGCTGCAGGCTACAATTACTTCCAGATCGACTGCGGCTGGGCTTCTCGCGATGGTCAGCGCAATTCCACAAGTGGTGCGCTCAAGATCGACACGAATGCTTTCCCGGGTGGCTTGTTGCCACTGAGCGACCTTGCGAGGAGCAAGGGCATGAAGTGGACGATGTATTCGGATGCGGGTGTTAGGATGTGCGACCCGCAATCGCCCAGTCCGGTGCTGGGCTCGCTAGGGCACGAGGCTCAGGATGCTGCGTTCTTCAAGAGCTTAAACACAGAATACGTCAAGTGTGAGTTGCTTGTGATCCTCCAGGCAGTGTCGGGTGACTGACCAAAATGCAGATGACAACTGCTATGCGGACGGACCCAACTCCAGCCAGAATGCGCCCAAGGATGCAAGGACCGACTTTCCCACTCGCTTCGGCACGATGTGGACAGAACTGCAGCGAGTTGGCATTTCAGGTATGATGATCTGCCAGTGGGGTGTTCCCTACAGTTCGTCCAGTGGACTTCAGGGACCCAAGGACTGGACCAAGGGCATCTCGACGTCTTTCCGTCTGTCAGACGACATTGCTCAAGGCTGGAGCAACGTGTACCGCATCTATAACCAGGCTGTCCATGTCACTGCGTCTGGTGTTGTTGGTCCTGGTCACATTGCTGATGCCGATTTGCTCGAAGTGGGCAACGCGGGCATGACCTTCGACGAGCAGGCTACGCACTTTGCGTCGTGGGCTATGTTGAAGTCTGCTCTTATGATCTCCACCGACATCACTGCTCTTTCGGCCGACACCGTCAAGGTTCTGCAGAACAAAGATCTAATTGCCATCAACCAGGACTCAGCCGTCAAGCCCATCACGCTCAAACAGCGCTGGACATCCGACCGCGATCTCTGGAGTGGCGATCTCGCCAATGGCGATATTGCTGTCCTTGTCGTAGATCTCAGCAACGCAGCCCGCACGCTTACAGTCCAGTTGTCCTCCCTTGGCATCGCGTCCGCGACCATCAAGGACCTGTGGGCCGGCACAACTACCACCGGTAGCTCCTTCTCCAAGCAGGTCAACGCCCACGGTTCCCTCGCCCTGCGTCTGTCCAACATTAGGCGCACCACAACCACCACAAACTACACCTACATCTCCGCCTCGACCGGCTCGCTCGCTGCAGGCGCCAACATCCAGACCTGCTCGGGCTGCACATCGACCAACAAAGTAGGGAATCTGGGCGGCCCTTCGAACGGCGCTCTCACATTGAGCAACATCCGCACCAGCCAAGCTACTCAGGTCGTGCGCTTTGACTACATCAACGGCGAGGTCGGATTTGGGGGCAGCACCAACGAACGTTTGGCGTCGATCAGTGTGAATGGCGGTACGGCGAAGACAGTCAGCTTTCCGTTGACTGGGTACAACTGGGACAAGGATGTGTTGAAGAGCTATGCGGTTGAGTTGTCTGGATTCAGCACCACAGGAACGAACACTATCGTTATTAAGGGTGTTGGAAACGCGTATGCGCCAGATTTTGACAGAGTGGGTGTTGTGGCTTAAGCTAGAGCGTCTGCAAAGGCAAACTGAATAGTATTCCCCCCTGATTTCAACTTTGACTCTTCTTCACTTGTTGCAACGTTTCTGTTCTCCAACGTTCCAGAGCGTGTGTATTTGATACCATGAGACGCAACAAAGAGATATGGCAAGTGAACGAATGTCTCAGAGACATGCACTCGGCTCGTGGGACATACGAGCACCTCCCAGTGGACTGGAATCCATTTCCTCCGTCTATAAACACACCTCTCACGCCGATCTCGTTCCTCAAGAATGCGATGGTACAGAATACAAGCGGACCTCGTCCCAAGCCTTTTCCGATGAACGTAGCTCAATTCGTCGAATCACTCTCTGGCCTCAGTCTAGAGGGAGAGTATGAAGCCCAGGACGACTACATCATTCACCTGCTTGTCCGCATCATAACAGACCGGACCGAGATGCAGATTAACAGCGAAGAATGTGCGCAAATGTCGCAGGCCAGAAACATGGGGCCACCCGTACCTGCAAACGAGCTAGATCGACTGAAGGAGTTCGCTGAGTTGCAAAGCATCATCGCTAGGTTATTCGAAGAGCTGAAAGTCGAGGTGAAGAGGCGCTGGCGGCTCGCTTTGGAGAGCAGCTTTGAAGATAGAATGAAAGCCATAGAGGAGTTAAGAGCACATTATGGAGGCATCTTGGAGGTCAAGCGGCAAGGCGTCCAGCTGGTAGCGAAGAAAGCGAGTTTCCGCAGTGAGAATACTAACGCAGATAGCTACGGGAAGGACGGGACTGGCTACAAAGACGTTGAAGCTACGAATCCTGCGTTCTATGGAAGATATGTAGGCAAAGAAGCAGAGTAACGCCACATCCACAATAGTTCACTGCTGACCAATATTTTGGCTGCAATGGTCGGTTCAGAACCGAGTGAAACTTCATCTCACCGCCAAAGTCAGCGTTTGCGTTGTAAATTATGACTAACGCGGCTGACCAGTGCCGTTTGCTCTTCCTCAGTTCAAATAGTCAACCCATCACTTTCTCCCCATTCATTCACCAACCTGCGATGTGTCTACTCGGAATTACCAAGATCAATAAAAAGCTGTCTACAGATATCAAGAAGAATTTGGACGATCTTCATACCAAGCTGGCCGCCGAAGATGCATTCGAACAGCCGGTAATCGACGAGATCTGCTCCACGGTAGCCTGGTGCCGCACTGTCTTGAACGATGCCATCGACGAGATTGCTGCAGAGAAGCAGAGACTAGCGAAAGACGTGTTCGCGGACAGCATAATTCACGACGTCTTCAGCACGATCCGTGGCGATGAGACATCATTCCCTCAGTGCATGTACGACAATCACGACGCAATCAGCGCCTCGTACTGCGCAGGACAGCGCGCTCTATACGCTTTTGAACAGGATATGCGCAAAGAGTGGGAAGAGATATCGAAGATGGCTGCATTCGAGAGGAAAGATTTTGTACTGCTGGCTAGACGGAAGATAATGTCAACGATTACGGAGCTTGAGAAGACACGAGAGAAAGATGTTCAGGAGAGTAAGAAATTGGAAGAGGAGATCAAAACTCTGCAGGGGGTGTTGAGGGTACAGGGTGAGCTTGATGATGCGACAGAGGAGTTTTATGATGCGGAGGAGTTTCAGTAGATTAATCACTGGACCACGAAGGTCGGGTCTCTAGATAATAACAGCCGTTCGCTGTTAGAACATGGTTCTTTCATTGGACTTAAATAAACCCAATAAACAAAAGCTGGCACTGTTTGTGGTCTTCGATTCAGCAAACTTGGAGGACGATTCATAAACCACAGAAAGCGACGTTCTCTACTCTCTCAACATGGCTATGCTCCAGATCGAGCTAAATGTTCGAAGAGGATTTCTTGACTTCCAAACTACAATCACACATCTTGACCCAGACGAAGCCGACCGTCAACTCCGCATATACCAGGACTCCAGAATGGGAGATCTGGGCGTGGCTACGGCCAACAGCTGCGGCCTCACAAAGCCCCTCACAGCGAAGGCAGAAGAGGCACTGAGCATTATGGAAGATCGTACGGCCTCGGAAGTATCTCGAGTACTGTTTGGGACTTATGAAATCGCGATGAGAATGCACGGGCACCGCCAACTCATCATGTCACGCCGAGCGCATTTCCAACGTCTGGGCGACTTTGCGGCTCACAGATCGAGTGAGTGGCGGAACATTCAAGAGCAAGGGCTGAATGACAGATCTGAAGTGATAGTCAAGCTATTCGTGGAGTACCATTTCATGCTTAGGAACTAGCTCGATGTTGAGTGCGAGATCGCGAAGTCATCGGGAGCATCCGAGGAGATCGTGAATAGACTGTTCATGACTAGTAGGTAGCCGAATTCTACGAAGGTACAATCTTATCGGGTGGGGTTCTCTGGTTTATTCGAGTTATGAATAATAAGGGACCGATAGTGATCGCTTCTGCTTATTGTGAGGAATATTTGCGCCTCCCTTGCTCCAACAAGTACGCGCCTGGCATTGTAGTAGGATGGCGAGGCCGAGCGTCTCAGAAGGGTTAGAAAGTACATATATGTTGCTTAGGGTTACCTTGCCTCTCTTGTCTTGTGCTAGCTGATTGCGCTTTGATAGTGCGGTAGAGACAAACGGAGGTTCTCGGAGCAAACAACAAGGAAGAAGAGACATGTGCTTGTATCAAGCGAGGTCGGTATGAGAGAATGACGTAGTAGGGGTAAGAGCGGAGGTTAATCCAAAAATTACTTCACGAGGTCCTGTTTGGAACTGAAATGCTTGTTCACCCATGCGCTTAATTTGGCCATTACCACGATGATTGCGAGTTGCATACAGACAGAAGAAGAGACGTGCTTTACGCGCTGAGTCGACATGGGAGGCGCGGCTCGCCGCGAAGGACACTGGAGTTCTGGCGTCGTTGACCAGCAGATACAGGAGAGAAGCAACAAAAAAATGGGGACTCCCGTCTTACCGGATTCCGTAGCGCAAATGAAGTGGGAAGAATGCATATTAGAAGATAGCTGAATTGACCATGGGTATCTCGAAAGCAGAACACCGGCAATGCATGCATACTAGCCTCTCCGCTCAGGTCCGCACCTTGACCTTGATTCCCAACCCTCTCGCACTCGTCCACACACTGTCACTGACTCTGGTCGGCAGCTTCCGCCCCTTAAGCCGCTGATCCACAAGCCACAACCCAACCACGAACTCGACCCTCGTCAACCGCCCAACCTCCCGGCCGTCAACAAGCGCCCAGACTTCCTCCAGAACATGGTCCGGCAACCGGCTCCGCATCCATATCTCCCTGACCACGAGGTTCAAGACATCGAGACTCGGATCCTCGTCGTCCACTACGCCGCTCCTGTCCTTGATCGGCAGGGGTAGCAGAACACCCTTGTTCGCGGCCCACACGCCTTCGTACCTCTTCCGCTCGCGCTCGGTGATCTGGTCGCGCCACCGCTTGCGCGTCCCCTCGTGGTGCTTGTTGGGATGTTTGCGGACCTTCAGGCCCAGCATTCTGTTGCCCTTGCCTTTGAATTCATTTTCGTCGTCTGAGCTACTTGCCGGCGAGGGGTCCTTGCGCATCGTTGTCCTCAGCTTGCTCGTTGTCTTTGGCGGAGAAGCTTTTTGCGGAGACGGGGAGCGGTGGAATGGGAGGTGGTGGTGGTGTTTTTGCGCCCGCGGTGGGAAGAGTGGTTCGATTGTGTTACTGGGAGGGGGATTTGGGGAGGATGTCCGGCTTGTTGCTAATGCGGCGCCCATTATAGCACTCGATAGCGATTCACCAGTCATGTGTTTGGTTATAGCCTTTACGGATTGGCGCTGGTAGGGATTGTGATACACGGAGCCAGTGGCTGAGGAGGGGCGGTGGGGTGGGGAGAGCCGTTCGGGGGGTTGCAGAGGAGAAGCGGGCTTGCCTTGTCGGCGCGGGGGCGGGACAGAGGGTTTTAGAAGTTTTGCATCTGTTGGGACTGATTCGGCTTTACGGGTGTTCGATCGTCGCGGTGGAGGTAGTGCGGGCTTTGCCTTCTCTTCTTCTTCTTCGAGTGGTGGAGGCATAGCGAGCTTGGTCTTCTCGTCCTCTTCTTGCTCCTCTTTCGCGGATTTGAAGGATGCGGGCGACGATGGTGCGTTGCTCTCGATTGACGTCGACAGCCGCCTGTTGAAAGTCGCCGAGCGCTTGGAGTCTTGCGACTTGGGTCGGCCCTGGGGACCAGTGATGGCCTTCGTGTTAAGAGCTGCCAGCTGGATCGGCTTCTGCCTAATTGGCGGAGACTTCAGCGGCGCATTCTGCGTCGGCGGGAGGAAGGAGCGAGACGATTCCCTAGTGCCGTCGATGAACTGTAGTGGTGGCATCTCAATCGCGGGCTTGGGCTTTGGTGGCGGCGGCGTGTTCGTCCTCTCCCTTGCTAATGGAGCTTCATCTTTGGGTTCTGGAGGTAGTGTGAAGTTGCGTCGTGGCTTGGGCGACTTGACAGGGGGTGGGGAGTTTTGGACAATGACTGATGGTGCGACAGGAGGTTGTGTGGGGGTGACGGGGCGGTTCTGCTCGAACATGCTGACGAGGGAGTTGGTCGACTGGATAGGTGTGTCGTCTGTAGGCTTGTCTCGCGGTCCTGCGCTCGCCGCTGCACTGGCAACGGACTGTGGGCCAAAGCCATCCTTCTCCTTGCGTGGTTGCTGGCGCGGCGATGCCTGCTGGCTAGACTTTTGCTGCTCCAGCCGCGCTAACACGTTCCCCACGCTCCCAGACGGCGGCAGCACATCGCGCTCGTTCGCATCCATTTCACTGATCATGGCTGGTCCTCGGGCCTGGGTGGCTGGCCGCAGAGGGCTGAGGCGCGCAGCCGCCAATGTGGCAGCCGTGTATGCCGCCGGTGATGGTGCGCGGTCGGTGTGCATGTCCGGCACGCCCAGCGAGCTCGAGCTGCCGACGTGCTTGGGCGAGGGTTGCGGCCTGCTGACACCCCGCGAGCTGGCGCCGGTGTAATCTCTCTGCAGCGGAGCCGTGCCACCCGAAGTGCTTGGCCGCCCTGTTCCTACTTTCGTGGCAGCAAGGAGCGCTCCATTGCTGCTCCCGGTGTACGTGTTGGGCAGATGCTGAGGCTTGACGGGTGGTCTGGCGAAGGCTGAGGCGGCTCCAATCAGGGCCGCATCGCGGACATTGTGTTGCTGCGTATCGCTGGTCGACTGCGGCGCGGCGCTGCGGCTGCGGACGGAGCTGCTCATTTGGCACCCATCGAATTGAGCATATGATGCATGCGTTGGTGAAGCGTGTGTGGGTGTCGGGGAGGGCTTGCAAAGAATAAGAATCAGGCTGAGCGAGTGACTGAACAAGAAACAAATCCAAGTGGAACCATATGCAATCACGACAACATAAGTACTGTAATTACCCACGTCCAACGTCCGGTCGCAGGCCTCGTATCCGTTGAACCCGTTTTAGAGTAGTCTAACCGGAAGTAGCGCTCAAGGTCATGTGACAGCGCGACGCCGAGTCGCGCCTGCCTACTTTCCAACGCCGTTGCCTGCTCAACTCGCAACATCATAAACGGGTCGCCTCGCCGCCTGCCTCTCGATGCATCAATCATGGGCGACGACACTGCGATGCCCGACGCTGAGGCAGCACGTGAGAGCACCCTCATGTACGCTCATGAGGAAGATGAGCTCAACGAGAAGTACCCAGCTCGACCCTTGAACGTGCACAAGACGCCGCCGTTCCACACATTGTTCACAGAGCTATTTGACCCATTGATGGATACGCAAAAGAGAAAGCATCCTGTCGGGCCACGTCGTAAAGCTGGACCCTCAGGTCACTCGAATCTCTCACCTCATGAAGCCAAGAGGAATATTATCGAGCGCTTCATCAAGGACTGGCGCAAGAATGTTGGTCACGACTTTTATCCAGCCATGCGTCTGATCATCCCTGAGAAGGACCGCGATCGCGCAATGTACGGCCTCAAGGAGAAGGCTATCGCTAAAGTCTTGATCAAACTTACGAAGATCAGCAAGGACACGGAAGATGCCAAGCAGATGCTCAACTGGAAGCTGCCAGGTCAACTCTATCGGGCTTCATCATCAACAGCTGGCGACTTCGCGGGCCGCTGTTACGAGGTCCTGTCCACACGGCAAATGCGAACCCAGTACAGTGACATGAGCGTCGCCGAGGTCAATAATGCTTTGGACAAACTGTCGCAGGTTGGCGCCGAGGACGAGCAGGTCAAGATCTTCAACAGATTCTATAGAAGGATGAACGCTGAAGAGATGACGTGGCTGATTCGCATTATCCTTCGACAGATGAAGATCGGTGCTACCGAGAAGACGTTCCTCGACATGTGGCATCCTGACGCGGAGCAGCTCTTCAACATCTCCTCCAATCTCAGACGAGTCTGCTGGGAGCTATACGATCCCATGGTTCGACTCGAAGGTGACGATACAGGTCTCAGTGTGATGCAGTGCTTCCAACCCCAGCTAGCGCAGTTCCAGGACAAGGTCGGCTCATTCGAGAAGATTGTATCACGATTTCAGCAGAACCCTGACGATGACAACTTCTGGATCGAAGAGAAGCTTGACGGAGAGCGCATGCAACTACACATGATGGAGGATCCGGAAGCACCAGGCGGCAGACTCTTCGGCTTTTGGTCGCGCAAAGCCAAAGACTACGCCTACCTGTACGGAAAGCACTTTGAGGGCGAAGAAGCTGGTGCTTTGACACGGTTTATCGCAAATGCGTTCGGCAAGAACATCCGTAACATCATCCTTGATGGTGAAATGATCACCTGGGACATGGAGACAGATCACATTGTTGGCTTTGGCACACTGAAGACTGCAGCGATATCAGAGAAGGAAAACAAGACCGACAAGAAGACTGGTCAGCGTCCTCTCTTTCGCGTGTTCGACTGTGTCTACCTCAATGACAAGCTCTTGACGCCCTATATGTTGCGAGACCGCCGTCGAGCGCTTGAGGGTGCGGTCAAAGATGTCCATCGTCGTCTGGAGATCCATCCCTACATCGATGCACGCTCGCACACCAAAGTCGAGCCAGCGTTGCGAAAGGTGGTAGCTGAGTCCTCGGAGGGCCTCGTGCTAAAGAACCCTCGGTCCATGTACAGTCTCAACGCACGTAATAACGACTGGATGAAGGTGAAGCCGGAGTACATGTCCGAGTATGGTGAGTCCCTTGACTGTGTCGTCATCGGTGGTTACTACGGTTCAGGCCATCGAGGTGGTGCTCATTCTTCCTTCCTTTGCGGATTACGCGTCAAGCAACATATCAACCCGAACGACCCGGAATATGAGAAATGTTTCTCGTTCTTCAAAGTCGGCGGTGGATTCAGTCGTGAAGACTATGCCGCCATCCGAGGCCGTACAGAAGGCAAATGGAAAGACTGGAATCCCAAGCGTCCACCACCGACCATCGAGCTCGGCGGCCATGCAGAGAATCGACAGTACGAGCGACCCGATCAGTGGATTCTACCTAGTGACTCAGTCGTGCTGGAATGCAAGGCTGCTAGTGTGGAGAATAGCGACAAGTTCCGCATGGGTCGCACACTCCGCTTCCCACGCTTCAAGCGTCTGCGCGTAGACAAGCGATGGGATCAAGCTCTGACCATTCACGAATGGATTGAGCTGCAAGATAATGTCGAACAAACCCTCGAAGAGAAACAGCAAGAATTCAAAATCGAACAAGGTCGCCGCAAGAAACCTCGAACCACGAAGAAGCCTCTCATGATTGCCGGCAACGAAACCATCACCACACCATATGCAGGCCCAGCGTCAAAGCTCTTCGAAGGCCTGACCTTCTATATTATGACGGACCAACTTCACCCCCTCAAGAAGAGCAAAGCAGAGCTCGAAGCCCTCATCGAAGCCAACGGTGGAAAACTCGTCCAGCGCGATTCGCCTGACAGAAGCCTGGTCATTATCGCCGATAAGCGGCTCATCAAAGTTGCGTCCCTCGAGAAGCGCAGCTCAAAAAATATCATCAAGCCAATCTGGATATCGGACTGCATCGCGCAGCACGAAGCCGATGCAGCGCTCCCATATCTTCTCCCTTTCGAGCCGAACCGCCACATGTTCTTCCTGCACGATGGCGACTTAGAAGTCGTGGAGGGTCATGTCGATGGTAATGGCGATTCTTATGCAAGGGATATTGGCGACTTGGAGGAGATGAGGATATTACTTGAGGGGATGCAGAAGCCGAAGAAGAAGAGTTTCGATAAACAGGGCTTCCTGAATCAACTCCAAGGTCACGGCGAGGAAGTCACGAGGCTCAAAAGCTACATGTTCATCAACGCAAAAGTGGCGGTGCAGGATAGTGATGATCCGGCTTGGAAGCTGAAGAGCCAGATCGCCGCGAACTATATTCGTTTCGGTGGGGGTGGGTTGGTACAGAACGAAACGGCTAGAGGTGTGACGCATGTCATTATTCCAGACCATGAGAAGGCCAGCAGTAACGGAGTGACAGGGACGATGGGTATAGCGAGGGCAGTGGGTATCGGCTGGGTGGAGAAGTGCTGGTCAGAAGGTACCATGGTCGACGAAGAGAGGTTCCAGTGGGGATAAATCTCTCACACACCTCGCGAGGTATCATGAGCTACACTTTCCCACAACATTGTAACGACGAACTCAATAGTCAATGAACATAATGCCAAACCCCGCTCCGTTTTGAGTACTGCTACGCCCCTAATGCTCCCCGTCCTGTGCACTTAACAACCCAACCGTCCTCACAAACCCTGCAGTACTCCAGAACCCTCCCCCAAAATCGAGATCGTACCAGTAATTCACCGCACAGCATAGCCCCTCGTCATTACAGCTTTGGCTCACTTTGTGATACCAGAGTGCAGGCAGATACAACATATCTCCCTCATCGAGCGCGACGCGCATCGGCTGCGCGTACTTTGAATACGGCGTCGCGTTGACAGAGGGCACATCAGGATCCCACGTCGCGAACGGGACATACGTCGCCGGCTCATCGATCTGAATGACCAGCTTCTCCGTCTCCGCATCCTCCGCTCCCTCCGCGGCGTGATCACGGCGCCTCGGCGCGTAAGTACCGGCAAGCACACTCCTCTCGTTCACACATGGCGCATCCACGGGTGGGAGCAGGACGAAGTGCTTGCGCCCGAGGATCTGGACATAGATATTCTCGTAGTTGTCCTTGTGCAGCGCGGTCACGGAGGCGGCGCTGCCGAGCCAGAAGTTCACCGCGTCGGGACCTTGGCCGAGCGCGACGCGGGCGAATGGTATGCTGGCCGGGACATCCGCGAAGAGCGATGTGTATTCGTCACGCAGATTGTCGTTTTGGGTTTGCGCGTAACGTATTGGCTGCCTGGGTCCTTCCTTGGGGGAGGGGGAGGGGGAATGTGTTTGCGCGACAATGGCGTCCAGTACGGAAGAGAAGTCTTCACTGCGCTCGTAGGGCTTTACGAAGATGCTTCCACTCGAGGGGAGGGAGATGACGGAGTCGGCGTTACCGTGGGGCGTGAGCGAGACGTTGACGGTCTGGCCCTGCATGACTTCCTTGAGATAACTTGCGTTCCATTTTTGGCGGGCTTTCCAGCCTGTAGCGCCGTTCTTGATGACAAACGGTCGATTGCGGGCGACATAGCGCATGAATTCGAGGGGTGATGGTTCTTCACGTAGGATGTCGGGCTTGGTGGTGTTGAGGTCGTGGTAGGTCGTTATGAGATCTGGAGAGACTTAGAAAAGACGGAACGCAGGGAATGACTGGCGACAAATTCGAACATTCATGAACGAAATAACTATGAAAGATATTAGGAGATGGAAGCACCTCTTACAGCATCATTCAAGGTGGCGCCCGCTTCGAGTCCGGTTGGTGCAGTCCTTTTCACGTGTTAGTATTTGTGCGAATGAAGTCGCACAAGGATAATATCACCTTGTGGAAGCTTGCTCTGGGTCCCGCAACCCCATGACTTCATCCTGGACGAGCATCGCGATTGGTGCAAAGTGGTGGCCTGTGAATTGAACGTGTTCGACGAAGCATAGAAATGGAAATAAGAATTCCTAGCGCCGGACTTTAGATTCGAACTTGTGAAGCTCGACGCACCATCGTCGCTGAATAGCACAGCAACAGCTCATCTTCGGCGCCGTGGGTTCAACACAGCAGAATCATGCTCATACGGTAGCACAATTCACGCGACAGTCTTCGACATGTCGTTCCTCGGCGTCAACCGACGCGATCTCTGGTGTACGTCTCCGCGATCCTGTCATGACCCGCAACCTCCCAGTCCAGCCCGCCCTAACTCAATCCAGGGGTCAGCAAGACCTTCCTCAAGGGTGCCTTCATCTTTCACATCTTCAGCACGCACGTCGGTTGGATCGGACACACCAGCGGCGTCAGCATGGTCCCCACGATCCCACACTCGTTCAACAAGCGTCCGTGGATCCTCTACTCGGGCCTGCACCGGCGCGGCCGCAACATCAAAGTCGGCGACGTGATAACGTATACACATCCGCTGTTTCCGCATCAGCGGGGCTGTAAGCGTGTTATTGGTATGCCGGGCGATTTCGTCAGCGTGATGAGCGCCGCAAGGGAAGATGGGGATTTGGAGAAGAATGGGGAAGACGGTGATTGGGCAAATGTTAAGGAGAAGGTTGTCCAGGTGCCGGAGGGACATTGTTGGATTGCGGGTGATAACCTGGAATGGAGTAGGGATTCAAGATTGTTTGGGCCGCTACCGTTGGGGCTGGTCAAGGCAAAGGTGCTGGCAGTGATAAGTCCTTGGGAGAGTGCGAGGTGGCTTGGGCATGACAGAGATGTCGTGGATTATCAAGGGACGGAAAGACAGTGGGTGAACGGCTCTTGAGAGCATCCCAAATGTGAACGGCTGCCAAGGTGGGTCCGGCTGTATGTGAGTTCTTGCAAAAGCTTGAAGATACCCCAGCATTTACGCATTTAAGAAATGGATTCGCTCTGTCTTGCTGAGAATGTCTCGCAGACGCACCACCTGTGCATTCGTACTGGCGTGTTTGTATGGCTCCGACCAGCTCAACGTCTACCTTGCAGTCATCGACGCCGGATTCTGCTGCATCCAACAACAACGTCTGAATCAGTATTTCTGGTCTTGACTACGTCAATATCCTCTCGCGAGTGATTCGATAGATGGTGAGCCTTGAGTGCCAAGCTGTGGCTTGATCGACTAGTGTCTGATTGGTTTCTAGACTTGGGTCCCTGCGGAACAGATCTGGACAACACGGCTCGCAAGACACAGACCATGCGCGATACATCTCTTTAACCCTTGACGCCCGAGTGCGACTAAAGTGGCAAACAGTTACTTCGCATAAATGACCTGCATCATACACAATGGTAGGCGTTCTATTGAATTCCGAGTCTATCCCAGCGGCAATCAGTCAAGACGAGGCCAGGTACGGAATTTGCTTCATACTCATGCAGCATCAGATCCCCCCGGAACCATCGAGACAGGCCTAACGACAGAACCACCTTCCTCTTTTGCTCCTTTAAGCTTGGCACTCCCTACCCTAGCGACATGTAGGCTGCCGTCTTTTTGTATTTTAATGATCTGTACTCCATTCGAATCCGTATATCCTTCGCACCAGCTTCTTCCAGACGAGTTATCCACATAGACTGCTGGATTGGCATACCGATGGCTCCCTTTGAAACTGCAACACTTGCCTTACGGGCGACAGCACCAACATGCCCTACAACACTTACATGTCCGCAAGATAACAGCTGCACATACCTTTCGAGTGGCGTCTCTCTGCAAGTCAATTGTGCGAGTGACTACTATGGGGGAGACTTGCAGCTGGTACAGGCTTCGACGCTTGTAGGATGTATGAGAGCTTGCGCAGCAACAGATAAATGTGATGGAGCCAGCTACAGGGGTCGGGACTGCTACATGAAGAGTGTGCTGAACGCCGCTGAAGTGGAGTAAGTCGTTCACACTTGTTCGACGGAGCTCAGACTAATGGTACGCTCAGTGAAGGAGTTGTTGGTGTAGTAGTGGTTTCTCGCGAACCTGCTCCCACTCCAAGCCCTCCAGCCACTCCATCAGCCTGTCCAATTGCGTTTACGTGTCCTGACAATGATGGATGCACCATCCGTGGGGTCAACTCACAAGTGTACGCTCTTTCTTGCGGGACGGATTACTACGGAGGCGACTTCACCAGCATGTGGGTAGAAAGTCTGCCAACGTGCGCGCAAGCTTGTGCAGATAGCGATCTGTGTGTTGCCGCAAGCTTTGGTGATGGCAAAGGTGCTGGAATGTGTTATCTTAAAAATAAGAATCATGGTGCAGGCGTAAGTGAGAATACTAATGGTAAGCTCGGAATCCTTGGAAATTACAAGGCATTGTTCTGAACGTCTGTACTAATACTTGCCAGCGGTTGCGATTGATTCTCGTGTCGTGCCTTCACCATCGGCTACACCTTCAACCTCATCCTCAGCTATAGCATCGTCTAGTGCTTCTAGTGTCACATCCAGCAGCACGTCTTTTGCATCTACACCTACTTCAGTAGGCACCACGACTAGTTCCACTCCAGCACCGACATCTGTATCCACACCAGTCCCAACGCAAGTAATCATCAACGGCGACTTCGAGGCCAATAGTTACACCCCCTGGTCCTTCACCGGCTTCGCCCTAGCATCCGGTACAGTCACAGGTCAATCGAATACTAACGCTTACAACGGCGAACGCAGCTTCCAAGCACAGGGAGAATCAGCTAACAACTACTGGCTCATGGAGATGTCTCAGACCGTCACCGTCCTGCCTGGCCAAGCGTACAACGTATCTGTCTGGAGTAAACAGGCCATATATGGGAACTGCGATGTCACGGTCAACTACAATGGTGCAAGTCTTTTCGGTTTTCAGCCTGGTACTAGCTATGCGGAGGATACGGGGAGGGTAGCGGCTGGCATGACGACTGGCGCTGAGTGTGAGTTGAGACTTAGTATTCAGTGTGGGAGGGGAGGGTCGCAAGCGAGGCTGTGGCTTGATGATGTTAGGATGACACAGGTATAGGTACAGAATAAGCCAGGAGAACAGAACTGATCATATGAAAAAGCTTGACCTTTAATGGGGAAAACAGACACAGTTGCTTCTCATGCTCAACACACTACTAACGAGCCAAATGCACTAGAAAGCTAAGTGCTACGCAGCGAGTCTTTTCCCCACTGCCTATGACTTCTTCAAGACCCCTACAGCCAACAACGAGTTATCGTCGCGGACTTGATCGTTGCTATCCAACCAAGAAGATTTGAGGGCCGCAGTTTGAGAACTTTGTCCACGCTTTTTTTGACTTCCACACACTTATCACTCAAGCCAAGTTACACTGCAAGTTTCTCACTCCATCCCGACAATATGGCCTGTCCCGAAATCCTCGGTGCTCTGATCCATCTCCCTGAAGTGTGCCGTTATGTTAGAAAATAGCTGGCTTTCAGATTTCGCGCAATCCGGGCTGATATTTGCAACCGCGGATCCGTTGGATCCTAACAATGCATGAACGTGGTTGTGGGAATCTACGCATACAGATCGCCCAAGGTGCTAATTGAATCATGCGAATCGGGAGACTTTCTCGGACCTTCTCCATATATTTCATATTGCTCGCAGAATAAAGACTGCCCTGTCTAATCCGAACGGGGTTGCAAGGTTTTGCGTCTCTGCCCTCTGATCGCGAGATGATTCATCTGCAAGTCCTCGATTGGATTCGAGCCAGATCGTGATCATGGAGCATATGAAGTTGTAGAGGCGGGACGGCGGAATGTTCGCGATGGGCGATGAGTTGTCATTGTGCATGATCGTCCTGAGTTCACGGAGGACGTCATAGTATATGTGAGGCCCTATTTCCTATACTTCATCACCCTGATGCAGCTTGAAGGGTAGTATTGGCTCTTCACTAGTCATAGAATATAGGGTTTATGACGTTCGCCTATGTGGTACCCCTAACGTCATTACCACAGCCTTGCAGTTACACACACCTGCTGCAAATCCACAAGACAACGCGGCCTTTCCGTATTTGAACTTTGTAAGGAGTCACAGTCGGTCATGACAAAACACCAGTTAGGACCCAGATTTCAGTCTCCTACCACGAGAAGGCCTCGACATCCAGCTCCCACCGCACCGCCCCTGATTCCCTCGCCCTCCGACTGACCACACTTCTCACCTCATCACACAGCCCACCAGGCCCACAAACCACGACTCCTATCCTCTTCCACCCCTCACTCTCTTGTTGCGCCAGCAAACCTCCCACGTCCAGCCTCCGACCAACACTGACACATTTCTCCCTCAGTCCATATAGAGCTGTTGCAAGATCATCGACCAGGCCTTGGCTTGAGTCCTTCAAACTCCAATGTAGCGAGACATTAGGATGATGCGCGATGAATGGAAGCACAGCAGTAATGCCAATACCACCAGCAACGAGAACCAAACGGTCAGTGCGCAGCACCGCCGCGGTCGAATTATTCCGGTAGGGTCCATCGAGAAGAGTAAGAAGTGATGCGTGAGTTACGAGTGCCTTGGACAGACCATTTGACTTTCGCACGTACAACGAAATGCCAGATGTATCTGTCTTCACTGCATGTTGAGTGCGAGCGAGGACTGCAGTTCCAACGCCGGACTTCTCCACATCGGCGATAGGTTCGTGCTCTGAGCTCGATGACGAGTCTGTCGTTGCGAGACTGTGATTACGGCTCTGCAGAAGCGCGGTGGGGACGATACTGAAAGGGTGGTTTTCCCATGGTCTCAGTGGCTTCAAGCTGGGAAAGTACGCGTACGTATGTTTCCCGGGCCTTGCATCCCATCGTACACCCTTGACATCAATTCTCATAATATCTTCCGTGATCTGCGTGACTTCAGCCCTACGCATGCCGTTCTTCAAGACTCGAGCGATCCGTGCGCCCCGATCAAATAACCACACAGCGAACGCGGCGTAGAGCCAGAACTCGTAGCCCCAGCGGCGAGTGAAGAGAAGCTCGATATGATACCAGCTACCCACGAGCACGAAGACAGCGAGGGTGATGTGCATGATAAGGAAGACCTCGTAGCTTGCGCGTCTAAACCATAGGCTCGAGATGATGGCCGTGATCACACACGCGATAGTGGCAACGATGCCCCAGATCCAGTATGGCTCCTTCTGCTCCGCATCCACGCTACCTTGGCGTTTGTACAGCATAAACTCCAGGATGGAGTGTAGAATGACTTGCAGAGTAAAGATCCGTGCGACCCATCGGTGCAGCAGCATGTACGTCGAGTGGCTCCAGTTCGTTAGCCAGAGAAGCACATTATTGCGGCCGGAGAACAGGATAACGAGTGGCGCAAGTGCAAAGGCAAGAACACCCGTACGCGCTGATGTGTAAGCTATGATTTCCTGCCAGACATCCGGAAACCAGGCGTTGGAAGGGTACTGGAAGGACTTGTAGCCACCGGCTGTGAAGGCGATGTTCAAGATAAGGAAGAGGATGATATACCATGTTTGACCGATGGTAGGTGCATTACCGAGTGTGAATGGTAGAGCTTGGACGTGATAATTTCCAATAAAGGACGGCCAGACAAGGCGCGGTTTGACTTTGTCGAGAATTGAGGTCATGTACGGGAGCTGACTGAGGCAGGTGACGAGAATCGGAGTCGCGAAGCTGACGACCAAGAGTATGATTCTGCAGTTGTGTCAGCTTGAGGGACCCATGCTCCAACGTATGTTGCCCAAGGTCTATGACAGTTGCGTAGTAGTACGTCAGCATCAATCGCACTCACCCGTATCTCGAATGCGTCCTCTCCGCATTCTCAAAGTACTCCAATGCACCCCTTGTACTCTCCCATGTCTCCTCATCAAAACCCGCCGTGAAGTCAAGCACCTCATCCTCCTCCAGCAGTCTACGCGGCGGCTCAGAGCCTTGCATCTGCGCCAACGTTTCCTGATAGGTCCATTTGGGCTCCACACCGGTGAGCCGTCCAGTAACACGCTCAGTCCAGTACTTCTCGAGCTTCCACGGCACAACACCTGTGCAAGTGGCATTCACACAATTGGCCAGAGTGGTCAGCCAGGGTTTGTTGCTTGCATAGCATTCGGCTGATGTTGCGCCTTGGCCATGAGAGTGTGCGCCAGAGGCGTGGTCGTGTCCGGAGCAGGTGAGCATTGCGCTGGCAAAGATGTCGCGGCATGCGAAGGCACAGTTGGGATTGTACACTGGGCTCTTAGTATGTACTGCTGAGACGGGGCAAAGAAAGGTAGGCACTGACTCAGTGTTGGGTACCCGATCAATGCTGTTGCTGTGCTCGACAGCGTGAGAGTGAGGATGATATGCGGCTTCATGTCTGCGGTCTTGCTGTGTCGTCTGAACTGAATTCAGCTGGCTCGCGCTCCGGGCTGGAGAGTCACCACAACTCTCTATATGTTGTGCTCTCCGCAATGCCGAAGTTCGGTAGGGGGTCAAGCGAGCGGCCTGCCTCGCCCGCCCGCCATCATGCTCAAGTGGCACCTGCTGACTGTAAACGTGCTCGCGTAGTCCCTGCGTCACATATCACTCGCGATGGGTAAACTTGCTCATCTACACCGTTTGCAAATTCTTTGCCGAGCAGCGAATGAGGAAGTAGTTATAGAGCGGTAGCGTTGGGCAATGGTTTCGAAAGTGAATGGCGTCCCGAAATGTGCTCGAAACTAGCTCAGCTGCAGCGCTTGGCAGCGCTTGGCAATGCTTGTCTGTAGAACTAAGTGTGAAAATTTCATGGCTATCGGAAGCTGGAGATAGTCGGACCACAGAGCGAACATACCATACTGCAGCATGAAAAGAAGCATACTCGTGGCAGTGTTACATGGCGATCGATGCATTATCGTAGCTATGCGGCGGCAGCCGTATCTGTGCCTAGATTTCAAAGACACCACCCATACCGACTCTGATATCGACAACGTCTACTCTCCAGCCCTTCCAGTCGTTCAGCCCTCTCTTGGTCTCTCTGATGCGCTCAAGCCTTTTCTTGGCCTCTTCCTCCTGTGCTTTCTTGAACGCATCTTCGTCGAACTCAAAATCATCTAAGCTCGGCAGACTTGTCAAACTCTCTGTTCTTGGCTTGCCGCGATTTGCAGCATCGCTGCGTCGATGTGCTGGGTGCTGTGACTGGCCCGTGAACGCAGAGATACCGGACTTGATGACGTCCTGGAAGGAAGAGTGATTCTGCCCAACAGGACGCGTTGGTGGAGCTCCAGAGAGATCAATATCATCGAAACCGGAGTTATTGTATGGCTGTGAAGGGTCGGCGTCGTCGATGGAAGGTTGCATAGCAGTGCGGCGGTCACGCCACACGCCACGACGAAGCTCGAAGTTATCCTCTTCCAGTTCACGGACCTTGGCCATGAGGCGATCGCGCTCCTCGTCTTCAAGCTCTTGCACACTTGAATCCTCTATAGAGTCGAGGTTTGCTTTTCGGCGGCGCTGCTCAGCTTCACGCAAGCGAGCATTCTCATTGCTCAAGCCTGTCACGCGAGATCGAAGCTCCGCAGCTTCACGCTCGACTTTGGCGCTCTCTTGAACACGCGCCTGGTTGCGTGTGTCGTTGTCCCGGTGCAGTTGTGTAAGCGTCTCGATCTTCTTCTCAAGCAACTCCGCTCTCGAGATTGCATCTGAGGCTTTGCGGTTAGCAGTACCGAGTTCAGCCTCAACCTGCGCAATCCGTGTGTGCGCAGAATCACGGTCTGAGCCCTCCTTAGCTGCCTGCTCGCTCGCCTTGTCCAGACTCGCCTTCAGGTCCGAGAGTTCCGTCTTTGTCGAACTGGCCTCCTGCTCTGCCTTTTGTAGTGCTGACTCAAGACTCGACACTTTTGACTGGAGCTCGTTATTCTTGTTCGTTTGCTCAGTCAACTGCATATTGGCTTTGGAGATTTCCAGTTCGAGTGATTCGATCGTTGCTGATTTCGAGGTAATTTGAGCGTTCAGGTCATCGATCGATTCAGTCTGGCTGGGCGAAGCAGCTGAGGCGCGGCGAGTGGACTTCTCGGTTTGTGTTCGTAGCTGCGAAAGCTGGCGTGTGAGAGACTCGACCTCTGACATCTGTTTCGCGTATTAGTGTTCAAGTCCAGACACAATCAGATCTTGCGATGTGTACCAGCTTATCGGCCTGTTTGCTCTTCTCGAGCGCAATTGCAGCTTCGCCCTTGTTCTCCCTGAACTCCTCGAGTTCCTCCTCATCCTTTTCCCACTTTGTCTTGTATTCCTCAACTTCGGCAGCTAGCTTGATCTTCTCCATTTCGAGCTCCCCAATCTTCTGCACCTGCTCGCGATAGATCTCGCTCGACACGCCGCCGCCAGGTATCAGACCGGTAGGTGACATAGGTCCAGCACCTGATCGATAGAAGTCCTCGGATCTCTGGCGTGACTCGACAGCGACTGAAGGCTTGCGGCCATGGGATGGCTTAGGTACGGGTAGATCGGTGGGCTCGTCATCGTCTGCGGATACCGGAGATCCAGGCTCTGCAGTCTCTGTAGGCAGATCTGCCGGCTCAAATGGAGCATCTTCTGCCTTCTCCTCAGCTGGCGCAGATGTAGCGGGAGCTTCAGCAGGAGCTTCTGTAGCTTCTGCCTCGTCCTTCTTGTCCTTCTTCTTAGCACCGCCAGCTTTCTTGGCCTTCTGCTTCTTCAACTGTTCGTACTATATTCTATAATCAGCGTTTCCTATGAGAGAGTACAGAGGCCTGCAAGTGTGTTTCGCTGGTACTGCCAAAGGTATAATCACGCCAATGGTACTCGCATAGATGTTGCTGTGCTACAGGCACCCCTGTTTGTCTGAACGACGATGGAAAGCAATACATACGCGCTTCTTAGCTGCAGCAACCTTCTCAGCCTTATCTTTGTCTTCGTCCGCCATAGTAGTATTGAATGTGGGTGTGTAGAGTGTGGGGTCGCGTTGAACGCGGTGACGCGCCCTGAGCTCGGCGATGCCACCTTCCCTCCGCAATTCGCGCTAAGTACCTACCGGTAGCGCCTGATTGGCCCACATAGCTTGAACCCTTCTCCAAACGTGACCTCTATCAACGAAGTAGTGTAGAAAGAGTCAGGATTCACACATGCTGTAAACAGATGTGATGGCATTGCTGCATTGGGTTTTTGGATCCATGACCGATTGATCGAGAAGGATATAACGCTGCGATTCCTCCCTTGCCTTCAACTTCCAGGACTACAAGAGCCTTGAAGTCTTCGGACACAATCGTGTCCCCAATCTTCAACCTTGTTCATTGCTCCTTCTACAACTTGCCACGACAAGTCATCTTCAAACCACGAAGCGACACAAGTACCCCTGCACCTTTCGCAACGTAACACTCCACCCCCACGACCTCAATCAGCCTGAAACACGACACTCAATTAAGGCCCGTCGTTCCCCAGCACTTGCACAACGGCTATCCGCCCTCGCACGATCTACCCGCCTGTCTCGTTGCGCCATAAGATGTACCCCTAAGACAGGCCTCTGCACCGGGTCCTTGCTCTTGCATACGCTTGTGCTCGTGCACTCAACTTCAAAGTTGTGCTGCTTATGTTTCAACTTATGCACATGGGGATATGGAGTGGTATGCACCTGCGCAGGGGGCCATCCTCCGCAATTTCCGCGAACTATTGGAAACGTGGCTGTGTATGGCCATGAGGATGAAGCGCGAGCTGGTGGGATCGGTACGATGAATTTGATAGGTAAGCGCTGGGAGCGGATTGGGGTCATGTATACACTGCTGACAAACTTGGCGACAAAAGCCGCCTTTTATACCATCTCGCGTCAAATGTTAGTTCATCACTAGTAGATAGCAGGTGAGGAACGGGTGTGTGGATATTGGTATGTGCTTGTGTATGTGTTCATTGCATTTCACCATGCAACACTATCTTCTATGTCGCTGGTAGATCTCAATCCACCAAGATGGTCAACGCCGCCCTAGATGAAGTAGTCGAAAGAAAAGATCTGTCATATCGCGCTTTTGCGCAGGCATGTCTTGAAACAGGTGGCCAAAGAGTACCCAACCATGCCTCAAATGTGCTGAACGAGAGTCAAAGATGATGTTGTCTCCAAAGAGACGTTACCGCCGTAAAGAGCTGATCAAAGTACCGCTGATCAAGATCCGACACGTAGATACCCGTCTTCCCAGAGCCCGCAAACGATGGTTGTGTAAGGAAAATGCTGATTTAACGAGAGTAAGAAAGTCCGGTTCGCGTTCCAAGATTGCAAAGAAAGCATGCGCCATTAAAAGTTCGTAGCCTCGCTGGTAACTCCGTTTCATGCAGGAAGGTGGTGATGTATATATGCTCGGTAACCGGTGTGGACCATTATGTCATGCCGTCAACAGGATGTGCGTCCGTTGGATTAGGGTACGTGATGATATGCAAGTGGTGGCAGGTGGTGGTCGTAGTCAAAACAGATTCATTGAGCTTGCGAAGACGAAGAGGCGGAGTCTTTTGATGATTTCCAGAACTTCAGCTTGCTCAAGCGTCTGGGCTTCTTCTTGGTTTCCCGTGCAACGGGCTCGAGGTAAGCGGATTGGGGTCGCTGCTCGATTGACAACTTGCTCTTTTCGCTACCGTAGGATCCGTTGATCAAGCGAGAAAGACTAGCAATGCTGGATCGCTTGCGACGACGCTGCTCGACCTCGCTGGGCGTGGAGCAAAGCGATGCTGAGCGATCGCCAGGCCTGCGGGGAGCGGGGAGGGGGAAAGTGCCCTGCAAGTTGCTGGTCATGGTCGACCTCGAAGAAGTCAGAGATGGTACGTCAGATGAGTCGCGTATCTCCGGTCCGGGTTCTCCAAAACGTGGTGATGATAATACTGGGTAGTCCGTTACAGACGACGCCGCAGTGCCGACACGAGGTGTATCGAAGGAGACCTGGCTGGACCGGTAGTCTGGTGAACCAAAAGAGGAGGTGACGGTGTTAGGCGTCATCAGGCTCTGCTGCGCAAGCGGTGCTGGCACAGCCATAGTCGACTGGTGCTCTTTGAACTCCTCCAGTGTCGACTGTGGTGTAACAGTAGAGTCTGACGAGTGTGTGAGGGATGAGGTACGAGGCTCTTCGTAGTCCTCCACAACCTCGACCTGCGCGCCGCTCGACTGAAACACGGCATGCGGGGACAATGGCTCCTCCATAATAGGCGAGTGTCGTGGCTCGGCACGTGCCTTCAAACCAAGACCGTCGTTGAAGTTCCAGTTAATCGCTGGACCATCATGTCTATCCTCGATCTCGACGACCTGAATACGCGGCTCTTCATCCTTCTCGGGCTCTTCCGCGATGGAAGTGGGGGCGGATGCCCTCCTTGACTCGGGCCTCTCTTCTTCTGGCTCTTCCTCCTCGAACACGTCAGCCATTGGCGAGGTGCTGGTGGCAGCTGAAGGCCTGAATTCGAAAGGCACCAACTCGGGTGCGCTCTCTGTCCTGCGATGGTTTGGAGTAAATCCGCTTGCACTGTGCATGGCGCGGCGATGAGCCGCAAATCCGCGCTTCTGGGTCCTCGAGTCCGCGCCATCTGGGGTCTGGAACGGGCCAAGAGCCGCATCCATGTCAATGATGGGGCTCATGACATCCGAATCGACACGCTTCAGCTGTCTTGGTTGCCACGAAGCAAAATCGGTGTTAATCTTAGGTCCTGGGACAGCGTCTGCTGTGGGCGAAACGATGGTCACCGAGGTGTCATCATCAAAGTTCGGAATGAAGTCGTCGAGCTCAAGCTCAAGCTCGTCTGAGGAATCGGTGTCTTCGCCTTCCGCCACGGCGTCTGGCTGCTCAGGTGTCGCTGCCCTCCGCTTCGATTTCTTGCTGTGCTTGCTCTTTCGTGGGATAATGGAATTTGCCCAGGACTTGACTTTCCGTGGCCTGTGGCTCAATTTCTTCGACTTCGACTTCGAGTCCTCTGCTATCTCTGTGTCCAGAGGCGACACCAAAGGAGAGGAGTTGAAAGTCGTTGTGAGAGCTGGGTCAGAGATACTGGTCGGCAGTCTTCGGTGGCTGGACTTGTCGCTGTTCCGTGACTCCAAACGGAAGAAGCCTCGCTTCTTGGTTGGCATTTCAGGCGAGGTAGGACTGGGTCCAGCAGACCGCGAACGGCCGGCAGACATAGGTCGCTTGCGCTCAGTTGATTCCACAATCAACGGGTTGCTCAGAATCTTATCCAGTACAGCACCGGCGGTGCCAGGCCGGCTCTCATCTTCTACTGTTGGTAGGGTTGGGGTACCTGAACGTGTGAAAGGCGGGCTCACGGTGTTGCCACCAACAATCGATGACAAGCTGTTAGTGTTCGAGTGTCCACGGATGGTCGAAACTTCGGTTTCTGAGGAGATAGTCGAGAGAGGCCGAATGTACTCGACCTTATCTGAGAAGCCAACACGGGCTCTGGAGGGAGGACGTGATGTCGAGTCATCGTCTGGGCTGTTGCTTCGCAGACAAGGCTGCGACATGGACTTGTTCACCGAGTGACCGAACTTGAAGTCGTTGAGGTTCTCGGCGGGCGTGCTAGGCGCACTGCCTGTGAAAGTGGGCATTAGGGGAACAGGGGGCACTGGAGGGGTCATGATGGCGGATAAGTCGTGGGACGAGATGGCGGCAGAGCGGCGATGCGCGTGCCCACGACGCCCAGCGGGTGGACCTGGCTGTAGAGTTGATGTGGGAGGCGACAGAGAACCATCCTTGGTGGGGCTGCTACTCAGCAATGTCGCGCCTGTTCGAGCACTCCCTCCAATAAGCTCACTTCCACCCCGTCGGTGGCCATGCATTGGCTTGGCGGGCGTTGTCGGCGAAATAAGCGGCGATGTCTGGGGAGACGTTTGCTGGGGTGCTGGTACATTGCCCGAGGGGTTGAAGGAGAAGGCAGGCAATGCGTTTACCGACTTCTGCCTGGCGTGCGGCATGGACCCTCGGCGAGCGGCTGGGTACTGCATCGACATTGGGCGGGGTTTGGTCGGTGACGAGTCGTTGGAGGATGTGTCTGGTCCTCGCATGGGGAATGAGAAGTCGGGGTTGGGGACCATCTCTACGTTGCCAACGTTGGACTGCTGGCGACGCTGGTAGAGCGGTGAGCCTACACTCGCCGACTGCGACTGTGTAGCCTGATGGCGTGGCAGCGCAATCTGAGCCATGGCGAGGAGGACACTGTGAAATTAGGGTAGCACGGCGACTACGGGTGGAGGGCACGGCGGCAGTAGGACGAAACAAGCGCTGTTGAGGTACAAGGCGTCCGAGTATTAGCACTAGCGAGAGACAGTGGTCAACACGCAGATTGCAGGGCTGCAATTGTGGTGCATACAATGTACGCGCAGGGACGGGGTTTTGGGTGCAGCGAGGGCGGATGGCAGCAATCGTTTACGGTGGTTGCGGGTCGCTGGTGATAATGCTGCTGCGGGCGCGGAGGGTGAAGCCAGTACACCCGGAATTAAAGAATGAATGACAGAAAAAGAGCGGACAGATACCGCACGTCGCCTCAGTCTGTGAGGTCAACAAAACGGCTCCAGAGTGGGTGTGGTGTTGAGAGGGGTCGACAAGAGGAGCGGGAGGTGTCGTGGATTGGCAACCTGGGTGCAGCGGCGCGGCCGAGCACGGTTTTGTTCTGGGAGACAGACGGGCTGCCTGCGCCGCACGGACGCAATCTGACTGGGCTTGACAGGCAGGGCCCACACTCGCGCGTAGGGCAGGGGTACCGTTGCTCGCATCCTTGCACGACTGCTGTGCTGCTGCGAGCTTGGTCGTTTCGCTGTCACCGCGAGAATTCTGCGCTCACTCGCACGCTGCTCGTGGGCAGTATGGCCCATGAGGCATTTGGGCTGCTGCGTGCTGGCAGGAACGGTGCTGGAAACGCAGGAACGGCCGTAGCGCGCCAGCGAAGTGCAGACAAGGTGCGCAATTTCATTTCGGACGCGGCTGTGCCTGATCTCCATTCATCACGAGGGCTACCAGCTGGTCCGTCGACAGCGGCCACTCCACAGTGTCCACACCCTGCGCAACCATGATGTCGACAATGACGAGCGACGCCGCGGACAGGCCAGCTGCAAGTTTCTTGCATCTTGCCCATCAGACGACAATAAAAGTTAATTGCTCCTGCGGCTCATCAGGGCACGCCTTCGAGTGCTGCTTGCCGACTACCTGCATGCACCTTATCGCTGCGTATGCATGAGGAAGAAACGGTCTGTACACGGCCTACACACCTGCAGCATCCTGACTCGAGCCACGCTCCCACTATCCAGCGTGCACTTCTACTCGTTGGAGTTGCCTGCACGCGATATGCATCTCTCCAGATCACCTTGGCACCCTGCCGCAACCCGGCAAACTTCACATCGTCCTCCGGCTCTCTCGGGGATGACGGAGATATAGTGTTGATCTGTGGTGCCGCTTCCAAGTTTGCACTCGAGTGTGCTTGGTCCCTCGAGCAAGACACGGCTCAAGTCCAATTCTCTCCACATGAGGATGCGCAACAGCATGTTTCACACGCACCGTTCGAGGTGGGTCCAGCAAGCCCTTGGTTTGCCAATTAGTATTTGAGATGCCGCAGTTGGCGACCAATCGAACCAGAGGCGTCCGCTTGCCCCTGCATGGCTAGCAGCATCTTCCTAGAGCAGAGGCGCTACTAGTGGGCCTTGCCCTATTTGTGTGAGGAGCTCGTCCTCGCCACCATAAATAGTCCTGCCAGACGAAATGCGGAGAAGCGGGCGAGACGAAGCAGCCGTCTTGCTGCGTCTGCTCAGGCGAGTTGAGCCCGCGTATCGAGACTGAAGTGCACGATACCCAAGACTACTTCTTCCTACCATCCGCAATTGCATTGGCTGCAGAAGCCGAACGGCGCAGCAGATTGCTCACAACTGCTCTCAGAAATACTGGGATGCGCCGTCATCAACACCCTAGTGTCTCAAGACGCCACAACAGTGCCTGCATTCTGGCGTTTGTACTACGCGTTCTGCAATGCACTCTGCATCGCTTCACTATCTGCAAAGCACTGTGCGGACCGATTGTCGTCGGTTTGCTTTTGCTGCGTTCGATGCAGGCCAGTTCCAGGCTGCTTTGTCGTCGCAAGTCTAGCCGAGCTGCTACGTGGTGCGCAATTTCTCTTCCACCCGGGACATGTTCGGTCTGCAGCACCCTTTCGTAGTTCTTGACCGACCTTTCTAGGAACTTCGTGATACTGTAACGTCACGAACATGGTAGGCCTGTCTCCCGCCAGTGAAAGTGATCTACAGGGACCAAACCTCGGCGGCCAGGTTCCGAGACAGAGAATTCTCGGTGCAAATCTCTATTTGCCCTCGGTTGCACTTGGAATTGCCAATACTTCACGAAGGATGTCAGGTATCGAGATTGAGCAGGCTTTTACGAAGATACGGAGATGTGCCTGAAAAGTAAGTCGACCGAACATCACACAATGCACTATGAACTCGCTAAGGAATCCGATCCGTGGAGGATCGGGTGCCAACGGTTTTCACCTGCGACGACCAGTTTCGTGCAATCGCTCGTAGCCTTGCGCCGGCGAACTTTGAGTACACATTTCCTGCGAGCGGTCAGGCGGTGAGATATGAAGGTCGCATCTCCTGACCAATCAATGAAATGGTCCTGGATTAGATACTTCTACTTAGTGGACCTTACTTCGCTGATGTTGTGTGCTTTCAGCAATTGTCCGTCATTGTCTCGCAGCCTCGCGCAAGTGTCGAGCTACAACCACGGTACGCCTCTCCCTGTACCTGCAGTAACCACTCAGCAACACGTTCATCAAGCGCAATTGGTTTCAATTGCTGGTCGCATGCAACATTACATCCGCTGGTGTCCGTTACCTGTCACTGTCAAAATTTGGTAGATTAGATAATGGCCCGGCCCCTGCGCTATCAATTGCAACGTTTTCTCAGTCAATAACATGTCAAGCGGATGTGGCTGCCCAGCCAACAGCAATAATTACTGTTTACGTTTCCTCTTCCAAGATCTGCTGTTGCAGTAACAGCTGTCTTTGTTGTAAGATTGCCAATCTCGGGTTCGTGAAATTCGCTCGTGCCAAAACAGGAAGTGTGATGAGTGGCTTGGGGCGCCCTAGCCAATGACGACGCGGCCACGATTGCACTTTCCTTATTTCGAACCAATTGCTTCCCAACCTCACTGCAAAAGCACGTCTGTCTTTGCAATATGATGTTGCAACACTGCTGCACTCATTACCGTTATTACGACAAGGTCAGCCTGTCGATAGTAGTGACAGCAATACACTCAATGCGACGGCGAAAAGCAAACTCTCAGGTCCGTTCACTAATCTGCCTAAACCCAGCGCCATGTATCCGCAACGCCGCCTGTGCGGAGCCTCATATTGAACAGCCACTCACACGCAATTTTCACATCCTGTTCAGGTCCCAACAAAGACGCCTCAGCAAGCAACTGCACCACTCACGGTTCCTACCAGCAATGCGACTATCCTGCCGGTGCCTTCCGTCTCGCTTGGTACGGGATGCTTGTGGGATGGTTTGCTTTGTTCTCCACGAACCAGATGCGGGGAGCCCACATCCAGATCCTGCGTCTGAGACTAACGCGCTAGGCCGAGCTGCAGAACCCAGCTGAGCTGCAAACAGTCAGGATCTGGACTCGATGCAATGTCGTCAGTCTTGCACTTCATACCCGAGCAAAAGAGAAAGAGCAAGGGTGCCAGCAAGCAGGTGATCTCTACACCGTTGTCCAGTAGCTGCATGCCGACAGTAGTGGCAGCAGCATGCAAGCTGCCAAAAGACCGCACTTTGTGTGCTTCCACGTTATCACAGTCGCGCGCAAAGCCTCGAAAGCTCGGAGCTCAACTGTAGCCTCCACCCGCATGAGCTGAAGCAGTCACAGGACACAGCAACGCTGGAACAAGCAACACCGGATCCAGCGCCGCTTCACAACAACTTTCGCGCACCGTCCTCGCCGGCACGGGGTGTCCGTAGTCCTCGGTTGTGAACCGAAATCGACAGTCGATTGGTCCATTTAAAGCGGCGTTTTACGAATCGTGGAAGCTATCAGCACTACTGTACCTCGACCACGACTGCAGCAGGAAGGTGGCACGACTTGCGTTTTCGGACTTCAGGTTCTCCGCCCTCAAGCTCTTCAGTTGGCGGGAGACACCGATGCAGAACGAGTCAAAGGGTCAGTGAGCACGTTAAGCGTCGGCTATACTCGACGAACTCTATGCTGCCTGTGAGGGGATCGGCTCAATATTACCGCAGCCAGGTATCCGTCTGTTGACTCCTCACTAATCCAGGAGCTGCCAGATGGCCTGGTATCAGCACCAGACTCAATAGCATCCTGCTTGTTGATACAGACCTGCAGAGCTCTCGTGTCCGATGATTCGGACTTTCCTTCCGATCTCTGAAACACGTCGTGCATAAACTAATGCAGGTGGACGTACGAACAATGATCGTCGGGGTTCAGCGAGGATCGCTCCAGCTTGCGCGTCATCAGGTATCGGTACACCGATGACTGAAATATGCCAAGACTTACACAACATCTCACCAGATAGTCCAACATCTATCGCGGCATTTATCATTTCAATCGAATCCAGGTGTCGTGAGAACGCTTGAGCTTGACGAGTCTCGTTCCAATGAGACGAGGTAGTTGCAAGTGCTGACGCTTCATATCCTTGGTTGGCAGGACGTAAGGATTAGAAGACGACTACACTACAAGCAAAGCGTTGGGCCAGGGCTCTGCTTATTATGACAGGCCTTTGATTTATAATGGTGTACTGTGGTGGTTGTCCGCAAGGTAAGCCTTGCAATGGTGGTGTCGGCAGCCTTGAAATGAACATTGGCGTTGTTGAGAGCTCACAGAAGCAAGTAACAAACTCTATTTCCACAGGAACTGCTCCATTGTTAATATCATCTGCAGGTCTTGCAAGCATAACCATGATCCGCAGAGCTTCAAGGTCACCCCGGTTTGACAGAGCACGCGGCCGCCTCGCCGCCTCTCCCTAGAATCAACCGGTAATTACCATGGCTACTCTCATTACCACGATACAACCAACTACGTCCGCAATGCAAATTGACCGAACGATACCATACACATCTCGAAGTCGAAATTGACTTTGGCAACGATTGGGCGCCCTTGCTACCACGCCGGGCGCACAAGGATCAGTAATCTCAGATCTTGTACAACTCAAGGTAACAGAAAGATAAGGATCGCCATGTGTATCAGCGCCCTCACTGCATCTGCATTCTCAACGAACGAGCTCGAAAATCTCCGACAGCGTGAGCGTGCTGTGCATCGTACTGGGAAACGATTCCTCCAATCTCGAGCTCGGAAATCCGGGCCGGCCCTTAGCGGTAAAGTTACACTACAGGAACTGTTGCATCCACAGGGCGCCCAAAGCCGGCGTGGCACAGAAGGAGCTAGAGATGAGCGAGCGATTTGTGATCTATGATGCCAGAGGAATTCAAGGAGATACATCGCGGACCGCTGATGCTCGGCGGGTACAATTGGCGTTGGAGGTGACACTGCAGTAGCCGCGCGTAGTTAAGTTTAGAGTGGCGCGGCGCTGGGAACCTCAGCAAGACCTAGAGAAGCAGATGCAAACACCCTCAAAGTGTCTTTGACTTTACAGTTGGTTTGGCAAAGTAGCGGTCGCACTGGCTACACACGCATCACTTCACCATTACACATTGAAAGTCATGTCTTAAGTTGAGAGATGCCCGTTGTGCAATGATACTGTCGCTCTCATAGCATCCCAATTGCCGCATCGTTGTGGAGCTCCTTCTCTTTCTTAGCCTTCAGAGGGGTTTCCCTGATGCTTTGAACCCAAACATACAAGACCATGCAAAGCCACACACAATCCGTCAATCTCTGCATCTCAGTCTCCAATACCTTCCTGATCCGCCCACCCATCTGCCCTTTCCACCATTTCATCCTCACCTGACTGCGAACCCATTACCCATCGCCCAATCCCGCCCACCATCCACCCCGCAGAGCAACAAGCCAAATAGAATCAGCCTCGAAGCAGGTTAGACACGCCGCATCATCCCCTGCTGCTGCTCCCCAAAGCGCCCAGGCTTCTCTGCGATGACCTCCTCGTCGTTGGTCTTGTAGACACAGACATGTATCCCGTTACGACGGTCACTGCGCCGATATTACGAAGAACAGGATCGTGTGCAGCCCAGACGTGTGGCCGATGTCGAAGCTCATGTAATTGAGATTGTGTGGCTGGATCGATGTCGCAACGATGGAGGGGGGCGGGGGCGTACTTCAGTCTGCGGGAACTGTGAGTAGAGCATTGGGCGCATGGGTTTGACTTGAGGTGGCGAGACGAGACGAGGGGATGGATAATGGGGAGTGGAGATTGCGACGGCTGAAGTTGCGGATCGTGGTGGTGAATGTATGTAGAGATATTGTGTTGATGTCTCAAGGCTAATGTTGTGTCCAAGTATAATTAGCGGAGGGGAAGATCAAGTTGTATTGGTGTGATGCATGTTGAATTGAAGACGCCGACATGACTTGTAGCTTCCATGGTCCAGAACTCGCGACAATCTTGTCCTGATCACCACATCCGGTATTCGGGGACCCTTGAGCTTGCTGCTTCCGAGGAGTGCAGCTGCTCCCCGAACTGCTGTCCGCTCAGGGTTCTTCGTCTGCCGTCTCTCTTTGTGCAGGAGCAGGATGCTTCACACGGTCTCAGGGTTTCAGCGCTGCTCAACGCATTGCGATATCGTCTGGTTCCTCTCGGCTTATCAATTCAGAGTGGAGATGTTCAAGTCCAATGACCACGCGGAATACACCTAGTCGACCGGGGTAGTGAGCCAAGTTCTTCCTTCTGCATCAGCATGCATACCCTGATCCAAGCTCCAGTACCGCATCATCTTACCAACCTCTTCTCTCCGCTTCTCCTGTATCTTCTTTGCCTCCTTGTCTCTCGCTGCTGCCACAAAGGTGCCCTGATCGAGACTCCAAAACGACCTCTGTAGGTCCGGTTTCTCCGGCGCTTTACAAGCACACTTGCAAGAACAGTCCACAACGACTTCTCTGATGACCTCTCGGGGTACGTATGCCACCCGAGGAGGTCCGGGGGTTTGCGATGTTGGTTGTTCGGGAGATTCTGGACTGCACGTCTCCACTTGCTGTCTCGCTCCTCTTTGTGCGGTCGTGTGCTGGGCAGATTGCGGGATTGCTTCGTGCCCCGTTGGCTTCTGTTCGTACGCTTGTCGACCGTGCGAATGCCGGCGATGCTCGTCTCTCGAGCGGAGGATCGAGTACATAACGAGGGCGCCGAATGCGCCGCTAAAGAGCATCGTGTTTCAAGAGCTGTACGCGTAATCGATGCGAGTGTGTTGTTGTGGTAGATCGTTGAGTGTTGGCGTTGAGGGCACTACGTGGTTGAAGGAGCAACTTGGCTAATTGTGAGGGAAATGATATACAGGCGTTTTGTGTATGTAGCGTGGGCAGTCGAGTTTATTGTTGTGTGCTTCTGAGGTAAAGCGTGTCTCGATGATTATAAGTACCATAGGTACACTCATCACTGCAAGATCAGGCAGCAACAAACTGCAGTCCGACCTGACGGCAAGTACGAGTAATAACCGTAAATTCGGTAGAGATTCGATAGATGTGAAGTCAGGAGACACACTTGCAGCGTTGCGTCGGGGTGCCGGAGCGTCGAGAGGTACATTCATGGTTGCCTTCGGAGAATTTCGGGTGGCTGTTGGTGGGCCCATACCTACCTTGTATATGAACATCTGATTCGCAAATTCGAAAATTTGGGCAACGCTGAAGAGAGACTTTCGATATTGCAGCACCAGAATTTTGCTTGGTCGCACCCTCGGGTGCTCACGTCCATGGACATGCTCCGAGTCCGATGGAGACCATTCGGGTCGCTCCAGTCGTCAGTCTGTGTCGCAGACGATGTCAGTATGATAGTCTCATCTCTGTCCCCGTACCAAAAGTCTGCTCGCGGTGGTGCACGCCTCCACCAGATTTCGGCCTCCCCAGCAACAGACCCGCCAGTTCCATGCATCAGTGTCCAATGAATAGAGCTGGAAGACTGGGAGTCGGACTGGGTGCACGCACACGAGCCCCATGCTCAGCACAACAGCGGTGATGCTCAATGGAGCACAGAGTCTTCCCGCAGTCTTGACCGTTGCTGCGGTCAAGATCGTCCACATTCTTCAGCGCCGCTTTCAGTCCAGCCCACAGAGGGTGAGCTTGTCACAGTGCACGACTTCATCACCCAGACCCATGCGTGGCTTCAGCCTCTGCGCGAAGACATCCTAAACGCCATGGAGGTCACGTTTGGAAGGCGATATTCAGACACACAGCTTCATCTCGGCTTGATTGCGCCGAGCGGGTTGATGATGGTAAGGGATGAACGCCCTGGACAGGCGGATAGGCACTGGGAACGGGTTGCCGAGCATGCTCGCAGACGTGAAGCAGGCACAGTGGCATTGAGACGCTGAGGAGGCGTTGTACTCGGATGGGTCGTGATCAAACGATGTCATGTGGTATCAGGGCCATGTCTCGATTCCGTATCTGCATCCACTGCTCCCACGAGAAGGTCTCATAGCCCCCAATAGCAGGCCGTCGTGTGCTGCATCTGCGTGTGGGTATATCTGATATCCAGGCCGTCGTGTGCTGCATCTGCGTGTGGGTATATCCAATATCCAGGCCGTCGTGTGCTGCATCTGCGTGTGGGTATATCCAATATCCAGGCCGTCGTGTGCTGCATCTGCGTATGGGTATATTCAATATCCCCGCCCAGCTTGACAACAATCCCACCAGACATGCTCCGCCGAGGTGTTCACGAGCCCGTCATGTGGATCAGCATGAACCACCCAGAATCGCCATGGGCGGGTTCAAGGCGCTGTAGCTGTCATCGAACGTAGAGACGGAGAGGGACGAGACGCGGGACGTGATGGAGCGGTGCGGACGGCCGCAGTCTACACAAATACTCGATTACACAATATCGTAGGTACAGAGCGCGCCGTGAGACGACTAGATAGATACAGCAAACACCGCACACGCGTTGCCAGCCTCGCAACACGCCAAGAGAAGACAGAAAAGCTTACCATATAATACACCATCTTTTCCTCACCCCGCATGGATTCGCACGGATTCTCATGGCTTCGCATGACTTTGCATGGCTTCGCATGGATTCGCATGACTTTGCATGGATTCGCATGGCTTTGCATGGCTTCGCATGGCTTCGCATGGCTTCGCATGGCTTCGCATGGCTTTGCACGCTCACCCCGCATCCCTAACCCTCGGCCCCGTGCTCCTGGGATGCGTGTTCCACTGCCCGTACAGCCCCGGGCCCGGCCTCGGCCTCGCCCTGCCGGGCCCGGCCTTGGCAGCCTTCTTGTACACTTCGCGCCACAGCTCGTCGACGGGCAAGAGCCGGGCCATGTGCTGGTAGTGCTGGACGCTCTGGCTAATCTCGTTCTCGCCGTAGTCGGCGGCATCGACGAGGTCGGCGGCATCGACGAGGTCGGCGCTGGAGCGGGACTTTGGCGTTTTCGCGGCGGGGGCGGACGCGCGGAGCAGTTTCAGCGCGTCGCGGAGCTCCTTGTCCGAGGAGGAGATCTGCGCCTGCAGATAGGCCAGGTTCTCGGCGCTGGTGGGGTGGGCGCCGGCGAGCGAGGCCATGACGGGGACGCGGGGGGTGTAGGCGTACAGGTGCGGCGCCGGGGGGTCGGTGGGGACGATGCTCGGATCGAGTCTGGCGGCGGGGCCCTTGTCGAGGAGCGCGAGAATGTCGAGGCTCTCGCCGTGCGGAATCGGGGTGGCGTGCGACGGGGTGAGGCAGTCCATGTCGACTTCCTTGCGCAGGACGTGGTCGATGTCGACGGCGGAGAAGTACGCGCACGACTGCGGCAGCTCGTTGATGCCCATTTGCTGCGCGAACATGGCGCGCGTCCAGAGATTGGCGACCTGCATCGCCATTGCGGCGCGGTACTTGTCCGTCTCCTTGGCCAGGTAGCGGATCTCGTCGTGCACGGTGATGGCGAGGCGGGCGTCGATGTTGTACCGCCGGGCGAGGTAGTCCATGCCGACAATCAGCAGGTGCAGGTAGTCGACGCCGCTCGACTGAATGGCCCAGTTGATGCGGCTCGTCATGAAGCCGCCTTTTGTCAGGTACCGGCGCTGCAAGGCTTCCGTGATGGCGGCGCCGAGCACGGGGGTGCGGGGGCGCTCCTGCTCGGCAAAGTCCTCGAGCTTGTTGAACACCAGAGACTCGGTGCCGCCGCGCCAAAAGGGCCTCTCGTGCAGCTGCTTCCTTGTCGTCTTCCTGCCTTTGGTGTTTTGGTAGAGGGCGGTGGCGGTGGCGGTGGTTTGGTCGTCGGTAAGCGCGGGGTTGAATTGGCGGAGCAGGGTCGCGGCGAACTTGAGGCCGGCACCGTAGATGCGCCCGTAGTTGAAGACCTTGGCGTCGTTGCGCGAAATGCCCAGGATGCCGGCGGTGCGCGAGTGCAGATCGGTGCCGGCTGCTTTGGTGCCTTCGAGCGTCATGAAGCCCACCGCGTTGCCGCCATGGAGCTGGAAGGTGGCGTCGCCGACCAGACTGGCGATCCACAGCTCCTCCGAGTCGACGTCGGCGCCCACGAAGCAGTAGCCTTGCGGCGCTCTGACCATGGACTTGAGCTCCGATCCCACACGGTTCTTCTTGGCGTTGCTGGCCGTGAGCCACGTGTTCTCCACTGCCCTGCGCGTGACGGTGCCCATGGGTATGAGCTGGGGCAGAATGAAGCCGACCCTGGTCCCTCGGCCCCTGCCGGACGACGAGGTCAGCTTGGGTGTGTTGGGCACCTCGCTGCTGTACACGGCCATCTGCGACATGATCCTGTCTCTTGCGCTGATCCAGTACGAGCAGGAGGCGTTCATCTCCAGTGCTTCCTTGGCATAGCTGTACTCGGACGTCAGCTTCCCCTTTTCAAAGTACTGCAGGTAGCCCTTTGCGAGCGGGTTCGTGCAACGGGCTTGCGGCCCGTCCTTGTGCGGAATCTTGTAGTACACGTGCCGACGGTCGTCGCGCAGCTTTGGATTCTGCTCCGCCGTCATGTCCAGCTCTCTCGCGCCCGTGTCGGGGTGCGCAAGCACGCCGTCCACGGGCACCTGATACGTCCAGCCGTACACGTCTGACCAGACGAGCGGGTTTCCGTCCCAGGCCAGCCGCAGCAGGATCGGAGCGACCCGTGTCCTGATGGTGAGGTTCATGGGCCCGTCCTTTTTCGGAAACATGTCCTTGTACCACTGCGGCATGCCCGGCATCTTCTGTCGCGCAGCGCGTCGCGGCGGATCGCCCTTGTTCCTGCCCTTGACCATCTTCACGTCCTGGCCCGACCAGTCCAGCTGGCTGAGCCACGGGTCGTTGCCGTACACCTCGGGCTGGTCCTTGACCTCGAGGGCCCTGTCTGCAAGCGCAACCAGCCGCTCTCTGACTGCGGTGCTGAGCCTCTGATACGTGGCCTCGGCGTTGTTGATGTAGACATCCCAGCTCTCGTTGACGGGCAGGATCTCGGCTGCCATGAAGCGGAGCGCAGCGAAGCTGACCGGGTGCGGACACGCCTCGATGAACAGCGGCAAGACCTTTTGGTACACTCGGTGCGTCACGGCCACGTCTGCGGCGCAGTAGTCGAGCAGCTCGTCCAGCTTCTCGCCGACGCCTGCCCGGTCGAGCTCGCCAAACGACTTGCGCTGCGCCTTGTCCATGGCGATGTTGCAGTGGAACTTGGCCACGTCGCGCAGCGAGTTGACGGCACTCCGGCCGATCCACAGCTCCTCGTCCTCCTCGCCCGCGGCGCCGCCGCCCGAGTCGAGCAGGGCGGACAGGTCTGCGTTCTCTTCCGACGTCGCAATCTTGTCGCGAAGGTCGCGACTCTTCTTGTGCTTCATCCACGACGGTCGCTGGCGCGAGCACATGCCGTTGGAGGCAACGTGCAGCGACATGGTGTCGACGAAGCAGTTCTTCGACTGCCGCACGTCGTACTCCTCGGCCACGCGTGCGCGGTCGTAGCCGATGTTGTGGCCGACGACGATGCGCGGCACCGTACGGTCGCCGAGCGGGATCAGGTGACGGTCCGACCTGGACTCGCCCAGCAGCCAGGGCGAGATCCAGGCGTACCAGGCCGTGCCGCTGACCGCGCACGCCATGCAGGCAAACGACGTCTCCTTGTACAGCACCTCGGTGTCCAACGTCAGCATGCTCTCGTCGGGCGCCTCCACGCGCTCGGCGGTGCCGTCGCTGCTGTACCTGGTCCACCCGCTCTGCCGCACCCACTTGCGCGGCTTCGGCGGCGGGTTCGCCCACGCCAGCTTCTTGCACATGCCCAGGTACGGCTCGGCCGCGTCCATGCCCAGCTTGTGGAAGTGCTCGTCCAGCGTGGCCCCCTGCAGCTCGGGCAGGTCGAAGGCGACGGGCGGGGTCGAGTCGGTGTTCTTGCCGAGCAGCTCGTGGCGCGCGAGGTGGTCGCGCGAGAGGGCGACGAGCTCCGCCGGCGGGCGGCTGGCCGCGCTGCGGAAGATTTGCGCGTGCACATGGCTGGAGAGGTGCTGCACGCCTATCTCGCTGAAGCGCGCCGCCGAGGGGACTGCGCGAGGTCAGCGCGCGTCTTTGGGCGTCGTCTATGGCACAAACGTACTGTTCAGGCTGTTCGGCCTGCGCTTGCTGCCCGCTGCGCCGTCTTTGGGCGCGTCGGCCGTGGCCGCGCACCGTCGCGGTGCTCGCTGGTAGGCCGCGTCCGTCTCTGTTCTGCCGGCTCGCGGTCGCGGCGCCGCACTCGCAAGGGCCCGACTGGAGCGGCAGCGCATCGTCGCGTCAGGCAGCGGAGGGGAGCGTCTCGGCACTGCGTCGTGTCACTGCATCGTCTCGCATGCGCGCAGAGTCGGTCGCCTGTCGCCGCCCGCGCGCCGCCGTCGTCAGAGCACGTCTAGCTTCGCCTCTCCGTCTCTCCACCGTGCGGGAGCAGACGACGAATCAGGCGCCGCGTTGCAGGTGCAGCCCTAGCCGTCACTCGCCCGCCAAAGCTCGGGCGCCCCTCTGTCTTCACCGGCCGCTGCGTCTGCGGGCGATCTTGGCTGCGAGCGATCTTGGCTGTGTGCAATCCTGTCTTCCGTGGTCCTGTCTCCCGTGATCCCGTCTCCCGTGGTCCTGTCTTCCGTGATCCTGTCTCCCGTGATCCTGCCCCCCGTGATCCGGCCTGGGTGTGCTCCTGCCCGACCCTGACCCCGACCCTGACCCCGACCCCGACCCCGACTCCGGCTCGCTTTGCACGCATAATGCACGCCTAGCAAACTCCGCCCCGGCCGTGCTCGCCGCCATGTCGGCCTCAGACCACGACTCGTTCCAGGACTGGGACTGGGACGCCAACTTCGTCAACAACCTCCTCAACCCCACCGTCGACGACGACCCCGCCTTCGCCTACGCCAACGCCGCACCCTACACCATGTCGTCGTCGCGTCCCCAGCCGGGTCGTCTGTCCAACGGCTACGTCGACCTCACCTCGCCGCACGTCGACCTGCCCGACTCGGCGTCGCCGCCGCGACGACGGAAGCGTGAGTCGCCTGCGCCAGGCCCATCCACGAAGCGCCTGAGGCGCGCGGGCGGTGCAGCGGGTGCAGCGGGTGCAGTGAATGCAATGGGTGCAGCGGGTGCAGGGAGTGCAGTGGGTGCAGCGAGTGCAGTGAGTGCAATGGGTGCAGTGAGTGCAATGGGTGCAGCGGGTGCAGCGAGTGCAGCGGGTGCAGCGAGTGCAGCGGCGGAGAGCTCCAGCCGCAGGACCCCCGATTCCCCAATCGAGCGGATAGACCTCTCGCAAGACGACGATGACATTCTCAACGTCCTCACGAAGCAGCGGGAGCAGGCCGTCAAGGCCCAGGCTAGGCCGACAGAGACAGTCACCACCTTCAACAGCTTCAACTGCGTCATCTGCATGGACCGCCCCACCGACATCACAGCCACAGCTTGTGGTATGTACCGTGCCCGGCAGCACCTGCACGGCGTCGACACTGACCTCCTCCAGGCCACCTCTTCTGCCACACCTGCCTCATGGAAGCCCTCATCGCCGGCGAGAACCGCACCGGACCCGGTGAAGTCAAGCGATCGCAGTGCCCCGTCTGCCGCAAGAACATCAGTCGGACAAAGGCTACCGACGTTATCCCGCTGCTGCTCAAGAAAGGCCTGGCCACACAGCCACGGAGGAAGCCAGGTGCGATAGCTCCTGCCGCAAGGGTAAAATAAAGCGTCTGGGATTGCCTCGGGTTCGCACTGGATCTTGTCGGGTCGAGTTCCTCTCCTAGCACCCCCCAAACTCGAAACATTTCCTAGCACCCACCAAACTCGAAACATTTCCTAGCACCCCCCAAACTCGAATTCCTCTCCTGGAACCCCCCAAACTCGAATTCCTCTCCTGGAACCCCCCAAACTCGAAACATGTCCTAGGCCAGCACAAGGAAGCCTCGGACCACAGTGCCACGAGCAAGGCCACGCAGGACGCCATTCTACAGGACGCCATTCTACGAGGACGGGTACATTTAAACGGAGACTTTTCTACCGTCAATCTTTGTTGCATTACAGCGGGAGCATGCGGCTTGAACAAGCACTGGCGTTGCGGGTTGTGAGCACGACGACTGCGCGGATTGTGAGCACGGCGACTGCACGGGTTGTGAACACGACGACTGCGCGGATTGTGAGCACGGCGACTGCGCGGATTATGAGCACGGCGACTGCACGTGTCGTGGGACCACCATACCGGACAGCACCACCAAAGTCTAGACTGCATGCAGGGCTCCACCACGATAATGACGTACACGACCATGACGTACTGGTGTACAAAATAATCAAAGTAGTAGTCCGGCTCGGCCACTGCGTCCTCCCTCCGTTCCATCGTTCGATACTCACACCGCAATCATGTCAGACCCCAAGCTCACCTCGTCCATTGCTATCGTCGGCGCCGGCGACGTCGGTGCTACCATTGCCTACTCGCTCATCATGAACCCCGTCGCCGGCGACATCCTGGTAATCGACCCCCAGGAGGAACTCAGAGACGCCCAGGTCCAGGATCTGTCAGACGCTACCTTTCACGGCAACACCAGCACACGCGTGCGAGCAGGGACACACAAGGAAGCAGGCCAGTGCGACATTATCGTCTTCACCGCCGGCGCAAAGCAAAAAAAAGGTGCACACCCCTACCACGCTCTACTCACCTCTACCACGCTCTACTCACACCCCTACCACGCTCTACTCACATCCCTCCCACGCTCTACTCACCTCTTCCACGCTCTACTCACACCCTACCACGCTCTACTCACATCCCTACCACGCTCTACTCACACCC